CGGCCTTGATTTCTGGGCCACCATTGGTCTCTGGGGCGGCCTTGATTTCTGGGCCACCATTGGTCTCTGGGGCGGCCTTGATTTCTGGGCTAGCATTGGTTTCTGGGACGTCCTTGATTTCTGGGCCAACATTGATTTCTGGGCCGGCCTTGATGACGTCTGCCGTCGCCTCGTCCGCGTACTTCTTGAAGTTCTCCACAAACAAGCCTCCGAGTTTCGTCACCTCTTGTCTAAAGCTATCATTTCCGGCGGTCCACGCGTTCCTTGGGTTCAGCAGTTCTGATGGGACGCCAGGGCAGGTCTTGGGCACAGCAAGGTTGAATGTCTCGTAGTTTTCATACTCGACCTTCGCAAGCTCTCCCGAGTGGATGCCATCTAGAATGGCACGTGTGTATTTCAGCCTATTTATTGTTAGTAAAGTTTGTGACTTGCAAATAAAGGAGAACTTACGGGCAACGCTTGCCGCCGGTGGAGGCACCAGCACCAACCCATCCAGTGTTCAACAACCAAGCATTGGCCTTGTGTTGCTCAATCTTCTCAGCCAACATCTTGGCGTAGCGCATAGGATGCAGAGCCAAGAAAGGTTGTGCGAAGCACGATGAGAAGGTAGCTTGTGGTTCTGTGACACCATCTTCGGTACCGGCCATCTTCGAGGTGTAGCCCGAAATGAAATGGAACATCGTCTGGGCAGAGTTAAGCTTGGAGATGGGTGGGAGGACACCACGGGCATCGCAGGTGAGGAGAATGATGTTGGTTGGGTGGTTTTCTGAGATGCAGGGAATCTTGGCGTTCTGAATATATTCAATGGGATACGCGCAGCGAGTGTTCTCGGTGAGCGTCGCGTCGTCGAAGTCTACATCACGGGTTTCTACGTTGAACACCACGTTTTCGAGGACGGAGCCGAACTTGATGGCGTTGAAAATATCGGGTTCCTTCTCGGCGGATAGCCCGAGGCACTTTGCGTAGCAGCCGCCTTCGATGTTGAAGACGCCGCGCTCAGTCCAGCAGTGCTCGTCGTCACCAATCAAGGCGCGGTTAGGGTCAGCTGACAGTGTGGTCTTGCCAGTGCCAGACAGGCCGAAGAAGACAGTCACATCGCCGTTCTTGCCCTCGTTGGCGGAGGAGTGCAGCGTGAGGACGTTGTGCTTCACGGGCATCTCGTAGAAGAGAACGGTGAAGACGCCCTTCTTCATCTCGCCAGCGTACTCGGTTCCAAGAATCACCATCTCCTTCTCAGCAAAGTTGATGGCAACCGAGGTTCCCGAGGTCATGCCCTCTGTGTATCTGTTTGCAGGGAAGGAGCCGGCATTGTAAATGGTGTAGTCGGGGTGGAAATGCTCCAGCTCACTTCGATTAGGGCGGATAAGCATGTTGCGCATGAAGAGCGCGTGGTAGGCGCGGGCACACACGACCCGGACCTTGATGCGGTATTTCTCGTCCCATCCTGCGAAGCCGTCGACGACGTAGATGCGATTCCGCGTGTTCAGGTAATCGATCGCACGTTCGCGGTTGATTCTCCAGACCTGGACGGGAAACAGTCAGCATTCAATATTCATGGCGAAGTAATAACATGACTCGATGGTGGTCCCCGACTGGCTGGGGCTAAGCCGAGGTATGCCGACACGTGATGTGGGGAAGGGCTGCAGTGCCGAGACAATGACATAATAGTGCGTCAAGCGAACGCCGAGGGCAAAATTGCGGGGTTATTGGCTGGTGATGAGATGAACTGAACTTCCTAGTGTGACGTAGGCCACATGAGGAGAAAGGGAATGGGAAAGAGACATAGCCGCGGGTAGGAGGGGGATTTTCGTTGTCGGGGGAGAGAGGAAAATGGACGGAAATGCAATGCCGCAAACAGATGTTGAACCAAGTGCTACTTGCTCTCGTGCGTGGAATGTGGGAAAAATTAATCCCTGCTACAAACGGATGTCCTCGTAGTTGTAGGATATGGAACAAACGGAAAAACCATTCGAGCTTACCTCAGGTGTCATTGGCTTGTTAACGGGTCTAGATCGATGTCAGCTTCTGAAATGGAACTGAAGGGATCAAGATATCGGCACATACCCCCACCAGATCTCGTTTTCTGAGCTGGGCTCCTTGACGATACGTTTATCTAAAGGTGATCGACCGGTCTTCGCCCCGGAGTATGCTGTGAGGGCACCAGTTGAGGTAATAGCAGAGCCAGTTTCGTAGACGAGGGCATCTTCGTAGAGGGCAGCGACACTTGGATTGGGGACCTGTCCGAGATAAGACGTTAGCAGCGGCCACGGGAGATATGGGAATGGGACGAGTGGGCTCTGGCTGGCTTACAATGGCTACACGGTCATAATCGATGTCTGCCGTCTGATGAAGCTCCTCTTCGAGCTCGGTATGCTCCCGGACCGGCCTGCGAGACGAGTTAGCAGACTGCTCTCCCTTTTTTACTTTCGGTCGAGCACCACTTGGTAGCCCTGGCCTCGATCATCTATACATCTAGACAGGCTTCACGGGGGGGAACGTACTGGACCCCACCGGGGTGGAGGGCGGTCTTGTTGACGGTATTGATGGTGACCATGTTTCTGAGCGAGGTGGAGTGGTAGTTGGAGGTTCGAGCAGCAAGAATCTTGGATTTGGGGCCGATCTGGCGAGGGTCGGGATAAGGAGATGAAGATCTCTCGACGGGGTCAGCCGCGTTATTTAAAGGAGGAGCCATGTCGGCTGTAGAGCTGAGGTTTCGGGTGTAAACGTAGATGGGATTGCGGTTCTGGCGGTGGCGCTGATGATGCTGGTTCGTTTGGGAAGTCTGGAGCTGGATACGGGATTTGGATGGTGGAGAAGGGGGAAGGGGACGGAGGAGGCTAGCGCTGCTAGGGGCTGTAAGAGCTCTAGCGGCTGGAGTGGAGAGATTCGCCCCCATTGCCGCACGCTGATTCGTCAGAAGGAGGCAGGCCGAGGAAGTCAACAATGGCCGTGGACGAGGGAACGCGGTGGCAGAGCCTGCGAACCTGCGGATGGGCGAATCAGCGGCAGCTCCCGGCCCAGGAGCTGGCGATCGAGGCCGCCTGAAGCAGCCGGCCGAAAACAACACGGGGCTCCGAGGGAGCAGCATCGGGGAGATGCGGAATGTGCTGGTGGGCATGGCGGTGCTCGCTGCTCTATTACACAATTATCGTCATCGGCCAGAGTCCAGCCATGCCAGAGGCCAGACGAGGCAGCGTTGTGGGGGACCCGAACCCGGTGGTGCATGCGAGCACGACAGACACCAGGGAAGTTGTGTAAGTACTGTGCATGTACCTAGTCCCTGGGGAACTACAGCTACACGCGGTAATGGGAAGGAGACAGCGAGAGAAGAGGGATCGGGATAAGGACAACGAGAAGAAGACGGCGAAGGTGAAGACGACGACGACGACGACGACAATGAAGGGACGTCGTTGCCCGCCAATCCGGCGAAGCCATACATGTACCTTCCATGTACCTCCTTATCAGGCTCACTCACTCACAGTCGCCGCAACTGACAGATCTGGCAGCAAGCACGTACTCACTGGGCCGCCTGCAGCACGTTGCATTTAGCCCCCGTCGCAGGGCCAGGCAGGCAGGAACATATACAGAACATATACAGAACATATATAGAACATATGTAGAACATATATAGAACATATATAGAACATACAAGCCATCGAGAAAGATACCAGCGACATTTCAGGTTAGGCATCTATGACTGCGGCTCCTCCGGGGGGTCTGGATGAGGGGTCTTGTTTGTCGATAACGACGATAAAGGGCGCCCGGTTATCTTTGCAGCGCAGCGCAGTACTGCACAGTATGCTGACCATCAACGATCTCGATAATGGCTGTGGCTGTGGCGCTGGCTCTGGCACCTGCACCTGCACCTGCACCTGGATCTGGCTATGGCCGGATGCGACTCTGATCGCCCCACATATTCCTGTTGATTGTTGACTTGTTAACCCGATACTTTGCTTGGCCACCCGTCAGCCGAGCCGAAGGAGCCTTGGGCCGACAGAGGCAGAGGCAGGCGCGCAGAGAAGCAAAGTACTAATACTTTGGTAGTGCAGCCGCAGAAATGACGCAGAGACAGGCAGAACGAGAGGCAGAAAAACAGAGTATCGGTCCCTAGGCAAGGTACGTACCTGCTTCCATGGTAGTAGACCCTTCACATGCCAAACTTCCGTACGGCCGCCGGTACTCCTCGTATAATATCGGTCCAGGTATCGGTATCGGAATGCCCTGGTCCTCTAGAAGTGCAGCATCCAGGCAATCTTATCACAGTAATCTACCACGACCCGGCAAATCCCGTGTTGTCCAGGAGACTCCTTCCTTGAGGGATGCACAACGATAATAGGCAGGTGGGCAAGGAATTGATCGTGAGTTAGGGGATTCGCGGTGAGAACCCAGGAGGGATGTCCTAGCAGTGGTGTTTCAGATTCCCACATACCTGGTATCACGTGGGACCTCGACATCCGTAGACCTCGGGAGAAGACTTTTCCGTGTCCCGCCACCGCTAATCGCACACTGCAACTCTTATCTAACGCCTCCCCCTAATCCTAATCCAGAATATCGCCTTTTTTTTTATGTACTATCTATCTAAGAGACTCAAATATAAACTGCATCCTAACTGCAAACTATATCCAATTAATATATCCTCACGTGTCACGAAAGACACTCCTGAATTGAACGCTTGAATCATTGTTATCAGCGACAAAGATTGCAGGCAGATAAACGAAACTTACAAAGGAGTACCTGATACCATGGTAAAATGATCGAGCTAAAAGCAACATCTGAGCCTCCTCATCTTCCGTCAGCTTCTCCATCCGCTCCATCAAAGTTAGCTCATAGTCCCCATGACTGTGCTGCATAACTTTCAGGAGGCAGACTTCGAAGAACCTTGGGTAAAAGCCCGCCGAAGCCCAGTCCACGAGACACACCGAGCCATCCTCCAACCAGATAATGTTTCGCGGAGCAAGATCCAGATGACACAAGACTAAGGGAAACTCTTCGAGGGCTAGTTTGGACTCGACGTCTGGTAGCCTGAAGTTCAACCAGCGCTCCATTTGTTTAACGGTTTTGAAGGCTGGCTCCCCATTTTCTTCCCAAAGTAGCCCGCGCGACACACCCGTTTGCAGTGGGCCAGGGCGCTGGCTCTGTATAGTTGAAAAGTATGACAGGATCTTTACGATCTGGTTTATCTGGCGACTATGCGCTGATTCAAAGACCTGTCCGTGGACAAATTCCATAACCAGAAATCCATTTGGGGGCAATGCGTCGTTCTCAGACCAAGTGAAATAGCGATATAACTGTGGTACGCGAACGATGCTGCTATCGAGTAGCTCGAATGCCTTTCTTTGGTTGTCGGCCTCCTCAGCTGAAACGCCCCGGCCAAATTTGACGACTACTTCCTCTGACAGTTTTACTACAAGATTCCCATAGAGGGCTCCGCCAACAATTTCGCGATTCGGATCGAGGCAATGTTGAACGATATCTGAGTTGCTTAAGTTGTCGTGCTCAAATGTCATCTTTTCAGAGTAGGACTCGGCTAGGAGGTATTTCTAGGTACTTCCATACTTATCCGGTTCAGAGAACTTCTGTTTGCGAAAAGTTCGAGCAATTTCAGTTTTTGCATTGTCTGAGGTCAACCAGATTACCGAGTGCCGTAACACAATCAGTTAGCAAATAGTCGAGTATGGGAGGATGGTTTTCCGAACTCATAGAGACCAACCACCGATCAGGCGGCAGTGGGAGGGAGGGGTGGGAGATTTGTGGGGCGGCCCTAGGCCAACGGGCACAGGCAGCAAAGCAAACAAAACACCACAAAGCACTTGGCACTACGTAACTATGCATACGTCAATCCAGTTGGGTCGTCTTCTAGTAAGTTACGTTCAAATTCCTCTATCCAGCTTCCCTTCTACCACTCGGTAGCGTTTAAGGTTGCCCCCCCCCGTTTATCTAATTCAACCACAGTTCTGTCACCCTACTTAGGCCATCCTTCAACCACGGCATCTCCAAAGTGGCACTCCCATCGAAACCATGCTCGCCGGGCTCCACACGGAGATCAATCTTCCCTGCCCCAAACTTCCCCCTCACAGCATCTGCGAACTCGACGCTCCCCTCCACCGGCACCGCCGAATCTTCCTTTCCATGTATAATCAACAGATGCGGCATATCATCCACGGTCTCCAAAACCTTCCGCAGGGCCAACTTCTCATCTGCCCCATAGAATTCAGCAAACCGATCCTGTTGAGCTATCGATAACACAATCGGCATCCTCTCCGGTGGATTCGCAGATGTCACTATCTTCCCCGGCTCAATGGCCGCCAAAAACCCGTCCAGGACAACGGGCGGTATTGTGGGAGCTCCCATGATTGACACCGTCCGCTTTCTGCCAATGTCGATGAAGGGATAGGTTGCTATGATTGCCTTTATGAATCCATGAGGTAGGATAAACCCGGACTGGATGGCAAGGCTTCCGCCCGCGCTTTCGCCGTATGCGATGACCTTTGTCAGATCTGCATTAATACCAGCTTTGACCTGGGATAAGTGCCTCTCCAGCCCGCCGCCTCGCGCCCATGCCCAGAAATCTTTTAAGTCTTCCAGGATATCGAGGCCGGTGGATTCGGGTATTAGACGGTAATCGGCGCAGACTATTATGGCTGATTGTTTAAAGGCGTAGTCTAATGCCCAATCGGGGAACCAGTCTGGGTATAAACTTGCGCCAGTCACCTGGTGTTTTATTAGTATGAGAGACTCGCGCAGGTCTTATTTTTGGGGGGGAGTAAACCTACGAAGAAACCGCCATGGAACTTGGCGATAATGGGATATTTGCCCTCGGAGATGCCCTTGGGCACCAAGACAAACGCCGAGATATTAGTCTTATTCACGACTTTATAAGCCACCTCGGAAATGTCAAAGTTGACATATTTGGGGGAATCCATCTCTTTCTGCTCCCTGCTTACTATGCTTATTTGGTCTTGAGATTAGAAAACGAGGGATATAATGTAAACTGTGTGCGGTGCTGTGCTGTGCTATGCTGCAAATCTGCGCTGCGCTTCCCCAAACCAAGGATGATGAACAATAAACAATAATACTACGACGATACCAGGCGCCAAGAACACTGGGCACCCCTTTGATATATACCTCAATACTGCGTACTGCGCACATGAAGCTGTTCCTGCAGCTTGGCGGTGTTACCGTATCTCCATGGGCCACACGGCATTAAAGCCGCGGAGAAGAAGCCAACCGCAATCCAGCAACGGGGGGCGCCCCTTACCTAAGACGACGAGGCTGGCGCCCATCACCTGACCTAGCCGCGTAGCCGTTGGGCAGCGTTAGCCTTATCCAAGGCCCATAAATGCCGCACTATTGAGCTATAATAGCGGATAAGGGGGAGTCTGCCAATGCTTCCATGACGCTGCTGACGTTGCGGGACCTGTCACGGGTGTCATCTGCCCCTTCCATCGACCTTCCATGAGCCGCAATCCTTCGTTGCCTGAGGGCGACGATCCCTTAGGGGGAGAGGGGGGAGGGAGCCTACGGAGTAAGGGGCAGCGAATGCGAGGGATGCACCATAATACAACCCAGAACTTGGGCGCCGTGTTTCCGGATCCCCCAGCGAATCAACGCGGGATGTTGGTTCACGCAGCAGTCAGCCCTATAGGGAGGACTCCCGACACACACGAAACCACACGAAAGAGCACGAAATGCACTTTATTATTCCCGTTACACGAACACCACGTGCCCCGGACTTGCCCGACTCGCTGGGGCTGTCCATCAGGCATCAGTAGGGCAGATGTGTCAGTGCCAGTATTAATACCGCAAAACCTGGAGAATCTGGGGATGGGAATTGTGTCCAGACTGGAGATATATGCTAGGACTAAACGGAGATACTACGTCCCACAACTCGATCTCCATCCACGGCCCCATAGATAGCACTCTGTTTGGCTGTTCGCTGACGCGGTGAGCACCCATTGGCACGATCCCTTTTCAGCTCTCCGCAACGACGAATCTTGGCCCCCAGCTGGCCCTCTTGGAGTCTCCAGTGCTGCCTTCGTATATATATGCTCGTACGTGCTGCTGCGTCGACCCAACATCCTCATCCAAACCCCGCATCACCAACAGAGCATGTCCTCGACCACCACCACCACAACCACATCCACCGCACCGATGGCATCGCACGCATCACGAACCAGAACCATGCCATTAACAATCTCGACCTCTGCTCCCGATTATTCGGGAGCGGTACCTGCGGACGGCGCACACAACCAATCACCAACCCGTCAGCGCTCAGCACTGCCACCGCCCTACCCGCACCGCACCGCCAGCAACCCCACTTCCCCAGATCCGCACCCTGACCGGTACCAATATCAGTCGCAGTATGAATATGAATACCAGTACGCCGACTCGCCCAGATCCTCCACTTCGACTACCGCCTCCCCTATCGCCACAAACACAACCTCAAACACATCCACCAGCTACCAAAGCGTGACCGGCCACCGCCGCAACCCGTCCTCGCGGCGCTCCACCGAACCACCCCCCTCCGCACCCCCCTCCAAGAGTCTCCGCTTCCTCCCAAGCAGCAAGCATGAGAGCGGGAATTCCAGCCCACGGAGCCCAACGAGCCCGGGGACGCCACGGAGCTCAACGGCCATGAACAGGAGACATTCACACGAGCCACGGCGGAATCTGCACACGGAGTGCGGACGACACAGCGACGCGTGGCTCTTCGGCGGGTTCTCAGTAAGCGGCGCCGTGAAGAAGATGTGGAGCAAGGACCGAGAGAGGGGGGATGGGAGAGGGGACGAGTAAGGGTGCGTCAAGAAGGGGGGGGGAGGCATAATGTGATGTTTTTGGTTATGAAAACATACCTACGGCATGGATGGATGAATGACCTGGATGAAATTTGCTTGAATTTTTGGCCGTGAAATTATATATAGCTGATGATACCCCCACAAATCACACATACGACGTGAAAGCAAGCAAGCGAGTTAAGGAGCCGGAAATCTATTTATTCATTTATTTATTTTAGGGCAGAGAGATATTTAACTACTTGTAAGATTTTTCAAGAATGCAGATAATGAGAATATTACTAGTTTGATGGCTATTTCATACCAGTTAGTGATGCGCTTTGTGATGTTAAATGCTTATGGGTGAGGAGGATGCTGGAGATGCTACTAGAGCTAGCCTTTCATCATAGCCCTTCTACTACTCTAAATAGTAGCATGGACTAGGTACACGAGCTTAAGAAAAAAGACAAGCTTCTCATTACACATAAGATCATAATATATATCACCCCCGTACTTCTAAAGAGCCAACAACTATATCTCTCCCAAGATCAATCTAAACAATATCCACAACCTCCGCACTGCCCTCCAGAAACCCCAAGGCAGGCCCCCCTTCGACGGTCAAAGAGAACTTCGTGAAGGTAGCTACTTTCTCGTATTTCCCATCGTCGGTCTTGCCTATTACTATGCCGGAGAGAACTGCTCTGTTGGAGCTATCTAGTTTGTTTTTAACCATTTCTTTTCGCTCGTCGTCGGTTACCACTTTCTTGTCTTCGGATTCGGGTTTGGCGTTAGATTCAGCATCCTTTTCAACGTCCTCCTCATCCCCATCCCTCCCGACCCTCGCCCACAACACCAACAATTTAGCCCCCACCGGTGCTACCCACTCCGAGTCCCCACCGACCTTCCCCCCATCCTGCGGCAACAACCCCATACTCTCTTGCAGCCAGTCCGTCCCAACACCGCTCGGGGGTGGCATACCATAAACACCCCTAAGATAACTACTCAAACCATCCTCTCCCCCCTTTCCGCCATCCATACTCAAAACCGGTCCCCGAATCACAAGCCTACACCCCTCCTCCTCCACCTCCCCATAGACATTATCTTCCCCTTCATACTTCAACCCCGTACCTACATCAAGCACCTCTGCCACCCCCCTCATCCTCACATCCCTCAAATCCGGCATCCACTCCCAATATAGATCGTTATCGACGCTTGCCCAGCTCCACGTGGGCGCGCGCCATTGTGAGGGTTTGAAAAGTTTGAGGTTGGGGTACGTACTCCACATTAACTCGCGGAGAAGCTGCGAGCGCCAGTGTCCGGCGAGGTAGGTGTCTCCAGAGAGGTTGGCGAACTCGGTGGCCAGACCGGCGATGGCGGGAAGCTTGTCGGGGGCGTAGGTGAGGGCGCGGCGGGAGAACATGCGTAGCGAGTGGTACCAGATTTGGAGCAGGGAGGTGATATCTTTGTCTTTTGTTGGCGCTGCTCCTTGGGTTGGAGGATTCTTATCTATATCTTCACTTGCGGGACCGTTGGGGTCCTTTTCGGAACTGGTAGAGGTAACAATAAGGGTTGCGTCCGACGACTCGGTATCAACATCCCTCAAAGCCAGCTGTATCCTCCGATGATCACTCGCATTCCGATCCCCGCTCCAGTCCTCCACGCCCCCATCCGCAGCTTGCTTGCTATGACACTGCCACACTAGACGACTCCCATACATCAGCACCCTTGGGCTCAACAGCTGCTCCTGCAGCGTCCATGATCTTCTTGACACCGGTTCCCAGGAAAGTAAATGCGGGGTGTCTTCGCAGAAATACATAGTTCCTACTACCGCTTCCTTGCTGTTGGGATCTTCGTCATCAACGGGGAAGAAGTAGGGCATGCTGAGGAGATTCTTGGAGAGGCCCAGACCAGGGTGTTTCTCACACTCGTGACGCGTGTGAAGGAAGCCGTCGGATGCGGAGCCGCCGGCTGCGCAGATGGTTGCGTGTGCGTTCTTGTAGTATGCTGCCATCTTGGGTATTTCATCCGCTTTGTCTTCAGGCGAGTCTTGTATGATACAGAGGGAGTCAATCCATATGTACTCCAACCCTAGTTTGGCCGTCAGGATCACGGCATCTTGAAGTGTTTGCGGGAGTTCAGAGGTTTGGAAACCGGCTGTGACATGAGAGAAGGTAGCCAGGGTTGTTGTGAAGCTTTGGGACTCGCCCCAGCAGTACGACAGCGCGGTATAAGGGGCAGGGTTGTCTTGGGATGAGGTGTAGAGAGAAAGATTTTCGGCATCGGGGGAGATTTTAAGGATCCGTTTTGGGAGAGGGGTGGGGGTTGGCGAGGGGCATTCAGAGTGGTTGTGAAGACAGTCGTTGATCCATGTTTTTGCCTGGTTTATACTTGCTTCAGAAGCAGGGTCGGGGTTGATAGGTCTTCCTTTGATGAACTGGGCTGCTGGATCATCTGGTTGTTGTATATCAGAGCTATCGTCTTGAAATATCCTCGTAGAGATAGGGGAAATACATACCTTTAGTAGTGCAAATTTCGAGTATAATTGAAGTAGAGTGCCTCAAAAGCTCTGACGCTGCCTTCTGACTTATCACCTCCCTCGACTGCGCCGAAATCTTAATCCTCGAAACCCTCCTCTCCTCCGGCACGTAATCAATCGGCTCAACGACCATCCCAAGTCCCGCCCCCGGATTCTTCCCACAAAACTCTCTCAGTTTCGAAATCGCTTTTTCCGTAGCCTCAGTCACCTGGCTCAAATCCCCAGCCGCACAGCACGCAATATCATTGTTCAGCTCCAGGACCCCGAAGACGAGCAACCCGCTGCGGAAAAAGAATTTCACGGCCATGAAGGTACAAAAGGTACAACGTGCTTCGGTTGCTTCCACGAGCGCTAAGAGATCCAGTGACCACCGTATAATGGGGGTTTGGTTAGGTTTCAGAGGGAGTTTGCTAGAGAAAATACTGAGGTCTCTACTGATGGTGAAACAGCAGGGGCAGTAGACGGCCTTTTCTTTGAAAACCGAGAGCTCTTCGTCTGATAGCGTTTGTGTGTACAAGGCGTATAATTTTGCCGGGTCGCGACTCCATCCTGGGTGAGTTTTCGGCGTGGGCTTGTTGGGCGCCAGGGGTTTGGCAGGAGTTTCATCCTCTATGTCGTTCTCTTTGTCGTTATTTTCTGCATCTGTATGTGCACTTTCATCGATTGTAGGTTCCTGTACTTCCGTGACCACTGGCTGATCTGGCCGATCTGGCCGCTGCTCAGATGGTAGAACACCGGACGAGCTGTCTCCTTCAGAAGTGGGATCGGAAGACATCTTTGATTGTAGTTTTGGAATGATATGCGATGGCCGTGGTGTTGCTGTAGCCGAAGCTGACCCCGGGATAGCTTGATTCCCTGTGAAATTGCAGCCACGTGTTGTACAAAGACCGACGTATTCAACTTTACCGTTCGTATACTCTCTATAAAACACCAAGAGATGGTGGTATACAAATTGTTGTCACGGTTGATCTCCCTGTATTTTAAATAAACATGTAAGTAATTGTTTAGCTAGCACCGGCTGTTACGATTCTAGTAGCAATCCAATATCGCAATATGACAATTGTTGCGTCGCCATCTCGACGTGGTTTTATGAATATTTTAAAAAGAGAGAAAATGATAACGTCTGATTCATAAACGAATTACTAGGAAAGATGCTTAAGGGATAAGACCATATATTTTAGCCACTAGAGTAAAAAGAGACATTATATTTATGAAAAATATGTATTAAAGAGAGAATCTATATGAATGATGACATGCTTTGTTTTTCTTTGATATAAGTTTCTCGCGATTCTAGGGATTGATCTTGAAATATTCGTGGGGAATTGGGCGCCTGGCCTGTATCTTGGTTGAGTATATATCTACGTTATGTATATAGATACAAAAGGTTGGACTCTCCAGATTTATACTTTGAGGTAACAATGGTGCCAGAGGTTGCCAGAGGTTGGGGTTTGTTTGGAAGTGCTTCGCGTACCTATGTAGTCGTCAGGCTATTCTGCTTCTGGCTAGACTTACGGGCTGAGCCGAAAAGCTTCACGTGACTACATGCATCGTCGTTCCATTGGATCTCAAAAAGTCATTTGTCTGCTCTGTGTCGCGTACCTGAGCAAAATCAGCAGCAACACTAACACTGCGCCATTGAGCTGGTGCTGGAAGATCCTATACTCCAGGAGGGATGAGTGTCTCACGGCCAGCACGATGTCTGCTCTCCGGCCCGTCCATACCAACTCTGCGGCCACGAGTACGATGCCGCACCTTCCACACCTCCCCTAGTCTCTGCGAAAGACGAAGACCGAAGCATCCCAATATTAAAGCCTCCGATATGGGCCTCATCACATCCCAAAAGCAGTCTCGAGAGCTGTTCAAGCCTTATGATCAAGAGACGAAGGAGGCCCTTGCTAAGAGGTACACGCCGGAGCAAATTCGTGCCATCGAAGCTGGAGAACAGGCAATCGATCCCCAGGACTTGAATGAACGGGGCGTCATACGTACGGATTGGGGGAGTCTGCCATACCTTGACGATTTCAGTGTCATCCGGCCGTCCATAGACAGGAAGCCTAGATCGGAGGCACCGGTAGATCCCAATATGAGGCTGATGACCGAGAAGGAGATGGTGGATGAGATGCGCAAATATGACATGAAGATCATGAAAGAACACCCGACAGCACCTGATTTTAATTTCGAAGATGAGGCAAGTCGCAGTACGGTCCGCCCAAATCGGATTGACATGTTCCGAGCAATAGACGAAACTCCAGAGTTTATAGGGAGTAATGGGCCCGTCGTGAGCGAAAGCGCGCTTGCGCCAGGCGTTCGCATGGACTTCGAGGCTGCTATGGATGATTCCGAATCGAGCAAGGAGAAAGATGCCGAAGAAGACGAGAGAGATCCAGATGGAGTATTTGATCGCCTTCGGAAACAAACTGGCCTCACTTTGGATCAGATCCGAAGCTATCAGGTTAAGGTCCTGGTCCGACATCGTGTTGTGAATCAAACCCGATTGGGCAAGATCCAAAGCCAGTACTGTCTCGCAATTGCTGGAAATGGGAATGGAAGATTAGGGCTTGGTGAGGCGAAGGGCCAGGAACCCGAGGACACGCAGGTCAACGCCCGGATCCAAGCTATCAAGAACATGCAGCCAATACCGCGATATGAGGAGCGCACTATCTTTGGGGAAGTAGAGGGGAAGGTATCTGCCGCGGAGGTTACGCTTATGGCCAGACCACCAGGTTTGTCCAACCTATCGTATGAAATATGTTATAGGAGCTAATATTATTCTAGGATTCGGCTTACGCTGCCAGCACCTTATCTTTGAAATGGCGAGAGCTGCAGGAATCCAAGACCTGTCCGCAAAGGTTCCACGATCCCGAAACAAGATGAATACGGTAAAAGCCACATACCAGGCGCTCATGAAGCAACGGATTCCGGACGAGGTCGCGCGGGGGATGGGGAAGAAGTTGGTTGATGTACGGAAGGTATATTATGGAGGCCGTGTATAATCTTGTATATATATCTTTCGAAGCTCTCAGATGTACTTGTACTAGTACCCGTGGCCGTTGCATAGATGGGCGTATCATAACATGAAGCATAGCCAAAGTATTTCCTGACAATCAATCGCTGCCCCCTCCATATTTGGTGTAGGTTGGGTATCTTAATCCTCCAAACGCCGTGGTATGCCCTTTCCCATCCCGTATCTGCAAAGCCGTAGTTCATTCCACCATCTCTCTGCCTTCTTTGCTAGCCGACCCAGCGCTCTCCAAAACCATATATCGCTCCCGTCCATTTGTCGTCCAGCTGTTCAAGTACTTCGTAGCTAGCTCGATGTCCATGTCGTATCGCTCACCGCTCACCGTTCGCCCTCCGCACCATCTCCTCCCTGGTCCCCAGAATAAATCTCCTGCTGCAACACGATACTATAAACACTGGCCTTCAACAATGTGAATACCAAACTCGTCTTGCGTTCCAATTGTCTCAGACCGTCTAAGACCTCAGCTGTAGGTCTGCCCGCCATGTTGTCTAGCAGAGCTGCCAACTACGCTTTCATATTAGTTATCATTCTTGACTTTGTCACTAGGGTAAGATATTAAAGAGATATACACATGGGGAATATACCCTCTTCATGTTCTCGGATAGTCGTTCGTACTCGTCCAAAACATCTTGTTCTAGTGGGGTGAGATCTTCGCTTGGGGTTGAGGAACGGAGGGCTGTGGTGGTGTCTGTGGGGTCCATACTGATGGGAATTGGAGGGGGAGCTTAGAGTGAAAGGTCTATCGAAGGGATCGGCAAATAGCTGGGTAAAGACTTGAGAGCGGGTGGCCCTGATAATCAAATGAGCGACGCGCCTGGATATGCTCCGGTGAAGTCGCGTTCCATCGCAGATTGAACAGCGGGGCATGTTACACGTGACGACAACACCACCAACATCAGAGTCACTCACGCAGAACGAAATAATAATAAATCGAAATAGAACTCGAAAACATCATCGTAAGTATCCCATATGTTATTTTATGATTCGTAAGAGCGTTAATTATGGCGATATAAATGTAGACCGTCCTTTCCCCCGGTTCAGCTTATACACAAGATTTGTAACCCAGAACCAACTCCCATTTCATAACCCAAAATTGTCCCTACCATCCTAAATGCCCTCAATCCTATGATAGCAATTGCAATTCATCCATAATATTTTGATCTTCAACCATGCTCCTCATCACCTCATCTTGAGACGAAATATTGGACCAGTACCCTACCTCAGCAGCGTGTTTCTTCGCAGCGAAGATCTCTTGTGCAACGCCCTTAACTTGGCCAAATGCCTTCCCAGCAGAAGGCCAGACTTGCCACAAAGTTTTCAATGCCCCTATGTTGAGACGCAATTGTTGCTTGAGATCATCGTCCTGTATGAATGACATGAGGGCAGACCAGCAGGAAAGATGCACAATGGAGCCGAGTGTAACAACGCAAGTAAAGAAATGGGTGTGCCGAACTAGGGGAACCGGGATGGTGATGAGTTTGGAGATATCTTGGGCTGCCTGGACGGTTTTGGCAGCGTGGATATTGTACGTTTCGCCTGGTACGATTTGCTTATGCGGAGCACAAGAAGTGACATCCTTGGCTATACTAGAGTCCAACTCTGAATGTTCCCGGTGGAGGAGAACGGTGGTCCTGCTTCGGGATTAGAACTAGTACTCGTGCGGAAAAGGATTATACTAACGCTTCTGTAATCATGTGTGCCTGGAATAACATCTCGTCGAGCTGGCCGTCGCTACTGATGCATTCCTTCTTGGTGACGGGCAGATGTAGCCTCCAGTTTACAAGGTAAGCATCAATTCTCAGAACAGCAGCTGCGTCAGGCAGTGTCACCTGCCGGGATGCAAGAACTCTGCCGAGATTTCGAAGTGCGGCTATTCTGTAAGTAAAACTGGAATAGCTGAAATCCCGGCCATCGAAGGACTCGTCATCGAAGTCCTCCAATGAGTGTCCTTGCGGGATAAACTACGGCAGTCAGTATGGCAACACTCAAGAGAGAAGGTACTTCGTACCCCGGATGCATATTCCCTCTCCTCGCAAGGTAGGAGAACGTCGGCCGGCATGTCTTTAAGCCGAAACGAGCTTTTCTGGTGAACCCCCGCAATCATTCCATCGACTATATATAACTCCCACCATGTTCGGCGCCAGCTCTCCTCAAGAACGTCCGAGCCACTGTTGCTCAAAAGCGCGAATTCACGCTTGTTCATCCCGAGTTCCAAGGCAAGATCCTGAGCATCTACTAGGATCTGCAAAGCCTTTTCTTGGTAAGTGTAACCATCAAGACCAATTGCAAGGATCAACATTGCCTGGACCCTATAGCCGTCCCGGGGACAGTCCGCTTGGTATATAGAACGTTCTGCCTCAAGGCCAAGGGCCGTAGTTGGTGCGCCTGAAGTATAAAACGAACCGACATATCGCATTGCTGCCAGGAGATGGTCAAGTGGCTTCTCCTTCCTCAAGGCCATGAATTGGGCCCGAGGAAGGACAAAGGGATGTGCGGGATGGAAGTGGTAGAAGAAAGCCTCGATACATCTCTCTCTCAGGTCCAATCCGGACGGAAGGGGCTTAGACGCCAGGTCTTGATTGACCTCGAAGATCGGGAGATCGATAGGGCGAGGGAGGGTCTGCAGACGTTGGTCTGGAGGTGTAGCTAGACCACTTGGAACGTGCGGGCCTCTTGGGGCGTTTGGATTAACAAGTGGACATGTCGCCGCAGAGCCAGCAGCTTTCTGGGCTCCGTTCTTTCGCGGCCCCTTGAAGCCGCGTCGGCTCCTCACGAAAACGCATTCCAGGCCGTTGGAAGAGCAGCGGGTGCAGGGACTCAGGCCATCACACTTCAGATGTTTGGAACGGCATTGTACGCATGCCGACGGCACGGTCATGCGTTCCTTATCCTTATCCTTATTCTGTTCTGAGGAGGATATCGAGAGCTGTCTCTCGTCTCGAGTGCCGGGCGGTTGGTCTGAGCTCGGGGAACGCGTAGCGGAGGAGGGTGTCTGTAGAGGGCTGGAGGACTCCATGGAGACGGTTGAATTGGAGGCAGCGCTCCGCATGGTGGAGGGGCTCGTAGAGCTCGCCGACCAAGACATGATGACCTGATGTTAACGTGGGTTTTGGAGTTGGATTGAGGCAAAGTGTGGGCGTCGTGTACCACCCTGCAGATGACAACAAATGATACCAAGTTGTGTTGGCAAGCGAGGTCCCCGGAAACCCGGGCGTTTGATATTATGTTTTTGATATTGCCGCTGGCTGGACACCTTCGGGGTACTATGTCCGCACCCGCTAGGGATTTCTTTAGGGGCCGTTTGCCTGTTGAGATTGAATAATAAGCAAGATGGGCTCTGAAACGTGGTTGGCGAGGTTGGCAAAGGATACGGGTTGGCAGCCTCAGGCCAGAAAGTACAATTCCGCCACTCACATGAAACCCAACTACGACGGATGTACTGTACCTATAGGTACTACAACCTCTATTTATGTAGATTCATTATGTCGACAGCCAAACTCTTTATCGTCCCGTTCTCTTTCATTGCAGCGACAACGATGCCGTAGGACATGAGCTCAGTATCTGTCGGCGCCTTGAGATGAGCCCATCTCTCGGGCTTTCCATTTCAGGGCAATGTGGTAAGTTTGAAGTTACGGGATTGGATGGCACACACACATGCCGCCTATTATATGAGCTAATAAGGGAGTATTCCGGGGGTATTCAAAATTGTCAGGAGCGTCAAACTCCGCGGTTCTCTTAAGGCATACTATACTGTACCTATGTACGTGAAGGTGCGCTTGTTGTGGCCTTAAGGCTTGCCAAGTCATTCACACAGGTGAGTGCTAGCCTGTAGTTGATATTTGGAACTTTGGTACAATGGTGCGTATTGGAGCCTGTCACCTATCTAGGGATTTTACTAATGCGATGTCATAGATCTGGATCCTGTTCGAAGGCAGCGAATTTTAGAAGGTTGAATATTCTTCTTGGTCAAGATGATGGGCGAGCGAGCGCATCATACGGATATGATTGCCTTACTAGGCGCCTTCCCCGGAACATCTCCTTAATCAAGAGAAACAGTTGAGTGAGGTCAAATGCATTGTTGGGCCCTCCTTTTACAATTTAAGAAGGCAAACTTTGGTCAACCACTCGCGAGTACCACGGAGGACCTTTATTTGAGCCGAGTGTGAGCATCCTCAAGGCTAATAAATCACACTACGAGCGGCAGAAAATACTCGCCCTTCAATTTTATGCAGGTTTATCCACACATATTCAATTCCGACGCTATCGGCCTAAAGAAGTCGGTCCTCTCTTTAGAAGGGGAAGATAACCAATTGTTCCTTGATTTCGTGAGGCTGATTCCTCCATAATTTCTAGAAGACGAACAGAATGCGGAGGAGCTCGTCGAGCATCCTTGACTGGCTTATAACCAGAAAATGTGACACTTTTTTCAATCGAGATTCAAGAGAATACTTACGTTTAACAACTCCTTGAGCGAGATAAAGCTTAGGCTGAAATGGGCTAGGATCTAAGGTCCACTGGGGGGTTTCCGTTTGGGGGAGGTGGGAGAAAACTTTGGTGAGATTGCATAATTAAGGGTGCATTCTGACTGCGAGGCGTAGTATCACTGCGTTATTTTGAAACTCTTAGCACCAATGAGGTTGATACTTTTGGATATACAGCACAACCTTCATCCCGACAGCTATTCTCACCCATACGGATTCGCATTCTAGGCTCCCATCTCATATTTCCATATTTCCAGCATTGTTAGGACCATGGGCTTGACTGATATCTCGAGCAAGGCTCGACTTGCCATTCCTCTACCCCCAACGTCTTCTTAACCATCACAGCAAGGTAGCACGGGAAAACGGGTGGCTGCTGGCCTGCCGGCGCTATGTAACATACTATGGGACCGAAAGTGACTATTATTTTGGAGGGGTCTGGGTAGGACAGCTCCTTCTAGAGTTCCAGGTCGTCGCACCCGGAATATCAAGAGCTGATGGGACGAGTGGCACGTTACTCTAGCGCATGCGGAGCGGGCAGCGGTCAAATATGCCGACTGGAATTAGAACACAAGTGTTCGTTCCCTAGTTGAGAAACCGATGTTTTGACCTGTTGGAATTGAGTTGGTTTACTTCGTATTTATTGATGACATGAGGCGCAGTGGCGTTGAGGGTTGCATTGGGCTGAAGTTAAAATCCAGCTCCGACAAGCCGTTGAACCCGCACTCGCCGACCTCTCGCCGACCTCGCTTGGGCAGCCCTACGGCGTTTAAATTATTAGGCATGGCCGAGACTCCAACTCTTCGTAATCACTTCCAATGGTATTCCTCTCGCTCTGACTTGGGGCCAAAAACATGACGCACTGCTTTCATAACCCGGGGACCTGACGAGGTGGGTTGGGGTCAGGCCGAGGTGCCAGGTGGTAACTGGGTTCCATCCGGGGACTATCTGAGGTTGATGGTGTGTGCGCCGGCATCTGTTTCTCTAGGGGACACAAACATGCAGCTTTGAGCTCAGGCAGCTATATTGCTTTCCTAGGAGGAAAATCTCAGGGCGGAATATGGGTAGGCGATGTCTACATTTCTTAAGCACGACGTATACAACTGGCGGAGAGCAGTTGAAACCTATTGTTTTGATTTACATATCTTCGCAGCAGTTTTTCTTTGCACACGTTACCTTTTGACTCAATCTATGGTTGAAATTTGGATCTTGCCGTTGGGTTTTAATTGGAGGGTTGCATGACTTGCTTTGTCTTCCGCGCTCATTCAGTTCTTCCCTGACGCCACTCCAGCCTATTGAGTCGGCCTCTTCTTACTTCGTTTGGCCTTACCATGCGCCACCCGAACCCTTGGGTAAGCTCTTTCCATATCCCCTGCAGGATTCAAGTATACAGAAGAGCTTTCAAATATCGCCGTTCTGGGCCACATTTAATACTAGCCTTAACTCGCATGTCGGCGACCACCTGTCAGCTGATCCATCTCGTGCAGAAGAGCCAGACCGTTATATAATGAATTTGTTTCCACTCTAGTTAGATATCAGATAATTTTCTATCCAAGGCATTTATCTGTTCCACTCAATTTATACTGTGGTTTTGAAATACGAGGGAAGCCAAAGCCATGGATTCTCAAACTCACTCCTCCTCTATGGAAGAGTGCGGCAGGAATCCGCCACAAGATGCCTTCTCTGTCGATATTGAATCCAAGGCTGTGACCGACACTCACCTGATGAATTACACAGTCCAGAATTTTGTCTGGAGTGGAGTTACTGTCACAGTTAACGACAATAAGACCGGACAACCGAAGGCGATCCTTGACAACATAGACGGGCTCGTCGAGGCAGGTATGGTATTCCCCTCTTGGAACAGGCTTGTTTACTTATTACATATCAGGGGAAATGTGTGCCTTGATGGGTCCTAGTGGCTGTGGAAAGACCACGCTGCTCAATGTTCTCGCACGCCGAGATGCAGCAGCTAGTGCAAAGGTGGAAGGGGCTCCATTAATCAATGGAAATCACCCTACCCTCCAGAACTTCCGGCGATTGACTTCCTACGTTGAGCAGGAGGATGCTCTCATCGGATCCTTGACAGTGAAAGAGACCATGCACTTTGCTGCACGTCTGGCTCACAAGAAGTAAGCCATGCTGACCTCTATCATATCCGACGCCATACTTACATGTGTACAGTTCTTTAAGCAAGACGGAGCGCATCAGCCGCATTAATGCGTTACTAGAATCCTTTGGTCTCAAAGCCCAAGAAAACAATATTGTTGGCACGCCAATTAGAAAAGGCATAAGTGGTGGGCAGAAACGACGCCTCAGTGTCGCCAGTCAACTCATCACCGCTCCAAAGATATTGTTCCTGGACGAGCCAACAAGTGGTTTGGACTCCGCTGCAAGTTTCGAGGTTATGTCCTTTGTTAAGGATATTGCAAAAACGAATAATGTATGGTTTCTAGAATTAACATGGCAATATGGCTCCTTTGCTAACTAAGGCGTAGCTGATCGTAATTGCGAGTATACATCAGCCATCAACTACCACCTTCGGACTTTTCGATAAACTTATTCTCCTTTCCCAGGGAAAGACACAATACTTCGGTGCGGTTGGAGGGATCGATCAACACTTCGCATCTCTTGGGTTTCCCATGCCGACACATACCAATCCTGCCGAGTTCATCCTCGAACTGATAAACATCGATTTTGCCACTGATCAAGCCGAAGCAGAGGCTCGTCTCCAAACCATCCAAAACGGGTGGTCAGAGTCTTCCGGGGCAGCAGAATTAAGCACCATGATCGACTCCGCTTCCCAGCCTACCGATCTCTTACCTCCCACGAAGCCGTCAACGCGCACCTTCTTCGTTGTGTTATCAACTTTAGTACATCGGTCTTTTGTCAAGAGTTATCGCGATGTGGTGGCTTACGGAATTCGAATTGCCATGTATCTCGGCCTGGCTATCATGATGGGCACTGTCTGGCTTAGACTAGATGCCGATCAAAGTTCTATCCAGCCATTTATCAACGCTATCTTCTTCGGTGGAGCATTCATGTCGTTTATGGCGGTGGCATACGTGCCTAGTTTTCTCGAGGATCGTGCAACGTTTGTGAAAGAGCGGGCAAATGGTCTATATGGCCCTTCGGCATTTATGCTATCTAATTTCATCATTGGCCTTCCATATCTCTGTTTGTTCTCCCACTCCTCCATTATATATAGCTTTTACTGATAATTTGCAGTCCTCATTACGATACTATTCTCGGTAGTTGTTTATTGGCTATCCAACTTCAACCCTACAGCCACTGCATTCTTCACATGGATCATGTGGCTGTTCCTCGACTTGGTGGCCGCCGAATCTCTCGTCGTGCTCATGTCGTCACTCTTCCCCAATTTTGTCGTCAGTTTGGCACTCACAGCCTTCGCGAACGGACTCTGGATGTCGGTTAATGGGTTCATGGTTCCACCTCACATCTTGAACGTCTTTTGGAGATATGTGTTTCACTATATTGATTATCAGTCCTATGTCTTTCAAGGCATGATGGTCAACGAGTTTGAGGACCGCAGTTACAGCTGCGGTACAGACTGCAATTGCATGTATCAGACCGAACTTGCGTCTCAATGCCGTGTCGCTGGCACTGCTGTCCTTGATCAATATGGATTTAAGACTGGGCGGACTGGAAAGTGGGTTGGCATTCTCATTGGGATCATAGCAGTGTATCGATTACTTGGGCTCCTTGTTCTAGTGCTCAGGAAGAAGTGAGACACATAAATTAAAGTTTAATTAGGATAATTCAATTTGTATTTGTACGAACCATGACCGGCTGCCAGCCTTATTTGCCTCTAGAGCTCGGTTTCGATTGAATAAAATATACTCAAATATTTAGGAGCTGGTAAGATGGGAGTTTGTGTAGTTGCTCATAGTGCCCGTAATACATCCTATATATTCAGCATACGTGTTCCACAATGGCCAGTTCTGATTGGGTAGTCCGTAGAGCAGGGCGGTAGAGATTATATATGTATGTCACAAATCGTTCTTGGGTTATTTGCAGCTATAATCATATAATCCAGTAGTACATTAATATCTTCAAGACAAAAAACTTGATTCTCCCTCAACACACCACACACCACACACAAGATACAATATATAGAAATGGAATAAGCGGTACAGTACATCAGAAGCTACACAATCTTTCAGTCGCCGCTCGTTTTCGGCTAGCTTCTGCTTGCCAACCCCGTTTTCAAAGTTAAGCTGAGCGACGTTCTTTGGTCTCCCACTCATTCTTCCGTCTTATGTGTAGATGACTTGTCATTCTCCCTCCCGATATTGGGAACATCCTTTCTCATATAGCGATTTGTCGGAACCTTGAGGCGAGTCATTGGAGGAGAAATAATATCGGCCTGCATTGGTTCGGGCTCCACGTCGTAGATTGTAACAGGATAGCTCATCCTGGGCTCCAAAATGGGAGTGACCTGCTTTTTTGTCTCCTGATCGAAAAATTGGCGCTGCATTGCAGCAACCTGCTTTTGAGCCGCCTCTAAATCCTCCCTATTTCTTTTCTGAAACATCTTGTGCTCAGCTATGGAATCGGGTTGTTCATCTATAGTTGCTGTGGCAAGTTCAATAATTTGGCCATTGACTCTAGCAAGTCGATTTTGAAGTGCCTGAATGGTTTCCCGTATCTTGCTGCGCTGAGCCTCAAGATCGGAGCGCTCATCTGTAGCGGCCGTGGGAAGTTCCATAATTTGGACGTCTTGCTCTAGGAATTGATCAAAGAAGCTGCGGATATCGGTATGGAGCGCCTTAAGATCTTGTGATTTTTGGGCGCTCTCGCGGTCTCTTTGAAGTGTTGCCAGTTGCGATTTCAACTCCACAACTTCCGCCTGGAGTGATTTCTCTGTCTGTTCGAGTTTCCTGATATGGACATCCTGTTTGTACAAATCCTGAAGAAATTGATCCTGAAGCTTGGTAGCCCGCAAGCTCAGTTCTTTTTCCTTATCCAATATCCGGTCCCTCTGACAAACTTCCCCCTTTAGATGGCGGATTTCAGCTTCCAGTGTCTGTACTTGCTCAGGTCGAGGATTGCGCGAGGACTGTGGCTGGCTGCCCAACACTTGGTGGGCCCCTGCCTGCTGGATTCCTGGCCTTTGGCTCGATAGGCCGTAGAAGTAGCTAGATGATGATACGACGGGGGTGGTCAGTTCTGCCCTTGCTGCGCTTGTGCACGTGTCCGTGGGACGACCCAAGGTCCTGTTTATTCTCTGAACCCAATCTTCCTCATCCCTCTTAGTGGCGCGAGCAGCAGCTTCCTGTTTCCGTATCGCTGCTGTAATACTAGATGTAAGGGTCGATACTGGAACTTGATGGGGTACCGGAGTTTGAACTGGGTCTGGCGATTTCGTAGTCTCAGTTCGCTGAGGGGTGCTGGGCTTGTAAACTGGAATTCGAGAGGGCATGGAAGTTTTAACAAGGTCTGGCGATCCATTTGATTCAGTCGGCTCGATCTCTCTTTCCTTTCCTTTGAAGCTGCTAGCCTGGTAGTCACCTGGAATCGCATCATAATCATTGAAGCAGTCCATTTCGTAACTGTCTTCAGAGTCACTGGAATAGAACACTTCGTCGTAATGCTTATTAGATTTTCTGTTGGTGGCTTCTTGTGGTTTGGTTTCTGATAGAGATGATGCCTTGGTGTCCATGGTTTTAGACTGCTTGATGTGGTATGGGGGGATGTTAGAGGAGAGGAACTCTGAAGGGTGAAAGTTAAAAGTTTGAAGATAAAATTTGGACTGCGAGGAATTATGTAGAAAGAGAAATTACTACCAAGTGGAATGTCCTCGGGTTTAGGTTTTGAAGGCCCATCCTACCCCACAGGGTGTCAGTCCTAAGTCGCCTGTGACGGATCCGCTAGTACCCTAAATGGGCAAGTTTGAAGCTCGTGATAAATAAAACTGAAGAGATGATGCAACTATCGCAAGAGATGGGCAATCCAATACTAAGAAGCAAAATGGAACAAAACTTGCTGCTAGTTCGATATGCCCACAGTATTTGATGCTAGGACTAGTGGCACTGGATTCTTCACATCTCGACTCCTCACTGGCAAGGCGTCTCCTTACATCGTCACCATTCACATGGAAAATAGGCCAATGTAGGTTGGAAGCACTTGCTTTAAGCTGTTTGCCTTTGGTCGGCCTGAAAACGAACACGAAACAAGCGCAGCACATGCCTCGCTGTCGAAAACTATCTCCAGGCCCTAGCAACATGACAAGTAATTTTGTATACATGCGGATCAGATAAGTAATAGCGGAGTTCGCTATCCGTTGCTAAATCTTGCTTGAGCCGTTAGAAGCGAGCACTAGCACTAGCATGTACTCGTGTAAAAGTAAAATGGATAAGTCTTACAAACAATATTTGATGGGGATTTTGATAGGGCGCGAGGAAACGATCTGGTTTGTGACTGACCACTCGGGTATCTAACACTGGCTACTATAACGAGATATCATTAAGGCCGTTTAAACCTAACATCTTATCGCATCTTCCATAGCTGGGAGTTCTCCTTTCCTTCCCCATCAAATTTCCATGTCGTGCCAACATTTAATGCCCGAGAATTGTTCTCAGGAACGCTATACTCTAGCTCACCACTCACTTGCTCCCCTGCTTTCCTGCTCGCAGGCTTGTTTGCCGTGTTGTCAATAAGTAAAACACCTTGCTTCCAATGAGTTACTTTGCCCCCTGGTCCTGTGGTAAATGCTGTGCCCTTCTTCCCGGATGAAGCCCATTCTTCTGCCTTGGCATCCTCTGGCAACGTATCTCCTCTCGAAGGCATGAAGAAAGTGTCAAACCAGATGATGAAGCCGTCTAGCGCGTCAATATCTTGTTTAAGTTTTGCTTGCCACTTTATTTTGAAGACAAGATCCTTCACAGACGTAGAATGTAGCTCAAGCTGCATGAATGGAAAGGGCTCAGCGCATAATGTGCTAGCTGGCATATCAAGGACTTGAGCATCCTCGTGGATTCCAGCTTGCATGGCCTTCATATCAAATCCGTAGACGTCTCTCCAGAAAGAAATGTGATCTGCGATATAGTCCGGGTCGGCAATCGGTGCCATCCACATATTCATGTGGCTAGGGACCATCAGGCCGTCTGGCCTGAGATATCTATCCCTGGCCCAAATGACGCTATCCAGCATAGCCTCGTACAACAAGCAGTAACCCATCCATTCGCTCACGATGATGTCGACTTTATCGACTGGTAGAGTAACTTCTTCAATTTTGCCTCTGAGACAAGTGATAGTGTCTGCAAAGCCGTTGTTGAATATGTTCTCACGGGCCTTATCGATGATGGCCGAGTTGTCTACAGCAATGACACGTGTGGCGCCGGCTTTGGCACAGAACATGCTGAGGATGCCTGTGCCACACCCGACATCAAGGACGGTTTTGCCGGCAAATAGGGATTTATTATTGTAGATAAAGTCACGGTAGGCATCCGTACGGACAGAGTCCTTCAACATCGTTTCATGGATGTCTGGGAAAAGTCAGCAAAATCCACGGCACTTCGGAGACGAGAACTGACCATTATAGGAGTAGGAACTGAAATAATGGCTATCATCATCCCTCTTTTCTTCCTTTTCCGGACTTCCTGATTGGCCACTGGCGCCTTGATCATCCCACTTCTTGTCTAGTGTCTCCTTGACGGTGGCTCGGTAGCCATCAAATTGGAATTTAATCTTCCGTAATTCTTCTTCTAGCTCTGACACGCGGGAAATAAGTTCTCTTGGATCCTTTTCCACGCCTTTGCCCTTATCATGAGCATCGTGGGGAGCCTCAACTATGTCCGGAAGATCATCGAGGCTGAATAGCAACGCATCATCTTCTAGGACAGGCTTTAGAAAAGCCTCGTCATCGAAATCTTTCCTTGAAATATCCGATGGAATGGGAAGCCCGTTATGTACCTGGGACCGAATGTAGTTGACGAGCTTGATATTGCCATAGAAGTCTAAGCCTAACTTTTGGCGAACCTCGAGAAAATCAAAACTGTACTTGTCTTTGCAGTGGTTCAGCATAGACATAATATCTGTGAAAACTTCGTCATCCAACAAGGAGATGAATTGCGACTCTTCCTCATCTGGCTCGGCATCTTCCCAGCCTTCATCGTCTCTCAAATCAAGGATATCCGAGGCCTCCGAACTAACAGACGACGGGGGAGCATTTTCCTTCTTCTCGGTGGGGGGAGCGGATTCTGACATGATGAGAATTTCCTTGGTCTCCAAATCTAAAAGATTTGATTTGCAAAGCAGTCTGTCTGAATCATATATTTCCGGCGCACAGGGTATTCTGTGAGGCGCGTTGGATCGTAGGAAAGGGAAATTTCCTTGTGTGTATTTTTGTGGCCGTTGATGAAGCGACGAAAGTAGCCTGTTATCGTTATCGGGACTATATCACATGGCGATAGTAGAGCATGGGCTTTCACGTGACCCCATTTCCAACCTTTTGGTTTTTCTCTTGGGTTTTTATACGCAAGTGACGCAGGTGGATATGTAAGGAACCTAAGTATGATTTTCTACTTATATGGTAGATATCGCAGCCAAGAAACTTTTGTTCTGCTTGGGAACCTTGGGCAGCGCTTCGACGGACCCGGGGTTGGGCGTCAGGCAGCCAGCACAGCGGAGCTTCATAGCAACCACAACAATAAACCTCCTCCGTATAGTGCTCCGTGCAGCACAGAAGGAGCCAAGCAGCTTCAACGTTAAGGAACTGAGACTTGCACCGCGATCAGACATTCTCCGTACAACACTATGCTCCTATACTGTCTAGATTCCTCTCCCCCCGCATGTCCCATATAGCTGTCTGTCGCCGAGAATTGTCGAAAGCCCCTTCGGTACCCTGCCCCTCAACTGTAAACAATCCACCGAGCAGCTGAGAATCGCCCCGCAAAACACAGAAATGTCGTTCTTATTTGGGCGCCGCCCTCGGACGAACACCGTGGATCTGCCAAAGCAAGCAAGAGAACAAATATCTAAACTCGATGGGCCTGGCGGAGCTGCAAAGGTGCGTGGTGCTTGGTGCTTGTTTTCTGGGGCGGCGGAATAGGCGCTGACCTCGAACAGGCGGAGGAGCTTGCCAAAACCCTAGGCCAGATGAAGTTTGTCCTGCAAGGCACTCAAGGTATGGGCCTCCACCTCCTGTTCTGATAGAGCCGTTAATTCTGACCATGCGCTCTCGTCAGAAACCGAAAGCAGCCCCGAACAAGTCTACTCGCTGGTGACAGGAATGATTCAGGAGGATCTGTTGTACCTCCTTGCGGTCAATTTATATCGCTTGCCCTTCGAATCAAGGAAAGATACACAGGTCATATTCTCTTACGTACTACGATTCCGACCGCCGACGGCATCCCCCAAAAGCGAGCCTATAGCTCTGAGCTATGTGATCAATAATCGGCCGGAGGTGTTTGTGGAACTATGCAATGGATATGACCACAAAGAGAGTGCTACACCCGCTGGGACTGTCCTTCGTGAAGTGCTCAAGAGTGACGCTGCAGCCGCAATTATCTTGTATGACGATCCAGCTAGGGAAGGCCCAGGCGCAAAGGGCTTGACTGGCATACAACCCGAGGCGAAGCAGAGTGGGCAAGGGGTATTTTGGAAGTTTTTCAATTGGATTGATAAGGGCTCTTTCGAAGTTGGGGCAGACGCCTTCACAACCTTTAGAGTAAGCTGGTCCTGACATAGAGCAATCTACAGTTCTAACACCAAAGATAGGAACTGTTAACCAAGCACAAGCAAATTGTAGCACAATATCTATCGACAAACTTCGACCTTTTCTTCGACAAATACAACAATATTCTCGTCAAGTCAGAGAGTTATGTAACAAAACGACAGTCGATTAAATTGCTTGGGGAGATTCTTCTTGACCGTGCAAATTACTCGGTGATGACCGCCTACGTTGATCGAGGCGAACATCTAAAGATATGCATGAACCTCCTCCGGGATGAGAGGAAGATGGTTCAGTACGAAGGATTCCACGTTTTCAAGGTTTTCGTTGCGAACCCGCACAAATCGATTGCGGTGCAGAAGATATTGCTCATCAATCGCGAAAGGCTTCTGAATTTCCTGAAACATTTCTTGGAAGACCGGACGGAAGACGAGCAGTTCATTGACGAGAGGGAGTTCTTGATTAAACAAATCAAGAATATGCCGCCAACGCCTGTTGAACCAACCCAGAAGCCAGCTCTTCTGGGATCTCAGTCGCGTTAGGTGAGGACTCTGAGGCTATTTCTGGTAGGACTATTAGGGGAATCATGACCACTGTATTATTGGCTAGGAGTACAGGAGTTTGGGGGCATTGGGATTTGAGACGGGCAGCTGTTAGGTTATTGTAAACAGGCTGGGCGTTTCAGTTCTTATATATCATTAAAGTCTAGAGTGATTGAGATTGAGTTAGGACCGGTGTTAAGTCGATAATTGGTGACATCCCTGAAATGCCAATGATCGTCGCATTTGATTTGCAGTAAAGGGGAGCCGATCCGCTAGGCTACTTCGGCACTAGCGTCATAACCAGTCGCTATTTCGCGTGGTCGTGAATCCAACGCGACGGGGTTTTTACTTGGACAAGAACGACGCATTTCCAGTTAAGCTGTGCGACCAGGAGATACGTATTCAAGCTTTACCTGCCAGGCCCAAGCAGTGCCCGCGATCAAGATGCAACCTCAATCTCAGTATCGCGGATTCCCCCAGAGGTCTCCTCATGTAGCACCGCAATCAAACCCGCGGCGAGGAATAGGTACGTCTAAGTGCCCTCAGCCGTCCCAATCCACTCCCAATCTCAGTCGCAGCTAGAGCGCATACGATGCTAGATAGGCGCTATGACGGAGAATTCCGCTAACAATTATATTCATATTACCTAGGCCCTATGGTCGGCGCACATCCTCAAAATTCCTTGACACCGTCCCAAATGCAGGCTCAGCAACAGGCCCAGCTCCAGGCGAATGATCGTGCGAAGACCCGTAGTCGCAAGCCGACTGATAAGAATGTCCCCGAAGGAGCCGAGGAGTGTATCATTGGTGATGGGGTTCAGAGGTACCGGGAGTTGAGGGAGCTGGAGAGGAGGTTGGATGCTACCATGATGAGAAAGAGGCTGGATCTGCAGGATTCTGTTACTCGGAATGTTAAGGTATGTTTGGTTGGTATTTCCTCTAGTTAGATACCTATATATTGACATGAGGATAGCGCTGGAGGACACTTCGCATCTGGATTAGCAATACCGCAGAGGACCAACCTTGGCAAGCCGATACCCTTGATGTGGATGCCTTCGACTTCAGCACAAACATGGACTCATCATATCGAGTAAAGATTGAAGGGGCATTATTGGAGGACGAAGAGGACGATTTGGACAGCGATGATAGCGATGATGAAGATGAGGCTGAGGATGGCGACGCCATGGATGAAGATGGAAAAGAAAAGACGAAGAAGAAGACCAAAACGCCATCGAAACCATATAAACTCTCGCACTTTTTCAAAGCCATGACGGTTGACTTCGATCGGAATAAGGGCAAAGATGGCTCAGATCAAAGCGTGGAGTGGAAGAAACCGGTCCTTACACCCAACGCCCCAAGTCTCCCAAATGCTGCAGATTTCGATCAGTTGGAATTTAAGCGCGGTGGCGATGAGAATATGAATATCACGATCAATCTTGTGCGGGATGAAAATCCAGAGAGATTTCAATTAAGCCCACTACTGGCCGATATCTTGGACATGTCGATAGCCACCCGAGCGGAAGCGGTAATGGGTCTGTGGGAGTACATCAAGGCAATGGGATTACAAGAAGACGACGAGAAGAGATCTTTCGAGTGCGATGATCGATTACGAGTTGTGAGTAACCCCTGTTCATTACAATAGCCTCGTTACTGACATGTATAGCTTCTCGGGCGAGAAAAAGGCTATATCCCATACCTCCCGGAGCAGATTCTGTCACATATGACGACTCTACAACCGATCAAGCTCCCGTACACTATCCGAGTTGACAAAGAGTTCCACGAGAACCCCCAACCCACCATCTACGACGTCCAAGTCTTAGTAGATGACCCTCTCCGTGCAGCTCTCACCGCATACCTGACCAATGATTCCTACGCCCAAAATCTCCGGGATATCTCCCAGCTGAATGACCATGTTGCGCTCCTCATGCAAAAGGTATCAAACTCCAAATCGAAACATCAATTCTTCGATGCTCTGTCGAAGAACCCAACGGAGTTTATAGCCAAGTGGTTGAGCTCACAGAAGCGGGATTTGGAAGTCATTTCTGGGGAAGCGACAAGAGGTGGCGGCGAGGATGCTAGTGGTGATGAGTGGAGGAGAGGGGGTAACTCGGGTATATGGGGTAGTGATAATGTTAGGGAGAGCGTGAATTTGCTGGTTGGGCAGAAGACTAGGGCTTTATGATTAAACTCTTTATATGTGGAGTTTGAGGAGTTTAATCAAATGCTTGGCTCCGTGGGCATGTAACAATTTATGATATCAGATTAAGGCGCCGGAGAGGAGTAATGAAAGAACAATGGCATTTTAAGCCTTTACCAGTTTTTGGGAGACTTTTTGGGGCATGATAGCTTTTACTGTGCCTTACTCACAATTCGTGACCCTTAATGTTGTTGTTCTAGACGACCGCGTAAGAAAACCCGACGGCAAGACGTATAAGCAAATATAAGCCTGTATCCTCTCAATAAGCTCCGATGGCTCACTGGTAAGAAAGCTCCGAAATGAGCCAAAACTAGTTATTCAGACGACCAACTGAACCAAAAAACAGGCAATGATGGTAGCGATCCATCTGGGGTTGCGGTAGAAGCATGTAACATTCCAATGATTAAAATCAGTTCGCCTGGTTTCTCCTAGCCCTACGGGGCTTGGTCTTTTGCTATTTGGGGCAATTTCTTTTTGTTTTGTGTTTCGTGCTTCTTCTTTTTGCCCACGATTTGCGCTTTTGTGGGAGCGGTGTCCCTTAAGCTACAGTACCTATGTATCCTAGGCAGTCGACAACGCTATCCATTCTTCAGCCTCCACCATCCAATCCTCCCTCCACCTTGTCAACGGCGGCCTCCCCTTCAGCAAGTCGCCTATGCCCCACAAGATCCTCTTTCGGTCCAACGCCTCACTGACATCGTTATCTGGACACATCACATAGAACGCTCCCATATCCATATTCTCTTCCAAGAACTCCACAACCTGTTCAGGGGTCCAGGCCCCTTCCGGCTTTTCCTTCTTCTCGCCATTAAAAGGGTCACTGCCAGTTAGTCCCGTAAAAGTCCATCCGGGAATTAGCAAATGCACACTTGTTGTGGGAGATTCCTTGCGTAAGTCGAAGGAAAGGTGTTCGGCCAGGAATTTTACAGCGGCTTTGGACGCGTTGTATGCTGGGTTTCCCGGGGGATTGGTGATTCCTTGTTTGGAGCCGGTGATTATTATAGAGGAGGGGTGGGTGGCCGTGGAGTGTGTTGTGATGAGGGGGAGAAGGGTGGCGAGGCCGTTGGTTATACCGAGGGTGTTGACAGCAAAAGTTTGTTGGAAGTAGGACGGGTCGGTCCAAGAGTGGTTACGGGGGCAGGTGCCGGCGTTGAGGGCTAGGATGGAGATGGTTCCTGATATTCAGTTTGTTAGAATGCTTCTATCGTGTTTTGGAAATGGGAATATATTAAATTGGAAATGTAGTGTACAAGATAGGAAATAGGAAGAGTAGGATCAGGATATCATACCCCCGAATTTCGCCTCTACAACACCCTTAACCCTCACAAAATCTTCAACTTTACTAACATCCATCTCCACACCCTCAATCTTCCCAGTGCCCTTGATACTCGCTGTCGCAGCTTTTAAATTCGAGATGTTCTTGTCGCATATGATGACATTCATGCCGTAGGCGCCGCATTTTGATGCCAATGCTAGGCCAATGCCTGATGCTCCGCCAGTGATTACTGCCGTGTTGCCGGCTTTGAATACGGGATTTGAAGTAGCCATTTTTTATGTTGGTGTGACCTTGGTGGTAGCACGACGGATGAGGTGGAGCGGCAAGAGGAGTTACCTTTTGAGATGTAATACTTAGTGGTTGGAATAGGATGGTTGCAGTTGAACTTTAGCAACATAAATTTTGTGATGATTTTTGGGATGAGTGAAAAAAAGGAACCATACGTAGTATGATCGAATGAGGTATTCAACTGGGCCGAGTTATTGAACTCGACGCATCGATGTGACGTAGGAAGAATAGGAGATAGGCATGGTTATCTTATCGCCGAAGTGATATTCTGGGGGAAATGGAAATAAGCTCACCACTTCTGATCCGCTGCAGAGTCAAATCCTGTAATGTGAACAAACTCCTGTATCATTCATATTCCACCCTTATCTCTCTAATATACACAATGACAGCTCTTCATCAAGGCGATCTTTTCCTCTACAAGTAATGCAGACGGAAAACAACCAGTAATTATAAATGTGTAGTTAACGGCCATCCGCATGAAAACTCCTTCAATAAATCTAGGCCAACGCTTCGGCAATGCAGCGGAGATCAAGATGAAATGACCGAAAGTAGGGTCACATGAGTTTAATTCCAGGGACCTTGAAGCCATTCCTAGCAAGAGAAACGAAACAAGAAAGGTCTTGATAAGTCGTAAACGGCCCGTAAAAGGGATGCAAGAAGTGAAACCAATCCTACGCCTCGCTATGAAATGTATCAACAAAAGAAACGAGACATAGGCTTTGAAACCTCTAATATTAGAATCCATAGCTTTTTGACTTTTGCTACTCCATCAATATCAGCTGCAAGTACTATTACCACCAAGCATTAAAATGGAGTAGACAGACCAGTCTTAGACTGTCGCTTGCTAAACCGATGCTTCTTGTTCGTCGGCTTCTCAATCTGCTCGTCAACTCCAAGGCTGGCCTGACTTTTGGTTAAATGATGTCTTCCTGCCCGGTCTGTGACGCTGAATCCTTCAGGATAGTTCATATTTCCATGCAAGGTGCTGTTAGGACTTGTTGTAGAAGAAGACATATCGAAGCCGGTATCACTAGAATATGACCCAACCATGCTGTGGGAAAGAGCCATATCTTTGGCACGCTCGAGGGATTCAATCCACTCCTGGGCCGAACTCTTGGACGGGTCACCTGTAATGACAGATGACTTCGTATCCTCAAATGTGTATTGCGTACTCCGCTGCTAAAACTCAGTACTTGGGTCATTCAGGGGGATGGGAAGTTGCTTACTGTGTCCACAACCCACACCTCTTGGCCCTTAGCATCTACTTGTGTCCGCCAGGAACATTCTGACGCTAGGAGTGATATCTCGGCCTTTGTCCGTTTCTCATCACCGCCTGGAGGAAGCATGAGGATTCTGGCGCTGGAGGTAATCATTACTAGCCTTGGCCTTTTCTTGGAGGTATTTCCACCACCAAAGAACCTAGAGAACTTTTTCTTCTCATGACCTTCGCCATGGTCACCGTGTTTCGAAGATGGGCTGTGAGGCATTGGGGTGGATAGCACATTAAGATTCCCTAGCTTGAGTATCCGCTCGTTGTCCCGCGTGAGAACTGGAGACCATTCAATATCAAGTTGGGTAGGAGGCGGAAGCTCGGTGATCACCCGGGGTTGTGGTCGAGGGTTACCATTTGAACTGGTAGGAGGCTGTTGTCCACGGGTCGTAGCGATCGGTTGAGGTGCGCTCGAATATCCATTGAGCTTGATTAGGGTAGGTTCCTGTGGAGGAGGGATATAAGGCTTCAATCTCGGTGCCTTCTGCCTCCAAAGTCCTCGACCCCAGATGATCCCATCGAAGAATTCGTGGTTCTTTATATGTTCGAGAGTCAATCTCCTCTGCGGGTCTAGGACCAGAAGTCGTTCAACCAAGTCCCTTGCTGCTGGTGGAAATCCCGGTGGGAAATCGTATTCCAGACCAACGATCTTCTGAAAGGTTTGATACTCGTTTACTGCCTTGAAAGGAGGCCGCCCAGCCAAAAGCTGGTATATAATGCAACCAAACGCCCACAGATCACTGGCCTTACATGCATTCTTGTCCGTAAGCAATTCGGGACTGACGTACTCGGCAGTGCCGACAAAGGATCGTGCTCGCGTCGACTCCTCTTCACCACCGGCAGGATCATACGATGATGGATCCCTTGCTGTTCTTGGATCTGGGAGTAGCTTTGCCGTTCCAAAATCGGTGATCTTGATATGCATCTGGTCGTCTAGTAATACGTTCTCCGGCTTAAGATCCCGATGTATTACCCCTCTGTTGTGCATATGCTCTATGGCATCAAGTATCTGTGCGCCATAAAACCTGGTGCACTCTTCATCGAATGACCCGATTTTCTTTAGGACTCCCAAGAGCTCCCCCCCACTAGCAATGTCCAGCACGTAATAGAGTGACGAGGCGTCTTGGAAGGTGTAGTATAGTCGAACGATCCCCGGATGCTCAATCAGCCGATTGAGCGTGTCCTTCTCGATATTGACATATTTGATCTTCTTCTCCTTGATGATGTGCTTTTTATCTAGGATCTTCACGGCATATTCTTTCAAGGTTTGCCTGTCTGTGGCTAGGAGAACCGTACTATACGATCCTTCGCCCAGAGTGCGGCCGAAGACAAAATCTCTCACACCCTTCTTTGCCTGCTTTGCTACCACTGCTCCGCTAGCATCGTACTCCTCATGTGCCCCAAGTGTAGCACCATTGTCTTTTCTGGCTTCATTATTGACGGGGACCAGAATTCCCTCTGAATCGTACGTCGCGGAGCCGCCACTTGAACGGCCAGAGCCCATAGCGTCGGTATGACCAGATGCCGTTCCCCTAGAGCTTCTTCTCGGTGGCAAGGGCCCGTTACCTGACGGAAGTTGATGGTTCTGGCCATATGACCGGTCTCTGTGACTTGGTTCCCTGGACGGAACGCCAGCCTGCATCGCCTGCATCGCTGTACCACCTCTCGAATCGCTCCTAGTTGGCATTCCTAATATGGATGATCTCGAAGATTCGTTTCGCAAGCGGTAGGAGCCGTGTTCACGGGAGGGAATCGCGTTAGGGGGAGGTTGGGCGGAGTAGACGCCAGAAATAGGACGAGAAGATCCGGGAGGAGGATATGGTCCTCTGCCGTTCTGCATCGCATTCGATTGATAAGGAGGAAATTGCGCTTGTTGTTGGGCTTGGTGATTCAAAGGCATGGATTGCCGATAGGCCTTGACAGCTGCGGCTCGTGCACCAGCGTCGGCTTGTGCCTTCAAAGACCCACTGCTATTTGAGTCTGATCGTTGTTGATTCTTGTGATCAGAGTTCTGGGGTGGCGTTCGTGATGATGGAGGGAGGTCCGCGGCTGGCTCTCCACGACGGAGAATATTGAATATCGAATGTCTCCGAGATTGAGACTGGGGCTCCGTGGAAGCGCGAGACTCTCTAGAGATGTGAACGGGGGAGGATGGGGGTTGTGGTTGTTCTTGTGGCTGTAGTTGAAGTTGCGTGTCTCCAGCGCGCGTGTAAGGGACAGTAGAATATCCTGCCCTGGCATCAGTCGAGAAATCGTGCGCAGATGCCGTGGACGTGGAAGTGGAGGTATCGTCCGGATTGGCAATGCGCAAGCCACCCAGGGACTGAGAAAGGCTCAAGTCGTGGTTCATTGTTGCGCGGCCTTGTGGCTGTGGGCAAAGGTGAGGGCGTTGCCTTGGAGTGCGTCAACCGATAATCCCGTATCTACTCGGGAGTAGATAGGGACGGTCCAAGACAGCGCAGTCAAATTCATCGGACGCTGACGGCCATTTATCAGAAATTTGAGGCGCGTAGAGGCTTTCTTAGAGTCGTTTTTGCTTTTACCACGCAGCTGTCGGGGTGCCACACTCGGAAAATAGGATGGGCGGGGCCAGCATCAAGTCGTTGCAACTGGGCGAGGACAAGTGGGATATAAGTGAAAGTGAGAGGCGGTTGACTGGAGGAGTCGACCGGCAGCCAGCACCTTAATGCAGTACGAAGAACTTCGCCGTTAGTACGCAGCACGCAGTGGAAATGTCAAAAGGTAAGAGACAATGAGGTTGGAGTATTGAATTAAGATTGCGAGATGATGCTCGAGTTCCGATGGAGCCATGTCACGTGCACCGTTTGGTATGCATGGATGTTCCTCTTCGTTGTTCAGTTCGCAGTTGCGTCAGGACTACGAAGAGCTGTATATCCGAATGCAACTAAGCTTACTATTTGTGGAGCACAGCACTCGTGTAGCATACGGAGTATGCGAATGGTAATAGCCTTAACCTTACAACAGTGACGGGGATGTATTATATAGTTGTGGATTATACACATCCGTGCCAAGGGCAGTACGCCACTCTAACCTCGCCTCATCGACCTCGAGAGAACACGGCCTCAGTTTGTGAACCTAAGGCGGGATCAGCGTGATTGAGGTTGTCCGGCCATATTTCCCATTCACACAGAGCATGGGGCCCCTATAATACCCCCCTAGCATACCTAGGTAGAGGAGCCAACGATGATGAAAAGGAGACCATTTTCTACCTCAACAACCGATAACCTTGGAACCAGAGTTGTTGCCGGGTGCGGTATGGGCCCCAAATTATAAGCCATTTCATGAAGCTATAATTGGTCACGAACCACAAACTCTAAATTGTGCAAGTGCCCAGGCGACTGGTTGAACTTCGGATTTATGAAGCATCCGGATTAGTTGTTATTTGCCAATAGATACCCCAAGATGGACTCTCAATTACAGCTCTCTGGACATTCCCGAGCGGGAATGGCTCACTCATTGTCCCCCTTTGCCCTCCTTGCTAGCTCATGGCACCTGAAGACACCCTGATATCCCCAGATTATTTATAAGTGGAAATAAGTGGTCTATGGACGCTCTTGCCATTGCAAGTGCCCTTCCTCATTGTGATGCAAAGCCCTTTCTTTTCTGAGCATAATTCGTGCCAATTTCCTCCCGGTCATCTTCTATCTTCATCTGGAACCAGACGATTTCACGTCTATCCCCAGCCTTGGATCGGAGCTTGAAACCATGATTCGACTACCAACTACTACAATCATCCTAGGCGATAGTGATCTTAAGGACTTCGAGAGGCGTGAGCCTCAGCGAAGGGTGAACACAGAGTTTGACAGGTTCCTTATTTGTGCCCAAGAAGCCGCATGTTCCGACCATGGCAAACAAAAGCGATTACAAGGAGCCGAACTGGCCAAGGAACCCAAAGAGGAGGGTATATTCGAGAACCACAGGTTGACCCTGCCCATGAGACCTGCTCCGAATTTAAATGCACCATGCATTAGGCCTGGTGCCGACAAAAGTGCACGCCCCGAGTCATCACATTCATCCAACACTTTCGACGACGAGGAAGGTGAAAATGGCGATGAACTGGTTCAAACAGATATCTCGCCTCAGAATCCGAACCCCCGGATACCGCAATCATCATCTACGGCGAAGGTCGATGATTTTTATTATGGAGAGTTTGTCGAAAGCCCAGCTCGAGGCACTCCCACGCCCCGAACTTCTCAATTCCTGGAAGCATCAAGAATAGGATCTCGCCGTCTGCCTCCTCGATCGCCTCTATTTCTCTCTCAAATGGCATTGACCGGTATTCCGACATCGGGGCTTACCCCTCGTGTGGAATCAAGAGTCGCTATGCATAACGCACCTGGAATTATATTCGCCCAACCGCCCCGACGGCCACTCAGACCTGAAATTATATTTGGACAACCAGGTCGACGCCCGCCGAGATACACTCCCCGTTCATTCCGCCACCAAACCAATAGCTTCTCCCTTGATTCCTTAGAGCGATCAAGCACTGCATATGAACAAGATCCCGTATCGTCTAATTCTACTAATAATAGAACTCCAAGGCAAGTGGTTGGAGTAAGCTTAGATGAAGAAATTACTGGACGCGACGGGTCTTTATCTATCGAGAGGGAGCAACGGGAAGGGCGACGGACATCAACATCTTTTCATAATTATGGGGAGTTCAAACTGGACCACCATGCCTTTCGTTTTTCGTCTCCACAATCCCGTTTCGAAGATGGCGATGAGATGGCGGGCTTGGAGATAATATCTAGGTCCCCCTCGCCACAACTTCCACCTCCACTCCCAACTTTAATGGCCGGACCCAGTGTTACTAGCTCGGAGTCTCTGTCACGGCTAGAGCTGCATATTACTTGGAATCCGCTGGCGAGCCCGATTAAGAGTCCTGCATCCTTGTCTCTCACAACCATCGATGGGCTAGGGCACACGTCAAGTCCTCCAGTATGACAACCCCACTGTTAAAGAATATATTTTCTAACGACCTATAGTCCGGCCGCAATAGTAGCTCGAATAGATTCCTTTCGCATTTAATATCTGCATATAGATCCCGCTCTCCTTTGAGCCACCATGGCTCATTGGATCATCCCCCATCGTCCTCGAACTCGTCGCCAACGCCCCTGAGGATCCGAGCCTCACCAGGTGATGTTAATACTGAAACGCCTCGCAACTATCGTGTGTATAACGATGCATCCTCGCCGAGGACCCAGCCTCAGACTCCAGCTCACCTACCCGAGGCTCGACATCAATCTCGCTTTCACCCTTCATTCACTACACCAGCACGCGGGGGGTCTAGCATAGGCACAATCAATTATGATGGTGCAGGCCCAGAGCAGCGTGAGCGGCCGGTCCGGCCGCTATCCGGGACTCCGTCGCGAAGGGGTGTAGGGAGGTCCGACTCCCCAATGGGAATGTTATCTCGCGGTTTCCATGGTCTCTATGGGGGCAGGGAAAATGACGATGATGAGCGTAGTTGGGCGGAAGGAATAAGTCACGATAATGCGGAAATAAGACTTTGGGGTTTGCGGGATGCCCGAAATGACGGAAGAAGTTTGAATGAAACACCAGAGAGAGAGGATTGGAGGGCGGGATTGAGATAATAAACTCGGTGGAAATAGTTTCAATCGAGTTTTGGTGATAACGGGTCTAGATCATTCGCCTACGTTATCGTTAAATAGACAGATGTTAGGTGCAGATGGCATGAATAGCTGGGCAAGTGTGGAGTGAGGTATGGTCTTATTAATGTTATTACTATTACTGAAGCTAGCAAATGTATACCTATCAGGCTGGTCGATAGCAATTTGGGATTGTTACGTCACATGTCGAAATAACAGGAAATAACGGAAAGGAAATAAAGTATATTGACAGGGCCCGTTCTTATTATTATTACTATCATTGTGTATCGCACATAATATACTAGTTGCCCAATTCTATCCACGGATGCCTCAGGAGATGGCGTTCAGGGGCAATGATGCGGGTCCGGGGCCTAACCTGGGCCCGCCACCTGCACCCGTCATACATACAAGCCACCCTGGACTTCGTAGCACATACCGACGTCATCTTTTCATTTTGTCAATCCAGCTTCTGGAGTCTCGGACATGCGAACAACAATGTCGTGTTTTGGGGCGTGTGTCACAAATACGACATAAATATTGACACGGAGGTACAGTACTGGTTACTTGTATTCGGTGTTCGATTCTTCTACTTTTATCGGTTCTTCCACTATTCCTTCTCGAGCTTTCGATTGTTAAACATTAGGCAAAGTGCCATGCTTCATCGTGTACTCTCCGTCCGACTATTTATCTCGCTATGAAGATGACGGCCAATTCTATAGCAACAAATACTGTCCTCCCAGCGTCCAATTCAAAATCAAACTCCACTGATGGGGATGCCACGAAGCTAGCCATGGCCCAGATGAAGGCTACAACACCTGACCCGTCAGATGGACCGCGGCCAGCCATGTCGCAAACATGGCAGACAGAGAGGCCACCAGCTGCGACAAGATCGTCCATTGCGCCATCGGAAATGGCCCGCCATCCCACTAATGTTTCCGCGTTTAACGAAGCCATCCAAGCCGACCTTCGAGATACTGATGACGCTTCGAGAACCTCTTCTTCCTCATCCGACGATGATGACGATGGCGATGACTCTTCAAAACAGAAGAGGTTCCAGAGAGCAAGAGGGAGGACGAGAGGGCAGGGTCAAGGAAAAAAGGGACACGGAGGATCCTTCTCTCGCTTTCATGTAGGCAATAAGGACTATCAAACCAAAGGAAGGGTTTCTAAGAAGGATGGGAGGTTGAATATCAGCATCAATGAAAACAATAACCGCGGATATCTGGCGAAGGCTCTTGGTGGTGCCTTTCTCAAACAGGATGGGCCAAGGAAACGTGAATCGGGGGCCGCTGCCGCACATAAGCCGGATGATGGGGAATTCTCAAAGGCACTTTCCGTGCCAGCAGCGGCCTCTGATTTGCCGATACCGAAGCTAAATATTGTTGTGATGGTTATTGGTAGTCGTGGTGATATCCAGCCATTCTTGAAGTTGGGCAAGCGTCTCCAAGAGTGTGGCCACCGAGTTAGGATTGCCACCCATCCGGCGTTCAAAGATTTTGTGCAAAGGGACTCCGGTCTCGAATTCTTCTCAGTTGGCGGCGATCCTGCAGAACTTATGGCATTTATGGTCAAGAATCCGGGCATGATCCCTACTATGGAGACTTTAAAGAAGGGGGAAGTGGGACGACGCCGAAGCCAAATGGCCGAGATGTTTGAGGGGTTCTGGCGCGCGTGTATCAATGCGACTGATGACGAACACGACGAAGTCAATCGGAAAATGATGAGTCTAAAGTCTCCTTTCATAGCAGATGCGATTATTGCAAACCCGCCGTCCTTTGCTCATGTCCACTGCGCGGAAAGGCTAGGTATCCCGCTACATCTTATGTTCACATTCCCATATACACCTACTCAAAATTTCCCTCATCCGCTCGCGAATATCAAGAAGACGAATCTTGAGCAAGAATATGTAAATTTGATGTCTTATCCTCTGGTGGAAATGATGACTTGGCAAGGGTGGGTTTCCTTTGTAACGAATCTGTTAGCTTTAGCTAACAACATCATAGTCTTGGGGACCTGATAAATAATTTCCGAGTCAAGACACTAGGGCTCGAGCCTGTATCTACGTTATGGGCTCCGGGACAGCTTTACCGCCTCAAAGTACCGTACACCTATCTTTGGTCTCCTGCCCTAATCCCCAAACCATTCGACTGGGGGCCAGAAATCGATATCGCAGGCTTTGTATTCTTGGATCTTGCTTCATCGTTCACACCCCCTGAAGACCTGGTGAAGTTTTTGGATGCCGGCGAACCTCCAGTCTATATCGGGTTTGGATCGATAGTGGTTGATGATCCCGACAAGTTCACCCAGATGATATTCGAAGCCATTGAAAAAGCTGGAGTCAGAGCACTGGTCTCGAAAGGATGGGGTGAACTCGGAGGTGATATTAATATTCCGGATCACATCTACATGCTTGGAAATACCCCCCACGATTGGCTTTTTCCAAAAGTTCGGGCAGTAGTACATCATGGCGGCGCTGGAACTACTGCGATCGGTCTGAAATGCGGCAAACCTACAATGATCGTGCCTTTCTTTGGAGATCAGCAATTCTGGGGCACCATGATAGGGGGTGCAGGTGCTGGATCAGACCCAGTCCCCCATAAAGGTCTAACAGCGGATAAACTCGCGGAAGGCATCGAGGAGTGCTTGACCGATGAGGCCAACGAAGCTGCACAAAAACTGGCAGCGAGTATTGAAGCTGAGGGAGACGGTGCAAAGAATGCAGTAGAGTCTTTCCATCGGCATCTAGTCCTGCGAGGTGAACGCTCAATGCGCTGCTCGATTTTGGAAGATCGAGTAGCTGTGTGGAGGGTGAAGTCCTCGAATTTAAGGCTGAGTGCGCTGGCTGCTGATCTACTTGTTGGAATGAACAAGCTCCACTGGAAGCAACTCCGCCTTATTCGTCATCACGAATGGAATGACTTCGATGGACCTGGAGAGCCTTTGACTGGAGGCGCAACCGCCATCCTTGGTACCGTCACAGGCGCCGCTGCTGGTGTTGGAAGTGTTCCATTCAGGGTAGCTAAAACTGCAAGGAAACGAACTATACGCGAAGAGAAGAAGAAGAGTAAAGCTCAAGAATCTCCAGAAACGCGGAGCGGAAACGGTAGTGCCACAAAGAGAAATTCCAAAGAGCAGAATGGAAAATTGGTTAATGAGAGTCAACCCAATGGCTCTGCCAATGCTGGTAAGGGGAAAGTGGAGAAGGAACCAGCGTCAAATTTAGAGATAGGGAAGGATGCAGCAGAGAAAACGGGATCCCATGCGGCCCCTAACACCGAGAAAGATAGCCTAGATCATGTTAAATCTTCGATTTGGCCGGGCGGTATGGGGGGACATACAGTAAGAGGCGAGCCGGTACGCCAAAAACACGAGGCAAACCGCGAGGAGGCAGAAGGCAAGGACAACAAATCTCTGACATCAAATGACCTCGAAGACAACACCGCTGAACAATTCGCGCAAGATGTCGGCGAAGGTCTTGGGCAAACTGCGGAGTCAATAGCACGATTGCCCATGGATCTAGCCCTAGCTGTAGCGCAAGGATTTCATAATGCCCCGCGACTATACGGAGATGTTACTGTGAGAAGGTAGATAATTATTTTCAAATTGTACACTCACAAACGCAAATCCTAACAAAATTACAGGCCCACCAGAATCACTGGCTTGAAGTCCGGGCTGAAGGCTTCTGGAAAGGAGTTCGTTTTCGGTATATACGACGGCGTGACTGGACTTGTCGTACATCCATACACCGGGGCTCGTGATAGGGGGCCCCTTGGCTTCGTCAGAGGTGTAGGTATGGGGCTGACAGGCTTCGTCTTAAAAGACCTGGCGGCTATTACCGGACCTATCGCCTATACATTAAAAGGCGCCCACAAAGAGCTTCTCAAGAGCAAACAACCGACAAAATTCATCCGCAGAGCCAAAATCATGCATGGATATCTCGACCACCAAGGATTAAACGAGACCAAGTTGCAGGAAGTCAAAGCGGTCGTCACCCATGGCTGGTCTATTGTACAGCAAGTATCGGATGCAATGGATGGTCAGCTCCGCCAGGGCCTCCGCGGGAAGATAAGGTTCATGAATCAGCGGAGGATGTTGAAGGAAAAGGGCGGGTTTGAAAATATTGAGAAGGCCGAGAAAGCTTTGGACGCTTGGAAAAAGGGTGGGCGCTTTAATGGTTTCGCTGGGGAGGGGGAAAAGCAACCAAAAAAGACGATGATAAATGCTAAGAAGGATATTCCCCAGGACGAGGACACGAAGCTTACTGGGAAGGCAGGGGCACAAGCGAATGGATCCAACAAGCCTCAAAATCTACAGAGGGCGAGTACACACGGTTAAGAAAGTCGATGAGGTTAGATGTAGGATCATATGGTACAAGGAAAAGTATAGAACTGGGGAAAAGGGTAATATTTTATTGCAGCGACGGTGTTTGGCGAATTTCTAGCAGCGATTTCTTCTATGATACCCTTAGAAGCGGGGTACACAGCTAATAGAACGGATTTGTCATTAATACCACACCTGTGTTTGTCTGATAAATTTACATAGTCTAACCATAGGTTTTAGCTACACTTCAGTCCTAGGCTCTGATCCAGGCTGCTCATCATTACTTCTTCGCACCTTCATCCATTAATTCCAATAGACATATTGCATTACATCGATCCCGCAAGCATCTGGCCCCGAATACTGCCAAACAACTTTTAATGCCTGAAAAGCCCTATACATTACTTCGTTTTCTTCAACTCATTGCTGAAAGACTTTCCCGCCCGCTGAATGGCCTCTCGCAAGCTGACTCGCGGTTTGTATCCTAATCTTCTCTTTGCCTTGTCAATCCGATATGTCCTGGTCATGCAACTATATCTGATGCCGATTCTGTTCATTCTAGATTTCTTCCGCCCGAACGAGGTAATCCAAACCACCCACTCGGCAATCGTTGCCATTGCGAGCCCGACAATCTTTGGTATGACACGCACGTCTTCTTTTCTCGTCGGGTGTCCCGCGGCATCACCAATCGCACGTGCGAACTCCCAGAAAGGCATATGCTCATCGTTACTTATGAGGAAACCCTCGCCAGCAACACGCATGTCGGCGGATGGAGGCTCAATATGACTCTTCAGCAAGGCTTGGGCTGCTAGGATATGTGCATCCACGAGGTTTTCATTGTATGTCCAGTCGAATAAGTTGTTGCCATTGCCGATTTGGAATTTGAGCTTTCCAGCCGCGGCAGTGTCCACGAATCCCTTGGCAGTGGCATCATTCTCTCCGAATATTCCTGAGGGGCGAATTGAGGTGGTCAGCATCCCGCCTTCAGTGGTGCTATTGGAATCAAGCACAAGTTGGTCGGCCACCGCCTTGGAGTGCGAGTATATTTCTTGCTGCACCGGCAGATATACTAGAGGTAGGGAGTCATCTCCTTCGATTAAATCGCTGACGGAATCATGAACAACGGAGGCACTTGATGTATACACAAATGCTTTCGTGCCAAGCTCCTGTATGGAATGTTCGTTAGCATTGTTTCATTGGAAAATATCCATGGATTGCAGCATATGCAATTTGTCTTAAGATACGACACAGCTGGGAAGTATGTTACTGTATGTAGCCCGACTGAATTGTAATGAGAGGATATTATACATTAGCACATTCACATAGGTTACGTGTTCCCTCTACATTAACCTTCATATATAGAGGAAGGTCCAGAAGGCCAGGTGGAGGGGACGCTGTGTGGAAAATGACCTGTGGCCGGACTTTGCTCAACGCAGAATAGACTTGGTACCTGTCCGAGATATCCACGTCGTAGTATTCTACGGAGGGTAGACGATTCTGAGTGGTATTCAGATCGAAGACGGAGACTTGAGGGGGCGGCTCAAGCTTGAGTAGCCGCTCGACGACGCGGTGGCCAAGTGAACCACAACCTCCAATAACGAGGGCAGATACGATGCGTTGCGTGGTATCCATGATGCAGTGATAACTGAGACAAGCAGAAAGGAGCGAAGAAGAGCAACAAAAGATGCGCCCGACGAGCTGAAAGATGGACGATTATGGCGATAATGTCAGGGCTTCGAGGTCAACGTTGTGGCTGTCCGGGGAGCTCTCCGTCCCACGTAATACTCGTTTGGCCGTGGTGCCCCTTGCACGGTATCGTAGTGACCTACGCGTCAGCACATTTCCCACAGTCTGGCTATCGGATGCTGCGCCAGAACCACGCCCTGTCGTTAGGATTCGAGTAGGAAGTTGGAAGTGGCAATGCAATGTTGTGGCAGTTGTGCTGTATTATCTATTATCTGCTGGCCGAGCTCGCCTAAATCTGCGCAATTCAATTGGAGGCTCCTGAGTTGCCAGCTTTTAATGCCCTACCGGAGAATATCCAAAAACGTGGGGTGAGTGTGGATTGTGGGGGAAATCGAGCCTCATCGATACACAGATATAGAGTGCAGCATCGACAGCCTGTCTCTGAGTGGGAGTGTAAGCTTCTCTTATACTCCGTAACCCTAAGCTCCCGCATGATTCGGCAACTGGCTCACTGGTGTCAGAAATACATATATGGATTAGTGGTAATACCTGTATGGGTATTAATACCACCAGTATGGGCCGCATTGCCGAGTAGGGCTTTTGGACGAAGTGCCCACGTCCTATATAACCGGCCACTGGGCCCATACTCTTGTAGTTAGATTAATCGTCTGATCCGTACTTTGAGTTACCCTTACCCTGACTATTATGCACTTGTAGCTACCACTTTGGCTTATTCGTTGACTCATAATCCTAACACTGGCGACCTCCAGCTGTGCCCTCCTTTTATAAGTATAAACTTGATAGCTCCAGCATCCACCTCATTCCCACCCTTTTTACCAACGATTTTAGATCTGCAAGTCAACCTGCGTTTCCTCGTTCCATTTATTTGACTCTCTGGTATTTGTTCACCGAATCACTTTGCTTCAGACACAGACAACAACCGGACAAGATAAAATGTCAACCGGGGCTCGTGCTTCAAGCGTGTCAGATACCTTTGAGCAGCCTGGCGCCGTTACAGGGCATTCGGAAGTCGCCATAGTAAAAGAATCTTGTCTGCATTCTCAAAGTCTGGGCAGTTCATTTCTAATATCCGTAGGCAACTTCTTGGAAAGACTCCCACCGGAACTGAGGCTTGAAATCTACAAGCTTGTACTTCCAGTCGAAACATGCTTCTCTCAAGAATGGCATCTCATAACGGTAGAAATAGCTCTACTATCAACCTGCAGACTAATCAAAAACGAAGCCTACCCTCTATTTCTATTCTCCAATAACTTCAAAATTGGCATCATAATACCTTACCCTAAAACGCTTTATCCTCAGACCCACGCATTCTTCAAACATGTACGCGAAGTCACATTCGATTGGTACCCAAAATTATTGTGGAACACTGGCAATCACTCTACAGGTCGAGTTTCTGGTAGCCAAAACGTAAATACAGTACGAGAGCTCTACAAATACCCCAAACTCCAAATTCTACATATTATAGGCCACTGGCACATCCTTGATGATAATTACATGCGTTTGGTACATCATTATAGAGAAGAAGGAGCTTTACATGTTTATCTTGAATATAGTGGTCTTGAAGCTTTGTTGGGAATTCCAGGTATAAGCGAAATTACGTTTCGGCATTTTACGGATGGGAGGAGAACAAAACATTTGATTGCCATGGGGGAGTATATGACAAAGTGTCTTGCGGATCTCAAGACAGGTTTGTTCTAAGCAAACTCCGGTGTCAACTTTTCTTGAGTATAAACGAACTAACCTTACTGTAGCTCCGTATGATCCTACACCTCCGAAGAGACAGGTTTTATCTTGCATAAAGGAGGCTTTTAGGGACAAATATGGAAGAGAGAGTAGTAGTGAGGATGAGACATAATGAGGAGGTCAAGGAGGAGAAATGGAATTCTTTGAGAGATAGGTACGTTGAGTGCTAGCTTCGGGAAACAAGAAGGGTTATAGGTTATTGTATTGGTATATGCATGGCAACAGTAATTGCATTTGCGAATGCCCTTGTAATACATAAGAGAGACATTCTTTGCTGATAATCTTCAATGGTGTGTAAAGTGTCCATCTAGAATCCTCTGTATGGGTTGAAACTATAAGGAGTCAAGAGAAGTGGGACGTGGAAATGTTCGCCTTCCTATACGAGGAAAATTAATTCGCCGATGGGGAAGAAGGTATTTTCCATGCCGTAGTGGATGCCGGTGCCAAATTTGAAATTTCCAGAGACTTAAACTACAAATGAATGCTAGTCCAGCGTCATCATTTGGTATAACAGGTAGAAGGGGAAAGCAACAGATTCAAGGCGGGGAAGAGGATACACACCCGATCGGATACCTAGGCACAATACTCCCATCACTAGATACCTTACTCCTAACAATTCCATGCAACGCAGCCGACACCCCTCCCTCGCTCTCAACAAAAGCTCCCTCAGTTCCCCCAGGTCCTTCTGTTTTCAGCCAATTCATAATTCGTCCATCTTGGTTCGTCTTGTTCTCGAACATGATATCGGGGATGGAGGAGCTCACAGAGGTTTTCATTGCAATGACAATCTCAGCCGTATCTTCCTTTCGCTCGCTTGGTGGCATAGCCAGCGGTAACGGAAAAAGTAGCGTACCATCGCTGACACCTATTTGGACAGATATTTCAGGCTTCTGAAGTAGCTACTTGGCCAATTTATGGTCTTCTGCAGCAGATACTCGAAGACTCATTTACAAAAGAGACGAGCGGAAACAAAGATATAAAGGGCATGGCAAAACCTGTCCCAAAGCTTGTGCTATAAGTCTACAATTATTAATAGGTGGGCTGATAGGATGAGTGATAGGGGGCAATATCTCACCCTCACTTGTGGCTCAAAGGTTGCCTGTAGCTTGAATCCCTATGTTATTTTTTTTGGAGAGGATCGCTCTGTGTAGCGTTCCGTCGAATAAAGTTTATCCCTCTGACCTTTTCCGGCAAGGGATCTTTTGAATGTGGAAGTAGATGCAAAATGTTAACCCTCTTTAAGACTAGTTGGAAACATTCTAATGGGCTGGAGTGGAGCTGAGAAGTGACTCCAAGGATGTATCGAGATATGTCGACTTTATCGGAGCAGTGGTAATATTGCCGAAGAAAAACCCATAAGTAGATTAGATACCCAAGCAATATGAATTGAACAATAGTTTTTAGTAGCTCGACTTAATATAATAGGTGATTGGTTCACCTCGAAAGGATTCTGATTTTATAGTACTAGATATAAAGTAATCTATTCTAAAAGCCCTACTATTTAGAACTCTCTACTCTAAAAGTAATCTCTTTAGAACGGTCTATCTTAAAACTACTCTTTACATAATATATATATAGTCTGCTAGTGGGCAGGTTTTATATCTTAATAATTATTAAGATAGCGGTAGTGTATATATAGCACTCTACGATCCGTGGTAAGCCTGCTAAGGCGAACATATCTCTACAAGAATCAGAGTAAATTTGTCACGACTACTGAGAATATCCTGCTGTATAGATTATGCATCAATGAGAGACATGTGCACCAGCTAGTTTGCGGGATAATATGCGTACTGTTATTGCTACGCAAGGACCCCAGGCAGCAAAGTAGTGTCAGTATAGCTTGGGGATAAGCTTTAGCTTCAGAAGTATGTAACTTAGCTGGGAAGAAACAGTGACTGATTAATTGAATTTAGGAGAGGAAAATATTATAATACGACATTAGGTATAAGAGAATTCGACACAAATAATGTATATAATTGAGTTAAATCGGCCACGTTTTATATAATGGTAGTTGAGTGAAACATGTAGTCGTGTTCAATATGGATATATTGTATATACTTCTGTGATAGTTGTACTCTAGGAGACTGTTAGTATAATTTAGGAGGACTCATTATCAAGACTTGCCATGGTTATATTATAGTGAGTACTGGTTTCAGTTGCAGAGAAGCGAAGAGATGGTAATGCCGACGTGATAATGCACGAGCAACCGGGATCTAACCGGCCGTAGAAATACCAAGGCTCCAGGTATTGTGGTACAGTAAAGTCCCGCTTTTTAATTGCTGGTGCTACTCCGAGTTTTGGCGACGCGGTTATGACTGGCGAAACTGGTGCTGCTCCGTGGGGATGTGGCGCCATGCCCATTGCTGTTGTCGTTGTCGAAGGGGCTCTGAAGCTGTGTTAGTTTATCATGCCAAGGACTGCGCACTGCATTGGCACTAACGTTGATGTTGGCGTAAACATAATTAGACTTATTACTGTGGACGTCGATGTTGTCGTCCCGCTTGTAATATCGATTATAGATATGTCGGTAACCAACGGCCGCAAAAATTCGGAGCAAAATGAAGTTACATCAAAACTAATACCCGAGGGCCTGTCTTTGTAGTCAGGCTTTGTTGATACTCTACAAATGCGTTTGGTAGGAGGAATCTTACGGATTTCTCATGCTGCTAGCCACAGCGGAGTATTCATATGTACTACAAGCTATGTTGTATTAGTTCTAACCATTCATATCGTTGCTGGAGGGCACCAAGAGGATCGACATACCAGGATCAGTCTTCCAAGGACCGGGGGTACACCATGAACACCCCGAGCCTATTTCCGTCCTTTTCACAACCTCATCCTTGGCGTAAGGAACGGCACTGGCTGGGTTTGATAGGCACCCGAGTGTTATGAGAGCGAGGAATGACCTCATGCTGGCAAGACCAAATAGGAAACCGGCCGCGAGTGTGAAAGCTATTCCCAAGTTATTAAATGGAGGGCTGAAACGAAGTGAGGTGGAGACACTGGAGAGAAATCGTTTCGGTCGCGAACGGGGAAGTATTACTAGAAGTATCCAAAACTGGATAAACGGGAAAACTAAGCTTTTAACCTCCTCCGAACTTATAGTAGGACATCTCTAGAAGTTCCATAGCAAGTAATTCAATTTAAAAGGCATTTGCATGATTGTTCTGTTGAAGTGTTACTGGCCAACTAGGTTGGATACAGTAGCGAGGATCTTCGCAAGGAAGTAGTAATGAGTGGAAGGTTAATTGTGAGGTTAATATATTTATCCTAATAGCCCAGTGCATACTCGTGACAACCTATTAATCTCAACGGAAAACGTCAAAATATGTACCTGATTCGTCGTAAACTAGAACGTACAATTCATGGCGAAATAGCTCGCTATAGAAGACACTGCTAAAAGGAGGCATTATAAATAGTTTAGCAGCCCTTCACTTCCTTCACTTCCTTCTCCAAAGTCTGCTTTCCCTTATACTCATGCGATAGTCGCAATATATGTCTTTCGCCGTCATTCTTTATTTATCTCTAGCTCCTTTTTAAATTGCCGGTGGAGGCGCCGACTCCAGCCAAAGCAACAGGTCGACTTGGTGGGTTCAGTGGTATCCCACTGAGGGCCCCACCATGGATTTCAACCAGCTTGATCATCTGTTTTACTAGTATTTAGTATTACTGTCAGATGATAAGCCAGGCGATCCGGCAGTCCAGAGTCACTGGAATCGCCGCATTCTATTCATTTCAAGCATGTGATCTATTTTCATATTTGCCTATATACACTCATTAGATTAGAAAGAACAGTCAACTCAAGAATCTCAACCCCATGACCACCAAACTTAACTATAATATTTCAACACTTATTCCAGAAGTCTCAACTTGTAACTTTTGCGGCAGCCATCAGCGGATATTTATATGTCTTCTACAACTCATAATTTCAGACGGCGAATAGTTTCAACAGTGGTATAATGATGAGACAAACTGCTTATGGTGTTTTTAGCTTCGCGGCTCAAACCTTGGGTTATCGACATTAGGATCAAGCTGGTGTGCACTTTTATTTATCAGTACATCACCTATTAAAAGAGTTTTATCCACAGATACACTGCCACACGCATATGTTATCGTGTTATCAACATACTTATAACTGGCTGCATAGCATCCCGTGTTTTGCAAGAACAAACATCTCATACCCCTTTTCTATCGGCCTCAATGCTAGGAATTACTTTTCACAAGGGCAATTAGCTGGTAGCTATATAACCAATTACTTCCCCAAGGGAGATTTTGTTCGTGATACCAAATCTATTGATCGTTGACTCGCCGGTAGGCTTTGTAGAATCCGAGATGAATTCGTTAATGAATATGCTGCAATAGATGTAGCAACCAACACTACTATTGATGATACGGATGATGAGGGTTGACGCAGTGATTGTGGCAAACTGGCAATCAGATCATCAGGCCAGATAACTGTTGTAAGAATTGATGTGGGCCGAGGACTCCGCCTATTACACGGCGAGGGCAACCAGCCAGTCTCCAGAGATTGAGAAGTTGAAGCCGATTGCGCAACCCAACGCTCCGATACCTACCTAGGTGCCTTAGGTAGTAGTGCCTAGTAATGAGACTTTAGTTACGAAGTATATTATCGGAATGCTGAAACTTCCCAGACTTCCCAGACTTCGATCTCACGTGACTGAGTGCTGACGTTGTCGGCCGGCTGAGCTTCGGCTCTGCATTCCTCGTTTGTGAGACATTTATAAGTTAAATTAAAGTAAATCTTCACAATGGATTGATAGCTCAGTGGTAGAGGTAAGCGAATTCGTAACATTTGTGTCAAGTAAACACATTTCTAACATATTCTCCAGCGGAAGATTGCAGTATTCAAATATCTTCAGGTCGCGTGTTCGAACCACGCTCGGTCCTCGTAATTCTTTTATTTTTTTTAATCTTTTTCTTATTGGAAATGGTCAACCAACGTTAAGGATCGCCCGCTTAAAAACAGCTTGGCCAGCTAATAATAGGCTGGGGAGGTTTTTTTTTAAAGCACTTTCCGCTTCAAAAAGCGGCGGCAACCAATTCCTACACCAATGAGATTATGTCCGTAAGCACTATATCCCTCTCGATGATTATATATACTCTGAATGAGATATTTGAACAACATACATATATATCATTTAAATTTTGTTGTTCCTGGCTCAAAGACGGCAGATAAGTCGCAGTTTAAACTATAGACGCCAGGAACCACAATATTAGGTTCTACTGGCAGCACAAAAAGGCTATGCATTTGACTAAGGATCCCAAAGGGGATACTCTCACGCCAGTTGGGTCCAGAATAAAATGGCCAATCCATTAATATAAGGAACAGGAGTTCCAAAAAGCACGCACACCTATTTTGAAGCTCTCTGAAGCCCTCACATCACCAGCAAGGCCCGTACAGTTCCAACGGTAACGGTGGCGAAAGCCAGAAGGTATGCAGCAATCGCGAAGGCATCTTGGATGCTGTGTTTCAGTATCGCCCAGGAGATTCCTATAGTCAAACTCCCAAGACCAAAAACTACGAATAAAGTAATCCAGAGCTTCTTAATATCCAAGCCATCCTCATATTGCAACCCCCAGCCGGGCTTGATCCCACCCCTGCATCTCAGCCTTTCCTTCAGTTTCTTTGGAAATCTCGAAAGGCACAGCGATTCCTCCTCAGCACAATCCGGATGCTGAAACACATGCATCAAATACTTACTTCCAACCGGAGGTATTATTTCAGGAGGTGCGGGCTTGTAACGATAGTCTATGTCCTCGGGGGGTGGAACATCGTCTTGCTTTCTAACATCCACTAATTCGCTTTTGTACATCTCGAAATGCACAAATCTAATGCTCTCAAGTGTGCGCAGGGATATCCAAGATCGCCAACTTGGCCTCAAATCATGGTAACTCTTACGCAGGATTTGGAAGAGAGCTTTGTCCGAATCTGCTTCAAGTATCGTGAGATCTAGTTGTAGTAATTGGGTCGCGTATCTCCCTTGATCATAGCATACCGGAAGGTAAGCCGACTCCATGGATGGTGTTGCTGGTGTTTCGGGTTGGGACCGCTCGTGATCTGTGGGGTTACTAGGTGATCGCAATTCGTGGATTGGGAGATCAGATTCCAGATCTTTGTCTTTACTGAAGGTCAGTAGACCTCTTAAGCTCTGTAATCCACTTGAAAATGCTCGACTGAAATTACTGAGGCTTGATGAATTGCTTGACACGGGTAGATTTGTTGTTGACCGGCTAAGAGTTTGTCTCAATCGATCTGCTGCCCCAGGTTGGAGCTCTGTGAAGTCATCTGTTATCGTATGGCCACACTTCTGCGATCTTGTCAGAGTTAGAACTTTTACAATGCCTATGTATAAACTTACACATTTCCATTCGATCCTGGCTTTTCCTTTAGGAACTGCTTGTTGGTTCCCATTCAATAATTCCCTCATTTTAGTCCTGATGGCAGTTTGGAGTGCAAACCCCCACATATTTCTGCCTGTTTGTATTGCTTTCGGGTGTACTACCGGTTCGTCAAGAATCGCCAGTGATTCTTTTGACTTATCGATGCTATGATCAACTCTGGTAGTAGGAATTTCTCGAACGATTTGAGTTTTAAGAACTTCAACCCTTGAAGTAGAAAGCGGCCTTCGGATATTAGCCTGCTGCTGGCTCCTGGATGGAAGCTCCACTATTTCAAGGCCCTTTATAAGTGATTTGCCATTAAGAACTCTTGTAGTACTATCCGCACTGTAACATCTATATCTCTTAGTAACTTGTTGAGGCAATACAGGGACATTCTCTCGTGCTAGAAACAAATCGTGGCGAACCAAGTCCTGTGGATTTGTATATCCATAACCGTCCGACCCGTAATCTTTTGCAACTGTGTTTGTGTCGAAAGAGCTCACAATGGATCTGGAGATAGGTAATTTTCCCGTGGTGTCCATATACCCAGGCCCAGTGTCTCTCGTGGCTTTCGATGATGGTCGTTCTCGTTGACGTCCACGGTCGTCCGTATCTGATCCCCAGTCGGCCGGTTCTAGAGGATTCAAGCATTGACTCTCATTTGCAGAGTGAATAGTTTTGGGGCACTCTCGACCTTTTTCCTGGCCATGCACGCCTCCAAAGTGAGATATATGCTCGGCAGAATAAACGAAAGCATATAAATTTTCTCGCAAAATTTCAAGAGCCTTAGATGCTTTGATGAATCTTTCGAGCTGTTGAAGATAATCAACCTCATCATCAGATCGATCGGAGTCACTTTCTTCAGAGAGATTTTCGATGTCGGGATCGATATCATCTACTTTCTGTGCTTTTTTCTTGCTCAACGTACTGCAGATCATATACGCAGAGTTCCTCGCCCGAAGACGCACGAAATGTGCTGCATGGCGTTCTTGCTTGGATTCTGCTTCTCTCCGCAACCCAACCGCGAAATCTTTTAACAATCTCCGGAGGTTCCTCTCAAACCGTTCATGGGCAACAGTGGATAAAGCATCAATGCAGAGTGATTTGATCACGTCGTCATCAAGAAGTAGAGCGACCAGCTTCTCAACTGCACTTTGTAGCCCAGCAATTGATGACATTGATGAGCCACTGACCATTGAGAATATGCTCTCAGTGACCGAGGCAAGAGAAGATGTGCGGGATCTATCGCTGGATTCACTTTTCATGTCATCCTCCATTTAGTTTCTTTGCTTACTTGTAGGTGCTCTTTGGTGAATAGGGCTGAGATTACTTTGTTGTTTTGTATCTTCTATCTCGGTTTCATATTTCGTCTTCGCTAGGATTGAAGCGCCCTTCAGGATATGTAAAATTTCAGGGCTTGGGAGAATGCTTGGAACTGGCATAAAATCCGAACCACCAAAGGAGTTGAGGCCGATTGGAGTCTGATCCCACTGGCTAGTCTTCGACGGCGGAGTCAAAGTGCTGCTATTATGATCCAGTTTATCCTGTATTCCTTTTTCGGCTTCAGAATCAGAACTAGAATCACGGAAGGACTCTTGTCCCTCTCGCTTATGACGCTCGTGTCGTTCCCCCCGTGCTCGGCGGCGTCCAGCGGCCTCATCATTCTCTAATTCTTTGCGCGCAGCTGTATAAAAACAGTTATATCATTGATACAAAACGGTTGGCGTCATGGCACATACCTCGAATGCGTTGCGTTACGTCCGCATAGCTCTGGACCTCATCACTACTCAATACCCTTAGCACAATAACAAAGTCCTCTCTCGCTTCATATCGTTCTTTGCCGAGTTCAAGGGCCTCGGGATTTACTAGTTTTCGGCTGATCTTTGTCCAGCGCGCGCCTGGAGGAACACGACCCTTCTTGTTGAGTTTAAGGGAAGCGACGCCTTCTCGAATTGGAGCTGGGTTTTCCGGAAACTTTTCACGCGGAGGACGTAGAATACCTTTAACGGGAATAGTTCGGGTATAGGTATTTATTCGTGGGATAGGATCTCTCCAGACATTGTACGTAGCCTTGACAACCCCATCATTGCTAGTAGAATCCGAAAAAGTATGAAGCAAGTTCAGAGTCCGATTTGTGGTGAACTTTGGGATTCCCTTGTCTGAGTCTGCAGACAGCGATCGTAATGATCGTTCCTGGGGACGTTTTCCTTTGCGATGAGAACCCGTGCTTGCTGTAGGAGCGATTGAGTCATCATTATGTGAGGAATAGCCAGCGCCGTCCCCATAATCCTGGGAATGTCCACTGGTCTCACTCCACATGGAAGAGCCCGCCTCAATAGCACCTTCAATCGAAACGGGTTGTAAATGTTCATCATTTGTACCACTTCCAACGCCGTGGCCCCACGTCCAGTTTTGTACACTAAATGAGTTGTCGGTGGCACTCTCCAACTGCCCAATGGTTTCCACGTCATCTGACATGGCGAAGAGACGCTCTATAGATAGAACAATAGAATCGCTAAGCTTCGCAACTTCTACTATCTATAGATATGATCTTGTAGAGCGGATGGTAACTAGAGCTTGTAGCACCATGAGGCTCCTTGGCGGGCGCCGGGCCCTTCGTGGACTGCGAACTGTGGACTGTGTGCATGCAAATCCTGGCGCCAGGATTGGTGGTGGCGACTCTGTGGGCTCATTCCATTAAATTCATGATTGTAAGATGAAGTTCTTGGGGAGTGATGTTTGAAGAAAAGATCAGGATCTTGATGATGAACGAGGCTGAGCAAGACACACCCCTCAGACTGCAGCTTGGATGAAGTCTGCTGTACGACTGAACTGCTTGCCGAACAAATGAAAACGCTGCACGAATGCCTTTCAAAGCTTTTGTACAAGGTGGCTTTACGTGAGGCTCAAAATATTGATTCCCTCAAGTCGAATTTGGTTCATTGGTACTGTATCCCAGAAATTCCCATATTAAGCAAAACTCGGTAAAATTCGGTAAGAACTTATTACAGCGTCCATTTTATTCAAGTAGTCTAGCTCATAATCCATAGCAAGGTCGTCCTGGACCCATATCTGCTGGAGAATATTCCGCAGCTCATGCAAGCTCCTCAAACTCGAGGTTGTCATTGCTCTTTCAATATGCTCTAGAATTCTCATTCTCTGCTTATCTGTCCTAGCCTCGCATCCGACAATCAGCAGTGGAAAGGTCGGATTGAAGGTCTCTAAGTCGTCGAGAAGTACATAGGCCCTCTCAACCATCGTGTCAATTTGCGGGGAGATTCCTGAAAAGTTTCGCGATGCTCTTTTGAGGTAAATTAGACCAGCTAGGTTGAAGAGTTCCATCATAGCCGACCAGGCTGTGTTCAAGCCGGACACAGTATCGGATATACCTTCTAGTGCCGACGGGACAATATTTGTTATCCTGCTTTCGAGGCAACGCAAGGAATTTTCGTATTCGTCACTGTGGTATAGTGGGTTTGTCGGTTTTCGAATTATCTCGAACATGATATACAGGTGTCGAAGAATTTCATGTGGGTGGTGCGAGACACCTTAACCTGTTTTATATCAGATAAATGACTGTGCAGACATCGATTTTCATATTCTTCAGCCTGACCTTTCGTAACAGGCAAGTTTCCTGTTCCACAGGTGTGAAATTTCGGATTCCTTTAACGGGCTCTACATTAATATACTAGTGTCTGAGGCTAAACCGGCTCATGACCAGATGATACTCTACCCAGGCTAGAAGTCTGGGAAATTCGCCGTAAAAGTTTTGGCTGTCAACTCTTGCGTTGTCAATTAAATATTTAGCTTCAACTGAATGGCCTAGAATGCAAAATCCAGTTTAGCAATGTCTTTGAAGAATCAGTCCACCCATTTCAAGCAAGTAGGCATAAATAGACTGCACGTCACTTACAGAACCACAGGGATACGTCATTTGACATTTCAAGCATCTTGAGCGCTGGTTAGTGTTTATTTAAAAGATGTAAACCCAAGCTCAAACATACCTCAAGGTGGCACAGTATCATCCTAGCAGCAACATGTTGAACTAGCGTGGGACTTTCAATAGAGTGATTGCAAGATGTGATCAGGGTGCGGAGAGCGCGCGCTTTGAACCGAAAAACATCTGCTTGCAGACCATTCCGGTGGAACAACGAGGGTGCCAACGCCGATTGCAACACAGCCACGGAGGACGGTGAACTATCTGAAAGAACCAATCGCACCAAGAGGCTCAAGAATTCGTTCTTGTCAGGTTCGACAATGGCCAGTGTGGAAGACGCCGTACATATGACTGAAAGTGTTAGCTTGATAAAATTCTACTAGTATCAAGCTTACAATGATCAAGAAGTTCTCTTTCCTCATAACCTAGGTTGATTGGGAGCCATGATAGCGCCATAGGCGGATCGAATCTTTGAAAGACGAATCCCTCATGACTACCAAGTCCTATCACTGAAGTACTAGTTGGGTGATATGCAAATTACGTGAGAAAGTAAACCTTGATTCATCCCGCAGGTAATCGTGGAGCTGGATATCCCACGATGTCGCATTCAAAAAGCTCGCCTGGGAGAAACGTTTTGCCGTCTTAGATACGTCCTGAACGGAATGCGTCAAGCTACGTTTTGTGCTAGTAGCCTTTGGCCAAGACAGCCGTAACCCATACCGACATGGTCTGTTAGACTTGGCGCACCTCGAACAACGTGGGCGTACGCGGTTGCACACTACTCTGGAGTCTGTAGCATTTGAGTAAATTGGCCCCTGGATGCCAGGTAGACAGGAGACAGTACCTCTACAAGCCCAGCACTCATTCGCATGCATTGTGGACCAATGTATATCCTCTCCGCTTTCTTGACTGGACTGTGTAAGTTGAGAATTGATAAGCAAAATAAACAGTTGATAGTTTTCTCTTTTACAGTAGCTTCCGGGAATGAGAGATGACAAATGCGCTGCTGCGGTGGAGAGGGATACCAGACCTACATAGGTACCTAGGTACCTATGTAGGTTTATAATTCTCGCTTATCTTTCCGCTTTGGGAAAACAGGCAAACTTTCCTGTCTTGGCAGTCGAGATCCTCGACGCGAATGTGAAGGGTTCGATCTTCACGGTCCAGAAGGCGCTGCCGCTGATGGGCCCGGGCGGTTCGATCATCCTGACCGGGTCGAGCGCCGGCACCACGGGCGCGCCGGCATTTAGCCTTTACGGCGCGAGCAAGGCGGCCGTCCGCAACCTCGCGCGGACCTGGGCGGAGGACCTGAAGGGCACCGGCATCCGGGTCAACGTGCTGTCGCCCGGGCCGACGGCGACCGAACTCGCGAAGGAAGCGCTGGGCGAGGAGGGCATGAAGGTCTTCGCCGCGCGCAATCCGCTCCAGCGCATGGCCGATCCGGCGGAAATTGGGGCAGTGGCGGCCTTTCTCGCGTCGCCGGACAGCAGCTTCATGACCGCCAACGAGGTCGCCGTCGACGGCGGCCTCGCGCAAATCTGACGCCCTACGCGCGGTAGCTTGGGACCACAGGCCATATGCTCTGCACATATACCTATGAATATCAAAACCGTTGAGGCTGCATAATATATATAATATCACGGTTCGGTCTCTTTATTTAATCAAAGGGCCACTTCCACTTCCTCTTATTTTGATGCTAGTAGTTCCAGTTACTTGCTTGCCTCCATGTCTATATGACACAAATAGTAAAACTTCCTTTATAGAGCATTGCTCTTCTCTTTCAAAATGATTGATACATATGTTATTAGTACTAGGAGTTAAATTCCTTCTCCACGCCATCTCCCCTGGCAAAATCTGATCTGCACAATATATTTCGGAAAATACTCAGAGCTGGTGTACGATAGTATAGGAAAGTACAACAAGTATCGGATATACCCTACCGCCTCAAGATGGAAATTGTTAGGAATAACACTCACGGTGATTTAAGGTAAAAAATTATTGATTATACTCGGTATGCGAAAGGATTAGCAGAAGTAAATCGCCCCCCTTTCTTTTAGCGAGGCGGCCCGTGTTTTCGATCTCTTGGCAGAAAACTGACTATCAACCCCCCTATCAACCCCTTGATCTAGAGACCCCGAGCTAACTAAGCAAAAACGTATAGCGTCTAATTACCACTAACCCCCCTCGCGTACTCTCTTTCCGCGCAGTTAAGGTGCGAATAAACAAAAACAACTCAACTGTAATGATATGGGCACTGCAAGTATATTTCCGAGCTACAGTCGAGAAATCAACCACACACAGCATGGAGAAAAGGGTCACTCTACGCGCCACAAATTCTAACACAGCAAAATTGAAAGCGGATAAACCTCCCTGGTTTGCTCCGAATTCGGGTTTTCCGCTAGCTCTAGGTGAGTCTTGTGGGAACCGGTGGTGGAATTTGTGAACCGTGCAGTGGAGGAGGAGGAACAATGCGAAGATTTGGAATGAGATTTTGCGGAGACTTGGGATTGTGGTTGAGGAGTGGAATTCGCCTAGGGGCGTGTGCGTCATCATTTATTGGATATTCGAGGGCAAAATCTACTAGGAGGAGAAAATCGAACTTGGATAGGAAGGGGGGAGGTTCCTGCTGCTATTTCAAACTTGCGCTCAGGAGGAATCAGCATTAGTGTTAGGAGATGGAGATCAACATCTCTAAAAATAACCAGGGAAACTCACAACAACGGTATATGCTGCGTGTAAGCTGCCACATGTAAGTCCCATTGGTAGCTTTCCCGTCGTAATAGGTGAAACGTCAATTGATACATATCCCCCCATAGACCCGATGACGGAATCCACGAATAAGAAAGCAAAATAAAACGAAAAGGGGGAAGATTGCAACACTGAAATACTTAAAGCAGTTAGCAGTCACCGCCCAGTAGATATCGGTGCCAATACCAATCTTCTCTGGCGGTGGCCCCTATCCCAAAGCATTAAGATATAGCATATCTAGGTGGGGAAAGAGCACGCATAATCTTCAACTGTGGATCAGATCGCTCTATCAAGGAGGAAAAATCAAGACTATTATGGCGTAGTGCATATTACTCTTGCTCACTTCATGCTGTTGAGCTTGGTCTCCTCCGAATGGAAGTATGCCTGGGAACTGAACTGGGTCAGGTCGGAGCTCATCGCGAATTGCAATCTGATCCCTACTCCTGGTTACCCGACTACCTGTACGCCATGCTCCCCGCGTTTTCGGCTGTATACCGTCGTCGTCGTGTGTGTTACATTTGCCTTCCATTTGTTTTCCATTCGTGTTCCATTTGCATTCTCGGGTTCCAGCCTTCCAAACTGCAACTATAGTTCGGTTTGTGACACCACGCCCGATTATAGCAATTGTCCGTAGCAACTGCTCACAATGTTCAATTCGGTGTGAGTGTTATTTTATCCCTTTCCCTTCGCACTCAATCTGTTCATTTGTTTATATTAGTGACCCCTTTCCTAAAATGATTAGTGTCCGATGTTGGCATTGGCTGTCAAATGGAACAAAGCGTTCTATGCCAATAGTCCAGCTTACAAGCAATCGGCGAACATTTACTTTGCTCGGAAAGAATGGGAATTGGCACCTTATTATTGCTACGTCAAGCCGATAAGCAGTAGAGACGTGTCAAATGCAGTAAAAGTATTGGCTCTCTTGAATCTTGAAGATATCTCTTGTTTATTTGTTGTTCAGGGTGGTAGCCACCACACGGTTATGGGCATCGCCAGTATCAACAATGGTATCCCCATCGACCTGGAAAACATGAACTAGACAACCCTCAACGTAAGCAAGTCAATAGCATCTGTTGGATGTTGGATCTGGCGCTTGCTGGTATACCGTCTACTCTACTCTAATTGCCGCGGGACGAGGGGCGATGGGTGGTCGGGTGTCTAACCTTGGGGCTGGAGGTTTTACTATAGGAGATCATGCATTTTATTCTTGGTAAGCAAATTATCAGTGGCTGATTGCAGAACCAGGCGGGATATGGTATTTGGGGGTGGGGGGGGGGCGACGGGTTTTGCTGAACATGGTATCGAGCTTTGAAACCGTCCTTGCAGAGCGACGACATTGCTAATGCAAACACTAGAGAAAACCCAGATCCCTTTAAAGCTCTTCATGGCGGCTTAAATAACTTCGGGATAGTGATTCAAATTCCCGTTAGAAATTACTGAGGTGCGAGTAATTTCTACCCGGGCGTTCATAGTCCAGCGCTGCCGGATGTCTTCACGACGTTTACTACCAACCCGAACCTTGACACCAAGTCAGCGCTTATGGTCACTACTATACTCTATATACTTCAGCCCAAGGATTAGTGACCGCTGGTAATTTCGCATACACTAAGGCCGTCAGCAACCCGCCTAGCTTTGCAAACTTCACATCCAACATCCCATACATCGCATTAGACATGCGCATCTCGAATCTTTCTGAATTGGGTTTGTCTTCAGGGTCCAGAACGCCCCCAGGTCCTCGGCGAGTATCCTCAAGCTGCGGGGCCGAACCAGATATACGAATACTAACCAAGATCCTCTGTGGCCAAACGTCGATAACCGCAACGGTAAAACAAGTTGGGTCTCTCTTGGAACAGATATACAGCCTGTAGAATGACATGGTGCCAGCTATAAGTTCACCGTAGAACATTGTCTACTCCACGACATGCTGACCCATCCCAGTGAATGATGAACGCAGGTCTTTGAAACGGGCGGAATCCCCTTAGATTGAATTCAGCTGGGGGGCCTCTGGTAGCCATCACATTAACAGCCCAATGCACCTCGCCAGAGCTGGATTCGATTGGGCAATATATATCGAGAGCGCTTTTCAAGTCAATCGAGGCGCTGGCGTCGAATCAGAATGGCTTGAATCCGTGGAAGTGCGATAATTACGCAGATTCCACGTAGGCGGTCATCCCATCATATGGTTCAGCGAATGTAAAACCTGAACGCTGTGGCTGCGAGAGTTGATCGGTGGGGTTTCTTCAGAATGCAAGCCCGGTGGGTTCAAACTTAAGTGAAGAGGACAACATAAAGTGCTGGGCAATGAATAAGTAAGGTTGTTGAAGAACTAAAAGGGGGATGGAATGAGGATGGAAATGAGATGATATCTATACCTCCAACTATCCTCATATTAGAGGCTAATATAATTACTCCAGTATGCACTACCGTTGTATAAAACATTAAGATTGTGGCAGCAAGCTGTGCGAGGAGGGCCAGTGGTCCTACAGGTGGAAAAACATCGCGAATTCTACTCTGTGCTTCGGGGTTAAGCTTTCAGAACTTACTCGAGTACAAGCCACGAACCCTGCAACTCTTGGATTCTGACGTCGAGCATCATTATTGCGCCATCCATCTTGGTCAGCACTACCACCAACCACTTCCACTCAACCACTCAACCCCTCACGACTTCGAATTGATAGGCATAGAAATATCGAATTGGTGTTTTGAATATCTTCATATTTATCTTCAATTGCTTACCCCGTTATGGAACTTTTGTTCTCATGTAGTAAATACTTTTGCCCTTGCGCCCAACATCATCACCGCAAACACCGAGTCCCCAGCGTCTCTTCATCCTCGAACTCGAACTCGAGGCTTCGGGCCTCCCATTCACATCATGGCGCCCGATAGGGGAAACGCCCCAGCTTCTCCCAGCAGACCCGACTACCAATCCATCACCCGTACCTCCCGTTCCTCCTCCTCCACCTCCTCCGCATCCATCAATGAAGCTCCACACTCCTCCCCAGAAGCCCGGCGTCGCAGCGATGCGCGCCGCTTCATCGCCAACCGTGCCGGTGAAGGGCAGAACTTTACCCTCCGAGGGATCCTCGTGGGACTCGGCGTCGGGCTCATAATATGCTTCTCCAACATGTACTTTGGGCTGCAGACGGGCTGGATATCTAGCATGAGCATGCCAGCCTCCCTGATCGGTTTCGCCTTCTTCAAGACCCTCGCAAAGCATATCGAATTACCTTTTACGCCGGTGGAGAACGTACTAGTACAAACGGTTGCTGGGAGTATGGGGACGATGCCATTGGGGTGCGGGTTCGTGGGCGTGATGCCTGCATTGAATTATATGCTGAAGAGAGAGGAGCAGGGGCCTATCTTCTTGGGGATGTGGAAGCTAATGCTTTGGGCATTGGGCTTGTGCTTTTTCGGCGTTGTGTTTGCCGTCCCGCTGCGGAGACAGGTTATCATCAGGGAGAAGCTGAAGTTTCCTTCCGGAACGGCGACTGCGCTGATGATTGGCGTGTTGCATGGGAAGGAAGCTACAGCTGAAGGCCCGACCGATTCTAGTGCTGTGAGGGATATCACAGCGCCGGATTTACCACCACCGCAGTATGAGGAGAACCCAGGAGACAGGGCTTTTGAGGAGCTGGACAAAGGCCATCACAGCACTTGGAGATCCAAAGTTCAGCTGCTGGTTATCTCGTTTGGTATATCAGGGCTATATACGCTTGGGACCTATTTCTTTCCCATACTTAGGAATCTACCTATTTTTGGATTCACACTTGCTGAGTCTTGGCTCTGGACTCTCAATCCTTCTTTGGCGTACGTGGGACAGGGAATAATAATGGGGCCAGCGACTACTATACATATGCTCATCGGAGCCATCGTTGGGTGGGGTATTCTATCCCCTCTTGCAAAGAGCAAGGGCTGGGCCCCAGGACCTGTTAAAGATTGGGATAAAGGGAGTAAAGGATGGATAGTATGGATCTCCTTAGCCATCATGCTGGCTGATTCGGTGGTCAGTCTTGGATATATCGGGCTCCAGCCTCTTGTGAGGTATGGTCCGAGATATATAAGGCAAGCTCGCCGGAAGATCACTAAGGGCGGCTGGCGGGGTCTCCTTCAAATAGGAGCTGTCAAATCCAAGCGGGGGTATGCTCCACTGACGGGGCGAGAAGAAGTACCTACACCTTTAGCAGAAACAGGTTCTCGCACTCCAGAAGCAGCCTCACTATCGGAGGAGGATATCAATAACCTCCCAGAGCCGGACGCACCCCCTGAGCACCTAGTCAACACGAGTACCGTATGGATCGGTCTCGTTCTCTCCATAGTCTTCTGCGTGTTCACAATCCGCGTCTGCTTCGGGGAGCTCGTGCCCATCTACGCAACCGTAGTCGCCGTCTTCATGGCCCTCATCCTATCCGTAATGGGCGTGCGGGCCCTAGGAGAAACCGATCTCAACCCGGTGTCTGGAATCAGCAAACTAGCCCAACTCTTCTTCGCGCTCATCATCCCTCAATCCAACAAGAACTCCGTGCTCATCAACCTCATTGCAGGCGCTGTATCGGAAGCAGGCGCCTTGCAAGCTGGCGACTTGATGCAGGATCTGAAAACCGGACATTTGCTAGGGGCGGCTCCCAATGCGCAGTTCTGGGGCCAGATGATAGGGAGTACTGTGGGTGCTGTTGCTAGCGCGCTTATTTATAGACTTTATACGAGTGTTTATGAGGTTCCTGGGAGTCTATTTGAGGTTCCTACGGGCTATGTATGGATCTTTACTGCGAGGTTGGTAACGGGGAAGGGGTTGCCGGATATGGCATGGCAGTGGTCCTTGGGCGCCGCCGTTATATTTACCGTTACGACGATTGTGAGGATTGTGGGTACGGGAAAGAGTTGGCATTCTTTTGTTCCAGGGGGGATTGCTGTTGCTGTTGGTAGGTGCCTCCTCACCCAGTTCTCTACGTTCCATATATGCACACATACTAACTGAGATAGGCATGTACAATGTCCCCTCGTTCACCCTCGCGCGAGCCATCGGGGGGTTAACCTATTGGTACTGGCGGTCCTATAGAAAGCGCGCAGAGGCACCCATTGTGATTTTAGCAAGCGGTTTGATTTTAGGAGAAGGTGTCTTTAGCATTTTGAATTTGCTGCTTGCTAGTGCTAATGTACCTCATATGTAGCTAGCATCTCATGAAAGTGGTATATATATTATTTGGGCATATACATTCGCATTACCTCGTGCCTAAATGCATTCAACAACCATTAATAATACAGCCTCAGCAATCCGCATTAAGGCATCAATATATCCCCACAACGCCATGCCATGCCCCATTCAAACCCCCGTATCACCCAGCGCGATCAAAACCCAAAGCTATCTAACAGAGAATTACTCTCCGGCTCCTCAAAAACACTCGGCGGTGGTTTATGGCCGCCAGTTTTCATGTCCACTGGCACTCCCATAGACACCGGCAGGTCAGCCACCACAAGGGAGCTGCGTCTGCGGAGCATCTGGCGTGGATCAACTTGCGAGAGTGTGGAGTTCAGGGAGGAGGTGGTTCCAGGGAGGAGGAATTCCCAGTTGCGGACTTTTGGGTAGAGTTAGTTTATTGGACGATAATAGTGAAGAGGATTGGTGACCGAGGGGAAGGTTGGAAAAGGGACAATGCCGGGAAAGGGGCAACGCTTACCTAAGTCTAAAGCGAGGAGATCGCAGCCCATCCGATCGTACAATTGTGCATTGTGCAAGACAAACGCCCATTCAACTCTGGGTGTAACTTTCGATGCACCGCGTAGGGTCTGAAGAGTCATCTGGCGGAGTTGCGCGTATAGGATGACAAGGATGGGATCATCGGTTAGAAAGAGTTTTGATTGTAGGTCCGTGGAATGAGGAGATTCAAGAAGAGTGTACACCGGGGACTATCACATATGTCAGCGAGAAATGATGTATGACGAGAGAGTAGGGCTTACGATCAATGCTCGAACAGCCATATCTTTTCTGTGGAGCATCCAGAATGCCCACGAGGCTAGCCAGCGGTTGCCCTCTTGGGCGGCTAATGGGAGTACCTTGTCTTGGAGTAGTTCTCTCAAAACGGGACCTCTCTCTCCTTCGTAGACTCTTGTGACTGCAATTGCTAATTGAAGGTCTTTCAACTGATTCAATATTATGCTCACAGCGTCTTTCAGACAGTCTGCCAACAAGAAGAAAGCTGCCGCATATTCTAATTCTAGGTCAGTATGAGCGTATCCCAAATGTTACGCGGCTTGAAATACCATGTCTACGCTTGCCCATCAAGGCATACGCATTTTTCAGCGCCGCCCGTTTCCATTTTGGATCCTGAAAGTTGTTTGAAAGAAGTTTCGTTGTGGCTGATTGTTCGCGGTTCCAGCCAGCCATACGCCATAGACCCTGTAGTACAGTTTTCTTCTTCAAAGCAAGGTAGTACAAACTGCAGTCAACAGGGTTCTTCAAGTCGCTTTTGGTATATTCATTGCGAGCGATGTTTTCAAATTGTGCTTTCTAGCGGTGATTTTATTAGAGCCATTATAAGAAAACCTGGAGAGGCCAAACTTACCAGGGCATTGGAATCTGTCATCCACATGAAAATGCCACTTTCACGGGCATGCTCCCATAACATTTTCCCTTGGACCTGGTTTGAGACCATGTCTACTAGGATATCTTGACTGTTGCTGTGATAAGCCCAATTAATTTCTCTCCAGGATACATGGACTTCATTTGCTCGGCCACGATGCAGTGCGTACTGGCGGAAGAAGAGCATGAATCTAGCAGCATTGTCGTCCATAGACCGCCGTTGCTTTTCAACGATAGAAACGCATTCGACGATATCGGCCAGATGAATCTGCTCTTTCCTCGAGACTTGGGGAAGAGCAATCTGAGTGAGCTTCTCGTTGATCGCGAGGGCTACCTCTTCAGTGACAGCTTCCACTTCTTCATCGCCATCGGAGAAGTCGCTAAAAGTAGACCTAGACATCTTGGTTGCTGCGGCAGACGACGACATTGCCTACTTCAGTTAGCGGCTATATCAGCGAAGACTGCAGGGAGTGCTTACATGACTTGGTACGTAGAATTCTTCTAAATCTATATCAAGATGGCTGTCGATAATGTCGCCTTCAACGAAATATTTGAGGGTCTTGTAGAGTGCAATTAGCACTTTTTGAACCACATGCCCTTTACCAGCAAGCATGCACTGGCTTAAAAATTGCGGGTGGTAGACCGGAAGAGGGCCATTGAGTCTAGAAACAACGTCGAACATGTCGAACGGCCCTTTCCGCCAATCCAGTCCAAGGTTAACTACTACTGGAGCAGAATGGTCAACATCTTTATCATAGACAAAGAGTTGATTCCCCGCCCCGATGATCAGATTACCACCGCCGAGCCATGCGGAATCACCAATCGGGTGGGGGGTGAGATCTCGAATATTGAACTCTCTGATAGCTGCCCAGGCGGGACCTTTGTTAAAATAATCGTAACGCATCTGGGCTAGGAGGAGAACTCTGTGTTGGAAGCCCACAGCAAGAATAGATTGGTCGTCTGGAGTTGACGTCCAGTCCAGATCGCGGATGCTCTCGTGGGATTCATAATCTTGAGAATATTCGAGTTGGGCTCCTCGAACATCCCAAATTGTTAACTCAGATCTCGTGGAATTTACGAGTGCAGCTTTACGTATGGAGCTGCCGCTAGCAAGTGCTATTTCGGATATTCCAGTGTCAACAGAGCAGGTTTCTAACCAATCGACCTTCTGATTTTCGAAGTCAATCCGGGCAGTCCATGACCGAAGCATCCCAGAGTGCGTATATGAGATGGCAATATCGCGAGCAAACGTATCCAAGAAGCCTGAAATAACAGGAGGCGATCCTGCAGGATCCACGGGGAGGACGTATGAAACATCATCAGATAGGCCGAGATCGAATTGGCAGAATTCACGGATAGACGGTTCAGGAAAGCCATTGACCTCGACCATGCTCCCCCGTCTTCTCAGCGGCAACTGCACCTCCCAGACAACGCCTTTCATTTTAGACGTGATTGTAGCGACGTGAGCGACAGGACCTTCCTTCTTGACTTCAGGAAGCATTAGGATGCATAGGGGCTTGCCATCAACGGAAAAGTCGCACGTTGCAAGGCGTTGTGCTTGAGGCGTTCGAGTGTCCCAGAGCACAACACGGTCGTAGTGCAAGTACATGACAAACCGGCCCTTTCGCATAACACATATCCTGTGAATATGCTCGCTCTCGGTAATAATACTTTGGCGGATGAGAGCGGTGCCTCCTTCGCTATCCATATGCTTCCATACGATCCCTTCATTCCCATCAGTTCGGGACACAACCGCTCGACCGCTAACATTTCTGATGATTTTCCTGATGCTAGACGCATGGCCAGTCCAAACAGTCTTTGGGACGAATCGATCTGACCTCGGCGATGGGTCAAACAGATTAGCCACATTGCTCTCGAAAAACTCTATCCTTCCGTCAAAATGATGGATCAAAAGGTTCAGACCACCGCTTTCCTTGTTGCAATAATTATAGAACCGGACGTAGCTCGAGTCCACAGTGAGGTCTTTTGGAAGGCCCAGTTCAAGTCCATGCACATGCGCAGCATTAAAAATATTAGTCGTTTTCCGTGCTTTGCAGCCCACGTTCTCTAGTCCCCACGCAGACATATTCCCCAGTCCATCCAAGACAATACAGATCTCCGGACTCCGGTTGGCGACCTCGATCAGATGTGAAAGGGCATGGTCATCCTTGTCACTCTCAGCAGCTTTGGCCTGAACGGCATGCTCAGTAGCAAGCATGAAGTCTCGGCCATCAATGATGAAGGCAAACCGGATATTCGAAGCTTCTGCCAGACCAAGTCCCCGGGGTTGAATCGACTCCTTCAAATCAATCTCCGCCCAAAGCTGCAACAACTGCAGGCCATGAGGATCCGTCGCCGCCCATATCCGTAGCACATTATCCGCGCAAATTGTATATAGCACATTGTCGATAGTCTGTTCCACATGGTACGGCCTCCGCCAATAGACGCTGGTAACAGTAGTTGGATGTGGCAGGTAGCTGAAATCGAAGCGCGTATCGTCCGAACCAAACGACAATCTCCTCCATATCTTCACAAGTCGATCATATTGCCCCGTCGAAGCAATGTATGCGGAATCGTAGGAGAAATTGGCGAATTTAACCGTATTAGCTAGCTCTTTACTCCATATCGTCGTCGGCGCGTCCAATGTCGAAAATAGCGTCAGCCATGCACCTCCCACAAGAAGTTCTTCTGCTATGCCCCATGATAATGTTGTTGCAGCGGCGTCCGTCGTTTCGATGGAGAAGCTATGTTGTAGGGCCCACTAGACACCTTGTCAGTATACAGCTGCGCAAATGGTAGAGGTTATGCCACCCTACCTTAAGAGCATCATCCTCATGCCCGTATGGCTTATACACTCGAATATTAGTCCCCGCACATGTCGCTATCTTTCCAGATGTTTCATCCAAGGCAATGGCATCAAGCTCGGACTCGTCACTGTCGTATATGGTTTGTAGGATTGAATCCGGCCCAGAGAGGACGACGAACGCATTTCCAGTGATGTATGCCTATGGTAAGCAAGTGTCAGCAATGGTGCCCTTTATATTATATTAGTACAGAGTTCAACTGACAATTAGACGTCTGCTGTCCCAGCAGCCCGTACAGACAGCTTGCAGCTTAGCCCGTGGCTTTCCGGGAAGCACTGCTCGCATACTATTGATCAAGGCGCATAGAGGTTCATATTATAGGGAAATCAGTAGCTGGGATAGGTTTCCGTAAAAATGGAAAGTCTTTTTCTTGTCCCTAAGCTATTGAGTCGTTCGTGTTGTCATTAAATGCCGATGTCACAGGCGGCCGCGTTCCCTGTCGCGAGATCGGACAAAGCTCGCGCCCCAATGATCTGCGCGGCCACTGAGAGGATCCCTGTGATCACGAGGCTGTGAGTTTCTGAGACAACCCAGCACCTGATCTTAACAATACAAGCTTGAAGGGATTAATATTCTTTAGTTTTAGGGCATTACTACGATATGCATATCTAGCTATAGCTTCTTGGATCCATTTGCACCCCATATCAAGTAATTGGTATGCAACTGGACAAGAAGCGTCTTTTTGACAATCCAGACATGAAAGTCGTCATACTGCATGCATCTCCTATTCGCCACCCAGAACGCCTACATGCATGCTTTAACTGCAGACATACCGGTATCCAATGGCTTTTCCTACTCCAAAACGCCGTTCCCTCCACCTGAACTCCTCGTGGATCTATCCGATCATTAAATGCTAGTTATCATTATCCATTAGGGGACCTTTCTTTAATATCCTCGAAGCCTCCCATGCCCAGAGTGCTTCTTCCAAGCCCCCGACCCCTCCGATATGAATGCAATTGCCCTCCGGAGTACTCTGCCCGAAGCTGGCGCTCGAATGGTGTAGAAAGGGGTGCCCTAGGAGTAGTTGAAAGCCTCGTAGCTACCCCAGTTACCCTTCCCCTCCTCTTCGACGGTGTAGTAAGATAGCCCGGGATATTGGTCGACGCTGAAGCGTCCTCTAATCCCTTGGCCCAGTCATCATTTTCAGCAGCTTCATCTTCAAAGTCGGACCAGGCTTCAGCCCTTGCGGTTGTGCCTAGCTGAAGGTCTATTTTATCTAGCTCCGGGGTTTTCGACGGTCGTTTCACAGCGGCTTGCTGGTACCAATAGGTAAACATCTTTCGGAAACTCTTCTTTGCATTCATCTCCCAGATCTCATTTGCACAGTTCATCTGAGCACGTAGCTGGGGCATTGCAAGGTTCCACTTCCTAAGAGCCCGGGCTTGTCGATTCTCTTGGTAAGTTAGCATCGCTTCAGCCTCCAGAGCTCGATAAAGGGTTGAACGGCCTTTCCAGATGGCGAACTTCTTCGTCAGTAGATATTCATGTGAGAGTGACTCCAGCTCCGCCAGTTCCTCGGCACGACCACGCCATTGATCAAAAATATTCATGCCTAGAACAACAGTCTTATTGTGGCGAACGGCATGTGCCTCGTCTTCAAGCTCAAGAAGATGATGCGCCTTCTGACGCCAGTTGCGATATATGCCTCTTGCCAGATTCATCTTTACCATTCGTCCAACTTGCGCATAGGCAGCTCTCCGCTTTTCGCGTTTTGAGGCCCCCGTTGAAGCTTTCCATCGTTTAATCATTTTCGAAGTTTGGAAATAGAACTTAGCATGATGCGACCAAGTCTGAAGCTGTTGGTAATGTTGTGTGCGTTCAGACCATTCCGAAAATACTCTTTGCAGGAGCTTGGGAGCATAAAATGCATTAGCATCCCTTTCTCGTTCCTGTCGAGTTTGCATTTGTCTATACCATTGACCCATAACAGAGTATTGCATTTTTTGGACAGCACATGCTTCAGCTATGTCTTCTTGTTGCCACCTATTTTGCTGTAAAATCTGGGCTCTTTGCACCCAATGTTGTAGCGCACTGCCGAGACGTTTTGCATCCTGCTTCTGTTTGAACCAGATCGATCTTTCGGTCATAAGCCATTTATAAATGGCTTGACCTGCAATACGGCTATTGGTTTTAGGGCGGAACACTTGGAGCCGCACCTTGTGTCGCCAGGTTGTGACCGCCTCACGAAGAACTTTCTCCCGATCAGTTGCATAGGCCAGTCGTTCTTGGCGGGTACGGTGTAGCCAAATCTCGAACCTTTCCCGGACAATCCGCAGGTTGACATCGCTCTGTACCATTGCCTTTGCGGGTATGACTTGAGTTTCCTTCCGCCACCTTCGAATAGCATTGCGGCAACTCTTGGCTCGATGATGGGCAACTGCTTGCTCGTCCTGTCTAGCTCGCTCACTTGTCGTCCTTCTCCAGCTCTGCCAAGTATTCCACACAATTTGGTCACGCCGCTCTTCTTCGGCGTACCGATGGTTCTCCCAGGTGTCATGATATTTCACGATCCAGCGAAAAAGAGCTCGACGTTTCGCCCCTTCGGCCCACCAGGCCTTAGCTCTCTGGTCCCATAGCTTGTGAAACCACTGCCAGTATATCTTCTCAGCCACGTTAGACTGATATCTCTGGACTGCGGTATCGTTATCGCAAGCTATTTCGGCGTGTCGCTTTTTCCAAACCCCAAAGAATTTCTTAACAACCTGTCTCCGGACTTTCAACTCATTTACTGCGGTGATCTCGGCCCAGGCGTTGAAGTATCGATGTTTGATGATATGCCTCCGGGCAGCGGTTGTTCGCTCAACTTCCTCTTGGCTATAATCCGACCATTGCTGAAGACATTTGAGCATAAGAAATAGATCCCTAGCTTTTGTGGCACGGCGTTCAAGATGGGCATAGAACCTCTCTGTGTCTTTATTCAGCCGTCTTTCTAACGATTGGACCTGCCAGGTAGCCAACGATGCCCCAAGTAATACATTCCTATCATGGTTTGTAGCTATGCGGTCTAAATCTGAGTGATATTCCCGACGTCGTATGGCTTTCTCTCGCCATTGACGTATTTGCCGCTTTGCCATGTAGGCAATATGGTGTTCCAGGACTAGTGATGCTCTAATGTGCATTAAACCATCAGGCGCCCGACTAGATTGGAATTCTTGGAGGGACATGATAGAGTGTTCTGTATCTCCTTCGATGCTTAATGCCAACTCCGCAACTTCATCTCGTGGATCAATCGAGGTCTGGATTCCACGACTTTGTCGCTCCTGGGCAGGAGAATGTGACCGTCGGCGGATTCGCATGCTATCATGCGTTGATACAGACCTCCCACGTCTTGTCTGTGGTCTCTCTAGATGTAAGTTCAACCCGGTTGAGAAATGGTCGGATTGCTCCTCCTCCTGCTCCGTTTCATCGACATGATCTGGTCCTGGCCCCGGTCTTGGTCTTGGACTTGAACTTGAGGATTGTAACTGTTGAATCTCGTCCAAGAACCCTGGACGCTGGTCGATGTTCTTATCGAGAGCAGACGAGCTTCGCTTTCCTCTATACTTGGCTGCCGCCTCAAACCCCAAATCCCAGAGCGAACTCTCGGAATTACGCCTATATCGTCCTCTCGAATGAGTCGCGTCATCCTGAAGCGGCGTAGTTCCCCTCGTCGTAATACCACCATTCTTATGGGAGATTTCCAGCTGACTAGACTCTTGCTCCTCTTCATCGACATGGCCAAACTCAATTTCGATTCCCAGCCTCGACATGACTTCCTCGAACTTATCATAGAGCATCCTGTCGCCACGGAACCCTCCGATTTTGAACAGCACGCGGGCATACCGGCTATCATGGTCGGCATCAATCCCCAGCCTGGGGAGTATATCGTAGTAGGCGTTGAATAGCGCGTTGGTGGGGAGTCTTTCGCGCTCTGGCAGGGTCGGCAGCAGCTCCTGCGCGAGGACGACGATATCGTGGAGGATCGCGACATCTATTCATCAGTCAGAAAAACGGCCCTCATCCCCATAGTATAACATTGGTTCGCGGACCTTCATTGCTGTAGTATTGCTCCTCACTCCCCGCGGTAAATTGTCCCTCATTGGATGGCGGGTCGGTTCCTGGGGGAGGCATCTAGAGGAAGGCATTCGGCGAGAAGAATCAAATTCCCTTTACACCCCCCGTATCGCATAATGAGGATGAGTCCGCAAAACTCATAGAGCAAGAGCAATTACGGCGTTGCGACGTATGAAAGCACAATGACTTCTTATCCTATGGAATGTTGTTTTCCGAACGCGTCGTCGCGACTTTCAACAAATGACAAGGATCACAAGCGCTAAATCCCTGGTAGATCGAACCAAAGCTAGCCGGGTCCCTTCTTCGAGATATCAATGTCGACGCGATACTCTTCATCCTAGCCATTAAACAGTCACTTATAGAATCTTTGAACGCATTTTGATCCCGTCACCAATGCCAGGACGTACGAGCCCAATCGAGAAGTTTGCAAAGGCTGTTGCGAAATGCTCAGCTGAGGTAAGAATTCTCCTGGGCTGCCCTAAAACTCAAACCTCCGTCACTGACGTCTTCGGCAGTCCTCGGTTTATGGCAAATGCATTCTCGCGGACTACAACTCAATTCATAAAGACAAATGCCTCACTGAGTTCTTGCGGTTGAAGGATTGTTACATAGTATGACTCCCAGTTTACTGACGGGTGATCCTTGCTCACAATATCACAGGCTGCTGCCAAGAAGCCATGACATTCAATGTTATTGTTCTACTAGCAACTCTATGCTATTCTTACGTCGCTCATGAGAGGTCCTTCTTGAATTTGAAAGGAGATGCAACGGTGTCCCCAATCGGGAGCCCTGGGTTGAAATCCATCTCATCATAGCTTCAATAATCTAAGCAAAAACACCGCATTTTGAATCTCCTGTTCTTCCTGCATAATAATACCTTCCTCAGCCTCGGCCGGAACCTCTCCACCAATTTCCGTGACGACGTGGTGATCAATTGGTCTCCGCAGTGCCTTTTCAATGTATTTCGCCTGTCCAACGAACGCTTTCGCGAGTCCAATATTGTCGGGATCCGAGAGCACCTTGTATTCCATTTTGACATCATCCGTAGGCTGGAGCCCGGCCTTCTTCCGCAATCTTTGTGCCCGAGCAATGATCTCTCGTGCCACACCTTCGTCGGCAAGATCTGGATATATCTCCGTGTCAAGGATAATAAGGACATCATCATCTGTGTTCGTTTCCAGGTTCTGAGATGAGTCATCATTCTTCAGGCCACGCTTAACCACCAAATCGCCTTCTCCCAGTTGAATACCATCCACAACTATAGACTTTTGGATGAGGTAGTCGTGAACTTGTTCGCTAGACAACCCTGGGAGCGCTTTCTTAACCTTCTGTACTTCCTTTTTGAGCTTCTTACCAAGCACCGGCCAATCTGCATTGACGCTGTATTGTACATCATACTTGGCTTCGTCGGAGGTGAGCACCAGATCGCGGATATTGAGCTCCTCGGTGATATAACTCTCAAGTGACTTGACATCGTCCAAATATACTTGGTCGGGATGAATGACGATCAAGGTCTTCAAGGGCGTCTTAAGACCGACCGTTCGTCGTTCTCTTGATACTCTAGCCAAGTCAATAACACGTTGCATGCGGCCAACGCGACGTTCGATCTCTACATCAAATAGCTCGTCCCTCACATCCGGGAATGGCAAAAAGTGAACGGATCGAGGATCTTGTCCTTGAAGATCCTTGGGAATAAGTGGCAATAAGCGTTGATAGATCATATCGGTGATGAATGGCGTGAATGGTGCAAGACCCTTAACAAGGGTGAAGAGGGCTTCGAAAAGAGTATTCAAAGCGTGCTTGGTATCGTCAAGACCGAGTTCGCCCTTTAGACGCTTCCGGTTAAATCGAATGTACCAATTCGACAGGTTGTCAATAAGACCAAGGAGGCGCGGAACAACTGTGTAGAGACGATAGGCTAAATACTGTCAGTTATCAGGCCGTACATCAATTAGTGCTGTTGTTATCGTCTTACCTGCCATCTCTTCATTAACAAACTTAAGTAAACTTTGACAGCTTGCAAGAATCCATTTGTCCATGACGTTGGTATTGGTGGCTTCGGCTTTGGGATCGAAGCAGAAGTCAACATTTTCAATCTTCTTCAAGAGCGCAACCTGACCCTCAAAGAATTTATAGCTGTTCCATAATGGCAACAGAACCTTTGCGACGACTTCCTTGACCCCAGCTTCCTTAAATCGCAATGGCTCCGCTCGAACAACTGGCGAGTTGATTAGGTACAACCGCAGCGCATCAGAACCATATTTGCTCATGACAATGCCAGGGTCTGGATAGTTTTTGAGTCGCTTCGACATTTTCTTGCCGTCTTCAGCGAGGACAATCCCATTAACAACGCAGTTTTTGAATGGAGAAACGCCAAACAGATGAGTACCAAGTACAAGAAGGGTATAAAACCATCCTCTTGTTTGATCCAATCCTTCAGCGATGAAGTCTGCCGGGAACGATTTTTCAAATGTCTCTTTGTTCTCAAATGGATAATGTTGACTTCCGTATGGCATGCTTCCGGACTCAAACCAACAGTCGAAGATCTCTTCCACGCGTTTCAATTGACCTTTGCCCTTCTTACTTGGGATGGTGATATGATCAATCTTGTCGCGATGAAGGTCTGTTATCTCCCCTTGGTATCCGCTGAGTTCCTTGAGTTCCGCAACACTGCCAATGCAGACTATCTCCTCCATATCGTCGCTTACCCATAGCGGAATAGGTGTACCCCAGTATCGGTTTCGAGAAACATTCCAGTCACGAGCATTAGCAATCCAGCTACCGAAACGGTTCTCCTTGACAAAGGATGGCACCCAGTGGGAGCCTTCGATGTTTTTCAGCATTTGAGGGATGATATCGGTGACTCTGATAAACCATGAAGGCACCGCTCGGTAGATCAAGGGTGTATCTGAGCGTGGACACATTGGATAGCTATGCCTAACATTAGAATCAACTACAAGCCTTCCTGTGCCCTTCAGGTGTTTGATGATGGCCTTGTCAGCTGCTTTGACATGCTGGCCGGCGAAATCGCGGACTTTGTCTGTAAAATGGCCCTTCTCATCAACAGGATTGGGTGGTGGACGTTTCTCAGTGATGACACCCTGTTCCATAGCGATATTGTAATCCTCCTCACCAAAGGCGGGCGCCTGATGAACAATACCAACACCACTATCATCGGTAACATAAGTAGCGTTAATGACTTTAAATCCATGGTCTTTGAATTCTTCGTAGAAGTAGTCAAATAATGGCTCATATTTCCATCCCACCATTTCGCTGCCTTTGATTTTCTGAACAATTTTGAATTTCGCCTTCTTGGGATCCTTATACAAGGTACCTAGAAGTTTTTCCAAGAGGATATAGTTCTTTCCGGATGTCTCGTCATGGATCTTGATGTACTCGAAATTCGGATGAGCTGCTAGACCAGTATGGGCAGGCAAGGTCCAGGGTGTTGTTGTCCATGCCAGCAGGCATGTAGTGGGGTCATCGAGCAACGGAAACGACACGACTACGGCAGGGTCGGTGACATCCTGATAATTTTGATTTGCCTCGAAGTTGCTCAGTGCAGTGGTAAGAGCAGTGGAATATGGCATGACTTTATAACCCTGATATACGGCGCCTTTGTCGAAAACCTGCTTGAAAACCCACCATTCTGATTCCATGAAGGTGGGGTCCATAGTCTTGTAGTCGTTGTCAAAATCAATCCAGCGACCCAATCTGTCAATGGTCGTCCGCCATTCTGCTGAATATCTCATGACAATAGCTCTGCACTCCGCGTTGTATTTCTCCAGGCCAAGCTTCATGACTGCATCTTTGCCGGAAATACCAAGCTTCTTATCAATCTCATGCTCAATCGGCAATCCGTGTGTATCCCACCCAAAACGCCTCTCAACGTGATAGCCTTTCATAGACCAGTATCGCGGAATGATGTCCTTGATAGTCGATGCCAGAAGATGGCCGTAGTGCGGCAGGCCGGTTGCGAATGGCGGGCCATCGTAGAAGGTGTATCGAGGTCGTCCTGAACGATGATTAGCTGTGTAATTGGGGATAAATAGCTCACGCCATAGTCACAGTACCTTCGGAGAGTTTAACCTGCAAATCGTTAGCTACGGCATTCAAAATAGCGCGTCCTCCATCTCATCTCATCGGCACTGACCTGTGTTTCGAAAGCCTGGATCTCCTTCCACCGCTGGAGCGTGTTCTCCTCTTCCTTGGGGAAGTCGATGCTCATTCTCGCGGTGGTTGCGGTGGGCGAGCTTGTGGGTCGGATATATGCGCGCAATAATTGCGCAAAACAATATGCGCTGGTGGGATCCCGTCAGCCCACTGAAAATTCGTTGTCGCGGTCTCTGGTATGTAAAGTGTGAAGTGTGGAATCCAACTTACAAAAATACCCCGCGGTGACTCAAAAGTTATGCGTACTCGAGTATTTTGTGCCGATACTCGGACTTTTGTTTTCCCGACCGCCGTTATCGAGGTCGGAGTACCCAGGTCGATAAACATGCTCGTAATAGGTAATCTAAATAAGTAGGCCTATTAGTCCTACTCCCAAAGCTAGACAGAAGAATAAGACACTTACTTAGCAATATGTTAACAAGTTATTCACACAACACCAAACGTAAACTTCCAGAGCCTGGGTATGGCGCATTCTTGGGCGACTTTGGCGCAAAACTCTTTTCGCCAGTATTGTAAGGCCCAACGGCTATTGCCTAGATATAAATCCAATATCGTGTAAATATCTTACTAAAATTGAGGTATTCAAGCTATATGAATATCGCACTAGAATTGAGGTATTCAAGTTATATGAATATCTCACTAAAATTGAGCTATTCAAACTATATGAATATCTCACTAAAATTGAGCTATTCAAGCTATATGAATATCTCACTAGAATTAAGGTTTTCAAGCTGTATGAATATCTCACTAGAATTAAGGTATTCAAGTTATATAAATATCTATCTGAAATTAAGATATCTACGCTATATAGATTAGTATATAGAAATAGTATAGAAGCTCGATATAAGAGATATATATATCGAGGCAATAGCTGGAGGTGCCTGATATTTCTAGCGAAAAGAGTTTTGCACCAAATTCGCCCAAGAATACGCTATACCTGCGTTCCGACGTCTGTACCGGCCTCCAGAACACGATCTAAATGCATGGGCAGCGGTTGCTGCACGCTTCGCAGCAAGATATTGGACGGCGGCCCGCCGAACCAATTCCCTCAGAGAGGGCGGGGAGGAGGGGGCGGGTACCATGCAGTAAGCATCGTTCTTCACCTTGTTTATATCGTTTGTGTTATTGTTGTAATTAGTCTTTCGCCGTGTCGCCGTCACAGTAATGTTAAAAGAGAGGTTCAAAGTAGATTCCTTAAATATATTCTACAAGCTCTAACGTTTACTATAGGATGTTGCCTCGATCATAACTGCCTATTCTGTTTGGTATTTAATCTGTTGAGACATTCAGTAGTCTCTCTTGCCTGTACTCCCCACCTACCTACCTAGGTAGGTAGGTGGTTTAAAGACCATAGCTCTTTCTACCTTATTAATATACGTTCGTTTTTAAGTAAAAAGGCACCAAGATTTGACGAGGCAAGGGGTAGTTAATCAATTCTAGAACTGGGAAGTTTCCTAGTACTAACATCACAGCAAATGCCTCGTATCACGAGACCCTAAAACATGAGTATTCAATAATGACCTTGAGCGAGGGCGGAGTGTAGTTCTATTCATCGAAATACTATATTCTAGCTTCTATCTATGTATCAGGGACCTATTGGCTCGCGGTATCCAAATCATTTCTTGGGTGGGCAGGAGCAAACTTCAGCTCGCTACAGGTACCAGGGCGCAACTTGGACCTCATTGTTCCACCTCATGTTTCGAACTGGCGAACTGTGGGACTCGGGCCGGCCCGCTTTGACGGTGATCCGCGCCATGAAGGGTAAACACTACCCGGAATCCTGCTATGTTGCTCAATTCCTCCAATGTGACCCTCCGCGGTTGAAGATGCGACAAAATCCCAATCCTGGTGGCGCATTCTGAACCCCGGCGAGATATGGAACTGTGGCTTGTTGCAGCTCGAGGAGATGTGGAAGCTTGCGAGAAGCGGTAGAGCAGGATCCAAACCATCTGTGGTTGTCTGAGTTGGACCTATTCCCTAAGGTTCTCGTCCTTGCCGTACCAAGTGTCCAGCTTGGATGTCCTCCAGCTTCCGGAAAGCTGCCTGACTAATAGATATTTCCAGGCGGCTCGGTGCTTAATTCGACGCGTCATTCGAAGAGCTTCCGGCTCATTGCATTCTGATATCGCGACATGTTATCGCCATCGCTCTCCTCTCTGGTCTTCATGGCCCTGGGTAAGGCCTGGCACCTCCAGTCAACGCCCTCAGGCGCCCTATAACCTTGTTCGCAAGCGTTTCCGAGTCATGTTCTCCATTTCCATACTGTTCCCTGAGCCTCTCCGTACTCATTCTTCCAAATGTGAGGCCTCGTCGCCAGTCTTTCTCTTTTGGCAGCACGGTATTTTTCGAGCGCGAGGATGATGAAGAAGCGAAGGACTCGAGCGAGGAGCTGGAGACGCGGTGGGCGTGCCCGGGGTTGCGACCCGTTGGCTTCTGCTTACACTCCATGGCGTCCATTTCGGAGAGGATTTTTAAGAGAAGTTTGTTCGAGGTTTGGGCGCGCAGGAGTACGTCTGGACCTGTGGCCTCAGAGCCTTCAATGAATTTGGAGGACCCGCGAGGGCGAAGTTGGGAGGGAGACGACATTGTAGCGGGTTGTGATAAGGTTGTCGGCAGTCCAGATGTAGACTACAACACTGTATACTTCGTATGTGCACTCGGTGATTTGATGATATCGGGGAAGGGAGGTCGCGCAACTGTCCTGGAGCGGGGACACCTGTTTATACCTCCTATGTACTACATGACACAGAAGTGTTCACTTGAACTTGAATCCTCATGGAGCGGCCACACCCACCGACCACGAAACATCACCAACCACGGTCTGGAACAACGTAGGGGCGGCGCCATGTTGTCGGTGGCTGAAGGGTCCGTCATGACGATTCGACGGCGAAAGGGTCTTGCGCCCGCGCAAAGTCGCAAAGTCACAGCGTCCAGGGTGCTAGGGGCGAGTCGGAGAGGGACCCTACCGCCCCCGAGGAGTCGAGACACTCCAAACTGAATCAATAATCGAGGCCCCTCTAGGCTCTAGCACATCACGCTGACAGATCGCCACTGATTCGTAACCCGGTGGTCATGAGTTCCCAGTTATCAGCCACCGCAGTCTTCCAAGTTCCTGCCGATTGCCGATATGCTACATCGGAAAAGGCGTCCTCGAGTATTTATTTGCGTCTCCGGATGTCTTCGAGCATGTCCGGGCTAATCTAGGCCGGGAAGGCTCTAGAGCAAGAACCAAGTTGCGACCTTGGCCGGAACAGAGAATGGCGACGAAGTCGTGGCCAGAGAGTAACAAGTTTTTGACCAGGCGACTTTCCCCGCAATAGTTGTTGCTGCTGCATACTCTATAAGCAGGTTAGGGCTTTCGCCGATATAGGTGGCAATAGTCGCCTTCTTGGTTCGTACGAGGCGATGTGTTTTCCGCGCAAGTCAAAAGCACCATGCGAATGCCTTGATGGCTAGCGCTGCTGTTTCCGCCGGATCCTGTCCAGTGGGAGGCCGGAGAATTATGGATGAACTTTTTCTAGTCGGCCATTGTATATCTAAAGTCGTTTCTGTCGTTATCAAAAGCAGCCTTCATGCTGTCTCTGCCCCGGTCGCAAATGAACAGCAACAACCACACAAACATCCGATATATCAAGTATAGAATCAAGCCCTCAAGTGAGCTGTATTCATTACCCTCACATAGAAAGAGGCATAGCTAAGGTCGTTATATCGATTACTCTGTCAATATCTGTTGGTTTGTAATTTGTTGTCCAGCTGTCATTGATATGCCCAAATTCCTGCTTAATGAAAAGTTTATGTGAGCTCTTCAGAAATTATCGGCGGTGCCAGTTGTTTTATCTATAATGCCTCCTAGTATTTCTCACCTCCTCCTTAGTACTAGCATCTAAGGTTTTAGTACCTCAGGCACAGATGTATACTCGCTTAACTGAAATTCGGCTATGAAGTATTAAGGTCACGTGCCGGTTCAATAGTACTACTTATATGACGTGACTTTATCTCTCTAAAAGCTCAAATCTCCTAGGCCTCTTTACTCTACTTATTATTTTAACAATAGAGAACTTAACTTATTCCTTATATTATACTATTAAGTTGCGTTGAGAATATTGTTGTAATCTCAGTATGGCTACGGAATATAGTATAGATGTGGAAGCTACGATTCAGTTTACAGACCCGAACGACCTTGCCAAAACTCTACGTATATTCTTTAATAATGCCACAGATCGCGACTCTCTTAGTGATCATACCGTTCTTATCACAGGATTCCCAATCGAGAGCTTTACTATCGACGATGACGAACCATCCCCTATCCCTCAAACCCGCAAAGCGTTATATCTCGAAGATTCGAGCATCCTTGTGCTCACGATGCCAGGGCGCCCTCATGAAGCGGTTGCCAGACTGTTTAGTGGGCAGCTAGATATTAAACTCGCCAATATGAACTGCCAAGACGATATTATTCCGGGCGGAGGAGTAACCACGTCAATAGGCCAAATTCAAAAAGAACCAGATAGTTCTTGGGGGCCTTTAGGGGCTGACTATCTTACCTGCGTGTTGGAATCAGGCGTCTCAGAGAGTCGCCGGGCTCTTGCCCGAGATGCAAAGATATGGTTAGAACACTATGATTCGCATACAACACAGGTTGTTACAGTGTGGATTTGCCGTAGACGACCAGATATTGTTTTTACGGTCTGGAAGAGAGCACAAGATCATCCGCCGCGCGCGGTAGTCGATCAAGAAGTACATATTAAACTCGAGGAGGGGCGACCAATGGCCGACGGACAGCTCCGCCTTTCTTTTGAGAAGTTTTTTGAACGACGACCACGGCCAGGAACAGCAGAGGGTGATTTTGTCTTCTCGGCACGCGAGCTCGGTAGGGTCGCCAGGATGGTGTGGATTCAAATGGGATTTACAGTGCAGTAATGATAGTGGTTAGGATACGAAGGGGAAAATAGCCAAGGTATACGAGAAGGTGCATTGATAAGCAGAGAGCAATAGTAGTAAACTATGAAACGCCTTTTGATAGTCCCCTAGCCATCGATTCCGTACATCATATTCGTCGCATTGAAATGCCATTGCATAGTTCATTGTAGCATTGGGGTGTTTCAGCAAGAACACACAATACGAGAAACAATAAGAGTAGGGCCCACCTAGGTATAGCTTTCTGTTTTAGCAGCTTAGTAAAGTGAGCCCTAGGCCAGGAATGGTGTTCTTCCGAAAGAACTGTACTCGGAGAAGACTTTGAAATATAGAATAATACGTCCTAAAGCAGTTAGTATTCAGCCTTATTTAACCCTAAATTAGAGATATATATATTCTTTAATAAATCAGGACTTAGCTATTATGATTTTAATTGCCCTAATTATATTAACAGAAATAGGATGCTAAAGCACAATAAAGATTGCATTGAGTGGGATACTACTTAGGGGCAAATTAAGCGAGGGAAAAGGGGGTTTAGGGGTATATTGTACGCTAATTTTTACACCCCCTTATTGTCTCAACTAGACTCCATAGACTTCCTTTGAGACTTGTGTACTGTATACAATATAGACTCTTTGTTAGAACAGTGTCTAATTAAGGTTAAGATTTGATTCGTGACACGATGCCAAGCAATACAATAAAAAAGGGGCTGCAAATTTGTCGATATATATCTCAATTTCGGTTAGATATAGAGGATACGTGGGCGGACAACACGTCGTATTTGTTGCCTTCGGCCCCTCCTTTCGGCTACTAGGTCGCCCAAGAATGCGTCATATCTACCATTTTGACAGGATGGCAACTACTACGGCGATTTCCTTTTGCTTCACCAAAGGCTTTATTAGGTTCTACGCTATAGACAATTATTTTTAAGAGGATTCTCAGACCTGAGTTGGGAGTATTGGTACTCGTATAGAATTATGTTTTTCTTTTTCCTTTTTGGGAATCCTGTCCCTTAGCCATCGATTCCATTACATCATATTCGCCGTATTTAATACCATTGCATAGTTCATTATAGCATTACAGCACATCATCTATATAGTACGTTCAATCATGGTCATCATCAGCACTCTTTTGCTCAACCCAAGCGGAGAGGCATCTCAATCTCTCCCCACTCTGCGTTAACCACATTCTATCACTCTCCTCCTCTTTCCTCCTCTCAGCCGTATCCTTCCTCCTCTTATCACCACGAATCTTATCCTCGCGTGCTGCTATCCCCTTCTCAATGGCCTCTTCCAAATCCGGTGTATGGTAACACGGACAGGATCTCAAGAAGATCCTAAATAGAGACTCTATCAAGATGGAAACTTTCGCGTTGTCATCAACGGCGGATGTATTAGCGCTGAATGGCATGAAGCATTGCTCAAGGACGGCTTGAGTCAGCTCGTCATTGTCTCGCTTGGTGATTGTGTGGGGTCGTGGGGCAGTATTGGGTAGAAGACGGAGGAGAAGGAGTTGTGAGAGGGAGATTAGAACTATTATTGGGAGTTGGGATGATGGTGATGGCGAGATTATAAGGGAGAAGGCGGGAACTGGCAGTGGTCTCATGCAGGTGTAGATTGCTTCGTAGAGATCTCTGTAGTCGATAAATTCAACTGGGAAATCTGCAGCAGTTTGTGAGAGCTAAATTAATTAATCAATTGATGTTGTGGTAATTGACAGCTAAAACTTACCAGTTTTAATACACGCTGCCGCAAAGCTATAGACTCTGGTCCTCCTAAGTATGGGTCCTGCCCAGACAGATTCCCTTCATCGTCATCCTGGCTCGACTCTGGCTCGGGGTCTGTCATTTCTGGCTGTTCAGAGGGATCATCAGCATCCTGGTAATCGTAGCCGCCAAAGCTCCGATCCAGAGTAAAGCCTCTCTTCCTTTTCTGCCCGTTTTGAAATTTAACCTCCTTCGTCTCGTTCGGATATACTTCTGGAAACTCTTTCAAGCTTGCAACGCTTCCGTCGGCAAAGACAGATCTGGCAATTCGCCTGGCAGCACTTGACCTGCTCTGAACATCCGACAGGTACTTTGCGATCATGCATTTCCGCAGCAACTTGAACTCGCAACGTGCATCTAGAGTGCCGGGGTTCAGAGCGTGCTCTTTCCTGTCCAGCCTCTCCCTCTCGGTGTAGTCCGCCTCCAAAACATCCAGCATGTATTCCAGCCACACTTTCCAGTGTTGCCATCTCTGCGGATGCTTCACACTACAATTAAATGCCCATCCTACTATATGCCAAAAGTCCTTAGCGCACGTTCTCAATCTCCCCTTATTCGCGAGGATGCCCTGCATGCGCTCTGGTTCCTCCTCGTCTGACCCGCTTGATCCATCGTCATAATCGGTCGTATTCCGCCCACGCCGAGAGGCCCTGGTAGCATTCATCGGCTCAAGAGAGAATGCATCATCAAGCCTGGCGTTTATCGGGCCCAGGATAGCGAGGATATTCCGCAAGAGTGTGAGTGATCGAGAGGCTAGTTCTAGGCGTTCACTTGCTGGCGCTTGTGTAGTATACCGCGGATGGATTAGGAGCGCGCTGACGAGTTCGATATGAAATGGTATTGGGGCAATTGCCGGCCTATTTATGCGGTCTGGATGCGACGCGCCTGTTGTGACGAGGTCATTGAGAAGCGCAAGAGCGCTCACATCTGCTTCCTGTCAGTGGATGCAGTTATATTTGTACTGGATGAGGAAGACGGGCGGCACTTACACAATTGCTCATCCAAGTAGATTTGACAGTGCGTTCTAATCTCGGTGGTTATTGGAATAGAAGGGCGATACGGGGAAGTAGAGGCTGGCTGGGAGTCGGCGGTAGGATCCATTTCATTATCGGAGCTGCACTGCAGGCGGAGAGGGAATTTGGTGACGATGGAGGGGAAGTTATCGTTGCGGCGGAAAACGCGGTGGGACGTGTCGTTGGGCGCGTCTACAGCGCTGCTACGTAGTACTTGGTACACCCCCCCTACAAGTATAAGGTACCTTAACCAATATTCCCCCGAATTACACGTCAAACAGCATCCATTGGCCACAGATCAGATGTGCAGCCTTCTACGTCTGTCAATTAGCACCTCAGCATCCCAAGGACCGTATCCCCGAAGCTCGAACTATATGCAAGAGTTTCGACGGTGATAGGAGTCGGTTTACCACATTACTTGTATGCCTAGGAGCCGCTACACCAGCGTTTTCCTTCGCGGTACTCCCCAGTGTTGGTCCGCTTCCGACGATCAGCGGCCGTTGCTTTGAACAACCTTGATTCCATCCCGCAATTATAGTGTCGGTTCAGTCTCCCATCTTCGAATGTAGCAGCAGTTGTTATTGATGATCCCCACAATGAGACATGGACCTTCACCTAAGGTAGGTCTTTACGGTGGCTTAGACTACCAGCATGTCATGGCGAAATTATCTTAGGATTCCTCGGACATCGTGCCTACCTCCTCGGCTGACACCGTGCTCGTCGTTGTGAAGGATGCTTCGGCGCTTGCACAGCGTGATCAAGCCGAGTGGGCAGTCTTTCGTTCCAAGTCTTTTTCTTCAAAAACTCACGTTCTGAATTTTGTGTGTCTGACATCATAATTTAATAACTCCAGAGCACTTTGAAGTTGGAACTAATAGTAGCTTTACAGATTACGCCTTCCTTCCTCGAGTTAAGTATCTCCGTCTATGCAGCAAACGAGTATAGAATAGTAGCGCGTTGTTGTGTCGAGTGGGAGTTTTTGGTGGTTAATGTCGTGACAGTCTCATATATTTATATTAACATCCGTCGGACTTATATCTGCATCGATCTCTCCGTCCGCTATTTCGAAGTAGCTCTCAAAGTCCGACTGCTTACTATCATTGAAAGATAGACAATTATTAGGTTGATAATGGCATATATTGATTGACTCGGCCTACTACGGGCGAGACGATAGTAACAAGGGTAACAGTTAAGGTAGAGCCGAACAGCGACGGAACAAACGAAGCTTAAGAAGGATGATTGAAGGGATGAGAGACTGAGAGTTAAGAAAGAGAAGGGTAACTGATGAGAATATAAGGCCCTTTACCAGAGAGAGTAGGGGGGTTAGTTGAGTAAGCGAGGTCTAATGCAACGTGAGATTTCGGCAAGGGGGCTGCGGAGAACAGTGAGGTAGAGCGCATTATACCTTGGGTATGAATTGGTGTTTTTCGGAAATAATGGCCATTACACAAATATGCCTCCGGTATCGCCCTCCTATATGGAGGACTGTTTCCTATACAATCTAGATAGCTAGCCTGCGTATTAGAGTGCTATACGGAGTAATCATTATTCCTATTCTATCTAGCATAAGTGGGATAGGGGCCACGCCGTCTCCCCAGCCCTTCGCTCCAGGCCTTCAGGTCCTGTAGCCAGAGCCTGTAGCTTAGCATAGGGTTTCCTTTAGGTCCTCCCTTTAGGCCTTGGCACCCTATAGCGCACTACTATAGCGCCTCCCTTTAGGCCCACACGCCCTGGAGCCAGATCCAGGGGATAAAATGAGCCACACCCTCTTATCGCCCGGCTCGCGCCCTACTGTACTTCGTAGGCCTTGATACCCTACAGCAGAGCGATGCCGGAATCATATCTAGGTAGGTAATGGCCGGTGGTTCCCGGTATTTCCGAAAACACCATTTCATACCTATAATACGCCATAAGTGAGTCAGTGAGTCAGTGAGTCAAGAACCAAACTTACAAAAGACAGCAGTCACTCTGCAGTTTGTTCGTTTAACAGAGTGAGTCAACCTGTATACTGAAGATTAAATCCTTATCCTCCCTCATCCAAAACGCCCTTTCAGAAACACCATCATGGCCACCCATCTCGACCACGTAATCATCCTCGTCTCACCCTCAACTCTCAGCTCTCTTCCACCCTTCCTCACAGAGAACTTCACAATAACCCCAGGTGGCCGCCATGTCGACAACCTAACGGAAAACAAGCTGATCTGTTTCCGTGATGGATCGTACATCGAGCTCATAGCCTTCATTACGCCTTCTGAGGAGGAGAGGGCTAAGCATTGGTGGGGTAAAAAGAAGGAGGGCGGAATTATAGACTTTGCATTCACGACTAAAGCTACCACCGGGGAAGATGTCTCGAAGCATCACAAGGACCTGCAAGCACGACTGCTGGATTCAGGATCAAAAGCTGGGTATGAACTTCCGCGCCCGGGGGGCAGGAAACGCGAGTCTGATGGTCAGGATATAAAATGGCATGTTACCTTCCCCGCTGTTGGGTCGTCATCCTCTGCCTCGTCATATCAACGAGGGCTACTTCCGTTCTTCTGCCACGATGTCACACCGCGCTCGCTCCGTGCGCCGGTAGCTGAGGAGAACGTCACTCATCCATGTGGTGCGGAGGGAATCAAGGGACTTACGGCATATGTTACCGAGGAGAGAGTGGTGGAACTGACGAAGGATTATGGTGTCATCTTGGATGTGGATGATTTGGCGGATGGTTTGGAGAGTTTGTATGGCGGAAAGGGTGGTGCTAGGGAACCAGTGAAAATTTCCGTAAAAGCTCCTAAAAAGGGAGAGGAGGCATTGAGGAGTGAGATAGAGGATAGGGGTGGGCTAGTACTGGGCGACCTGGTTTTTTGGGGCCACAGCCGTAAAGCTGGAGATGATGGGCTAAGAAGGATTGATGTTGGTGATGGGAATATAAGCCTGGGCGGCTTGTTTTTGGATTTGAGCGCGCCTGATGATATATAGGGACTGTGTTGACCGGGAGTTGATACCAGCCGAAACCGGCCAATTACTCCAAACCAATATTGATTAGTAAATGAGCTCTAGTATCTTAAATATATGTACGCTTTGTTACGATCATTATTGAGGGAATTTGTGTAGGCCAAGAAAGCGTACCGATCCCTCACAAACGCAGCCCAATTTTGGAGGAGAAATAGGCATAAAGAAAATCGTTACCCACATTGGACTACTATACAGACCAGAAGCTAATAAGCGCGCTCGTGTATTTGAATAGTTCGGCTATGAAGATCATAGGCCCTGATTTTATCATCCATAGACCAAAGACAGTCTAATAACAGGGTATCATATATCTAGGTCTTCAGGTAGTAGTGTAGAAGTAAACACCCCCTTGCTTTTTTATCATCATTCATAACAGGTGTAACATAACGTCGTCAGACATAAAGAACATGTACCTAGGTAGATAACAACTCCAAAATGCACCACTAATGCCCCCACGTCTACCACGCTATGCAATGATGAGCTACACAGCAAATATTAGCATATGATCCTGCTTAAACCGGGAACATGGGGACATACTTCGATAAGCCTATCTGTTAATGCAGTGCATTGTCTTTCGTGCTCATTTTTTGTATGAAACGTCGCTGAGCGCCAGAGGCCGCCGAAACCAATGCCATCAAGGACATCCTCTAACATTTCTGTGGTGTCGACGCCGCCTGAGAATTTGGGATTTGATGTTATCGTCCGGAGTAATTGATGGGCTGATTCGAGTGTCGCCACGTTTTGACAAGACAAAAGCAGATCATCCAGGATCCGGATAATGGGCACCGCGCTATTCTAAGTTAGTTTAGGACTCGTTAGAAATGCGGTGTAAACTTACAGGTGTAGCACGACAGTAGGCCGCTTTACAGCGACCCTATTGAGCCATAATAGCCCGCGATGCTGGACAGATTCCTCCAAATAGCGGAAATCCACTATAGTAATAGCCGCGTTAAGCAAAAGCTCCTTATCCTTCACCAAACCCTGATCAATCAAGCTCATCATATCGTCGGACGTTACATAATGGCTCACAGAAGCCCAGCTTGCGACGAATAAATTGTCCTTGGCTTGCTGAGGGGTCATTGCTCGAGATATAAGAGCTCCTATGTAAGGCATACAGGAAAGCTCGAAACCACCCTTAACCCCGGTTTGGTTGTTTGAGCCTGCAGCCTCGAGAAACGTGGATAAGACTCGAACTGCTGTGGCTTTGGTGACAGAATCTGTAAGGCCCTTCACCAAAGAAGCGCAAACAGCAAAATGGAAAGTCTCGACGTTAAAATGGATACCGTAGATTTCATCAAGTTGCAATGCCGCATCTTCGAGAGGGAATCGGCCTTGCATCAAGACCGGGGCCATTTTCTCATCTTTGAGCCCGCCAGACGTAGCGATGTTATTCAAAACAGCATCCAGGAAAAGAGCCGTGCAGTTGAAAAGCGGAAGTGGGACGAGCCTCACCAGTGACATTGCCAGCCAGAATAACTGCAAACCGTAGCGAGAGGCAGAAGGTAGTTTATCCATCATCTTAGTTAGGGAGGTTATGATTGCGATGAGCATCTCACTGTCATTCTCTTCCATGAATCGGCCGATGCTACTTCTTAGAGCGACAAGAACCTGGTAAAGAAGATCATCATCTACATCTTGACGAGCCAAACAGCCCATGACCGTAAAAGCGCGCGGCTGGATTGCTGGATTGCTTTGGAAGGCAGTGCTCGCAACCAAGCTCATCCACCTAGCTCGCCATGCATTTGACACATTCACGGACGGAGCAGCAACGATGCTAACTTCTGAGAGCAAGGTGGCTAGGGATTCCGTGGCAGTCAAGGCTGGAATGCCAGAATCTTGTAGTGATGAAATAGAGACGCCATCTCGAGGTGATAGATTGAATAGTGAATCGCTCCGAGGATCAGAGAGCGATAACAGTAAGGCTTTCAGTCTAGCTAGCTTGCTTTCTTCGAGATTGAATCCGGTGCACATGGCGTGGATGGTGTTGACCAGCAACCGATGGACCATAAGCCTCACATTGGTTGATCCGGTATTAGCCAGCATAGTAACGAGATGGAAAAGCTCCGGCAGGTATAGTTGTGATTGAATTGCACTGTCAAATGATGTAGAAAGACAAAGTCGGAGAAGCACACAGATTTCGCCCCAGATAGTATTATCTGGTAACTGTCTGGTAGGGCGCAGTGAAGTCCTGTTGAGAGCTTTGCGAAGACGGGAAAGGAGCTTTCCCCGGATGGTGATGGTACCGAGAGAAGCAATAATGGAACCAAGGATTTCGGTGCGTTCGTCGTCAATTCCAAAGCTCAAAGCGGCTCTGACAATCTCTTCTAGGAATATCTCGGTGTAAATCTCATCCCGGCAAATGATCGGCCACACACTCTGTTCAAGAGTGGTGCTCAAAGAAACGTCAGCGATAGCCACTTCGATAATCTTCCGGAAAATTACAGCGATTTTCTCTCTACCTTTGTCGCTATCCGGTTCTGTGGGGATTAGGTTTGTTCTTAGACTTGGTAGCCAAGGGGCCATATATGCAAGACTTAGTGGCCGCTGGGAATAAGGAAAACTCTCCCACCCGACGAAGAATTCATTGAGGAAGTCAACCGTCAGTCCAGGCTCGGACCGAGCAAGTTGTTGGCTTATGTCAATTATAAAATGCGAAGGATTCAAAGGAACGCATAATTCTATCAGAGTCAGTGGGGATTGTGCAAGCGACAGGCTTTGGAGGCAAACCTTTTGTGCTCATGAATTTAGAGTCAGCCGCAAATTTGAACGCACGGCACAGGGCCGACAGGAGGTTGTAAGAAGCCAAACGAAGGACTTGATCCGAACTGGCCATGTTCGTGAACGCGATATTGAGAAGTGTGCCGGGCACATCCTGTGGTCGGACAAGCCTCTCAAAAGACTTCAGGGTTCTCAATTCCTTCCCCTGTTTGGACTTCGCTCCGCGAATGGCCTGGAGCACATCCATTTTTCTTGGGCTCGTAAAATACATCACGATCTTCCCATTTTCTGTTCGCAAACCAAAGGCGGAATCGTCCTCTGTCTGAATTGATGTTGGCGCTTCATCTACCGCTGAGAGACGAAATATATCATTAACAGTAGCATGGAGTCTTAAACCGGGCACAACTTCCTGCTTCTTTGTTGTGGTGACTTGGACGAATTGACTACCAACTTTGATCACTACCTCGACCTTTCCTTTGGTCTTGGAGAGCCTAGTGATAGGTTGGAAAACATATCTTGTATCAGTTACAACACTGATCGTCTCCTTTGGTAAATGCAATTGACTGAGATGGAAGTGGGTCTGTAGGTCCTGGAGACTTCCAATTAAGTGGTAGTCCACATTCTTCGGGTGGAATGCGCTGATCTCGCTCTTCGCGGCTAGTCGTAAGATCCGACGAAAGCATTTTCTAACAACTTAGTGAACACGTAGTCCTAACAAGATATGATTTGGATCTTACCTAAAGGCGCTGTTCATATTGTAGACAAATACCCTTGAAAGCTGCTTTGATAACTCCGTCGGCGTCAATAGATCCAACTGTCTAAATAACGCATCCTGTGGCTCATTCTGGCCATCGTAACAGGTTGCATCAATGAGGATACCAAATGGCCGATGCCACATACGGCTTGCAATCTGTAGACGTTAGACCTCGAGCTGAGATATTATACTCGGCAACGTACCTTCAGATAGCCGAACAGCAAAAGTTCATAGTCCACGCTTTCTGTATCAATGTTCCGTAGTATGATACAGATCATTGGGAGCCCATCCTAAACCACGGTCAGCAAGATTTGTTTTGGTTGAGTGGTTAAAAATACCTTGCTTTCGCCACCATCATATACAGCACGGGTGGAAGCCAAGGACTCGGTATTCCTACCCGCGTTCCGTAGCATAAAATGTTGGAAGCGGGAGTATGATGGGGGGCTGTTCGATGAGATTGCAGGTCGATTCCACGACACGTCCATTGGAGGAGGGCCCAAATTGGTAATGAGCTTTCGAAGCGCTTCTAACATCGGAACGTGTCCCCTGCTGATGTCTATAAGTGATACCTCGGCACCTTTCCTCTCTCGGAGAACAATCTTTTGCCTGACATGGTCCCAATGATCGTACAAGAACCGATGAAGTGCAACGCAGGAGCCAAAATCGAATGCTTCCGACTCTGCAACGGGTTCCATTACATTTGGAGGTACCTAACGTGGTTAGGAAAAGGCCTTGCTTGCTTAGGGAGGACGTACCGAGATTTCTCGCAAAAACGTAGTCACACGGTATATATTCTGGGTAAGGAAGTCGTTGAGTGGAAACATGTAAGGTTCCTTTGCCCCGAACAAGACATTATTGGCCAGATTTTGCACAACCTTAGCAATAAGCAAAAGACCGCGACGCATCTCTTTTGAAGGTGGGGAACTTATCAGTCCTTCAGCATCTGGAGCAACAATGGCAGGGCAGAAAAAGCGCAGGAATATAAATGCCCCGACGGCGGTAAATTTGGCTTCTGGGAATCGCTTCATGACAGCTGTTGAAATCTAGGGTCATAGATAAGCATTCAAGCAGAAGAAACCGAGGTATGTTGAACTTACAATGCTACAGATCTTCCTAAAAGAGACAGGAATATGCCCTGCAGAATTACAAATATCGTCGATGAAGACCTTGGCAACAACTCGAAGCTGGAGGGCGTTCTTTTGCAGCTCCTCGGCGGAAGTAGTACGGGCAGGGTCAAGCTCTAAATCAAGATCCTTTGATGTGAGGACAAGTCGCTCAAGTACTTTTTGCAGGGTCGCTTTTATGTATGTAGAGCCCTTCCATTTTGCATAGACCGACAGCATCTTGGTAGCTACACAATTACGTCGTAGAAGCTCGGCTTCATTCTCTACTCATTATTAGCAGGATATATATTTACCAGCATGTAGCAGGGTCGTACCAGTTCCCTTAACTTCATGCTCAATGAGGCCCTCTAGAAGTACGAAGCCCAAGCCTCTTGAGTCGAATATATTGAGTAGTGAAATGGTCATCTCATCCACTTCGGTGCTTGGGCACGCATCGCAAAGCGCAATTGTCAATGGCATATCATTAATAAGAAGCTACACAAATCAGCCCACGGGCAAATTTATTCACATTTTAGGCAACTTACCTCCAGAAGCTCGTCGTATTTCTCATTCACAGCTGTATCAGAGAGGTTGTTGAACTCGGCACCTTGAATCAGGATATTACACAAGACCTTAACAAAAGCAGTCCTTATATCAAGATCTTCGTGGTAACCAATTCCCAGCGAATGCTTAAGGCCTACATCGATGTTGGCACTCAAGAGGTTGGACAACGCCGTAATGGCAAGTTCAGAAAAACCGACAGTTTCTTCGCTCCCAAAAGTTGACACCCGCAATTCGTTTCTTGTAGTTTCAGTTGATTCATAGTTCAACAGTGACAGGAATCTGTTGAAATATGTATGAAACATTTGGGATTTAAGATCACTTGTGTCCGCATCTGTTTGGCCTTCGGCTGGCTGTAGTGGTAGTCGATATGTTAGATCGGCTAGAGCCTTCAGAGATGCTCTATCAAGATCTCTCTGAAGTCGGAGCAGCTCATCGACCCGAGTTCCGGTCGCATGGATGGTCTCTTTTGGCGTGCCTGGGCGAGCTATCCAGCTGAAAATTACCTCCAAGAGTTGATTTCGGATACGGACATCATGTCTCAAGTTCAGGAGCTCTTTCTTCTGCGTAACCGTTTCGCACAGCTGGCAGATCTTGATTTTCACCCTAAGTATGCTTGCGGTCTCCGCCAACTCGTCCAGAAATTTTGCAAAATTAAGAGTCAATGCACCAATATCAATAGATAGTGACACGCCAACTTCAGCTGGGCCGCCTAGCCTTTCAACAATACTCTTCAAGAGAGCTGAGGCCTGCTCGGCAAATATGACACGAGCTTCAATAGAGAGTGAAGTATTTGTACGAGGGCTGTCGAATAATACGCCAAGCTCGGCTTCTAGGGTTTCGAAAAGTGGCAAGTACAGTGCCGAGGAAAGTTCAGTGGAGAGGGTCTCTCTGGTCGCCTCTCGTATTCTAACATTGTTGCTAGCAAGTAGTTGAACACTCTGCCTCATATATTGAGTCAAGAGAGTTTCGTCATAGTTTTCCGGTGAAATTCTATCGATCCATTTCAGACCAGCCAGATTCGATTCCTCGGGTGTCAGCGCCTGATTTGATATGCAAGCGCCTCCTAGAGAAGCGAGGAATCCGGAATAGTTGCGCCACTCCACGAGCGGTCGTTCTTCTAGCATATCCATTGGCCGTGAGAAGATATGTTTCGATACTTTAAGCCAGAAATTGAAGACGGTCTCCCAGGCCGCCAACATACCAGCTGTAGGGTAATGCATCTTCCTGAGGAGCCCTCGGACACGTTTCTGAAAAGCCACTAATCCAGTAAATCTAAAATCTCTAGATGATATTTCCACATAAATTTCAAGATTTCGAAGAGTATGGGTTAATGGCTTTGCGGATTCTGTCGCTTCATCCACGAGGCCAGTCTCCTCACAGAAGAGAGATATACACTTGGTGACTAGCTGGCAGGTCGAAATGTCTGTCGAGCACAGCGATACCAAAAATGCCGTTTCCAATTTGACACACGCAGCTGCGCGTTCAGGAATCTCTTCATCCAGATCTGTCAATTCCTAGTGTTGTAAGTTAGTATATTAAAACTAGAAATTACCACCAGAGTCGCCAAGTATAGAGACACTGTGCTGAGTAGTCCAAGGAACAGTTGGAGAGAACGCATAAACTAACCCTAATGGTCTTTAGAAGTGCCAGCCTCGATTCGAGGTAATCATGAATAAAGCGTAGTGTGCCTTTCCCGTCGTCAGCCATGCTGATAAGCTTATCAGACACAGCCATGAGAACAACGGATCTGTATAGATATGTCAAATATTAGTTAAAGAGCCTATGAGATGGAACGTAAGAGACGAAAACTAATAAATATAGACGGAAAATATGTGTAACATTTGAATGAGCATAATAGTTGAACCCAAGCTCGGAATCTGTTTTAGATCACAAAAGTCGACAGGGCACTTACGTTGATTTCCAGAAGTTGCGCTTGAAGGCATTCATGTCTGTACTTTGGACTTGTTTCCAAGCCAAAGAAGCACCTCCGGTCATGATCTTTCGGGCTACTGAACTCGTTAATTGCCGGATCCGATCATCATCTGCAACCAGATATCCGACGAAAGAATTTAACGAGGTCTCCAAGAACTGGTTCCAGTCCAAAGGTTCATTCACCGCGCCAACTAATAGAGTGAGAGGAGAGGCATCAAGAAATACTAGTATATTGTAAATCATGCTTGTAGAACCTGAAATCTCGCCAGCCTTCTGAAGGGTGTATTGCTCATCTGGATATGAGTCCCGCGGCCTCGAAGATTGTCCCTTACATATATTAGCGCATTTTTTGAGGGTTGAAGCTTTTTCACATACCCTTAGCTGTACGCGGGTGAACTCGGCGATTTTGGCAAACAATGGCCGGTACTCGTCTGCATTTGACTGCCTCGCAAAATGAGAGCAGGCTGAGATTAAAGAAAGTTTGAGGTTCGTGGGAGAGTTTGGAGTCAGACACAGAGGCGCCAGATTATCCACACAGTAATCGAAATTGAGATGCGCCAAACTAACAAATGCGGCGGACATCAGGGTGTTATCAATGTTTGGCGAGTCCGTTGCGATGTGTTTTCGGAAAACTGCATCTCGAACTTCTTCTTGAACATCCAGAGCATAGCTAAGAATTGCAGCATCACTATCCAGGCTAAAATGCCTAGCAACTCTCAAAACCGATGTCAGGCAGTAGATGGCTGTTTCGTTTCGGTTTCTCACAGCTTTTCGGAGGAGCTCTAGAAATGACACTTTCTTTGATATGCTGCTACTCTTAGCATCTCGCATGTGACTTGCAACTTCAAATACATCAGGAAGCAGCAAGAGAAGTGATGTCTGGAATGGATAGAGTAGTGCCTTTCGTCTACCTCCATCGAACATGGTATTGGTCATATCGAAAAGTGTTTCCGCTCCTGCACAATCGGAAGTCAGCATTTATAGTGTACCAAATGAATATAATAACGAGCTTATGAATGCGTCAAGCCAAGATCGGAGCATTTCAGAAAAATGTCAGAAAGTGCCCATTCAAGATGTACTATTCCACAAACTAGTGCCGGGAGATTGGGTTCAACAGGTATAGTTAATAGAAGAGCATCCATACCGCCATCGAGTCTTTTGTGCGCGGAGTGAAGATCTATGAATTCCTGGGGATTGCGTTCAAGCCACCTGGTAATTAACTGCGGGGTCACGATTGCTATTGTTGTTTGGAACGATTTGCGGAGATGCAAGAAATTGCCACACAGCTCCTGAATGACAACGCTAAGTTTCCGGCTGTCAACCCATAAGCAGGAAATGAACCGAATCACAATCAGAGCACCTCTATCATCATCAGCCGAGTGGCTAGGCAGCGCCGTACCGTTGACCACTGGGCGCAGTGGCTGTGGCTGTATCAGGAAAGCTCTGATATAGTCGAGAACCCGAGTCCAGTTAGAACAAGATATGTATTCCACAATTACTCGAGTGTATGCTTCAACAGCATCGCTCTTCTCGAGAATCAGCTGAGAAACCTCGGTCCCGCTTAAGCGCGCATTTGAAGACGCTGTATCCTCCTCCTCTTCTAGAATATCACAATTATTAAGCCTTCTGAATGAATCATCCAAGATCGTAGACGCAGGAAGGACGTAAGTATCCGATACCGGTTTCGAGAAAAGCTTGACAGCATCCAATATTCTCCGGACCAAATCATCACTTAGCGGAGCGGGTGGATGACCCCGCGCAAGCAGCGTGTTTCGTGATGCACGTCTCTTTTTCCCACGCACTTCGGGACTAAGTGTCCTCTTTGTCGTTCTCTCCGCTTCTGAATCCTCAGAATCGGAGCTCTCATCATCTTCGACGTGGACAACACTCGGTGCTGCGTTGACCGAATCCCAATGTGCAGCGCAGCAATCCGATAGAAGCTCGAGTATATATAACTCGGATTGTACAACATGGATCGGATGGGAGTGTATTCCTTTATACGTTCTGCGAAGTTCTTCCAGTAGCTGCACCAGCGCCTCGATTATAGTTCCTATGCAGGAACCACTGACCCCAACCAGAGTCGAGCGGGTGAGCACCACCACCTCATCGCGAGCGAACTCATGGGAGGGTGATCCGGTGCGGTGTGGAAGCTACAAAAAAATTGGCACATTAGCCAGAGGCCAACAAAGAGCGACAAGAATGAGAACAAGATAAATGGAACGCGACAACGTACCCTCGTTGCCAGGCGATCGACAAGTGTAACAACCAGACCAGAGTCGCCATTCATGGCTGGGGCTAAATGTTATCACCGAGGAAGTCCAGTTACTGCGTCTAGGCATATAGCTATAGATCTGCCTACGCACGCGCTCGCAATTCGCAGTGTGTCGGTTTCCTCCAAGGTACCAGTCCGGCTGTGCAACAGACAATGATAGTTGGCGTTGGTTTAGCTCCGGACATAGCCCAATGGCGCCGGAGGGTGTTCTGGGTGGCTATCGTATAGTATACGGCAAATATAAGGTGCTATAGATTGAAAATTGAGTTTAAATCAAAAGTCGACGGTGAAATTGGGAATTGTGGTTGGAATAGAGAGGATGCGACAGGGTGCTGGGCGAGAGCGAGAGCGCGAGAGTGGCAGAGTGGTGGTGTTGATGTCTCAGACTCAACAACGAAGACCCCTCGTCGACCTCTTTAGTGTCTCGCGTGGCTCGCCTGGCGCGGTATGACCTGCAGGAACAACTCCACGTTCACCGCCCACGAAACGTGGCAGAACAACCCCAAGAAAATCTGCACGTGAAATTATTTTGTATCAAGCACATCCCCACGATGTTATACGAAGTACCGCATGATATTGGCAGACAGCGACTACATTATACAATATATACACTATGGCTTGCAATAAATGGCACATAATATGAAACAAACATGCAAAATGCTTCTACACTAACATTTATTTCTCTAGGTAGGTACAATCCTTTTCTCGTTTTTATCCCAACTCCGTCGTAGTATACATGTTGCCACATACAGCAAACTACCTATACAAAAATACTATGCTAGCTAACGATTCCCCGGTATACTTGGCTGCTTAACGTTGTCCACGGTAGGAACCACCGCCTCGATATGAATCGCCACCCCGGTATGAATCCCCACCCCGATAGCCATCACCACCACCTCGCCGTCGATCATCGGGTCCACCATATCCTGGTCGGCCCTGGTTGGGTGGTGCGTTATAGCCATATGAAGGAGGCTGGGAATAGCTAGGCGGTGGTGGTGGTGCTCCGCGACCATATGATCCGTAGGCTCCGGGAGGAGGCGGAGGAGGCCCACGAGCAAATCCGCCCAGGCCTGGCGGAGGAGGCTGCCAGCCCGCACCCGGTGGGGGAGGATAGTTGGATGGAGGTGGGTAGTTCCCTGCGTTATAGCCGTTTTGTCCCCCATAAGGCTGTCGATTATCTTGCCCCTGTTGTTGATTCGGCCCTGAATAATTGAAGGAATTCCGGCCTCTTCCATCACCTTTGAGAGGAACACCACCATAGGAACGGCCCGATTTGGATGCACGTCCCTTTGTGATCTCGATATCGCTCTGAGTCAAGGCAGGAGTAGGAAAGCTCACTCCCCGCAATAGCATTGATTTATGGACATGTTTCGATTTGGGCATTTCGTAATGAACACTAGAAGGGCACAGGTTAGCAACATTGTTCTTAAGCACGACATTGGACATTCACATACCTAATGGACCGATCATCATCGAGACTGGGCATTGCGTCGCTCAGAGGGAAGGTCAATGATCCATGTGGGAGATGCACCCCATTTTTCTCGACTATTCCAGTTAGACCTTCAGTGACTCTGGGGTTCAACTTGAGTTCCGGTAGCCCCTGTTTCTTTGAATAGAAATTCGTAGCGACTTCGGCATATAAATCTTCATGCGCCTCAGCGAAAAGGAGGACATCTCTGCCAACGCCATTACGAGCGCTCACTTCTGGCGGTAACAAAGGGTACTTCTTTGCCATGGCATCAAGTAGCCGTTTAGAGTCGATGAAAGGCAGTAGAGCAACACCTTGCCAAGCGAACTTCTTGCCGTTCAAATCGACCACGAAATCCTCAGGGTAGAAGTCGATGATCTCGCTATCGGGGTCTGTCATCAGATCATGGAAAACCTCAGGTATGGCTTGTCTTGATGCGGCCGGGAGGACACCCATGAGCTGTTCGTAGGGTCTGAAGATGTTGCCTTTTTCAAAGCTGATCTTCATATCTTTGATGTCAACAAAATCTGCTGCAAACGGCGCATAGTGATACGGATAATACCAGTCCCAGGAAGGGCAGCCTTGGAAGTAATAGAGTAAGACCCATGCAAGCCCCTCCACGTAGGCTCTTCCAACTTTGTGACGAAATTCAATGTCACTCGGATGGACACCAAATTTTTGCGAATAATATCTATCGGCATAACCTTCCTCCCACAATCGAACATTGTCCACCGCCGGCTCGTCTGATGGTGTTTTGGGAGTTCCAGGCTGAGGTGTGTTCCGCCCTGGGGTGCCGCTATCGGCATCTTCGAGCATATCGGCCTTTCGTTTCCCAAGGGCGGATCCTGGGGAAGTCTGCAGACTTACTTCAGCTGAATTTGAGACTCCATCTGTCATAGCTGAATCGGCAGTTTCGTTCCCCGCCGATTCCGTTGTTGAACCACTCGTTTCGCCTTTCACGGATTCTACGGGTAAACCCGTAATTTGACCTTTCAAAGCCGCCGCAGCGCTTTTGTTGGCCATATTCGCCTTGTATATCGCGCCACGATTGACGACCATATCGTGCGTCATGGCCCTTGCCTCCATATTTTTGGTAGGATCGCCAGGGAGGTACATTGGAAGACCCGTGGGGGCAATATCCTTTGAGGGCCTACCGTTTTGTCTGCCATTTGACGGAGAGTCTTGATAACCACCACCACGGCCACCTCGGCCGCCCCGACCACCACGACCGCCGCGGCCGCCATTCTCTTGCTGAAGCTTGCGCCTCTTGGCACCAGCTTCTCTTCTATCCTCCGTTTCCTTCCTTCTACGGAAAATGGCATCCTCTTGCTTAGCTAATCCTTCAAGAATAAACTGGGCGCGTTCAAGGTCAACATGACCATCCTTGGTTAGATAACCACCCATGAAAGGGATATTATCCCGCCAAATGGCGATCAATGTATCAATGCCGTTTTCTCGAATCTCGAGACTAGGTAAATGTGGCAAGAAGTCGTTTCCAACAAAAAAGCACATGAACACCCAATCATCTAACGCTCTTTCAAGATCAAATCGGAAAGGCTGGCTAGGAACGTACATCTCTGCCTCTAAATACTCGCGCAGGACCGATACGTGAAGCCAGATAAACGGTTTGAGTGCAGGAGCACTATCTTTCTCGTCAAACTCTCCATCCTTTACCTTGGCCTTGCCAGTGCACTCTCTGGCTTCATGACCGGCTTGACCACACATATGGCAAGTGCGCGGCTTTGAGTCTTGAGCAAAGACATCTTCTCGCAAAACGCGGAAATGGGGTTCGTGTGTTGCCAATCCCAACATGATCAAATCGGCATCTAAGCCATAGATAACATGTCTTGTATTAGGGTTATGTTCAGGAGATGATCTTTGAGATCTGACAAACTCCATGATCTTGTGTTCACCTTCGCCGGGAACTGTGGAATCGGAGATGATAACTTTCATCTTCGCCCAAGCTGGGTCAGTGTTGAGTTTGTAGGCACACCAGTATCGTAAACTAGCAGCTAGAATATCCATAAATGGCGTGCCCGGCGTAATCTCATTGGAATCAAAAGCTTTTTTAACGACCTCTTCTTCTTCGGTGTAGGTCCCCTGCGCCTTTAGCATCTTAGCCAGCTCAGCCTTGTCTTCGGCTTTCTCTTGTGCCTCCTGGGCAGAACGAAATCGCCGAGAACGCTGCTGATTCATCTTCGCACGAGGAGCGACTCCATCGATAGCAATCATCAAAAGCTTCCTTGGGCGAACCATATTCACAACGCGATCGGTGTACTTGAATATTTCCAACATCATCTCCTCTTCGTCCTTAGGCGCGGGCCTGTCCTCGGGATGCGAACATGGATGGACGATGCCGTTCATATCAAGATACAGGTTATCAAACTCTTCACCATTGGGGTTCGGCCCTCTTGTATCAACCGGAATCGTGACCCCATCTATTTCGCGCGGTTTTTCTTCGATAACTAGAATCAAGGTCAGTCAATTATCACAAAACAAGGCTTTGAACCCAAGACTTACCTCCGCTGACAATCTTAGGATATTTCTGGCTGAGCCAACGAAACAATGCTGGAACACCCATCTTTGCGGCGATTGAAACCGGTCTTTAACAGGTTGAAAGAAGCTGTGGTACTGTAAGGAAATGGACGAAGTCGCGTGCTGCCTAGGATCGTGACGAGTTCGAGGGAGGTTGGAGTGAATAAAAAGGGAGGGCGTTAGGTCGAGTCGACTGCATGAAAGCCGACGGTTCCTCTAATTTAATCGTTGAGGTGTTGATATCAAAAAGGTCAAAGTAATGGAAGACCTTCGCCTGCCTCGCCTTGCTTTTACGTTCACGTTCGCGCCTCAAAGAAAGGAAAGCCTAGAAACTTAGCGTCAATCGCAGCCGGGGACTCGCGCCGGAACCGGATTTACTTAACGCCGCTGGCCCCCTGCATCGGGCCAGTTCTGTAACCTCAAATAACCATAATGTCGAGCTTCGAGAACCATAGTTAATAAATTTCATTCTATTCACAATTCACAATACACAGAAATGAGGCGCCAACGCCCATCCTCGACATGATACGGTGATCTTCGATGGCCAGTGCATCTAAAACTAGAACGTCTGCGGAGCAATGTTTACCATCGCAAGTACCCCGGCGAAGCAGAGCGTCTCGGAGACCATCTCGACCTTAGCCTCGAGGCTTTCCAGCTCCACGCTTCTCGAAGACAGGCGCGCCGCTATCCTTGGTTTGCGTTCCTTCGCAAAGGAATACCCAGCTTCAGTCGCGTCAGATGCTCTACGGGGGCTGATCGCTAGCCTGACCAAAGATGGCGAAGATGTGGACACCGTCAAGGTTGTTCTGGAAACGTTGCTGATGCTCTTCAGTCCCAATGAGAATAGCCCAGAAGCCTCAGAAGAGATTGCTCTCTGGCTTGCAGATGAATTCACACAGCGGCAAGATAATATTACTCTACTCCTAGACTTTCTGGACACGAATGATTTCTATTCACGCCTCTACTCTCTACAGCTACTATCACACATCTTAGCGTCCCGAACCGAACGAACGGAGGAATGTATATTCACGGCTCCTTTAGGGATATCACGATTAGTCGCTGTGTTGGATGATAGAAAGGAGGCAGTTAGAAACGAAGCACTCTCGTTGCTGACTTATTTGACTCCAAGTTCTTCTGAGCTCCAAAAATTGGTCGCATTCGAAAATGTCTTCGATCGAATCTTTAGCATCATCAAGCTGGAAGGGTCTCTTTCCCATGGCGACAGGATAGTGGAGGACTGCTTAATCCTTCTAGCGAATCTCCTTCGGCTCAATGTGTCCAACCAATCGTTCTTTCGTGAAACAGGGTGTGTGCCTAAACTTGCACGATTACTGAAGGATGCGCTTGGCGACGAAGGCACGGAGGAAGAAGTGGCAGAATGGGCAAAAGTCCAGAGGAATAGGAATATATACGCTCTTTTGGCCGTCCTTAGATTATTCCTTGTCACGGGTGGTGTTGGCACACGGGCAAATCAAGCATCGTTCTGGCAACATGGTGTCGTGACGTTGGTACTTCAGCTAGCATTCAATCGTTCAACAGAAATGCAGATCAAATCAGAGGTATGCTCCTCGATTTCTCTTGAGCAGGACAGTCGATATTGATTATTCTTTTCAGGCTTTAATAACCTGTGCAGACCTAATTCGGGACAATCCCAGTCTCCAAGAATCGTTTGCGCAGCTACAAGTTACATCAGTGCTTGATGAACCCGTGGATGAGAGTAGTCAAGCTAGCCAACAGAATGGGATCCCCAAAGTGTACGTGATCGATGGCTTGCTAGATCTCACATTAAGCGTCCCCTCACTCTCGGCCTTCGACTCACGACTTGCGGCATGTGAATGTATCAAAGCCTACTTCTTCAATCATCCCGCAATCCGGAAGCATTTCCTTCGACGCGCAATTGATGGGCATACATCTGGGGCTGACGAAACTGCCAATGTTCTAACAACTCTTCTACAACCGTTGGATAGTCATGTTTCCAGTGACCCATATCGATATTGGCTTGCAGCAGTCATTATATTTCACCTAATATACGAAGATCCGGACGCGAAGAGTTTAGCCATGAGTGTTTCCGAAGGCGATTCCTCAACGGGCGAAGAAGTTGTCACGTGTATCCAAACAATAGCAGCAAACTTGATCATTGGGATTCAAAAGAATGTTGATGAGCGAGTTCTAGTTGCTTATTTGATGTTATTATGCGGCTGGCTTTTTGAGGACCCTGACGGTGTCAATGACTTCTTAGGTGAAGGCAGCAATATCCAGAGTCTGATACAGGCTGCCCTCCACACAGGACCTGAAGGGGTTCTGGTCCCAGGGCTCTGCGCTATGCTTCTAGGTATTATCTATGAGTTTTCTACAAAGGATTCCCCGGTTCCCAGGGAGACTATACATTCTATTCTCGCGTCACGCTTAGGTCGGGATCAGTATATCGATCGGCTTATGAAGTGGAGAGGCCATCCCTTGCTACGGGACTTTGAAGTCCTTCCGCAGAAACTCAGCTCTGCCCCTCAGGGAGGACTTCCGGATGTTTTCTTCGACAAGACATTTGTAGAGTTTGTCAAGGACAATTTCAGCCGTATGCTTCGAGCAATTGACCGCGACCCGGGATTTGAAGTTCCTGTAATTGCAAATGGAGTGACAAAAGGCATCTCTCGGGAGATGGTGGATTCACTCCGATCGCAGCTTGAAGAAAAGACGAAAGCCCTTGAAAAGGCCGAGGATGAACTTTTGTCAACTGGGAGGCAGCTAGGTCAGGACCAGGCTGATCACCGACGGGCGAAAGAAACTTTTAATGTCGAACTTACAAGAATAAAGAACGTCAATGATAGCCTTCAACGGCATCATGATGATGAGATGAAGTATGCATATGTCATAAAATGGAGATGTGAATGCTAACCGTTCTTAGTAAAATCCGAGCCGACCAAGAGAAAGTCGCCCAGGACCACCAAAGACAGCTTGAGCATGTGCAAAAGACAAACGAAGCCAATGCCGAGCGCACACGGAAGCGAATGGAGGCCGAAATTTCGGATCTCAAAAGCAACATCAGCAAGTTGGAAGCCGATCTCTCAAAAGTAAGCCGGGCCAACTATTTATCCCCTATCATTACTAACTCATCAAAGGCAAACAAAAACCATCTTCAAGACCTCCAAACGGCACACGACGAGTACACAGCTAACCAGAAAGAGCAAACTGCACGTTTACAACGAGCGGAAGAGAAAGCAAAGGAAGCGGAAGAGCGGGGCCAATCAGCCAGCAAAAGGGCCACCACAGCCGAAAGCGCGTTAGTCGAAAAGGAAAAGGAGAAACAAGCCATCCAAAGCGAGCTTGATGACCTATTGATGGTCTTTGGGGATCTGGAGGATAAGGTTACTAAGTACAAGGACCGCCTTAAAGAATTGGGGGAGAGTGTGTCGGAGGCTGAGGACGATGATGAAGATGGAGATGAAGATGCTGACGACGACGATGACAATGTTGATTAAGCATATTAAACGCCTCGTCTGTTACATATTGTGATATAGCACTTTTAGCGAGCGCGAATCCAGCAATAGTTCAATTGGCCACCCGGCTTTTGATTTAGGTCCGATATCTAATGTCTTGTTCCATCAACCGGCTGGTTTTCGATTTTGGATATATCTAGAGAATCCAAGCAAATCTGCAAAGTTCGGCAGCATGAAATCATACCTCATAGCCCTCCCAGCTATATCCCCATCCACCACAAAACCTTCTAGCATCGCCATTCGGAATCAGTTCATCTAAACGCCGCCGTACCCCTCTTCCGCTGCTTTGCCGCATCCATAGTGTCCGATTGCGGACAGTTCGTAAAAAGACATACCCCAGTGTAGTTGCCCAACGAAGTGCAACACGTATCCACTACACAAATCGTCCCCGATCCGCAATCAGAATCCCTCCCACAAAGACTCACTTCACTACAATCCAAATCAGACGCGCAAACCGCCTTGCCACTTATGCCTTTAAAGCAGTAGCAAGCGCTATTTCCATTGCAATTAGTGGTAAATCCTGTTTCGCATGACTGGTAGGCCGAGCATGAATCTTCTGAGCATACGCCGCTGAGGCAGCTCTCATTAGGAGGGCAGATAGTTCCGCTACTCCCACAGTTTAGTGGATCGCTATTGAAGTCTGGGGTAGATGTTGGTGCAGCAGTCGTGGATGTTTTCGTCTTTGTCGGTGACTGTGTTCTATTAGCTCCTGGAGACTGTTCATTGAATGGCCATACCGGTTCAGGACTCTTGACACCTAAGCAGGAGCAAATGCTCGAGTATCGAACTGAGCCACTACATGCCGTTGCATAGAGGGGAATGGGAACCGGACAATACTGCTCGATACTGCCGGTTGTCGGGACCGCTGGGACGGTGCCGGTCGCCGGGATTGCCTCCTTTGGACACGTCACAGTGGTGTATATATAGTTTAAACAGTCTACCAGCGCTGTAATAGTGTGTTGTGGGTTTTGACTGGTGTTACAAATTGCTTGGTAGCAGTCATCTTTAATACACTCTGTCGGCGGGTCTGCTTCATCACACAACTTGAAGGACACAGCTCCAATGGCAATGAGCCAAAGGATGCTATGGACGTGCAATTGCATGATGGGGACTTGGAGGTTACAGAGACGAGCAGTAATGGGGGACGATGACGTCCAAATGTGAGAGTACTGGAGCCAAATGCTCAAAGTGGCCGAGTCAAGGGGCCTTTGGAGGAAATGAGAAATGTATCCAAAGAACCAACCGTCGAATTTATACCCTCACAACTTCGAGGACTTCAGTGAGAGGCGGCTTCCCTTCCATTACAACAAATGTAGCAAACTCGCATTGTACATTTGAGTTTGTTGAATGCTGTGCCACTAGGTATGTGGTACGAGAGAGCAGCATCATCCCGCTCTGAATGCACTAATGAATGGGGCTTTACTAGACTTCAACCCCCGGAAGATGCGGCGTCTTCTGCAGCAGCTGAGTGTCCAAGGGAAATTTGCTCGGAAAACGTGCCGGAACCATAGCTCTTCCTTGCATGGTATTTAGTAATTTAAAGTTCGAAATGCTTGGAATCAAGACTTGTTAGTGCCAAGGCGATGAGTGTTCCGGCCTTTCTAGAGGGTTACTACTCTGTCATTAAGTGATACAATAATTTCGCTAACCCTATAGTGTAACTCGAAGTTCGAGTACTAGAGAGGGGCAAAACCCTTAACAACCCATAGATGTACAAAGCGGGGAAGCTCTGCGCTGTACCCTTCCAGTATACACAACTGATGCATAGAGCCTCGCAGCAGATGGTACCACTCGGTTCTAGAGCCCCTAAAATGGGCAAAAGCAGGAAACTCTGAGTTCAAGTGGGATACTGAGGTACCACATTGTGTCAGCACGGTTCCTACTCGACTTTGTGAATGTAGGAATTAGATGTGTAGTGGGGTTGGAATTTTGTTTAGGTAACTGTTAAGCGGGATTGGCATACGATCCGAGACTGTGTTGGCAAAAGATATTGCACGCTATTGGAGAAGGGGGATATGTATCTAGGCAAATTTAAAGTAACTCCAAACCCCTTAAACTTAATTGGCTCAGGCAGTCTCGATGGAACATGCAATTTGTACCGGCAAAACTCCTATATTGACGGGGCTCACCAATACACCAATAACTCAACTAGGTAAAATGTAAAGCGTAGTAAGGAAGAAAGACCAAACAAATATTTTTTCATTTTTCAGCAGTGGATACCGTGAAACTCAATTATCCAGACCACGATGGAAATAATATGCTATGGTCCGTGTCAGGAGTTCTTGATGTCTTGCCGAACATCCAAATGCACCTGAACGTGTGGATGGCGTTCTTTGGTGTTCTTTTATGTAACCAATTTAATTAGGGAACTACATACGCTTAGAACTCCCGTTTCAATTTTGTTAGGGGCTTTTGGCTAGCTTTGATTTAGATAAATATACTGTATCTATCCATTTCGGGGTGAGCAACAAGCTTCCCTTTACAACTTGGAATATTGAGGAGTGCCTTGAGGAATTGGATACCTCCAACTAAAGGGGGTTTTCTCTTTAGAGAGTATTTGCAACTCAAAATATCAGTATTACTTGGGACCAGGATAAGGTTGTCTATTCCAATTGATCTAGTAATTTCGATTAATACTCAGCGTGCTATTCTGACTTCAATCCTAACCAAGTTTGCCAGGGACAAAAGGGTGCCCAGCACTCAATCCTCCATCAACCGCCCAAGCTTGGCCATTAACATAGCTGCTCTCGTCGCTCCCCAAGAACAACGCCACCCGTGCAACCTCGTCTGCATGAGCTCCTCTCCTCAATGGATTGAGTTGGCCGATTTTCTTCTCGGTGCCTCGCTGTCTCGCTGCTTCATACATACCAGCGGTCATTCCTGTTTCGATGACGCCAGGGCATATGGCGTTGATTCGGACACCCGTTCCAGCCAATTGATATGATATTGTTTGCGCTACGGAGACCACCCCAGCCTTCGAGGCGGAATAATCAGTTGAGCCTGCGTTGGAACGAAGGCCTGCTACGGAAGCGGTGCAGATGATGCTCCCTGAGGGATATTTCTTCTCTTCGGATGTTTTCATCATAGCTTGTGCTCCGTACTTGGCCGCAAGATGCACACTATGAGACGTTAGCCTTGGCCACAACCAAGAAGACAGGAGCGTACTGACCTCACGATATTGGTGTTTAAGGTAGATAGGAACTCGGCGCCGGTAACCTCTGTGAAGACCTTAGGCTGTCCGATCACGCCGGCATTGGCAAAGAAAACATCAAGTCGACCATATGTGTTGAGTGCATCATCAACCACAGCTTTCACGGCCTCTTCGTTGGCAGCGTCGAATGTCCGGGTATGCACATCGACGTCGGGATATAATGATTTAAGCTCACGCTTATGTGTCTCGAGATGTTTATCGTTGAAATCGCATATGTATATAGCTCTTGCACCATTTTGGGCGAACTGGTGTACCGAAGCTCGGCCAATGCCCAAGGGGGAGTTCGTACCTATATAGGATATTAGTTAGTCGTGATTGCACCACAGCGGGAGAGTGGCAGGACAGGCGACTGCAAATACATACCGGTTACAATGACAACCTTCCCTTTCACTCGTGGTCCATTCGAATCTGGCGCGATCTTTTTGAGAACGGGAAGGTCTTCGAAGCTTCCCTGGTCTGGAACGGGCGCTACCAGCTGCTCGCTGAGGGCCGCAAGGCGCCTTTTTGCAATCATGATTCCGTCGTGCACTGTGGAGAGCTTGGGTGGTAAATGAAGGTAATGACCAAATCAGGTGTACAGAGAATTGATATGGTACAGATAATCAATATCTATCAGGAAATGCGAAATATCCCGTCATACTTGTACTTTCGTCCGCGGCTTCAATGTTGCTCAGGCACCGGAAAGGATTGCGGGGGACGGATCGGCCGGCATCGATGAACCGCGGCCCAAGTCAGCGGCCCAATAACAGTAGAGAGGTCGGCTCTCAGGACGACCGAGGGCCAGGAACTGCGATTTACTCGTACTGTACTTCGTACTCTCTAAAGAATTAGAGTCAAGCCTTGAACCCTGACCTGTAACTTCGAGTTTCCAGCCTTGCGTTACCAGTACCAGTAGGCTGTCTTAACAAGCTGTGCTAAATAAAGCACGTGCTACTCAATTATTAAGGTATTGATTGATTCATAGGGAAGGTAGGCACTGGGAATGAAAGAGAGTTCCGGTATAGTGACACAGGTGATTAAATTTGCTTTAGTTATTTAATAGTTGAAACTCACATCGAGCAAGTAGGGACAAACTACTCGGTACGAGTATAGGCGCCCTTTGAACTACAATACTCTAGCTGGTCTGCTGGTGAATTACGTCGAAAACACTTAGTCGCCCACATGGACCAAAGAATACCCACTCTCACCGCACTTCGTGCTACGTACGACGTTATCCCTAATAAATCACTCACGAAAGCATTGTTACACGGCGTTTATATCAATGGAGTGCGGCACTTGCGTGCTTTGAATTCTCTCAAATGCGGCGAGATCACGTCAACACCCACACTCACTGCCGATGCAGGCTGGAGGGAGATAGAATAAAAGGAAAGACAGCAAAGTATAAAACACTTTCCACGTTCTAAGTGATATTTTTTGGATGCAAATATGGAGACCCTCGATGCCTTCGCCCTTGCATAAGAATCTACTTTTAGGTCTTTGATTACGCTGTTAGAGAGACCCAGGCCAAGGGGCCGAGACCTACGGCTGCTAGCGAGCAATGACGATGGCATATTTTCATGCCCTCCCGAACCACGCGAGCCTGCATAACAGCAATAGCAAGCACTCCAACTACACCTCAAGCTCCAGCTCCAGCTACGACTCGAACTCCAACCACAGCACCAACAGCACCAACTCCAACTATAACTCCAACTACGGCACCAACTCCAACTCCATCAACTACCACTATCACCACAACTACAGCCACAACCACAACCACATTCGCAACTCCAACTCCCAACCTGTCGCATTCAACTACCTCTACTCCTTTGGCCATCCCGCCTTTACAGAAGCCGCTTTCGTTTCATGCCCGTCCGATGCAGCTTTGAAGTCGGTGCGGAGGTTGTCATACGAGGGCCATTTGGATCAGGATTACTGGGTGGACGCCGGGAACTGCTCCTCTGCGCTGGCCATGGACAATGATGCAGGCGCGCCTGCACTCCAACGCTCGACTTCACATCAGTCAAATGCCTCTGCCAAAAGCTCGCGATCCCAGACGATGCGCGCTACTCGAAAGTATACATCTTACATGTCCAGCTCTGCGTCATCGATTTCGGACAAGTCCTTGACTTCATTCCCCTCGTTCTCTCCAGAGTCTCCCAGAAATGAGCGCCCCCTACTGTCCCAGGCCGTGAGGGACTCCTCGAGCACATCTCGGCATCCTTCGATCGTCGAGAGCTTGACCGCTTCGTTCCCTTCGAAACAAGAGCGGACAGCGCTATTTGGCGATGCTCCACCCACTACGAGGCGTGTCCCAGGCGCGATTCATAATGCTAGCGATGAACACATTGAACGGTTGATTGCGCGAACTGGAGCGGTTGCGCTGGTTAGACAAATAGCAGAGGATTTGGCACAGCGTGATGCGGAAGTCGCTCCGCTCAGGCGCAAGGCGGAAAATAGGGAGCGTGCCTTGAGGAAGATCATACTAGAGTGCGGGTTATCGAGCCTGGATCTAGAAACTCGCCTACGGACTATCGAAGCAGAGCAAAGAGTGATCGGTGATAACGTCATGGAGGCGGATTTGGCTCCGCAAGAAGGCGGCCTTGAAGATTTAATGAGTGATGCGATGAGTCAAACTGTGGTGCTTGGAGAGCGTGCATATCCAGACAATGACAACACTATCCGTGCGAGGGACGCACTCCAAGCTTTAGAAGATCGCCCGATAACTGTCGCAAGAGGTTGGAAAGATTATATATGGGGGGGGACGAGCCGGAAGAGCAGCCGATCCAGCGTTGTTACTCCAGATATCGTGAATGGTCTGGAACCAACAAAGACACGAAACAGTTCTGCCACCGGGCGGCGCACTGTTTTGGAGAACGGCCTTTTTGAGGCACCGGGGTCTATTCGGAGTCCAAGTCGTGCTTCTAGCATCCAATCGACCCATGTGAATAACTCACATCGTGACCGAAAGCCATCATCTAGCTTCGCGGCCTTGGCCTTGAAGCTTGTTGCAGGTAGTAGCACTACAGCGCGTGATACTGAAAGCGCCAACGGCCGTGGTAGATCTAATAGCACTGGAGCAGCGACCGCCTCTAGAGACCAGTCGTCGGCCAGTACCAGGACAACCATGTCTGCTAGACCGGCGCCTGTGAAGCAGCCGCCCAAGGCAATACCAAAACCGCGGCGACCAGCAGCGATATCTGTTCAGAGTGGGGCTATCCGAGGTGCTCAAGAAAGGTGGGATACGATGGGACAGAGCCCTCAAAACACCAGAACTAGGAGTGCAGACAATTTTGGACCTGTCGAAATGGATCAGATCCTTCCTCCAGACGCGCAGCCGCCAACTCTCACCCACATATATAACGCATATAGCCAGGAATATCTAACTGACCGATTTGGGTTTATTTATGATCAACGGCGAAAGAAGAGGCAAAAGGAGGCGGCTGAAAAAGTGATAAAAAGTAAAAGAGGGAGTCGTGTAGAAATGTTGAACACTTCTAGAGGAGGGCGGTCTCCGGGTATTACAGATGACGAAGGTGAAATGGATGAGGAAAGACCAGATACTCCTACCTCCTTTGACGAAAGGGGCGAAGATGGAAAGCGAACTAAGCGTTGGCAAGATTATCTAAAAATCGCTACCTTCCCTACCGAGTTGCTATCACATACACCATCAGGGGCTGAACCTGCATTCGAGGTCATGGAAGGTGGTGAGGTACCCAGGTCACCAAGGATCATTCCTGAAGAACGAGGCTTCCTGCCCTCTAGCAATACTACCGCAGCTTCGCCTAGTGTGCCTGTAACATCTGGCAATGCTACCATTTCGAAGCCAGATACGTCTTCTCCCTCAATACCTCTCACAACAGAGGATATGGAGCCAGTCAAGCTCCTTCTACAGCAGCTAGGAGAAGTTCATGACTCCCTACAACGAGAGAAGACTGTCAGGTGGAATGAGTTCTTACGAAAAGTCAGAGCGGAGAGAAAACGCGATGGTGAAGCAGCCGCAGCAGCGCTGGCAGCGACAGGAGACAAAAACACACGGCCAATAGCTATTATGCCTGAAGCGGTGCTGGCAGATGGAGAGATGATCGGTGTCGCTGGCTTAGGCAATAAAGGCAAGGTCGGGCGCGCCAAGTGGAATGAGTTCAAGGCTCTAGTTCTCGGTGGCATTCCCGTGGCATATCGGGCTAAGATTTGGTTTGAGTGCTCAGGAGCTGCAGCCCTTCGGATTCCTGGCTATTACGATGGCCTCGTCGCTCACAGAGGAGACGAGGATGACCCAGCAATTATTGCACAAATCCAGATGGATATAAATCGCACCCTGACAGATAACATATTTTTCAGAAAGGGACCAGGCGTTGCTAAGCTGGAGGAGGTCCTACTGGCGTACTCACGGCGAAATGCCGAGGTTGGTTATTGTCAAGGAATGAATCTGATTACGGCCTGTTTACTGCTCATTATGCCTACAGCTGAAGATGCCTTTTGGGTTCTCACGAGCATCATCGAGACCATCCTTCCCCAGGGGTATTATGATCACAGCCTTCTCGCATCCCGAGCAGATCAGCAAGTCCTCCGGCAATATGTCGCCGAGATCCTCCCAAAACTCTCGACGCACCTCGATGACCTAAGCATCGAACTTGAGGCGCTTACATTCCAATGGTTTCTCAGTGTCTTCACTGACTGCCTCTCTGCCGAAGCCCTCTTCCGCGTCTGGGACGTCGTCCTTTGCACCAACGACGGCAGTACTTTCCTCTTCCAGGTGGCACTCGCGCTGCTCAAGCTTAATGAGCAGCAATTACTGCAATGCTCCACACCGGCAAACATATACACCTACATCAACCACCAGATGACAAACCACGCTATCAGTATTGATGGTCTAATCCATGCATCTGAGGGCTTGCGGAAGGTGGTCAAGAGAGATGAAGTTGAGATCCGCAGAGCCAAGGCTATTGAGTCAGAGAAGGATCTCGTCCGACAGCGAGAAGCGAGGAATGTTCTGAGGAAAGCAGAGAGGCTTGCAGCAGCGAATAGCTCTATAACGGCCGATATTCAACCCGAGGTAGACGGGATGAAGACCCCTCCACTAGAAAATGGAACGCAGTTAGGACCGCGTGGCGACGAGTTTGGCGAGTTGAGTGCTAGAACGCCTACTCCAGCGGAGGAGGAGGCAGTGTTAGGTATGGGATAACAGGATAGATGATGGGAGTGGTGGCAGTGCTTGTCAATTGCATTTTTTGCGGGATTGGGATATCATGATACCCCCTTTTGTCGATATAACGTCACTTTTATAAATATAAATAGAATTGTTGAGGTAGCTTGCTTGTTCTTTTGAGGAAGTTGAAACTTGTGGAGTGGTATTTGTTACGATATGCGTTCGCAAGCTATGAACGTATTGTGTAGGAGGATTAGGAGTCCTGATTAAATAGAACTCGGTGGTGCTGAAGTATATATTTAATAAAGAAAAGCTAAGACTCTTGTATCGTGGTTCCTAGCTTATATTTTAGGAGCTCGAATTTGTTAACGGGTTACTAAATAACCATACAAAATAAATATAGGTCGTCTTGTGATTCTAATATTTTTTATATGCAGTTTAGTAAATACTTTATTACTCTAGTGTTCGTTGTAGCACTCTACCCTTTACCTATCCAATATATTTTCCTTCTATTTCCCTTATGATAATTTATAGTTTGGAGGAATACTATAGCCAATGTGGTGGCAATCCCGCTAACCCCAATTACCATATATTTATTATTCCAACTCAAGGTGCTCTTTAATCTTCTGCAGCCCTTGTAAATCCCCCTCAACCGTCCCCATCTTCTCCTTATCCACCCAGCCCACTGTATATCCGCCTCCAAAATCAATCCACACCTCCCCCGTCTGATCAATTAGGATATTTTCCGCTTTGGCATCTCCCCATACCACGCCCGCCCTATGCACCTCCCCCAGGATACGCCTCACGTCCGAGAACCATTTCTCTCGCAGTATTACGTCAGGCCCATCCTGCATAATTACCCCTAACGTGTCCCGACTCTCTACACACTATAGCAACAAACCCATCATGCCGACATTCCCGTCATCCCCATCGCCCTGCATGTACCCGCAGAGCCTCGGCACGCGGGTCGGTCCCGTCGGGCCCTCCCACTCTAGTCGCAGCAGCGATTCGATCTCACGAGTGATCGCTTCCGATGATCCATGGTGAGCAGCTTTGAAGTGGTATGGCACCTGGTCGGCACCGAATACTTTCGCTGGGAACTGTGCGCCATCAGACTCGACATCCCAGTCTATGAGGATGTCCTTAGGCATGAAGGCCGGCACATCTGAGGCGAGGAGGGAGGGTGAGAGGGGCATGCTTGGTGTGAGATAGTCAAGGGAGGTGGGCTCTGTTGGAAGGGGGTCTAATTTTCCATTGACGACTTGGAGTGTGAAGAATGATGTGACGGGGTTGAAATACTCCTGCAGGGTCTGCATCTTTGGGGGAGATGGCAGCAGTGGGAGGGAGTGGAAGATGGGGAAGAATGGAGTCGCGATCCAGCCAGTTAAGGCTTCAAGAGGATCTGGTTCATCGGGGTCAAAGTTGGCGGCGTCCTCATTTTGGAGGGTGTGAAGGAGCTGCAAGTATTCACGTTCATACTTCGAGGCTTCGGTGTGTTGAGGATCATGTAGGTTCAGTGGTGAAAGGGTTATATAAAAGCGCTTGGTTCGACAAACAACTGTTAACTGGGAGTCTTCCGAAGTTAGGCACCGTTCAAAGGCAACAACAGCATATCGGGTATATCGTGCTCTATGGCAACTAGATCTAGAGAATATCCGAAAGTTTGATTAGCAATGTAGACTTGTATTAAAGACGTAAGGAGAGTATTTACAGTAGGGCTGTAAACCAAGGTTGAGATCCAACAAGTGAGCCTAGATTATCGGTTAAGAGCTGCGGCCGCAATAAATATTTTTAGGTATCCCCGGTGTGGTACGCTGGCCAGTGTGAGGATTAGACAAGATTGAGTAGGTAGCTTCACGTCTTCAAATGGAACCAATAGCAAGTCCCCACGGGCGTTGAATTCAACATATCGGTCTTTGAGCCGTAATTCTTCATTAAATCTATATTTCCATCAGCTTATATTACTTTTGCAGGATTGGTAAACCCACATCCATCGTCTGGAGGTATGCTGGAACAGAGAGTGATCAAATTCTGGAGTCCCAGGTAGTTGCGAAGTCGTTGAGTAGTCCACGATGAACTTGCGGGACCGCGAGCGCAGAAACCGATATTATAGGTAACAGATGGGGCGTGATAGATATGAGGGCTTTGAGCTTCTGAGAGTAATTCTAGGTAAGGGCATTGTGAGAGGGGACAATAGTGCCAGGATATGTAGTCCAGGTTTCTTGCCCCTTTATGCAAGCTTCAGTGCCCCTAAAAAGCGAAACCTTGGCGACGGGGCTCGATTTATATACCACCTTGGAAAGATGCGCAAACTCACTTTCAAGCCCGAGAAGAGTCGTCCTGGCAGAACGAGCCTTTGATTTTAAAACTCTTGATGAGTTGCGTCTTATCCGTGGGCAAGGCCTATTGTGACTGCTCACAACACATCCTGGGCTTCTACTCTGCGCGCTTCAACTTGGCTTGCAGAGTATGCTCCGCCGTCTGCCCCTGAACCAAACTTTCTACTTCCCACAAACCAACAATCCTTCCCAACATGACACCACCATTAGCTACGATCATCTCTGAGATATCTTCCATCAAAAACTCCCACATCAAGATTTTATCAGGCCCACTAAAAGGTGGCTCCAATACTGTATATGAGATCCAATCTGAGCAAGGGGATCGTTGGTGTCTTCGTATCCCCCACGACGCCGACGCAGCTAGCTTTGCTACAAAAGGAACAGCTATTCTAGAAGATGTGAAAAAAAGGCGCCCGGCGCTTCTAGCACCTGCTATTATCTATCAATCAGACTATTATACTGTTATGGAGTATCTTGATGGAGAGGCTCTTAAATCCTGGAACACGCAAGTCTTACCAAAGGAGCGGCGTCAGGATTTACTAGATGGCCTTGCGACTTTCCTGTTTTCCCTATGGACCTTAGAAGAGGTGCAAGACACTCAAGGCACAGGTAGATTTTACTAAAGAAGCATGCCGTGAATCGTGGAATACCACAGATATATGATAAGATGGGCTAACTAGCGTATAGAACACAAGATGACCTACAGAGAATTCCTTCGAAATGAGGTCGACAAAGGACTTCTCCGTACGCTTGAAGGAAACTCCGCTTGGGGGTGATCCAATTTATTATCTCTATCGACGGGTGAAGATTGATGACCTCGTGCCTTATCCGGACGATGGGGTTGCTATAGTCAAGCATGGAGACTTGAATGCATGGAACGTGGTCGTGAGCGAAAGAGGGCTCTCTGGGTAAGTACCTTGAATATCTTAACATATTTTCTCTTTTCTAATTAGTAATAGTGTTGTGAATTGGGATACTTCCCGATTCATGCCTGCCCCTTCAGCTATCCACCACCCTCTTTTTATCGCGGATATTCCAGGGTGGCTAAATGATGATGTCCCTGAGGGGATGACATTTGAAGAAGATCGATCCTATTTAGAGCATGCGATAAAGAAATTAGACGTGAGTTCTGAACACCCTGGGCAGATTGAGCATCTACTACGAACTTCATTTGAGAGGCAATTCTTAGAGATGTCGCTTCGTAACCGGGAGATCAACGATGAGTATGTTCAACGAATGTTCAAGCATAATACCACACTGGATAGGAATGCAGCCCTCGAGCAGTTGGAAGATTTTCTTTTTATCAACGAATCAATGCGAGCGCTTCCTACAGTATTAAACCTACGAAGCCGGCTTGTTTGAAAGTTACTTCTGTCTATACGGGCCATAGCCTGATGCCTACAGAGTGGGACCACTTCCTTGACAACCCGCCCCCTTCCGACAAACCGAGTTGTGGGACATCAGTTTGTAAGTCTTACCATCATATCGCTTGGTGCAATTAGAGGTGGCCAGGATTGTGAAGTCGGCGTGGGGTTGGTCGGATATAATGGGGAGTTATAATCACAGGTGACTGAAGGTACGATACCGGCTATAGACCTGCCCCTATTAGCTTCCATTGCTGCCTAGGTGGACTGTTTATCTATAAAGTAGTAATACCGGACGAAGTACCACCCTTACACTCGCATTCGATACGTGTTCGGCGTTAATATTCCACGCTTTCTGTCCTACAAACGTTACCATGTCCACCGATCAAGAGCAGAGCTCCAAAATTTACCGCGCGCCTAGCCCAGTGCGTGAGGAGGGATGCTTCGCGCAGACATTCGAGGGCAAGTATACCATCTCGGTAACGTCTTCGTCAAGCGGACTCTCCGCCCCTCTGAGTACCAGCGGAATATCAATGGCGTGCTGTACGTCCCTCGAGCTGGGAATGAGCGTCTTGCCAATGAGGCTGCCAGGTTGACGTTTATACGGCAACTCACGGATATCCCCATTCCGAAGCTGATCTGCGATTTCGAGGATAACGAATGCCACTACGTGATCATGGAGTACGTGGAGGATGTCGCCATGAGTTGTTTGAAGGCGGAGCAGAAGGAGCGTGTGGAGTCAGAGCTAAAGCAACATCTTACGACGCTTCACAATCTGAGATCCAAAAGACCCGGAGGTCCGATTGGGGTTGTGATCCCACCCTGTCGCGTTTCGAGAGTGACAGATAACGATGAGTGGCATCTAAAAGCCTCCGAAAATAAAGAGTATGTCTTCTGTCATAATTATCTTTCGTAGCAAAACATCATTGTGGATCCGGAGACGTTGAAGATCAAGGCGACTATTGATTGGGAGTATGCGGGCTTCTGGCCTGTATCGTTCGAGAAAGAGATTTGGAAGAGGCTTTGTCATTCTGATGCTATGAAGGGAGAGGTCGATGACAAGCATGAGCTGTTGAAATTCCTTGAATCGCGGCAAATTTATGTAGGTTCTTTTGCTATCACGCGTAGTTTACCTCAATTTCTAACATTTGTGGAGTCTTGAGCGAACCATTTTGGGGTATCCAACCAAGGATTCGGCACAGCCGTCCGAATATGAGCTCTGATTTGGCCATTACATGAGGTAATAGTAACAAGAAGGCGTAAATTCTGTTTGACTTTGACTGGGACCCGTATATTGGACCTGTAACAGGGCTTCTCGTTCAAGACCTAGTGATATAGCCTTGGTACATCCCAAAGTTTTCCTTAATGGGCATTTATTCAACTAATTAGAACCTCCGCTGCAAATCGTATACTAGCGAATAAGAGATCTAATTAATTTAATACTTAGCTATATATAAGACTTACAATTTAATAACTTTAATCACTTAGTAAAAGACGTTTTTTATACCTAGTTGAGTATAAATTAATTACTTGGATTAATCTACAAAAGAGGCTTTTTTTAATAGCCTCGAAATCGCAGATAAAGAGTATAGACTTAGAGGAGCGGTTATATAGCCGATGCTTACATTAAGCCTGACTTAGCAACACTAAGCTATATACGTATTTATAACAGGTACAAAAAGAGTATTATTTTGGTTTAGTATAGCATCGTGCACAAAGGCTATTATTCTGCAGTGGTATAATATTCCAAGAATAGATGTAATGGTAATATATTAATTTGGGCTTCGGCTCTCTTCCAAGTAACCTATCCTCCTTCCATATGCTGGTCATCCACCTCATCCACCTCACCCTCAGAAGAATCAGAACCACTAGTACTCGTGTCACTATCCGCCACCGAACTGGCGGTATCTTCCGTGTCCGCATCTGAAGTTTCCAGCGGAGCCTGTCCCGTGGCAGTTAAAAACTTGTTTTCCAACATGAAATCTTCTGGGAGTGGCGTGCCATGCTCAAAAATATATATTGTAGGAAATTCCAGGACCTCTCTTTTGCGTAACAGATCCGTTAAGGGTTTCGAGGTGTTGATGGGTATTAATACTTTGGGGAATGAGGAAGGCGTGTTTGGTCGATATAGGTAGAATGCTAGGTTCGCTGAGGGCGAGTGTTCTTCGTCTGGAGCCTGAGATTCTTCTCTCGTGTTATTCAGTACGGATGAGTTTGCCGTTACGATATCCCAAGATCCCGTTTCTGGATTCTGCAGCCTTGGTATGGCTGTGAGATCAAGTTTATGTTGCGCGTCCAACTTGACCCTCTTCGCAGACCTCTGCCGGACTTGTTCGGCTTTCCGCTTCTTCTCAACTTTCCTCTCATCATCCGACAATTTCCTCCTCCTATCTTCCTCAAACGCCTCGTCATAAGCCTCTCCAAGAGGCTTATTGCCCATTGCCTTACCCAGCAGCCGTTCCGCGTCCGTTCGGATCCACTCCACTTGCCAATTGATACTCTTCTGGTGCTTACTCCAATTCGTTATATTCTCCACACTCCTGCTCATACCCTTAGGCGCACGTATGACCTTTATTTTCATCACGTCCAGGAGCCTATCAATAGGAGTTTCCCCGGATGGTCCATGTCTCCTCTGTTGTCTCCTCCTATCTGGACCGTGTCTCGCAACCCGCAACTCCTCCTTGTGTACTAAGCCCCGGTCCTCCACTATCTGTTTCTCGGAGCGCTCAATTCCATGTTCGATAGAGTGGATGAAGTTATAATCGTGGTCGATGCCGGATGGGGTTGCTACTTGCGATAATGGTTTGAATACTGTCGGATCTCGTACTCCATTACATGATGACCATAGTTTGTGGCGGCGCGAGCAGGGGAGCGAGCAGGTCTGTATGGAGCAGCGTGGACATGTATATTTTGGATCGTTTATGTGGCAGATGCTGCATAGTGATGAGAGGAGAGGATCCGCCATGGGTGTTTGCTTGTTGTAGTGGTGAGGTATGCTCGTGGCTGAGGATTGAAATCCGCAAAATTCGCGAGTCCGATTTCTCGGAGCTGGATCGTTGCGCGATGCTCTCCTTGATAATTAATGTAGATGTCGTTCAGTGATATGTCGCATAGACTGGGGTATTTGGAAGTGTAGGGTCTAAACCGTAAAGTTGTTGGCAGAATCAATTGGGCAATTGCGATGAAGATTCAGTGGCGGAGATCTCGAAATATATTTATTTCAGCCTCGCCTATTTAGAAAACCCCCCAGCGCAAGGCTTCCAATACTACAACAATGCAACCGACAACCACTACTTCCTACTTCTTCCCACCTTCAACACCTCAGTGCATCGGCAAGTATAAACCTCCCAGTGAAGTTTCCCAAGCGCGATATTGGATTCTATCGCTATCGCACCGTGTTGCGCCACTGGTTCCAGGTGGCAATGGCTGGGCCCTTAGCTGTCGATCGCATCGACTTTATCGACTTTGGTGAGAAAACATAACCAATAATAACAACGCAAGAACAAACTTGCTCAGCTACAAGAAGTCAATGGCTTTTTCGCCTCACGAGAACTTCACGAAAATCATTCAATATTGAATGGCGTCATTGTGCTGATGTGTTCGTTGCTGCTGTGGAAGTCCGCACCACTCTTCCTGAGGATTCGTTCACGTTTATCTTCCCGTCCCTGAGAAAATGATATCTTGCTCTGTCGTTAATATTTACCCTCAGCTGCTAATCTTGCTCACGACTTCTTGGAAACGGCAGCCTTGGGCCATTCCCATCGGCTGCAATTGCAATTGAAATGCCTCCATCGTGGACGCAGAAATATAACGTTATAGGCGCTATTTTATGTTCTCTCTGATAGCTTTTCGAAACCTTCGTTTTTGTGCAAGAAGGAAACTTGCATTGCCCTCCATGCGGTAATTCACAAGCACTGCAGACGGGCGTTGCTCAATGCAAGAGCAAGCCATGAATATATCGGGATTCGGGAGTGTCATCCCACAACCGGAATCATACCCCCTTTTAAGGGTCCCACAAAGCCCGCCACATCTTCTTCCCGCAGAATCGTACCTCAGGTAGCAATGATTACTGAGGAGCTGAGCTGCGATTATCTTCACAAGCTGGTGGGCAATGTGGATCTTCCGTGACTTATTCGGCGAAACGGGGCGAGGCTGAGCCCCAATAGAACAAGTTGTTTGCTCCAATATCACTTGGTGGGATTCTCTATAGTACTAGTTGGCCTTGGGCCACCGGGTACACCGGCCTCCGAATATATTTCGTGGTTCCTCAGTCATTTCCAATACCACGTGTTTGGAGAACCTTGGACTTAACTGGGTGCTATTATGAAGACATCCCCACCGGGCGCCGTCTCATCGTTATCTGTTTTTATCTCCAAACTCTGGGGTTTGATCAGGAGCAAGGTACGGAGTATGGACTCGTTGTGACCAGGGCTACAAGAACAAACACCATGCATTTTCATGATAACCCCAGGAACGGCTATGCCGCTGCCCTTGCGGCTCTATGAAATATAAGAACAGCGTCCCCATCAGTCTACTTCAGCTCTGAAGGAGGTCGATGCGATTTCCAACTCCTTAGGATGTTGCGCGAATTAACGACCGCTCCAACACAAGCTCTCCTCGCGAGGCGGGATTATGGTTTGGTCCCCTCCTTATTCGTGGATCATATTAATTTAGATCGTCGTATTGATAAATTTCGGTTCCGTGGCCGCCCCCCTGATTATCACAATCACATCCTTAAACGGCCTTATATCCGCGGGGTGGTGCTGACTCGGCAGGTCAGTGGTCGGTGGTCACATCTGGAATCGAGCCGGCAACCGTTTGATTGATAAAGCAATTACTACTCCATACAACGATATTATCACGAACCGTTTATTTGCTTGTTTTGAATCCGGGAGGACGCGCTGCAGTACGAAGTATCGCTCTGCCTTGGAAGGACAGACGGCTTAAGCCTCGAGGACGGGTTGACCCTCTTGGTGCCCCGACGGCGCCCATGCCGACAGGACGCAAGGTTCGGCACGCCAATAAGGAGTGATCCAGGGATCTATCCACTTTCCCGCACAACTCCAAATCCAAACGTTCAACCATGGGGGTCCCGGTGCCGACGTCCAACTGCGCTCTATTTGGCCTATCAGAACTTCACCAGGACCTATCAATCGGCGCCCTGTGCTCAGCGTTAGCCCCCGAGGTGGCCAAGTATCAAGGCTCAAGCAGAGTGGCGCCCGCCCCTGAGTTAGTGCGTTGAAGCCAGCTGTGAGCCGCGAGCCGTCACCCGTGAGATGGGGTTCTGTTATTTCGATTGCGGCGGGTCAAGAAGCCTACGGAGTAGAGAGGAGGAGGAAGTTGGAAGCCAAAGAGGGGCAGACCGCTCCAGCGGACCAGCGTCCAGAATTACCAGAAGAAGTCAGAACGTCGAACGGAAGAGGCGTGCGACTCTGCGAGCCAGTGCGAGGTGAGGTCCAGAACCCCAACAATGGTTGTTGGACCTGGCTGGGCATTGAAGACTTGGCCAGCATGCTCTGGCCGCGCGAGCATGCCGGCAATAGATGTTGATCTGGTAGTTAACTATTTGTACATGCACGAAGTACTTCGCACTATGGAGTGTGTACCTTGTAATATCACTACGGAACCGAACCTGCAAGGCAGACCACGTACTAGGTACATAGCGATGTCTATGGAGAGAATGCTGCATGCTTTCCGGTCATGGGCGATTACAGGCAGGACTTTGTACATGTACTTTCTTCGTACGTGTACGGAATTGCCTCCTTTCTGTGAACAGCGCTCGTAGACTCATCAAGTCACCACGAAACTGGCTGCTATTGCGGCAGCCTAGCCGTAACGGACGCCAACGTGTTACAGGACGTGCCAAACCAGCCCTCATCAGGCATGGACAGGCCCAACAGGCCCAAACGGAGCTCCCCCGAGTCCCCTCGAGCTTCCCTGTTGTCCTGACCGTCTTGCCCCTTTATCCCCACCCGACTCGCCGAACCCCCCTGCATGGGCCCAAGTAAGTAGTGGACCTCCAGCCATCCAAACATCCCGGTCTGCACTGCTGCAGCTGGCGTCCACAGGTCGAGCTCAGACCCTTTTTCCGTGTATCATCTCCCTCGCCCTCGCCCTCGCCCTCACATATCCACCCTTCTTTGCTCTGTCCCTCTTTTGTGTGCTTTCTCCCGCTCTGCCTCTGTTTCTGTCTTTGCATCTGCGTCTGTTCCCGCAACTGCACGACACGGGCAGCAGGAGGCATCTCGACGACTTCATCCTTTGTGTTTGCCATTCATCGTTTGGAGCTTGCTGGTTGACAAGCCGCTATACTAACCAATTCTTCCAATAGCCTAACCATCGGCCACCTGCACGACCCTCTCCACGCTCTTTAGCTTTGAACTTCTCCCTTCTCCACACTTCTTCTCTTCTCAGACCCTCATCAACAACAAGCCAATTGGACGTTTGGAGGCTTAAGCGTCTCCTGTTGACATAGAGAAGATCGCAATAGCCAAAACAACGGGTCATTGAGGCTTGATATATCAGCCTCCAACACCATCACAGAAATCATGGGGCCCTCTCTCAACAACCACTCTTCGTTCGTGCGACCGCGTACCTCAGACCGCGATGCTCGTCCAGGTACAAGGGATCAGACTGATCAGAACCTGATCATTCCAAGCAGAACATCCTCTCTTCATTCCCGGATCACCCAACCAATCCCGTCGACGTTAAATGTCAAGCCTCAACAGCGGACCCCTAAGACCCTTACTCATGCCTATATGGTATGTGGTGTTGGGAGGGAGCCATCTCAATGGGTTAAGGCACCAGCGCCTACGCAGGGAAAGATTGGCCACATGAAGGGAGCTGTGGGACAATTCTGGCTTCCTGAGATTCTGGGTAGCAGCCCACGGTTGGAGCAGGACAATGAGATCGCCAGAGCATTGCACTCTGCTATGAGAGTAAGTTACCAGATATGCACGCGAGTTATAGACAGTACTAACTCGCAGACAGGCTTGCTTTCCTCATGATGTAGAAATTTGTACCGGCCGCAGTCAACCCCATTGCGTCCACCACTCCTTTGTACTCCAACAAGATTCTTCCCATACCCTCTATGGTATCGCGCTCCGGGTTTGGTCCAGAGCTGATGAGAAACGCGCCGAGACGATCCGTGACCTCCGCAGACGAACCGAATCGGACTTTTATGATTCGGCAGATGAGACTTACTGGATTCCCTATTGTTTATCTTTCCTCTCGAGGTACCCACTTTACAACCTTCTGGGTGATTATCTACGAGGCATGTGGATCCACTGGAACAAGGCAACGAATCTTTTCCACGCTGAGGAGGTTTCACGCATCTTGAGCTTCCCAGCTCCAAGACTTAACGACCTTGTCCGAATTGATATGAAGGATTATGCCCTCTGCTACCAATTCCCATCCTCTCCAACTGGATTCCAGAACTTTGCCATGTGGCCATTGTTCTCGTGTTTATCCGTTCCCAACATCGTGGGTGTGATAGAAGCCGCTTTATCTCCGACTCGGCGCATCATTTTCGTCAGTCACTATCCCGCCATGCTCACCGTGGCTGCCGAAACCATCAGATACTGCGTTCGGGTTTATGAGTGGAGCGGGCTCTATGTTCCTGTCGTGCATGCTAGACATGCGAAGGAGCTTGTCCAGGAGCCAGGCCCATATATTCTTGGTATTACTGCAGAGTGCCGTACACTTTTTACTGCACCTACCGATGCTTTGGTCGTGGACTTGGATCGCAACTTTGTGTTGACATCCAGCCCACCCACAGCACTCACAGCTGGTCAGCGTACGAAGATGGTCAATCGCATCACGCAATCTCTTAATGGAGATGTCACTCCATCTGGAGCACCACAGCATCTTCGATCTGCATATGGTGGAGGAAAGCTGGTTCCAGCTGGGCAGATTATTGTGATGCGCGGCGAAGTCGAATCTATCCAGGATCCGGAATGGTGGAATCAGGATGCCGTGATGGCTGTTATGGATCATGTTTGTGAGAAAATGGTAAGTTTGAGATATGGTTCATTATAACCCGGGATGAGTTATATTGCGCCCTTGCTGACCACGTTTCACTATAGGGAAGAAATACCGGCATGAAAGCCGTGTTTGGCGGGGCCGTGAAGAAGCCCTTGATGACAAAGGTTTCAATGCGCCACCTGAATGAGATCGTTCGGGAGCGAAACCAATACTCTAGGGATGCTCTGGAAGCCTGGCAAGATTTCATCAACCTCAAAGGTCGCATGGATACCGAGCTTGGCAAGGTCACGAAACGGAACAACTTCCTGGTGGAGGAACTTGAGAGCTGGAAACAGCAGGTATGTTTAATATATTTTCAAAAGTTGCACAGCCCACTAACGTTGTCTAGTTCCTCAAATTCCAAGCCTTCGCAGAGCAACTCACCAAGGAGACCCAGGATCTCAAGGTCAAGATTGAGAACCACAAGCGTGAGAATAGACGCCTCACAGCTCTCATTGACCAACAGAAAGATGACGTTGCTCGTCTCAATACACGTCTCTCTGGTACCGAGAAGCAACGTGATGATGCTCTCGAGGCTTTGGTCCTTCAACAAGAGATTGCTGAGGAACTCGAGCGCGAGCGTAAGAGAAACAAGAAGGAGATCGCTGCTCTCCAACACACCAATGGCACCATCGTCCGCCAGAGGGATGAGGCGCAACGTGTTGTTCTGCATCTCCGCAGCTTGATCGGTGGTCAGGCTCACCACATGGAACATCTCGTTTCATCCCTCAACAAGGCTCCAGAATTAGCCGAATACATTGAAGAGGGTTACGATGAGGAGGCCGATGACCTTGAGGATATCGTTGAAGAGGTCAAGACTGACGACAATGATGTACATGAGCCATCGCGCTCGGACAGAGCGAGAAAGATCAATGGAGAGGATATGTCTGAAGAAATGGAAGGCAGACTCCGCAAAGGACTTCGAAACAGCAAGCGATACAGCCAGATGAGCATTGTTGACGTCGCCGATCGCCATCTCCGCGATAAAACTGATGCCATTGCTCACATCATCCGAAATATCAGCGACCAATGTGCCGCCGCCGTCGCAGGTCTTCAACTTGCACACGACGCTGAAGTCGAGGCAGAGGAGCTTGCCCATCAGAGCCAATTGCGTGGTCACCGGGGCAGCAACTTATCCATCGCAGGAAGCGACGATGGTCATTCGGCCCAAGGCTCCGATATGGACAATGATAGCCACTTACACCCCAGTGGCCGTAACTCAAGTATCCCTCCTACTCCGGATCTGATCCACAACCGATCCAGCACTGCAATGTCCATTGCAAGCACAACAACTACCCCCGAGAGGAGCAGCCAGCAATACAATATCGGACAGGATATCCCAACTAAGATCGTTGAGGATAGTGATGAGGAGATCGAGGGCGGGAGTCAGGGTGAGGTTGAAATTACCACCAAAGCTGGATTACTCCACCGACCTGCTGGGGCCAGAATTTCTGCTTTAGGCGGCCGCTAGGTCCGCATTTGTTTTTTCGTTCATAGTCAATATTCGACCTTCGATTTGGGAAAGGCGTTATAAGGGAAGGTCTGTTGCTATTTAACTGGTGCTCTACTGGCCACGCTATATCTCATTGGTTTCCATCTGTAAGTAGAATATATCTTTCGACTGTTTGGAGGACTTGTATTTATCAGGAAGGACGTGTTGGAAAAGAGAGAAGCTGTTGGGGATGACTAGTTAGCCCTTTTGAGGTGGTTTTTTAATACCCGGTGTTATAGTATTTATAGGTATTCATAAGCTGAAGGAAGTATACTTTCGAATTATAAAAATTTGGTTCTTCAATAGACGTGTTAGGATACTTGTAACACTTTAACGCCGAGTCTGTTTTATGTTGTGGCTCCCTCGAGATCATACTAATTATACTCAAGAGTATTGTGAGGATTTGAACAATATCTTCTATTTGAGTTGATACTGGCTTCGCCGCTGAGTTCTCTAACGTTCCCGATGGTAGACTTGGGTTCTAACGACTCAATCTTTTGGATTTTGTTCGATATTTTCCAGGGGTAGAACACCTAACTATCTTTTACAGCAACCAGTGCTCTACCATCCAAGTTCTTTCATCTGCTGATGTGCATTTTCCCTTCGACTTACAGAGGTTGTTTGCTAAGACGACTATACTTTGTGATGTGGGTAGAATTTGCCGAAGCTTAGCCGGCTACTTCGATTTTACTTTTATTGCACATTTAAACTTCCCCATGCCTATCATTATCTAAGTTTGGTCGTTAAGCCACGGGAAAATATTGTTGAACTCCGAATTATGGCTAGATCCGTCATCTACCTACTTATCAGCCCATTCGTCGTCGCTACATAGTAGAAGCTGGTTAAGCTGTTCCTGATTTCATATACTCAGTTTAGCACTGTCCATCGACTGTTTGCCATATTGCATTGGAAACTAGTCACTATCTCCTAAGCTGCCGAACAGCGAATACATAAGAGCACCATCTGGAGCCACAAAACGTACTGTAACGTGATCGGTTTCTCAGAATGGCCGACTCGGAATCTACCCATCCTAGGAGCTTGGAGTCATGTGCAAATGCAGCCCAGACTCATACCACCGGAGACCTCACTCTGTTACACAAGACAACTCACTCAAACTCAAAACTGCAGCGACCTCCAAAACCAAAACTCAAGCCCAGCAACCCAATTGAAGAAGCCACCAAATCCTGGCTCGAGATCCTACCTCCAGAACTCCTCGACGTCGAAGAAACCGCCAAACTCATTTCTAGTGTCCCAAGAAGATGGGTAGCATACCCTCCGATGGTTCTGCTACCAGCTGGGAGCTTCTCGCATGAATCATGGCAAATCATCCAGGAATTACTCGCCGCACCACTCCAGGATGAACTATGGACTCGGATCCTATCAGGGATCAGCAAGAAAGAGGGGAAAGGCCCTCTCACGCATCTTGCTATCAATTCCGGGATTCCGCTTCTCGCAGGAAGCGTTGGGGATGAAAGCCCGGTCCCGGTCACAACGAGAATGATGAATATACTTCGTACGCCTAGCGGTCTAATAACCCTTTACGGAGACTTCGGACCCGAACTATCACCAGCTATCATTCCTACAGTGGAGGATTTCCAGGAGGCATTTTGGGTCAGCACAAAGCAGAATGGGATTACGCAAATTTGGGCACCGCGCTATACTATGTTTAGTAGGGGAAATGTTAAGGAGAAAGCTCGGTTGCTTGATTTTCACCGAGGCTCAGATGAATTGAGGGAATCGAGGAGGTGGAGTAAGGATGATCTAAGAGGTGATGTGGCGGTGGATTTATATGCCGGGATTGGGTATTTTGTGTTTAGTTATGTGAAGATGGGAATGGGGAGGGTGTTGGGATGGGAGTTAAATCCTTGGAGTGTGGAGGGCTTGAGAAGGGGTGCTGTTGCCAACGGTTGGAGTGTGAGAGTTGTGAAGGCAGGAGAAGAGTGGAAGGTTGGTGATGAAAGTATCACGGTCTTCGAAGAGGATAACAACGAGGCCAAGGAGAGATTTAGGGGGATAGCTGCGGGAAGAATGGGAAGTGTGAGACATGTTAATTGTGGGTTCCTCCCAACAAGTGAAGGGAGTTGGGAAATGGCGCTCGGGATCTTGACTGGAGATGGTTGGATTCATTTACATGAAAATGTCGGAGTAAACGAGGTTGAGGCTAGGAAGAGGGAGATTGAACTTATGTTTAAGAACTGGATAGGCAAAGCGGGGAAGAAGGCGGAAGTGATGGTTGAACATGTCGAATTCGTTAAGACATTTGCCCCTGATGTGTGGCATTGTGTCTTCGACCTCTATATTACAAACATGGGCTAATGCCATGCATTTGTTGAGCTCTCGCTCTATATTCATGCAATCCGTTGTACATCTCTGGACACCTTATGTGTTGTTCCTATCTCTTCCATCTCGTACTGGTTTCATGTTGCTCTCAGGAACTTCGGCGGTATATTATGCTCCACAATTGGCATCTTATCCAGTTCCGCCTGTCTTTCCGCTTCATCTTCTAACTCGTCGTGCTTCTTAAAATGTGCGATATCTTCCGGATGAATTAAGTCTTCCTCCTTGGTATTCTCATCATGGTATCTACGTCGCGTCAAGTCAGCACCACTCTCATCCACATATCCACTACAACTCTGCATAGGAACACTCACTTCTCCCAATGATGAATTTCATATTCCATCTCAATATCCCAATGGTGTCCAGGGCCTGTACCGAAATCCGGCAAAGTGCCCTTCTCTTTCCCGCCGTCATTACTCGTAAAGTACATCCACTCGTCCCGCTCGACGACATTATTCCCGTTGGTATCAATCAATCTTAACACTTCATTGGCAATCTCGGTCTTCTTCTCCTCTGGAACGTCTTTCGCAGTCTCGTCTTCCATGCCATATGTCTTGAGGATCTCGCGAACATCCCAGAAGCCGTTGTCGTCATAGTCGTGGAGCGAGAAGAATGCGCCTGGGTCGAAGTTGCTGATGTGATGCTCCTCTAATTAGGCAATTAGTAAGGCAACCCCAATTCGAAAGAGACAGATAACATACCAGCCATGTGCCTCGTCGCCCAGTCGGCTTCAGGGTCAACTTCCAATGGTTTTTGATGCGCTCCTCCATGTGCTGACGCGAATCCCACGAGCGCTATTGATGCTGCGCATGTAGCTAATATGGCTCTTCGGACGGCCATTGTTCCAGCTATTGTTTATTACTCCTACTATGCGCCGTCAATGTAATAGTCAAGATGCGAACTACTAGTAGAGAGGGCGTTGAGATATGTTTTTGTACAAGTATGCTATTCTAGAATGCGGCCCTTGTTTGAATGCGATTTTCAGGGGTACAGATGCCGGGATCAAGCCTGTCGGATTATGGGGAAGGTGAAGCCGCCACTTAGGTACCGAGAGCTTCAACTTTAACTTGCTTGCGACCTTGCTAAGCTACAACTCACAACTTTCACACATAATTGCTCTTACTCCAGAACTTGCATTACACTTTGCAAAATGAGTAAACCAGTTGAACAAGCGCTCAGCAACCTCATACCCCGACACCCAGGCGCGCTCCCTCCCGAGCTCATCGACCTAGCGCGCTCCCTCTTAGCACAGTCTCGAGCTAAAGTCAGCAACCTGAAAGCGGAAGAGGAGATAGGCAGAACGTACGCATGTGCTAACATAGCCTGTGAACGGTACCTTTACTCCTTTCCTTGTAACATCCCAATAAAACACAAAGTTCTAATAGATGTTGCGCACTAGGTTAAAAACAACCCTCAACCTTCCACCCATTGAACCCCGCCCTCCAATCCCACCCCGCGTGTACAATAAACTCTACATCTACTTTAACACCCTCCTCCCCGCTTCTACTTCTCGGCGAAAATCAAGGAATAATACAGCGTCTGCATTATCAACATCCTCTAAACCAAATGACCTACCAGAAAAGCAAACTCCGATCAAGCCTAACACCCCATCACGCTTCAGCAAGAACCGCGTGCCCAAATCCGGACTACAATATGGCAATGAGAAGCAGAGGGATGAAAGGGTACCGAAGTGGGTACCGCCCGTGGTGAGGAAGCTCTGTGCGGAAATGGATACCCAAACTGCGATACCGCATGTTCTTGCGGGCGTGGAATCGATTCTATGTTTACCGCTTGCCAAACGATCGGGGACGAAACTGCCTGCGCTTGTGGCGGCGGTTTGGTTTTTCGTCATACAGGAATTGACGGGCAAGAATATTAGTAAGCGGGAGTTTACGCAGCGGAGGACGAGGGTATTGGAAGTTTTTTCTTCTTTGAGGGAGGATGAGGAGATTATTGAGAAAATCGGTGATGGCGAGGAAGTGTGGGGCAGTTGGGAGGATGTTGGGTTCGCGGATGTGCAGGCTTGGATTGTGGAGGTTACGCAGGGAGATTGGTTAGAGATGGATTGGTTTGTTAATATTGGGTCATCGGGTGATGATGGGGATGCTATGGATGTTGATGGGGAGGAAGAGGACCAGGACATTGACGACATGTCGGCGCCGAGGAGAAACCAGATGGGTATGGGCAGGATGATGCAGGATGAGTACGATTATCTGAGTGCTGAGAATCAGGAGGAGTATGCGGAGTGGAGGGAGATTATGCTGAGCACGATTGATGATTTGATCAAGGAAGGAATCATGAATATGGATCCACCGGACAGCTAGGTATGGGATATGGACCTCAACCATCAAGGCTCTTTTAGCACAGTATTTCATAATGATACCCCTCCAGTACGCAAAATCATACTGTCTATTATCTAGACTACTACCTGTATAGTTTGCCGACACCTCTACTTTATATACCGTTATGACCCATTTTTAATCCTTCTCCAACAAATATACCTACCCAAATAATTATCACAACCCGCCTCCCCCAAGCCCCTTGCCATCCCCAACAAGAACAAGCATAATTCTCCTCACATCATCTACAAAGGCCCTAACCATATCCCCATCAAAGAGATCACTCCGCCATTCAGCAGAGATTCGCATCCGCCCACGGAAACTACTCATTCTTATGACCCTATTGGATTCTTTAGCTATTAGGCCAACAAATAAGGGATTCCCGACAAGAAGATGAGGAAGACGTACACCTCCCCGTCGGAATTCGCCGCGAAATATACGTCATCTACGGTAAATTTGCCTACGGTTTGTTGTACCGGAGTGGATGTTGGGCTGGGTGATGATGGGTATGAATGGCAGATATAGCGGTCTGTTAGGCCGTCGCTGAGGAGGATCTGGTGGGGGCTTAATTAGTGGATTGGGATATAACCATAGATAGAGGATAACCAACTGGAGCGGATGTCTTAGGACGGACGGGAGGATGAGAGGGTCTTGTGGCAGGGTTAATTGTTAGCATGGATGTCAAACTAAAGCGGGACTGGGATTTGGAGATATAGTTGATATGATATTAGGATGGTGGGTAAAGGAGAAGATATCCGTGTATGTATGTTTATATAAATATGTACTTTCAAGTCCGGGAGAAATAAAAGATAGTAGAAGAGTAACTAACTTAAGCATCTTCCGTCCCATCTCCTCTGCAACAACGGCAAACTCTCCCAGTATGCTCTTCCTCGCGCTCAATCTCCCATACTGCTCCGTCGCAACTCTGCATACCCTCACAAGCACATTTCGAAGTTCTTCGTCAGTAGTATCATCCCGTAACTTCAAATCCATATCGTGGAATATGATAGGAGCAAAGGACATGCAGATTGGCACGTATGCCTTTCCCGGCACTACGTAGGAAGGTGTTGCGCGGAGATAGCGACGGCCGTTGAGCCAGCAGGAGGAATAGAAAGAGCCTTTCGACGGAGAGGGAGAGGAGCGGAGGAGAGCGAGGACCATTGCAGAGTGGCCGAGATGGGTGATATTGGATTGGGGGCTGATGGTGGTTTTAATGGCGTTAAGAAGAGATGTAGTTTGTTTTTGGCTCAAAGTTAGGAAAGTGGTTTCTTGTTTTAAAGGGCCAGGATATAGTAGGAGGGGAAGACCTGGGTTGGCATTCTAACGGGTGTTAGAAGCTGGACGAGGAGGATTTTGATAGGAGGACAATGAAGGAGAGAGCAAAAGGGAGATTGAGCACCATTCTTTCCAACAATATTTCTTTATTCCATGCCACTGTTTCTTCAAATTCGGAGCCAGAAATAGCTTGGTCTTGGTTCATAATGCTTATCCATGGTGGTGATAGATTTTTACTACTCTCTGCCCAGTCATACATGACTAGGCCAAGTTGAGGTTCAGAGATACATGACGATAAAAGAGATAGGTATTTCCCGAATAGAATACGAGTTCCTATGCCATCTGTGATTTCATGATCCGTATTGAGTATGATGTGCACGTGATCCAACGGTTTATTGCCATCTGATTCCTTCTCCAAATAGAGGAGGAGGAAAGCTGGGTCACTAGAGTCGCCTTTTCTGATAAGTATATTCTCCCGGAGGCCTTTAAAATCGAGGGATTGATCTCCATAATCAAACACGGCAGTTCGATGAGCCCATTCTTCAACCTCATGACGGTCTTGGGGAGTGCGGTATTGCATGTATGCATTGCCATCTTCCGCAACGACGGCCCTTGCCTGTAGCTCTGGAACTTCAAAAAGTAAGGCCTGCCAGGCTTGTCTGACTGCAGAGTATAGTGTACAGCTAGGCAGAGGGGTTTCAAAAGCCAATAGCCCGCTGACGAATATTTCGTGCAGCTCTTTGGGACGTGCGAGCCAGGTGGTCTCGAAAGAAAGCGCCTTCCGTCGCCAAGGTGAGACAGAATGGCCAACTTGGGCCCATGAGTAGCTTGATGGATCAAGACCAGACGGAGGATTACTGGAGGACATGACGTGTCCGGTGCACTCTGAAAGCGGGAGCGGTGAAATCAGCAGGATATCGGGGATAGCACTTGGCATCCCCCTCACTGAGGCTAAGCTTTGGCTGTTTAAGTTTTCAGAATTCAGAATTATACGCAATGACTCGCGGTTGTGACATATTTGGAAGAATATAGGTCATGAGGTGCAATCCTTTCGGCAAAGAGGATCTTCAAGCAATGATAAAAACGTGAATGACGGTTGTGGGAGTGGCGCGTCCTGCTCGTTCAAGGCCGTACTTCGTATACACAAGCCACAGAGGCGGGGCGGGGCCTAAGCACCAAGAAAAGAACAAGTTGGTGGAAGTAAGGAAAGCTCACCCGTGGCAAGCCCGCCGATTCGTGATCGCCAGATCTCCAAAAAGAAAACCTGAAAAAACCGTTCGAAGGAAGCCCGCTTGACTTTGCCAATGGCCGTGCGCGATGTTCTTCATGCACGCTCAGATGTTTGTCATTCCTTCTCGCACCGACGGCACTTACGGTGCATAAACTCTTTTATCCATCGCCCAAAGGAAACATTTTGACTTGCTGGATAATGAGTCATTATAGCTATAACATAACTTTGCCGTTCGATGGCGGAGGATTAGACGTGCGGGGATCTTGACGTATAATTGACTGTCCTATGGGCACTCGGTATACTACGTAGATCGTATGCCGTTCTCCAAAGACACCCGTGATAATAGCGAGGCTGGGATTCATAGGGTTATTATAGTCGCCGCCCGCCTGCGGGGTTGTTCCCTTCACCTGCGGATCGAGAGAGGCTGGTCTGGATCTCTCTGTTAGTAGGCTATGAAGGTAGCTGCAGCTGAATAGAGCTACTTGGTGGTTGGTTGTCGTCGGCCCTAATCGCTCCTTGTCGCGGTCAGATACTCATGTATTATGGTATCTTCTTTTTAGTCATAACTTTCCTCCGCGTGGTTGGCCTTGCAAGAACGAAGAGGTTATAACTCGTCGTAGGGAACAATCAACGTAGCTGCATTGGTGTTGCGGCTGGTGAAGCTCGAGGGGCGAGGGAAGTACGTAGTACCACGGAGATATTCGAAGCTTTCCTTCAGGAAGCTAGAGGGCCGGAGATTTTCAAGTTTCCGGTGGTTGGAACTTGAAGCAAGATCAGACAAAGGGGAAGAAAGGTACAGATTACCTCCGTAGATCCGATGCCATTGCCGACGTAGACGTATATGCCGGCCCTAGTGCCAACCACGAGACCTGTCTTGCCTCGCACCAACTAATAGACTACCTAGGTAGGTACTGTACTGCACAATGTCGGCGATATCTACCTCCGAAAAAAACCAACGCAGACTCCGGGAGAGCGTTCTGTTTGAAGGTGAGACTGAATGGACTCGACTTTCACGGAAATTCAAATTTACGAATCGCGGCCCCAGTGTTGTCTCATTCGCCCAACGCCGGCGTGGCTGGACCGATCATCAGGAAACGGACCGCCTTTGACTCGATGAAACGTATTGGAGATTCTCCGTGTGGAGGTTGTAATTAAACAAACCTTTGACCTGCAGTTTTTGGCCTAGGAAACAAGCAAGTCGGATGCGGTGCCGTTGTGATTAAACGAGTGTTGATATATGTAAGGTACTTTTCGTAGATAGGTACCTTATTATTCTTCCGAGCTTCTTCATTTTCGAGGAGACTCGTCTGTCAGTAGTGTCACTATCGTTGCAAGACAATCCGGATATGATTGAGCTCAGGGATCCGGACACGCCATAGGGCATAATGCATCCTCCGCTCGTGAATCGCATGACTGAAGAGTGTTTCGACCAGCTGGTGCATCACCTTAAATCGCAAATATGATCTCCCCTTGCTTGCACCGTATCATATTTCGAAATGCATATCACTTCATCCACGTCGCGGTGGATAGTTAGTTCGTCGGGAGCTAGAACATGAAATGTGGGCTTGGCTGCCATACGGTATGTCCGAGGCGACGATCTCTCATGTGCTTGTTTATCTCGCTGGATGCCAACTAGAGCGATTCGAGCGCACTCCAGAGTGACTATATTTTAGCATTTGAACCCACTACTTACCTCTGTATTATTCCACCACGCAGCTGTGACCGGGCGCTGCAAGCAAGTGGGCTCCAGTCCTGGACCTGGATTTGCGGATTGCGGGGAGAACAATGATCCCGGCCGCCTGATATAGTATCGCTATCGATATGGATATGGAACACATCTCCGCGATTAGAAGACCAGCCGTCTGCCAGCGGTTGGATCCGTCGAAGGGTGAGGAGGCTGGGCTTTCTCGGCCTCCAGGGCGCGACGACGAGGGCGCGACGAGGGAGCCGGGTTCGAGCCAAGTTCCAACGCAAGGGCTACGGATGTGCGAGGGACCAGGATACGCAGGATGGTCATCTCGTCTCCAGCGGATGGAGTTTGATGGCACGAGTGGCAGCGGACGCAGCGCGACGAAGGGTCAAGGAGGAAGCTCTCCCGAGGCCGTGCGCATAGCAAAATTGGCTGTTGGTAGGTAGTATGTATGGATAGGTACCTAGGTGGCTAGGTAAGGTGCCTTTCGTAGGGAGATACTCCGGAAAGAGGTCTTATAATATATTGGCATCCGTTTCCGCTTCGTGTGTGTTGCGTAGACCGAACGGCAGGAAGATACCTACAATAGGTACGTACGTACCTGTACCGTTGTGAACCTGTGAGCGAGAGCGCCAAAGATACTCACTCACTACTCGTACTTCTTGCACTGCGCAGTCTCACTCCCAGTGTCCCACTGCGTAGTACGCGCTACCCCCTAATCCAGCCTAACCTGTCGCCCCTACGTTGCCTACCGCGGCCTGTTCCTGGCGCGGTGGAGTGGTGGTGGAACCCCTATCCCCATTATTCCATCCCCTATCGGCGGTGGAACCCCTATCATCAACCCTCGGCCGAGATTTAAAATCCAGCTGGCGCAAAACCCTGAGTTTATTACTCGCCTCCCTATTAACCACCACTCACTGGCGCCCGCTTCTCCCCAGGCCCTGCGGACTCCAGTACGTACTATTTCTGCTCTGGGACGGCACTACGACTGTGCTACATAACTTTGTACAAGTCTCCGCCCGTTCCTGGCCTCCGCCGCGGTGCTGCTCGAGTGCTAGCTGCTAGCTGGTAAATGACCCTTTCCCCTTGGTCCCATCTCTCCTGAGCCAGCGTCTGACGGCTTCGTGCAGGATAGGCAGGACATTTTAATATTGTTTCGACTGTATCGCCAGCTCCTGGATCCGTTCTTGCACTGCTGCCGCCGCCGATCTGGCTGCCCCTTGCCCTTGCACGCCCGCAATCAGCATCGACATCAATCACCATCTTCCACTCGCAACACGCGTTGTCTGACCAGCGAATCACCAAGCACCAGCAAGCGACGCGTGGAGTGTTACCTCCCCTAAATTTCAAAAAGCAAACGAAAGCAAACCAAACCAGCACAATAGGAGTCGGAGACTTTCGTCCCAGCACCTGCGATCGATGAGAGCGATTCTGTAACACCTTCCCTCCCACAGAACATCGCTCGAGCTACTCCTTCTCACCACCTCACCTTGCCCAGCTCTTCTGTTGCATCCATCACCCCCCAACCCATTTTGTCGCAACGAAGGCGTCAACAGAGCGATGGCCGGCTCCCCGCCCGAATCGCCCTCGGGCGTTCCACCACGGCCGGTGAGCGCAATGATGCGTCCCCCAAGGACCACGAGTCGCATGAGTATGACAAGTAAGGCCGGTGGCAGTCGAGCCTCGGACGAGGACAGCAAGACGTCCGTGAAAGTTGGTATGTTCATTCCCGTATTCGCCATTTGCTGGAACGCGGAAAGCTGATTAGGGTTTCTTGTAGCCGTTCGCGTGCGACCGCCCCTTAACCCAACTGATCCCGGCTTCGAACTCATCCCACAAAGATTTCAGCGGTCGATGGTCCAAGTAACTTCGCCCACGAGCCTGGCTGTCGACTCTCCACAAGGACGGAAACTCTTTGTGTTCGATAGGGTGTTTGGCCCGGATGTCAACCAAGAAGGCGTCTGGGACTACCTGATTGAGAGTACAAATGCCTTTGTGCAAGGCTACAATGTTTCGCTGCTGGCGTATGGCCAATCCGGCGCAGGAAAGTCGTACACGATGGGAACATCTGGGCCGGGCGAGCAGGCCGATATGGATGTCATGGGTAGGTCAATGCTGCTCGACTTGGGAATCTCCCGCCAGTCTTGATATCTTGGTCCCTTCCAATATTACCGTACTAATGCTAGTTACAATTCTAGGTGTTATCCCCCGTGCTGCAACCGCACTTTTTGAGAAACTCGAGGGTCGCCCAGCAGTCAGCAACCGAAACTCTGGAATCCGGACTCCCATGCGGTATTCGATGAACGCTGCTGCAATTATGTCTAAAGCTACCGAGAAGAATTGGACACTGAAGGCAACTTATGTGGAAATTTACAACGAGCAGCTGCGAGATCTGTTACTTCCAGAGAATACGCCCGCAAATGAAAGGGGCCAGGTCACCATCCGAGAAGATACGAAGGGTCACATTTTCATGACGAATTTGCACCAAGTTGAGATCCACACCGTGGAAGATTTGATGCGCGCCCTGAACTTTGGATCCTCCATCCGTCAGACTGATGCTACAGCTATCAACGCAAAGTCATCGCGGTCACATGCCGTCTTCAGTTTGAATCTTGTCCAGCGCAAGAGCAAGCTGCAAACCGCCCAGGGTGCGGAAAAACGGTTTTCGGTTCCGCTGGAGGCTATGACGGGCGGAGACACCATGGTTACAATCGATAGCAAGTTTCACTTCGTGGATTTGGCTGGAAGTGAAAGATTGAAGAACACCGGTGCGCAGGGCGATCGAGCCAAGGAGGGTATCTCAATCAATGCTGGGCTGGCCAGTCTGGGCAAGGTCATCTCTCAGCTATCTTCCCGGCAGGCTGGATCTCACGTGTCGTATCGTGATTCCAAGCTCACTCGATTACTGCAAGATTCTTTGGGCGGCAACGCAATTACGTATATGATTGCTTGTGTTACGCCGGCGGAATTTCATCTGAGCGAGACCCTGAACACCGTCCAATACGCACAACGGGCTCGGGCTATCCAAAGCAAACCCCGCATCCAGCAGGTGTCAGATAACGAGGGCGATAAACAGGCGCTGATTGATCGTCTGAAGGCGGAGGTTGCGTTCCTGCGGGAGCAAATTCGGAGCACCGAGCGCGGTGGTGATCGCCGAACTGCTACGATCGAGAGGCCTGAGCGTCAAAATGAACGAGAGATGGAACTCCAAAATCAACTTCTCGATACCCAGGAAAACTATACAACGCTCAGTCAGCGACATGCAAGGCTCATTTCGGAGATGGCCAAGGCCCGAGATGGTGAAATCGCGGAGAACGAAAATTTAGAGCATTCTCTCGGCGATAGCGCAACAGAGCGACTAAAACGGTCAAACTCGTTTGCCGAAGCCGTGGAGCAGGTGGTTTTGGAATACGAAAAGACAATCCAAAGTCTCGAGCAATCCTTGTCTAGCACGCGGGGATCTCTGTCGAACACGGAGACCATCCTATTGGAGAAGGAAACCAAGTGTGCATACGTCGAGACTGTCAACCAACAGCTGCAGGCACGCCTCCAGAAGCTCATTGATCGAGAAGCCAGCACTGAAAACTATCTTCATGATTTGGAAGCGAAGCTTGATGGTCATACTTCCGGCGAAGAGAAGAACTCCGCAATTATCATGGAGCTCCGCAAAGAGATTGCCCGCGTTCGTGAGAATGAAGCCAGCTGTGAGGACTACATATCGACGCTTGAAGAACGACTCGCCGAAGCAGATCAAGACGCCGAATTAATGCAACGTGAAATCGATAGACTGGAGCATGTTGTCGAACGCCAACGAAGTTTGGGTAAATTAGACAACCTACTCTACGAGCTGGACCACATCCAACAGGATGACAAAGCCTCTGGGGCTGAAACCGTCCATGTTAACGGCACCAGCAAGCGGCCGGTAATAGACCATTCTCGACATCAGAGTTTTGCGAGCAGACGGAGCAACAGGGATGCTATCCCCGAAGAGGATGATGCTCAAACTGATGCCATGTCTGAACACGCTTCACGAACTGCAGATGAGGGACCAGTTGATAACGGCGAGCCCATTGGTGAGGAGTTTGACGAGGCTGCAGCTGATCAGTACCCTCCCCAGAGCCCTGCCCAGACCAAATTTGTGGAGGATAAACTGGAAAATGTCACACAAGAGCTCTTTGAGCTCAAGGTGGAGCATGAATCTACTGTGGAGGATTTCGATATCCTTCAGGCTAAGTACGATGAGGCTCTCCGTACCTTGGCCGAACTTCAAGACGCCGTCGATGAAGCTCGCCATACTGTAAAGCGTGATTCAATCTTGTCTGTATCGTCACCGATCCAGACAAGGCCTACATCTTTTTTAGCAGACGCGAGGGTAGAAGGACTAAAGGATGGAGGACAATATTCATCCTCGCGTTCGCTCTCATCGGAATTGTCCTCGGCAGGGGAGTTGCCCAGTACATTGGAAATATCTGATGCTGAAGTCGCGAACAAGAACTCAGAGTCACAAGAGGCGACAAGGAATATCGCAAATGACGAGGCGATAGCAGCTGAGCTCGAAAGCCTGCGCCAGCTCGCAGCAGAGAAGGAGCAAGCACAAAAGTTGTTGGTTGAGAAACATGCCCAGCTGGAGGAAGAACATATGGATGTTCTTGACTTAGTAGAGGAGCTCAAGGCCGAGGTTTCCAAGGCCAAGATGAACCCGCCCAGCTCCCCACGAGCAACCACGCCGGTGATTCGTCGCAAGTCAAGCCAGAATGTGATGATTATTGACAAAGCACATCGCGCATTCGCTTCTCTGCGAAATATTGCCACGGAGAACTTCGAGACAAGTCCAGACGTCATGGCAAATTTCGAGCTGAACCTTAACACTGCGATGCATGAGCTGCACTCTCGGTCAGAGAGAGTTCAAGAACTAGAGGCCGATATCACTGCCGTCAAGAAAGAGATGGAGATGAAGATGACCATAATTTCCGGTCTTACTCGAGAACGATCTAGCATGAAAGCATCGCCTATGGACATGACTATGGTTTCTACAATGCGCGACCAGATAATGCAAAGCGAGAATCAAATGCGAATATTGCAGGAGACACATGGTGCCCGAGAAAAGGAGTTGTTGGATGAAGTAGAGGGGCTCCGGGCGGCCATCGATGCTCATGCCGCGGCCTCCAACGAGGACAAGGATATCGCTCAGCTACGAGATGCAGAAAAAGCAACCCAAGACAAGAAGCTAGGTGACCTAGAGGCTGAGCTGGCCAGCTGGGAGGAGAGGCACCAAACTGCCTTAACCTCAATGCAGACTTCTGAGAAGACCCTCTTAGCGACTGTTGCAGACCTCGAGAAACAGATATCGACCATCGAGGACAACCGGCAACAACAGGTAGCTGGTGAAGAGAATGAGCTTATCAGCAACCTGCAAAAGGAGGTTGATGAACACAAGGCATCAGTTGCAGCTAACGCCGCTCGCGTAGCTGAGTTGGAACAATCGCATGCGGCAGCACTAGAGCAGGTTGATGATGTTATTAAGTCGAGAGATATAGCACATGCGGAGAAAGAAGAACACCAAGCCCTTGTTGCGAAGTTGGAGCAGCATATCGCTGAGCACGAAACTGTCGTCAAGACTCATCAGGACGGATTAGTCCTCTTGCAAACAAACCACGCCAAGGAGATTGAGACAGTGAAGGCGACTATCGACGCTGATCATCAGACTCTTCTTGCCGAAATCGAGTCCAAACATCAAGCAAGCGTTGAATCTCTTAATGTTGAGCTTACTGAAGCCCGCGATGACCTCACCAAGATTGCTACTCAAGTTGCATTTGCGCTTGGCGTTGATGTCAGCACTGAGAAGCTGCAAGAGAGAATCGCCGACCTACTCGATGACCAGAAACTATTAGCTGATGAGCAGAAGAAGAGTGGTGAGCTAGAGCATCACGTGACTGAACTATCCACCATCAACGATACCGTGATGAATGAACTCGAGACGGTAAAATCAGATCTTGCAGCATTGGTTGTTGAGACAGTAGACGGGGATAAGCTGAAGGCCGAACACGCCACTGTTTCAGAGCAGCTCAAAGCATTGAAGAAGGAGATGACCGATTTGGAAACCAAGAACAAGAAGAATTCGCGTCTTGTCGATGAGCTTGAGGAACAACTAGCTTCGAACTTTGACCAGCACCAGATTGCCAATAACCGTTTCTCTACCTTGCAATCGGAGCGCAATCAACAATTGGACGAAGCGAACACTAAGGCGATTCGGTTCCAGTCGGAACTCGAAGCCGTCAGGGAAGAATATGCCACGCTCCAGGTAAGCGACTTAAGTTCCGGATCAAGTATACCTGCTAATTTTCTTAGGCCAAATTCGAAGAAGCTCAACATGAATCTTCAAATGTTCCGAAACGGTCAAACTCCGCAACATCGGGCCTACGCAAGTCTGCATCCGTCGCATCATTACCATCGCCTCCACCCGCGATTCCATTGCCTCCTCTTCCTGGAAGTATAAACACTACCATCTCACCTACAAATGCCGCTGGTGTTCCGGTTCCACAAACACCCACCCAAGGCAACCGACCTACTAGCAATGACCTCGCTATTTCCCAAATCCAAGAGGATCAAGAAGCTCGCATTCGGACTATCGAGAAGCATCTCTCCGCTGAGAAGCAGCTCACAACGACTCTTGAAGAGGCTCTTACAGACTTGGAGCGACAGAGCAACAAGGTCAAGGCTGATTGCGACGCTTGGCGCAAACGGGCCAACGAGCTTGATGCAGAGCTGAAGCAGGCAAAAGAGAAAGAAAAGAACGGTGACGCCGACAAAGAGAACCGGTGGAGCATGATGCAGGTCGAGGAAGAGCGAAAGAAGAGACGAGATGCCGAAATTGCACGCGCTCATCTTGAAGAGCGGATGAACGCCATCAGCAAGAAGAAGAAGAAGGGGAGCTTAAACTGCTTCTAAGCCCCTAAAGCTCTTCCCTTCCCTTGTGCTATCCATCGCATTTTCGACTTTCCAACTGCCGCTCCTCCATTTTCGTACTTGGCCACTGGTCTCCGAGGGGATAAATTTGAGCCAACCGGACCCCGCCGCGACCCTACCACCCCTCTTGCTAGCGCAGCGTCATTTCATACGACTTTACACGATTTTTTTCGATTATACCCTTCTGTTCTACTTCCCAGCACATACTATACTTTCACAAGATGTACCTACCAAACAGATGGGCAATATGGACCTATGGCGGGACATTTCCGATCACAAGATTGTCATGTTTCACCCATCTTTTTTTCCTTTCTACGCTGCTTTATTTTAACGAGATACCACCTCCCTTTATTCGCTGGTGTTTGCGGCGCTTGGCCCCCCCTTTTTTACGCACGCAAAAAAGATAATTTGAAATGACGTTAATGGCGAGAGATATTTTTCTAATTCTTTCCCCGGGGTGGAGGATCGCCTTTTTTTTATATAGATGAGATGAAGAGATCCCGTATGAAAGTCGCGGTTGAATTTTGATGGTGGTTGATAGCGTGGGAGCGAAGGAGACAATAGGCGGAGGATATGTGAATACTTGCAGATGGCAGGCAGATAGGAGATAGGAGATGTATATGAATAGAAGATATAACTTATCCCCCCCTATTCAGGTTCCCAATCGTTGTGGTATTAATCTGTGTTTCTATTCCGCCAGCTTCTACAAGGAATTGCTAGTTCCTTTTTTCATGTTAGTATTTCGATTTGTGGTAACCCGAGCTGGCAATCACACATTCGAAAAAGGGCAGACAGGGTTTATTTGAGAGTTGTAACAGTCATTGTAAGTAAAAACCTCCGATATCTCATTATTCTACGGGTTTCCTATCCGTCCCCTTGCATAGGGTATAAGTTTGCTTCATTATTGCTCATTATTCGTGGCTCCTCAAGGAGGGCAGTTCCAGATTCGTACGCACGGGGGTCTATACCCGTTGCATGCATAGCTCGTACTTCATCATCGATAATCGCGGTCATCATCATAGCTTCTCCTCCTTCCTCGATCCCTTCCCCGACTCTCACTCCTATCCCTCCTTCTCCCATGCCCAAATTTATCCTCCCACCTTTCCTGGTCATCCCTCGTATCCTTGTTGCCGTCTTCCAAATAATCCACCAGCGAGTTGCCCGCTAATCCTCCGACGGCTGCGCCTACGACAGTCAGGACGCGATCGATGTTCTTGTCCTTTCCCGTGGACTTCCCATGCGCTTGGAGAGCCGTGTGCGTCGCCCATCCCGCGGCAACAGCTGCGAGAGCACCGCCCGCGTACCCGGCCTTACTGGTCGTGAAGGCGTCGCGGGGCCGATGTCGAGATCGATGACGATGCCTCGTCCCGTCGGCGTGTCTGTGACTACTGTGTGGCCTCCCTTCTGGGCTCCTGTACCGGCGGTGGGGGGACGACGAGAAGCTGCGACGGCGGACTAGGCCCGAGGGTTGTCGGTCATTGTAGAGTTCTAATTCCCCGCCTAAGGGGTAGCGCTGTCTTCCGCGTGCGTCATCGTAAGGGTCGTGATGATCATCGAAGGAGCGTTGCGCGGTGGGAGGAGTTGGCCCTGCATAGTACGGGTATGCAGTTTTTGGGTATCTCTGATCCTGATCCCGAGCCTGACCTTGACTGTAGTGGTTGGAATCTTGATAGCCTGGACCATCGTCGTAATCCATAGATCGGACATCCCCCCGGGATTCGTTGTCCTGCATTCTGATCATTCTGCTGCCTCCGTCGGCCATATGTTCCGAGTTGGAACTGGATGTTGAACTTGAGCGTTTCCTTCTATTCTGGCCTAGTTTCCGGGGGTCGTATGTCTCTTTGTACAAGTATTTATCGGGTACCTTGTCGAAGTGTTTATCCACAAGCTTGTCAACGGCTGTGGTTGAGAGCGCGGCGAAGCTGGACATGAAATACGGGGTGTGTTGAGTGGAATATGATATATGAGCCTTGAAGGCTGTAGGCGCTGTTGGTGGCTGGCTTGATGTGATATGATGAATTAGATTAAGGCCACTTCTGAGTATTTTCCTCTTGAATCCAGAGTAGATGTGCGCATCAGGTTGCCGGAGATGTAAACTTAAACGCTATGTCGTTACCAGAGGTGGGCTGCATCTCTCTCTATATATGTACGGGGTGGGATGATGTTGTCTTGTGGTGCTGTCAAGTGCTTGGCCTCGGTCATAGCTGATCTCCTGCGCCTACTATCGAACCATCTGACCCACTGCCCACTTTAAACGGAACCCCTCTAAACGCGTCTCCCGACACGAAACAACTATTCATCCCACAGTTCTATGTAACAATGTCAACCACCACGCGCCCATCGGCCTCCTCCACGAGTGCGCAGCCAGCCGCAACTGGAGAGAAGTCGTTTTTCGAGCAGCAGCGCGAGTTATTGCTGCAAGATATTGGCATTGTACGCTGAAGATACCCCTTCTGCCTCTCCCAGCCCGCACAGTCACGGACATTTAATAATAATTAGCCTATGCAGAGTTTTGAACATGTACTTGCAAATATTAATAAATTGAACCGATCGCTAGAGGGGGTTATTGCGGTGAGTTTGAACTTTATAAAATGGAATGTATGTATGAATCGGCGGCAAGCTGATAAAAGATGATATGTATAGGTTGGCAACGAATTCAGCTCTGTGGAAGCACTATGGTCGACATTTGAGAATGTGATGGCTAAGGATCCGGATGTCGAGACAGATGGGAATGGCGGGGAGGGGCAAAAGGAGGAAGTGGAAGAGGAAGAGGAGACAGAATTGCCTGAGCATGGAACCCGATGAGGCCGTATCGAAGGCGATTAGGTCTACGAGGACACTGGTGATGGCGTTTGGGATCAGATACCCCCGTTTTGACATGCATCAAAAAGAATGATCGAGTACAGCTTGGATGATGTAGTATTTTTATTGCTACAGGAATGGTCATGATACATAAGAAAACCCTCCGTGGCCGTGCGCTTACCGGCACAAATCCCTATTAAGTACTCAACAGAGCAAACCAGAAAATGAAAGGAAGTCCGAATCCGAATCCAGAAAGCAACGTATGAGCTCTATCAACATGCTTTGTAGCCAAGGCCGTATCTGCTATTGCAAATATCTTTAGCCTTATCCAAGCATTTGTTAGAACTCCGCGTTATGTTGTCATTGGTCATGTCGATGGTCATATCAAGTCATGGCGGAGGTCATTAGAGGAATCTGCAGTTTCGTTTCTTCTTCCTCACTCCGCCCGGTTGAGTTGGACCCCCTTGTTGAGGTTGTTGTTGCTGGTTACTTCGGTCATTCTGGACGACCAGGTTGATGGCGTCCGCAAATATCTCTTCTACACCAGTCATTTCCTTGCTGCTGCACTCCATGTATCGCGCCCCCATCTTTTGAGCAACCCCCATTCCTTGTTCTTGGGTCACTGGTGTTAGTCCCTGAGTCTTAAGGAGGTCGATGCATGTTCGTTTTGTTCGGAGGTCTGACTTGAGACCGACAAGAACGAGAGGAGTGTACGGGCAGAAATGAAGAACTTCTGGGTACCACTGAAAACAACGTTAGCCCTAGTTCATGTTCCGGTGGAGAAGAGAATGGCTCACCTTATCCATGACGTTCTCAAGTGAGTTGGGGCAGTCGATAGCAAAGCAGACGAAAAGGAGATCGGTCTCGGGGTATGACAGTGGTCGAAGACGATCATATTCTTCCTGACCTGCCGTATCCCAAAGAGCCAGCTCGAGGGTCTTGCCGCTCGCAGGATGTGTTGGATAGGTGATGTAGTTCTCGAAGACTGTTGGTACGTATTTCTGGAAAATGTGTTAGAGTGAGGTTGGGGATTCAATGGACTTGCAATCATACCTCTGGGAAATAACCTTGACTGTAGCTTATCAACAGACATGTCTTCCCGCATCCACCATCTCCGACAACGACAATCTTCTTAGAGTAGGCCGGTCCCTCAGTGACATGCGTTGCGGCCGACTCTCGACCTGTCGAGGAGCTCATCATTGTGCTTACAGTGCCTTCGCTGGATCTTGCGCTCTGGTCGCGGCGTGATGCTTTTCTCCGTGGGGCTTCATAGTTTTCCGATATGTCTGACCGCCGGTTGTAATAATCCCTCTGTTGGTATTGCGCTGACATTGTATCGCCCTCTTTGACTGTTGAATTGGCGCTTGGCCGGTCGAGCAGTGGTGCGCAGCGCTGCAAATATCAGGAAGCGGGGAAATATTTCAACTATGCAACCGGAGACCCTCGATTAAGGAATTTGATGGTTCGGATAATTCAAAGGGTGGGCTCTGTCTTGGTTTGTCTTGTGTTGAGAATGCAGATAATCTTCAGGAGGTTTCCGTCATGAAGAGCGAGGAGGGGCCCAGGGAGACAGCTAGACGCTCAGGAGACAAGTAAACAATCCGTTGTCACGGAGACCACCAACACCTCCCTGCCCGCCAAGCTCCGCGCGTTACCCCGTACTCCCTAGCACCGCGCGACAGCGACCATCAAGCTCCGCCACCGACAGCCAACCGAGGCGGATCGACAACGGCTTAGTTTTCATCCTCAATCTCCGTCTCCGTCTCCATCCTACGAACTACCTACTTGTGCTCTCTAGCCTTGAGATCTCAAAGTCCATTGTCTCTCCTTCACATCCATTGGGCTTTTCAATTTCAATTATTCCCCGGCGCCGTCCCCCGCGTGACCGCTGCTATCTATATACCTGCCTATATACTACGTATGCTGCGCGCCGGATGCGTCCATGTTTCCAACGCCGAGCGACTCTGGCCCTGAGCTGGAGAAACCCCCCAATGCCCCGCCATCTACGATAGTGGCCGATAAATCGGATGACGTGCCTGATGCTGGGCTGCGGAGTTTGGATCACTGTAAGCATAGCATTTAGAACTTGCAAGTTTGCGGTTGGGAGACTGGATGGCGCAAAGCCGAGTTGTCGCAGTCGCAATCCCCCGCCATGCGGTCATCATCGCTTGTTTGTAACTCTGGAGGAGCGTTCCTCGGTCTCTACAGAGACTCCCAACGTTGCTTTTTGCTGGGATACTAGTCGAATTGTTGGGGCACTGCAATGTCTGGAAATATGCTGAGTTCGTTCTCTAGACAAGCGCAAGCTTCCTCCCTGGCGATATGCTCTTCGACAGAGTCTACTGCCCTTGATCCGATGGGAGACGCCATATCTGGCATGGATGCAAGACAAGATGAGATCACCGGCCCTCGATTCCTACTTTGCAATTACTGCGAATCTCGGTACCCATACGTCCTTCATGGTTGCGCTTCCCATACTTTTTTGGTGCGGATATACGTCCTTGGGTAGAGGGTAATGAAGTTTCCTGTTCCTGCTCTGGGTTACGGCTGACAAGCCGTAGAATGGTTCATATTCTGGCTTCTGGCGTGTTCTTCACCGGCTTCCTCAAGGACCTTTTCTCTCTACCGCGCCCCCTCTCCCCGCCCCTACAGCGTATTACTATGACAGGGTCGCATTCTCTAGAATACGGCTTCCCTTCTACACATTCAGCAAATGCGGTGTCAGTTGCTGTGTACGCCTTGTTTAGCTTACACTCTCCCGATTGCCAGTTGAAAGCCTCCACAAAGCTTATGCTGGAGGCGCTGAGCTACTCGTATGCGTTCTCGATCGTCCTCGGGCGTCTCTACTGCGGAATGCATGGATTCCTCGATGTTATTGTAGGGAGCATCATTGGAGCTGCGATATCTGCTGTCGAGTGCATCTATGGTCCGAATATTGATAAATGGCTTCACGGTGGCACTTGGGTAGCCCCGGCCACAGTTGCTCTTATTATTATCATCCTGATCCGCATACACCCCGAACCAGCTGATGATTGCCCTTGTTTCGACGATAGCGTTGCTTTCGCTGGAGTTATGATCGGGATTGAATGTGGAGGCTGGCATTATGCATCAGGCGACTGGGCGTGGAACATCCCCGTTCCAGCAACTGTGCCCTTTGACCTCGAACATATGGGTTGGTTAACGGCAATTACGCGCATTGTAGTTGGAGTCCTTGTGATCTTTGCATGGAGGGAAATAATGAAACCGGCGTTGCTCAAATTTTTGCCGCGTCTATTCCGAATCATCGAACAATACGGCTTCATCTTGCCTCGGAAGTTCTTTATGCCCGCTTCCGAATACAAGGACATACCCTCGCGATTAAAAGTTGATAATGTTATGCCGTCGGTTTCGGATCTGCCGACTCTCCTCACATCGATACGGCATCCCGGGCGTGGCCGTTCGGTATCTGTGGGGCCCCAATCTGCTGCTGATGCTTATGAAACTTTGGCATATCGGGAAAAGAGACGAAGAGATAGCTTGACATATCCATCAGGCTCGAGATCTAAATCGCCACCATCTTTGATAGCAGGCCGATCAAATGGCGTGGCAACGTGTGACGACGTTGATAAAGACGGTTCGACCCAGCAGGTATCTGGAATATCATCATCATTGGGCGTCAACACCGCGGGGAATCTTCCGACCCCGCCGCAATCTAGGGTCTCGTCATATGAGCAGATGATGGGCCAAGGTCGTGTTACAGTCACGCCCTCAACGCCCCCACCAGGTGATGAAGATGACAATCCTGATGAGGACCCTATCATTTTTGTTGGGCAGGAGCAGGAGATGGGAGAAAAGGAATTGTTCTCCAGACTAGAGAAACCTCGCGTCAGATATGATGTTGAGGTTGTTACCAAACTTGTTGTCTATACTGGTAAGGAATGCACAATCAGAGCACTATTGAACAAACGCTAATTCGTGTAGGGATTGCTTGGCTGGCTGTTGAAATTAACCCTATAATTTTTGAAATAATCGGCTTAGGAATGGGACAGCATAGTCGCCCGATTCGATAGAACAGGCTACCTTCTTCTTAAGATACAGTATTTTCAAGTGAAGCAGGCTTGTAGGCATGCTATTGGCTTCATTTTCCCGGCTAGGCATGTTCATGAGGAGTTTGGGTCTAATGATAATGGCCGCACAATGCACAATATATATAACTGTTGGTACAGGATGGAATTGGACATGCCTTGAGGGTCAGTCTACCTGCCTTGGGGGTTATTATATAAAGCGGAACCAGGAATATTATAATACTTCGACACTCAGCTTATGTTCAATGTTTTAAGTTAAGGCGTTGCACGAAGGCCCTGTGGACCTTAAGACTCCGGTCGAGAGCTTTAACGACGGCTGGAGCATTCTATCCCTCTAGCTCTGCCCCGTCCACAACCCGGGCCATTCTGTGGGATTTAGTCCGGAGGCGTTTCTAGACGATTAGCTCGAAAAACTTGACCCCTTTATTGGCATTCGATCTATGTCTTACTTTATAGCCACGCACTATATATACTTCCCGTTTGTAACGTGCGAAGCCAGGCGCGGTACTACAGCTCTCGACATTACAGACCGACATAATGCTCATAGTATCACGATAGCAGTAAGGACTGTTGTAGAGCTATTTACCTTGGTAAAGTGCCAAAATGAGCTACATCGGGAAATCCTAGCTTTCTCGCTCTCTCTGGATCACCGGACAGTGAGAATCTAGAGCCACTATCCTATAATCGGCGGGTACAAGGTCAAATACTACCACTATCTGATCCGCGAAGCTTGCTTTGCGCAGCCAGACGGCAAGGAAAAGTAGACAGTATACAAGTTTACTAGGAGTATATACGATAAATAGATGCTGTCTCATAAAGAGAGGACACTTTCGGCTATTAATGACATAGTGCCCTTGCAGCAATCCGAGATGGAGAGCTACCATCCATCAAGCCGTTATACCCCTGCTCCGGTAAAGGAAGCTGAAAGTCAGCCAAGTCGTGTTGTTTCGCAAGACCTGACACCAGATACTTCCCTGCCTCGGACAATTAAGGAGAGAGCACCTAAAGGCAAAAGATAAGTAGCCTGCCTCTAGGACTGCACGAGTCCCAATACGATGTTTGAAGGCCCTTGGGATGTCGATGTATGAAGATGAAGGGCGTTCTTTACATATACTAAGTACTAAGAGCACTAGAGAGCACTGCGAAGACTGGAAAACACTGCAAGGGCTGGAGAATACTGCAAGGACTGGAGAGCACTGTGAGGATCCTTTTTATACTTTTTCGCAACTACCTACTCCGTACAGTAGGTTGAGTTATATCAATAGCAAATATCTCTATTTTGCCTCATATCGCGTCCTACATGAACTTATATCTTTCAATCTCCGCTCTCTTCTTCCACAAAACTACAACACCTAAAATCAAGCTGCGACACGTCGGCCACGATAATAGCGTCGTAATCCATCGCTGGATGTGTTAAATGTCTATCATAGCTATCGCTCTACCTACCTTTTGGGCCGCCTCATTCCGAAGCTCCCCCCATCCCCATCCTTTTCCCCAAGAGCTTCCATACCCAGTGGCGGGCTATAGCCCTCCTCGGTCCGTATCATTCCTAGTCTGCAACAGAAAATACGAGGTAAGATTAGAAACGTGATGAGGGATTGATCAATTAATACGGTGAGTTCAAGCTAAGGATATTAAATTTTCGAAATAGTATAAAATAAACAAGACAGCGACACTTACTCGGACTCGGACTCTCCAACGGCCTTAATGCCGCATCATTTCTGGATGCCATAGCATCACACCTCTTGTCTATTTTCTTAGCCTTATAAGTCAATGCTGTCGGTGGCTATTCTCAACTCGGCCACGATATACGTAGTATATACGACAACGCTACTTGGGTCTTCCATCACATAGCATGCCTTTTTGATATACAAGTTCCATTCAACCTCTATTTGCAACATAGCAGGTTGTCAACCAGCCAAAGGATTCGCATGAATTGTGACCGATTCTATCTTGAGTTCCTCCTTCGGTCTATTCTTCTTATCCACCTCGACACTCTCTATTTTGCTCAATGTCGCCAACCCGTCATCCCCAATCACATGTCCAAATACCGTGTTCTTGCCATCCAGATGCGGTGCCTTATCGAGGCAGATGAAGAACTGGCTTCCATTCGTCGCAGGACCCTTGTTCGCCATGCTGACGATCCCTCGGGCATTATGTCGAAGCGCTGGGCGGATCTCGTCCTCAAAGGGCTCTCCCCAGATTGAGGAGCCGCCTTTTGGTTGTGATGGAGGAGCCCCCGTTTGGACCATAAAATGTGGGATCAGGCGGTGGAAGGCAGAGCCATCATAAAAGCCGGAGGCGCATAGCGCAAGGAAGTTCTGAGGCAATGTTAGATTTTATGATGTTTCAAGGTTTTACTTGGGCTTGCAGAATCATGCAACGTACCTCTGCGGTCTTGGGGACACTCTCGCAGAAGACCTCGATCTTAATGTCACCGAGATTGGTGTGTAGAGTGACGGACATCGTGAAGAGGGACGATTTGCGCCTCCAACATCGTTCGTATGAGATGAGGTCACAGAAGGAGCGCAAGGCTGAGATTCGCACACGGGACGGTCTCTGGGCTGTCAAAGCTTCCCATGTGTGCGCTACTTGCACGCCGTCTCGTGCATTCCTGTTGTAATAAGCTTATTAAACGCGGGGTCTGTGTTTATCGCTTTGACGAGCCGACTAGAGCAACATCGAACGGACATCGACCATCTCGAGATATGCGCTGAACCGCAGAATCAATATCGTCTCTCCACGCGCGCAAAGTTTAATCAAATTCCCATCCGCGAGCTCTGCCGTTCCCCGACGAATTCATTGAGACGGCATCTTTTCCCGACAGTCTACTAGTGGATCATATTTGCAGGTATTACTGTAGTAGCCGCTGCCGTCAACATCCACAGCTGCAGCTGCAGCTGAATGGGAGCCTTGCTTATATGGTGACGACGAGCTCCCTCTTCCTCGACCACGACCTTGCTGCTTGTTCACAGCTCAGGGCTGTTCCCCACGCGCCGCACCCCATATGAACTGTCAATCTAGGAGCCTTTCATATTGCCTGTCAACACCGCCATCATCTGCGCGCAGACCGCGCGGTTGCGCCGTTGTGAGCCCGAGACGACATGGCTGCGTTTGTCAGAGTCTCGGGGCCGCCAAACAGTAACTTCCTTGTGGGATATCCGGGAATATCGGCGAGCCTGGTAAGCCTGCTTGTACTACAATGGCTGACCTGCGTTTGTTTGCTGATATCGTTGTGCGCGCAGCCGAGGATAGAGGGCAAGGTTGAGATTAGACCCCTTACTGGTATCTCTGCGCCCGTCTCGATATCCCTCGTGAGAATATGTTTACAAAGACGAGAAACGATACACCCTTCGGCCGAGTCAATCGCGAAGAAACACTTGGGGACCCCTCGGAGGGAGACCACCGATGTTGTCGGGAAGGAGTTGTTATTGTTCAGATGCCCGTCAGGAAAAGAGTCTGAGAGCGTCGTTTTAATGGACCTGCCATTTGTTTTGTTCATACCGTTTGGAAGAGGGGGGCAAGAGAGTAATCGACGGATACCTCCTGCATCATTACAACTCCCGAGTCGGACGGCGGAGACGTACTATGAGCTGGTAGTGACAGTCCAGCAAGGGCAGGACCAAAAGAAGTTTGCGTTTCCAGTACCTATACAAAGATACGATACCCTGTCGACCTTCGGGATGTATAATCGACCTGAAGCGGCGGAGAAGACGGCAGATCATCTAGTTACGTTGGGCATATCGTTACCGCGATGGTCCTACGGCCCGCTTGATCCAGTGAGCGTCTACATAAAAATATCGCCAAACCCCGACTGGTTAAATAAAGCGAAGAAGATCGTGATACAAAAAATTACAATTGGGATAGAGGAGGAAATAACATATAATCCAGAAGGCGACGAGCCCACGAAAAAGGTCAATCGAATAGCAAAACACACTCAAAATGTTGGGGTTAAGCTACCTGAAGCGGGATACTTTACAAATCTGGGTCTTGTGTTCCCGTCCAAGGAACTGCGAGACGCAGACGGTATTATACGTCGTGGGAAGGCCGGGTTTCCCATGTACTCGGTCAACTCGTTCACCACTTCAGCAACTCTTTATAAAATTGAATTTTTTCTAATAATCAAGGTAATTATTATTTTTACAAACATTAGGTTTTGGCTAATAGCTCGCAGGCACACATGTCTGCAGCGAGAGACATAACCTTACGGCAACCGATCGTGGTCTGTCCGCTTGACCAGCAGGACTGCAAGGAGGAAATGGACGCTATCGAGCAAGCCGCGAAGGATGCTTTTCATGTTGATCCTCATAATCCGATGCTGCCAGCCTGTACGATAATTCGTGCAAATGACAGAGATGCTCTACAGGCTCTGGGATGGGCGATGGTTGGCGGACAGCGAAAAATGGTCATCGAATGATGAGAGGCTATATCCCGGTATTGTTTAAGCTCTCTGTTGATGATGAAGGTGGGCTCTGCGGGTATACGCTATCCTATAAGGAGGGCGACAAAGGGTCTTGAGATTTTAAGATTGACCCAACTGGCACAGCATGGGATCTTGACCACGGGCAAACTATTTCATCCTGATGAAATGCTCAAGACGATAGGTGCAATATGCACATCGAGGGAGCAGAGGTCGATTCCAAGTTTGCACTACAGGGAAGTAAGGCAACATGGCGATGGGGTTGGCGTTCAGAACCGGGGTACAAAGCCTCGGCGAGGTTTATTGAACATGAACGGCGCGTCCAGGAGATGGATGGATATCTTATTTACCTCGTGTCTGCATTTTTACGGAGTTTGGGATGGTATATTTGGAGATGGGGGGACATAACTTTTGCCCTTTGAGCTTACTCTTCATGTGTATATGGTTTATCGTCATGATAGGATGACTGTGTCTTTATAAGAGCGCGTGTAGTTAAGATGGGCTGGGTGGAACTACGGCATCTTTTTGAAACAATAATGAAATGAGAACAAATATGCCTCTGCCATTTTGAGACATCGAGACCCTGATTTGGCCGTTTGAGGCTTGAAAGCCTCGTCGTGTTGAGTGCGCCTTGGAAAAGCCACGAGCTGAAATAAGTCTAAAGCTGAACCCTCGATAAAGCCATTAGCTTGACAGGGCTGAAGGCCGAAACAGTAAAATTATCTCCACCCGTCCAATCGGATAATCCCTTTAGGGCACTCTTGAGAAAGTCTGGATTTGAGGGTTTTACTAAAATGGGGGGAGCTCGGGGGGTAATATCCCGTCTGATTATTTTTGTCCTCTTTTTGATTCTTAAGGTTTGGGATCACAAGATAGGTACCTAGGTACCTAGGTTGTTAAGTAAGTAATGGAGACTTGGCTATATTTAATAGTTGGTGCGCTATTGGTTAGTAAACCAACTAAGTTGCTCGTATATGCATATTATAGGGATGTTTTCCATATTTATCGGACTGCGGATGTGAGAAAATAGCAAGTCAGTAAGCGCTTGGAAATTTGGTTTCAGTTCGAGGTTGTTGGTGTGCTGAGGCTAGCGGCAGGGATTAGTTGCATTGTTACCTAAGGTATTACTGTGTGTATGTTTATTAAGAAGAACGACTATAGGAGGGATGTTTTAAAGGCGTGTAATAAGCCTTGTAGGTGGATTTAATTACTGTCAATTAAAAAGTTGGATGGCGGTTGGGGAGGTGTTGTTGCAAGGAGGAAGAGTTGAGACACGCTCCAGTCGATTGTCGCTTTGCTACAGACACCCCGCGCTAGCGCTGGTTTCAGCGAGATGGAAAGCAACGCAATTAGAAGATTGTTGATGTAAAATAGAAAAGTTCAGGAATGAGTTGCATATGGTGTTATGGAAAATATAGTAAACTTCGATCTTACTGTTTTATTTGGTACGATATTTTGCACGTGAAATTCCCTTCCTCCTCTAGATCGTGTTGTGTGACTCTTTAATAAGTAATTGCGAGCCTGATGCACGAGGCTGGGAACATGTGCAGCCACCACGAAACTTTTATTCCAAACCTGGCAAGTCTTTACACCATTCAACCTCAACGATGGCGGACATAGATGAAGATGCGCCCGTTACCTCGCTGCATTCCCAGTCCTTCGAAGACAACGATCCTAGCGACGAAACCCAAGATTTCCGCTTGCTTGCAGCATTAAACACGAAGTCAGGTCAACTCCCCAAACGAGGGGAAAAGGACTTCGAGCCTCACGGCACCAAGCACCAAGATGGTATTCTCGAGGTTAGCAGACAGGCGATGCACGATGCCTTGTCCTATACAAGAATCCACCCTCCGAAGGGATATATAAGGGGTTTCTACTATGGCGAAGAGGGCTTGAGGAGGGACGACGTTATACCGGAGGGGTGGAGAAAAGGCTTAGATGATGACCACATTGTCGTTGTTGAGTCCTCAAAGGGGCCTCACTTCAGAACTATGGGAAAGTCTTCATTGGGCCAGAAACGGCCAAGTCTATGGTTGCTGCCAGAAGAAGCGCTCTATTTGGTCGAGAGGGGAAACCTTGACTTATGGTGGCCGACACGATCATCACTCACAGCTATAATCGGCGAAGAAGAAAACGAAGATAGCCAAAAGTTGGACGGTGAGGATGAAGTGGATGAAGGGGTACCAATGAGTCTTCAAGCTGCTTATGCGCTTTTGGTGGGCAATGATGGGGAGAGAGGGAAGGTTAGCTTGGAGAGGTATACCGTCTATGCAAACCTCAAGAGAAATGGGTATGTTGTTACGAGAGCGCCAGAATCGGACCCGCAACAGGAAAAGACGCAGGTTGCCAGGCATCGTGGGGGCTCAAGTCCCTTCAATTGGCTCTTTAGCTGGCTTTTTGTCGCATCAGAGGTCAAGCGCCAACCATTTGGGCCATTGGTGAAACCTGGAATGTACCGGTCTTACGACGAGATCTACCGACAAATCGCCATTATTCCGCGACACAAGCCATCAGCTGCACCGGAAAATCCCGCACCGCCGGCAGAAGATCCATATCGTGTAGTTTTCCATCTGTGGAAACCCACGAATATCCCCAACTTTGCCAAAACAAACCCAGGACCGGCTGACTTTCGCATCGCGATTACCGATGCGCGGGCTAGTTTTGTGCCATCATTTACACAGATGGCGTCTTTGCTGGATAGCACACCTTGGGACCCGCCTAGTTCAGATTTGGTTGGCCCGTCCAAGATGTACCAGCGTCTAAGACATGGTTGGCGAAATGTGGTTTTAGCGGTGGTTGATCAAGGAGTTATTAGCTATTTGCGGCTTGGCGAAACCGCCTTTGGAGAAGAGAGATTGTGCGAAAGGTTTGATCAAGGTAGCACTGGTGGCAATAAGCGAGGCGGTGGTGGGCGTGGACGAGGGCGAGGGCGTGGAGGGCGAGGGCGAGGGAGAGGTCGCAGATAGCCACCTAATACATTTTTGCTCGAGTAGTGCCGCGTGTGTCTGGTCTGGGACAGGAAAATCGTGGCTCTGCGTTGGATTTAGATTAACGGGCTTGAGTTATTGTGTCACAAGTTCTAAGACGAGAGCGCTAGAGTTTATGACTCCATAAGAGCACGCTCCTCGCCCTTACGCCTGGCTAGGTTGCGGCTTGGCTTGGGACCTTGGATGGCTCAGAAATCAGGAGTTCAGGAGTAGCGGTTCAGGAGTCGGGGGTTTAGTAGGATCGAGCAGAGTAGAGCAGATAGAATAGGGTAACAGAGGGGCGAGACGGCGAGGGCCAAGGCAGCCGGCAAGCTGCAGCTTGACAAACAGCGAATTACCAAGAGGTGCATTGTGTTCATCTAAATTGAAAATAGCCAGTTCTGCCGTTCTGTGCCTGCGACTCTGCACTCTGCCTGCAACCAACCCGCAAAGCCGTCGGGGCGTGGTGCTTGCTTGGTATTATTATTGGTACTATGGTACTATGGTATTATGGGCACTATGTAGATACTACATCCTCTGCCCAGGTCACCTCATCACTCTAAAAAGTGATTAATGCCGGGCTGTAACCCGCGAATTTGCTTGTTACCCGTTACTTGTCTGGATGCTGGATGAGGAGGATGAATGGGCGCTAGCACTTTTCCCCGTACGGGCACCTGTCTAATAATCAGCACGCTGTTAATTGATTTAATTGACTCGCTTCGACTTGCGAGTCTTGTACGTTCTGCGCTCGCTGCCACTGACTGCGCTGCTGGCTGCTGCTGCTGCGCTTCTTCCCACCGACACATCCCTTCTCGCTCTCCTTCACTCCTTCACTTCTTCCCTCCTTGACTTACTTCTCTCTCTTTTCGCCCTCTCTCTCTCTCTTTCTCTCTCTCTCTACTTACATCCCTCAACACAACACAATCCGCAACCTTCAACCCTCAACTCCCCAACCTACCTACACCTGACAACGCTCCTTTTCCCGGACACCTCGGCGCGTTGCTGATCAATGGACGGCCCACCACCCGAGTCCAGCTCCGGGTCCTTGACCAGCAGGAGTACTGAGAGCATGGAAATCGACGCATTTGACCATCACACCCCCGCTGAACTTAGAAGCCCGTACGTATTCTCCTCATTCATCTATTTTACTTGGTTTGCTTGCTTGCTGGCGTGCAACTGCATTCTGCCTTTTTTTCCCGCAGCACCTACTACTTTTCCTCTACTTGTTCTCAACCAACGCGGCTTTCGCATGTTTGCCAATCGCGCTCTTGGCCCCGGCAAATCAAAGTCGAATATTGCGTGTCTCTGTGTTTCCAATTCCCAACATGTCTCTTTTTTTCCCTCTTCTTCGCGCCCTTGCCACCATACCTGCGCCTTGCATAGCGATGGGCGGCCACACATCCGACGCGCAACGCATAAGCGACCAACTATTCATATTTCTATTCCAATCACTTTTTGTTACACAATACCCGTCGCGCCCTCTCAGTCATTTTCCATGATACCCGCGATGTGTCACTGTCCATGTTTGATTTTTTCCCCCTTTCGCGGGTCGCGTTCCCTTGACACGTGTTGCAAGCCGGACACTGCCACTGCCACTCGCACTCCCACTCACTGCACTTGCTTTTTTGTTACTAAGCTCTAGCTTTGAAACCTCAAGCATCCCGCTAATCAAATTGATTTGGAATTTTGCAGGATTTCCGCCTCCGCTAGGAACACCCCCATTCGTGAGGATCCTGATAAGGGCATTATTGTCGATGCGCCGTCCCTGGAACTTGCCGACTCGTCCGCCATTCTGCTCAACCACGATGAGGACGAGGACGAGGATGTCGTGACGCCTTATCACAAGAGAAAGCGTGCGTCCATTAATTACAACTTAGATGACTTGAGCTTCGACAAGCTTCGAGGCAGTCCAAATGAGGAGCCCCTCCTCAAACGATCAAAGGTGCAGCCAAAGGTCCGCGGCGTTATCATTGGTGTATGGCGCGACTCCAGCGAGTCCGTCGATGAAGAGAAGCACGTGATCTACGGCTTTATTGACATTCACGATCGGCTTCGGACTAGGATTTATGGCATGAATCGAAGAGGTGAAGAACTTATCGGGAATATCCCCATGGGTGCTGGAGGATGCTGGGTCACCTTCCCGCGGATTATTTTTGATGTGCATCTCCAAGGGCTCAGTTCAGCCGAAGTCAAGGAATATGTTAAACTTCGATCGGAGGCCAAGCCGGAGGCCACCACTGAACAGCGCCACGAAGCTGATATGCAGGCCGTTCTCAAAGCTAAGCAGATTGCTGCAGACCAGGCAGCTTCGCCTGGCAGCAAACCAGTCGTCCATCGGCCAACCACCACTGGGCGACAACCGGGGCCTCGCCAATCACTTCCTCGCCAAACTCTGCACAAGACGCCGAGTTTTCAGGCGGTCAATGCCGCAAATATCCAAACCCCCAAGGCTTCACCGTTCAGTGAAGGAAAGCCGCATGGTGTTCTCTTGGGTTATTGGGCAGATTCGGACGAGCCTCGCGTGGAAGATAAACATGCTGTATTTGGGGTTCTTAGCGGCACAGATTGCTTTCGTGTCAAGGTTCAGCGGGTTACGCGAGATGGTCGCTACGTCGATGGCAACTTCCCAGTTGGTGCGGGAGCGCTTTGGCTCCACTACGATAAAGTTGTCTTCGAGTCTCACCTTCTTGGATTGACACGACCAGAAGTTAAGGAATACTGTCGCCTCCGCCAACGAGATCTGGAGCACAGAGAATCGGAAAAGGAGCGCAAGGCGAACGAACTCAAGGCTGTCGAACAAGCCAAGGTAGTCGTTGCTTCAGAAGGTCTGAGCAACGGACACGAATACCAACCTCGGGCCGCCCCCGCAGAAATGGAAACTCGCCATAGTTCTCGAGCGGAGCAAAAGAACCAAGCTCGCCAACAAGCCGAAGCCGAAGCCGCATCGGAGAAGGCTAGGAAGGAAAAGAATCATGCGATGGAAAGACAGCATGAAAAGACTCGCAAGGAGGTTGCTATGGCCGAAGCCGCCATACAAGAGACTGCGCAAATGGAACTGAAGAACAATCTCAAGAAACTCAACAAAGTCTGGATCGCTCAACAAAACGCGACATTCCCAAAGGCGTCAGGCTCCAGCGCCAGCTCTTCGGATGAAGTCAAGTACCATAACGGCATCAAGTACGAGAGAAAGCAGACCGGCCCTTTCCAAGGAAAACTTGTCAGCGCCGCCCAGATATTAACCATCGATGGCGAGGATTACGTCGAGTACAGAGTGTTGACCAAACCGTCCTTTTTCTGATCGGATTATGAGACTGTGGTGCCGAAAGGGTCTGCTCATTTGAGCGAGGTCTAATTCACGAGCTGGCTATCTCTTATTGTTGCACGTGCGTGCATGTAAAACTTAGTGGTGGCCCTTTTGCTTTATTCAACATTGTCTCTTGGCTGGCGTTATTGTATCAATCATTGCATTGCTTAAAGCTTGCTTCCAAAATGGGTCGGTTGTTTGTGTTGGCTTTTATAGCTTAGAATTTGTGAACGAGAGAGATTGAAGCTCGCAAGAAAGCAGAGTCCTCATGTATTAGCAGTAAAGATAGCTCTGCGCTTTATCAGATTTTTAATCTCCTACCCAGGGCTCCTGCTCCTGTTCTTAATAGGCTCCACAACACATGGGAATAGTGAAGTGATCTCAGAGGTGCACAGGCCAGTCCTTGTTCTCTGCCTGATATATGTAATGTTAGAGGGAAATGTTTGTTTAATGGCCTTTATAAATTCACTACTGACACATACAGTTCATCTTGTTTACAAGTCAAGGGCTTGGGTGGCGACGCGCCTTCGGTGTATTACTAAGTGCTATATAGCAATTCACTTGCAAGATCTTTGAGTAGACTACCTCTACTTTGATGCTATCAAAACGTCGTATTTATTGCCCTTCCCCGTGGGAGTTGCTTAAATATTCACCTCTCCTTACCTTTAACCTTGTGGGCTTGAATCCATAAAGTGCCTGTTGAATAGGGCCGGCGCGTTGGCTTTGAATCCTCGAGGTGATTGCCGCGTACATGCGTGTAATATAGTGAGTTGGGCCTTCGCGTAACCTTTTTAAAGGTTGTTTACATCGGCTTTCAACTTCTCTCGTCAACAACCGCCTCTCCAAGAACAAGACGGCCTCACTTCGACTCATCCCACCACAACGCGTCTCATCAGCTTTCAGCCCCCGAGGATCATGCAATCCTAGTACTCCTCAAGCCTTGTCTGCTACTCGCTACTTCTCTATATTTCATGATAAAGCTTTAGAATCTGGTCGTCGTCCGCATATTTCGCTATGGGTCAGGAAAACCAAGTGTGAGTTTCTATCTCTAGTATCGCATCCCTCCTCATCTCCCTCTAGCCTACAGCTTTTGGTATTCCATTCAGGTCGAGAGATGAAGTGGCAGGAGCACCCGGCTGGGCTATTGATAGCGTCACAGATGCTACCTTATCAACTCAGCTTTTCTAAGCTGTGAATGTGTTGATACTAATGCGACGATCTACCCAGTGCCTCTGCTGATATCCCGGCACGACCAAGCCCATCAGATCCATGTCAATCAACTATGTCTCAGAACAATAATGCACCTACCCCCGACAGCAAACAGCACCCCCACATGGGCCCCAGCGAGTCATCATTACTCTCAGAAGCCACCCTTACCGGCGACTCCCCCATCAACGCAGTTGTTGAGAAGAGGGCACGGCGCCGCCACTCGGATCGCGGAGACTCGATCTATGGAGTTGAAGATTCTAACGATGCTGATGGTAGCGGAGAAACCCCCAGGAAGAAGGTCAGGTTTGATGTCAAGGCGGAAGTGGTGAACCCAAAGAAGGCATGGGATAAAGTCACCATAGGCAGCCACATTGACGATCCTCGCATCCCAGTTATAGCGGAGAAGAGCGACAACGGCACCATCTGCATGACAGTGGTCCGAGATAGGACTCTGCCCTTGGATATCCTCCGAGGCTGGAGACGGTTTTCTTCAGAGAATGGAAGTGTCCCTCTTAACAAAATTAAACTGGATCCAAACATCTTCAAAGGCTACGCTGACGCCGAACCATCTGACCCAGAGAAGAAGTATGAACTTATCAAGACATTCCTTGACCCGCCTGAGGGTGCCCACGAGCCCGACATGGAAACCGAAGTCGATGAAACCCCGACAGAGACAGCCCGACCCAACACCAAAGAACCCGAAGTCGCCAAAACCGGACCTGAGGCTACTGAATTACAAGTCGGGGTTTGCAGGATGGACAACCGCATTCCAGTTTATGCATACTTGAGGCAAGAAAATCAGATTTGGTTTCGTGTCCATGAGGAGGAATCAGAGATGAGTCAGGTTCTGTTCTCCGGTACCGCTATTAGGTATGAACAGGTTGAGCTTGACAGCAAGTTCATCAAATCCAATGAGCGCACAACCCGGGCATATATTAGATCGTTGCTCAAGGAGACAGTTAATGGTGAAGGTAAGCGTTGCTTGTTTAGATGCCAGTTAACCATATATTTTGTTCACAGCCAACTCCATATTCTTCCCTTTTCCTAAGGGAACGGACTTCCTAATTTGTCACTATGAGGCGATATAATTATACTTTGAGCAAGTGTCTCAAGTAGTCCAAAAGAGCTGCAGACTAGGATAGTCTAATCAGCCTGCCTGTTTGGAACTTTTAGTTCCCTAAGCGATAAAACTTTGCTTATGTACTACATGGGCTCCGGGTCCTAATAAGGCATCTACTCAATGAAATTAGGAGGTTCAAGGAGATATGGAATATGATGCTAACATGTTGGCCTAGCTGAAACCGAGGAAACTGCAACTAGATATCCAGAGAGATCTCGACGTCGACGACCAGGCTCAACCACAATCCTTGGTGAAGAAGCAGCTGATAACACCATCGGAGACGAGCCATTAACCGACATCCAAGCTCGAGTTAACGAGGTGATCAATAAGGTAGTCAATGACCAGGAAAACTCGGCACGTGAACTCAATAAAGTGCTGGGCGACTACGGGCGGCACTCCGCTCAACAAGCCGACACAATCAAAGAGCAACAAGTTACTATTGAGAGGCAAACACGAACTATCGAATTACTTAGATTGAGACTGGCAGATCTAGAATCAGCTCCCAATCAGCAACCAGAGAACGAAAACGAGCAAACCAACGAGGCTGCTGCTAATCCATTTGCACCACCTCCCGTTGAAAGCCTCAAAGGATTCTGTGTCATTCCTGACGGCAAGGAAAACGCAGGCATGTTAGTGGAGAAGCATGCCCACCATGCCCGCTACAACCGCGCCTATTACAACGAGCGCCTCCTACTGCAGGAACTAAAGATTGTGATCCGGGGCGAAGATAGCGGCGAGACGATCAACATTGACGGAATGGCGAGTAGGTGTTATGTGGAGGCTGATGGAAGCAAGAAGTTGATTGAGCGGCCCCAGGGTTCTAGGTCCTTTCTTGAACTTGAAGGTAGGCATTTTATCAAGTGGGTTAAGAGAGAGCAAATTACACTTGAGGAGTACTGGAAGGTTTAGAGTGTATCAGTTGGTGGCAGTCTTTATGCCTCCAGGAGGCCCGTATACCCGAGGTATGGTGTGGTAGTTGCGCTTTTAGATTGGTTGTCGGTTTTCTGAGAAGTGGCTTCTAGTTAGAGAGGAATATTGGTGCGAATAGCGGACGAACCAAATAGCTAAGAGAATAGAGTGTATCTCGCCATAAACAAACTACCGGTTTAAGAACTTGTTGTGTAGCGTGTGGATAGAATGCTAAGGATTACACTAAATATCTTTAGTATCTAGGTAGTAGAGCTAGGTACCGGCATTGAAGAGCCTAATTGAGGAGAAGTATAATTGTTATGAAAACATTTAACCAGAGCGAGGTGAATGATTACCTAGAGAATGCCTAGATTGGTGAATATTTTAGTAACCTCCAAGAGGTGCTACTAGTAGATACTATGAAGAAAGAGAAGAAGGGGCAAGTGCAGTACTACTTCTACAACGCAGATGGGAAAGATATTCTAATTTCTAGCAAAGAAACCCGATTAAGAAAAAGTTAATAGGGATTTTGATGGAAATGTATACTAGAGCTTGGTATATACTGGCAAGAGGTCGGGAAGCGTTTACCATACTTGGCAATTCGGAAAGACTATCTATCAGGCAAAGGCAAAAGCACATGCTGATGGGAGATATAATAGCAAGCGGGAATGAGAAGGATAGGGGTAACGAGAATCCACAGATAAACGGGGTTTATAAAGTTCAACGTGTTGCCATTTATGATAGAGCTCCACTAGATACCCCGCGAATCTACCAACCAGGGATATTGATCTTAGGTTCCAGCTTGTTATTGACGTTCTGGTTCTTCGGCTGTATCCAGCCTTGTCATGTCTAGAGCCATGCTGAATCTCGGCCACCACCTGGCTTGTCTCCGTAATCTCTAATCGCGGCCAGGTAAGCTGATGTCGCTAAATTTATCAGGTGCTATAACGGGTCAACGCGCGAAGATTTTAACAGCCTGTATTAATTCCCACAATTATATATTCTAAGATTAAATTTCTAAGACGACCTAATACAATTTTATATATATCCTAAATTTAAAGTGTTTTAACGGTTTGGTTGTGGCAATATTTTGAAGTCGGGTCCAGAAATACTTGGTTATATAGTACACGCAAAATACTCAAATAAAATCAGGATAGCTCGATTTGAATGGAATTTGCTAACCACCTAATTATTTGAATGCGACCACAGTAAGGTTACTAGTAAGTAATAACTACCTACCAGGTACCTATTAGTAGGTAAATACACCGGGTGTTAGCAAAGTAGCTAATTACATTGAGACCCCTACCACCCAAATTTTGCTCAACGAAATATCTCTACTTGCTATTTTATAATGGGGAATTATTATAACGATTAATTACCTATATTGTATTGGCTTGACAATTTTCTTAATAAGATAAGTAGTAACGTCCATCCCTGCATAACGGAAAACCCTACGTGCCGGGAAAATTAATAGGTACTTTGACTTTAGGCATCTTAAAATCCGTGCAAAACTAATATCCCTTAAAAGTTCCTGTAGGTTATGTTCTCTGGCCACTCCTGGACACCCAGAACCCTTACCAGTAAAAATTACCTTCGCATCGTCGCCCTCGCGCGTAAATTACAAAGAGTCTCTTCTGAAGGGTTACAGAGTTCCTACACCACAAGTCCACCACCGAGCCCATATCACCCCTGATACTTATAAAGGAGTCTTATCCAAGCTCGAAATCTTCGCCATAAAAGAGGAAATCGTAATTGGCACTATAGCTGCTGTGGCGTGCAGATTTATGCATGATCGCCACGCGGGTCGGTACCTCGGGTGAAGGCGAACGACGATTTTGGTTAGTACGAGATGAACCCGCACGTCCCACAAATATCACGACGTAAGTTACCTAGGCCTGCCTTAAGAAACCCCATTCGAACTAATGAACTGTCGTCCTCGTCCTCGATCGCACGACCGTTGCACAGCCTGCAAGCGGCGAAAAGTTAAGTGTGACGAGAGTGGATCAGGATATAGTCTCTGTTCAAAAAAATCAGTTAACATACAGCTTCCAAGGAAGCCAGGCCTGAGTATCCATTCCATGACTCTCATGCGCGGCTACCCAGAGAGTCCAAAGAGACCCCACATCGCCAATGTTTGGGATTTACATTATATTACTATTGCCCTGGAAACTTCCGATTCGCTTGGTGGGTGTCCTCATTGAATTGCGCTCACTATCAGTTTCTTCAACATGAAGCTTTCCAAGCGCGGTCTAGCGACAGCGTCCAATAAAGGCGGATCACTCCTGTGGGAAGTGACGGCAAACCTCTGGAGCGCTACCAACACCTTAGGCTACGTAAGTCTGGGTATGGCAGAAAATGTCCTTATGCAAGATGAGCTTTTGAAGCATTTTACCGACAATACCGCTCTTCGATCACAAGCTTTTACCTACGGTGACGGTACAACGGGATCAAAACGGTTAAAACTTGCACTTGCACGTTTCCTCAACAGAAATTTCAATCCTCACAGGGAGGTTGAGTCGACTCATATTACCATTACCAACGGCTGCAGCGCGGCTATCGAACATATTGCATGGGCAGTTGGAGATAATGGGGACGGCTTCCTCATTAGCAGGCCTTTCTTTCGCGCCTTCATTCCAACCTTCGGTCTTCGCGTAGATACAAGTGTTGTCCAGGTGCCATGCCATGGTATCGATCCTTTCTGCGTGGATGTGGTCGGACAGTACGAGGCCACGTTACAAGAAGCCAAAGCACAAGGAAAGAACATTGCTGGCATTCTTCTCTGCAACCCGCATAATCCCCTAGGGCACTGTTATCCAAAAGATACATTGGTTCGACTCATGGAATTTTGTCAGAAACATCAACTTCACTTGATCAGCGACGAGGTCTACGCCATGTCGACGTGGACGCAAGACGAGTCACAGGATACGCCTTTTACCTCTTGTCTGTCAATAGATTCGAGAGGCATCATTGATCCATCTCTTATACACGTGGTATGGGGAGTCTCGAAAGATTTCGGATCCAACGGCATTCGAATGGGAAGTATTATTTCCCAGAACAATTCTTTGTTGCATGATGCACTTGTTCCAGCCGCACTGTATAGCATGTGTTCTTCCCTCGCTGATCACGCTTTTGCCAACGTCCTTGAAGACGATACTTGGGTTGATAGCTACCTGGCCAAAAACAGAGCGAAACTCGCAGAGCATTATAAGTTGATTGCATCTTGGGCAAAGGAGCACAATATATGTTATGCAAAGGGATCAAATGCAGGGTTCTTCTTATGGGTTAATCTTGGAGAGGCATACCTTCGGAATCACCCTGAACAAGAGCTGCTGCAAGCTGAGAACCAAGTAATGCAGCTAATGCTTCAACAGAGAGTCTTCATAGCTCCTGGAGAAAGCTTTGGAGCTGAAAGCAGTGGATGGTTTAGGCTTGTCTTTTCAGTTGATAAGATAACTCTCTTAGAGGGGCTTACAAGAATTATCAAGGCTTTGCAATAAGCGACAACATTTTCCTATCATATTTCGTTGTAGTTGTATTCTTATTAAACTGCGTAATTTCTTTATGATTTACGTGGCCGTGAATGAAATATTAGTTGGGGCGATTAATCCTTCCTCGCTTATTACGACGCAGCAATTTGTGTACCACCCACTTTTCCGGATCAATCCGGCAGGCAGGTTTCCCTGTACTCTACTTCGTATATCTTCAAACTTTAGAATTGGATTTAGACTTAATCGAAGCTCTAAATTATAGGTCCGAATTCCGGGAATAAGTAGTTTTTCATGACAAAGCAAGGGGGTAAAAGCTATAGTATCTTTGGACGCTCTTGATAGAACAGTTGACAGCATGGCCAAACTACAGTATTTTTCTGAATGCAAGTCAAGCCCTTGTAGAGAAATAGCTAAAGAACAATAATAAACTGATTGATATTCTATGTATTTATGCGGTGGGAATTTAAGAGCCCTAGATTGTGAAGTCTTTCCGGCACGCAGGGATGGACGTTAGGCAATTGAACTTAATTAAAGCAAAATCTCATAATTTTATTTGCATTTAGGTGTTCATCACCTATCAGGCGACGATCTATAAGCGGAAATCGTGACCGCAAACGAATTAAACTTAAAATATTCAACAACAAAGCGCTTGCTATGGAAATTAGACGTAGAGGGACAGGATGAGCTATCTTTTATTTCAGAGTAATCTGTTCCATCAACCGTTACTGACATCCACTTGTTTCCCCTCTTCTACGCGCTTCTCAGCCTCCTTTGCGGCCTCCTTCGCAGCATCTTCCTCATATCCCTCGGTCCTCATATCCGCCAAACCCAAATCCTCTTCCTCCTCCACTGTCCTCTTATACTCCTCCTCGTCGATCTGCGGATCCTTGTCTGGTAGACACAGATTTTGCACATAACTGCCAGCCAATGGATCTCGCAGTATAACTGTGAACTTCTTATCGCCCTTAATTGCTTCTCCAATGTTATCGAAGAACTTCTCCCAGTTGCTCTTCACATCCGACTGTAGGGAGTCTCCGCCTCCGGCATTCTCACCGACATCGAAGATCTGTTGGCGCAAGTCATCCCTGATATTCGTAAGGAGCCCCTCGACGGTCGTAAATCTGCCTCCAAGCGTCCCCGGGTTGACAGAGAGACTCAGCTCTGGGCATTCGAGGGCGCAGGATTCGGATTTCAGGATATCACGTGCCAGATCAGTGGGTGTTTCGACTCTGAGAACGATTTTCTTGCCCAAGGCGGGAATTGCTCCTCCGGTTTTGACTTCGTTGGAGCGGTAGCCGCAGTGCTCGCACACAGTGCTCATGATGATCACTTGCTTGAAGTAGGGAATGTCGACCATTTTCATGTGCGTTGTACAGGGTCGTGTACACCCGGGACAGGATGCAGGGAAGGAGTATACTTCGTCCGGGGCAATATCATCGTTTTCGAAGTTTGCCAACGTGGGTTGGCCCGATACAGTGGTTTGAGGTGGGGGTATTTCTTCCTCGCCGCCCCCGATGCCTAATCCTTCATTCTGCTCTGGCGTCCGTAAGTATTCGACCTTCCGCCATTTGCCCACGCCATCCTTCTGATCTGGCTCTATCCACGAATTGCCTGATGGATCGTCCACGGATAAGCGGAAGGGGAAACTTTCTCCGGCCAACATTTTCCGGCCCTTTGCTAGGATCTCCTCAATCTTCGCCCATACTTCCGGCATCTGCTCCTTTCTCTCATCTTGTTGCAATGCTAGATCTTCGAGTATCATGCTAAGTAGCCCCTCGACATTTGTTAACTGCCCACGCCCTGGGGGGATTTCGATATCGAGTTCGATGAATTTGACTATGCAGTTGTCGGATTTGACAACCTGTCGTCCGAAGTCTGCGAGCTCTAAAAGACGGAGCTCGAATCGGGACCCTTTCTGTTGAATTTCTCCTGCGGGCTGGATTTGGGAACTTCTGAAGTGGCAATGTGGGCATTCAAAGGACATGATTATGATTTCGCGGAAGTAGGGAATGCGCGTTAGGAGTAGGCGGGTGGTTCCCTGGGATGTTAAGTTAGATAAGAAAACAAGGAGGAAGACTTGAGTATACGTACATCTTTGCGACAATTCATGCATAAACTCTCGATCTCGTCGACTATCTTCTGATCGTCCTCCTCTACTAGAGGTTGCGTAGTGGAATTTGGCTCAGCGCCGCTGGTGGCGGGCGCAAAAACGTCTCCATTTTGCTCGTTTGAGGTGAGATGCTCTGCCTTTTTGCCTATACTGTCGAAAAAGTCGTCAAAGGCCTTGCCGTCTGGCTTAGGATCTTCATGAATGTTGCTCGTCATTTTTGGTTTTTGTGTGGAGTTGAGTTGAGGCGATGGTGGGGCGGTTATGGAGGGGTTATATGCATCTGGAGCAATTATTTTTTTATGGTGATAAGGCCGTCAGTGACGTACTAAAGCCACCCTCGGCCAAGACCCCGGATCAAAAGCGATCAGGCTAGAAGCCACCCGAAGGTTCTTTTTTGTGCCATGCATTTTCACTTGATGATACGAGTACGGAGATAATATAATATCTATTCTATGATGATCTGAATCAATCTTCTCTAGAATTGTCACTTAGCTGTGCCTTTTCCCCAGGATGCCAATTGAAACATAATGAGCATAAATAGTACTGGTCCATTTAGAGTAAAGGTAAAGTACCTAGGTACAGCATGGTGGTTTTAGAATGTCCGGGCATTCCTATTCGCAGGTTGCATTGGATATGTTCATTACACCCGTAACGCGTCTGTTTGGTCTGCAGTGAGGGCTAGATGTGTACACCGCTTCTGAACAAGCTTAAGCCACTTCGGGCTTCTACAAAGTAAACTTTGGTTGTGCTTAGTGGTCCCGGCCTTCTTCTTCTCCCCTCCAATCAGTGGTTGAAAGACAATCCATTAGATATGCGTATTGGAGCTTTGAAGTGGTTACTATGTCCAACTTCGGAGGATTGTTCAGATGCTCGTTGCGTTTGTTTTCCCGTGGCTTAATAGCTGTGGCGATGACCATGTTTGTTTGATGAGAGCTCCTGGAGTATTGTTGAAGCTAGGCATATCTTGTTACCCTTTGCTCATGAAGTCCATTAGATCCAGACCAAAACCAGACGAAGAGGAACTCTGTGAAGCCTTCTGCTTCGCCAGAAGAGCCTTCAAACCGCCTTGCTTCTTGTTAGGCCGCTTTCTGCTGGAGGGATTTGAAGCTGCCGTTGTAGAGGAGGTCGTAGTTTTTTGGGAGATCGCGGATGGTGGAGCGGAGGCGGAGGTAGCTTTTAATGATCCTGGCTTAGGCCTGTGTGGTTTTGGAGCCGGAGGAATAGAATGTCTGGTCTTCCTGCCGCAACAATTGCATTTATAGACCATGGCTTTGGTAGCACTTGTATTATTCCTGCCCTTTTTCCGTAGAGGTCTCTCCATCTCTACTGTAGCATCCAGTCCCAGGATCATTATTGTGCCACATGCTCCGCACGATCTGCGTCTCTGTGCCTCTGGCAAATCGATGTTGTTGTCGGATAGGTAGGAGTTGTGCTGGGACATGAGGTATCTCGAGGTCGCAGGAGCGGCCGTTGCCAGAAGATGTGCAGATTCATTTAGGTATCGTAGACGCGCCGATAGTTCAGGAGTTGCCATGGTCTCAGCGTAGGATACTTATCCCAAGGTGTTTGGACGACTGGACGCGTTGTATGGCTGGTGTTGGTTGAGGTTGACCACAAGAAGTTCTGGCCTGAAGCGAGAGAAGCGGAAACTTCCGCGAGGCTACGAAACCGCCTCTATGCAACCATCATCGCGGGACAACTATTCTCCCCGGACGCCCTTGGTATCGATGGATCTATTACGAGTTCACCCACGACTGTTATAATTCTCGAAACACCCGTCATTCTAACATCGTTTTCTCACAAACTCGCTGTTTCCCCTGCCGCTATGGAGCCGAATCTGATTGAGGGGCAAGGCTTGCGAATTGCTGTCGAGGGATGTGTAAGTCTACAAGCGCTGTTAATCCGGTGCGGCTTATATCTAACGTATTGGTTAGGGTCATGGAACTTTGGATGCTATTTATGCATCAGTGAGCAAGGCATGCGAAGTTCGAGGCTGGGATGGAGTTGATCTCCTTATTATTGGCGGAGATTTCCAGGTACCCATCCTTCCTACCTCTATAAGAGCAAAATAAGTATCTATGAGCGTTGCTAATAACCCTAGGCAGTTCGAAATGCCTCTGACCTAACTATTATGTCCTGTCCTGTTAAGTACCGGGAGATTGGTGATTTTCACAAATACTACAGCGGCGCCAGCGAAGCGCCCTGTCTTACAATATTCGTTGGTGGTAACCATGAGGCGAGTAGCCATCTTTGGGAACTCTACTATGGCGGATGGGTTGCACCGAACATCTACTATATGGGAGCTGCGAACATCGTACGGCTAGGTGGCGTTCGGATCGCTGGAATGTCTGGCATTTGGAAGGGCAGAGATTTCAACAGGCACCACCACGAACGGCTTCCTTACAACCAAGACGATATCAAGACGATTTACCATGTCCGGGAGATCGATACGAGGAAGCTTCTACTGCTGAAGTCCCAAATCGACGTTGGGATTAGTCATGACTGGCCACGAGCAATCGAGAGACACGGCAACGAAAGGTCATTGTTTAAATTGAAGCCAGACTTCGAGCAAGAATCAAGGGATGGAACGCTGGGCAACTTAGCTGCTGCATTTGTCATGGATCGCCTCCGTCCTCCATATTGGTTTGCAGCTCATATGCATTGCAAATTCTCCGCGACGAAAATTTACGATAGAGTAGACAAAGCCGCAGAGCCTGCAATGCCAATAGATGCCCCGGAGCGAGCCATTGCTGAGGTGCAGATTATACCGGACCCCAGTGCCTTACCAAGCGCCCACAATGAGGATGAGATCGACCTTGATATGGATGGTGATGAGGATGCGCCACAAGAACTCACCCCAACAAATGGGACCGCGTCTACTAAAAATCAAGATCAGATGGAGCTGGAGAGCCGTGGGGTGCCTCCACCAGAATCACTTTCGTCTGTCCCTGCAGACCTCCGAGCGCAACTTCCTGCAGCCTTCTCACGACCTACTCCCCCACAACCACGGATACAAGCAGGACAACCCACGCCCGCCGAGGTGGAAAATACGACTGTGAGATTCCTTGCCTTAGATAAATGCTTGCCTGGGCGAAAATTCCTCCAACTTATGGAGGTTTATCCTTATCATACATCTACAACCCCACCATCTCTTACTCGGTCGGCTTCGAGACAAAAGCACAAGTTTGAGTACGATCCCGAGTGGCTGGCTATAACGCGGGTGTTTGCTCCTGATATTTTACTGGGAGATAAAACGGCCCCTCCTGTCCAAGATCTCGGAGAGGCCCACTACCGTCTGCTAATTGACAAGGAGCAAGAATGGGTTAATGAACATATTGTGAAGGAAGGGAAGTTGGAAATTCCCGAGAATTTTGTCATCACCGCTCCTCCATTCGAGATTGGGATGCCAGAAATTGTGAGCGAGGGACCAATGGAGTATAACAACCCGCAGATGCAACAGTTCTGCGATTTACTTGGGATTGAAAATAAGTTCCATGCGACCGAGGCGGAACGAGACGAGAGAATAAGAAATGGTCCAGCACCAGCGGAGGCAAGATTCAATGGTGGGTTTGATCGAGGGGGTGGGAGAGGCCGTGGGCGTGGAGGAGGACGAGGCCGCGGACGAGGTGGACGTCGAGGCGGAGGTCGAGGATGGTAGTAGCGTAGTGGGATGAGACAAGTTCTTTTTTCCAGAGATACCCCAGATTATCATGCAGCTGTCGAAGCTGCCTTTTCTACATGGCAATTATTATTAATGGTTGGATCCCCAGGGCCTTGACTACGACGCCAGGTGCGTGCAGGTCTGCTACACTGGGAAAAAGCTCACGCGACAGTATTGTGCTGAGCCATTGGGGGTTATTATTCGCGAGGTTCCTTATTGCACGATTGTTGCATGGTGCTGGGTCCTGTGCTATTACTCGCCCACCGCTACGAAGTAATTCCTACTCACCCACGCCGCCACTTTGAAGATTTGCACGATAGTGGGGCAGCATGGAGACATATTTATTACTAAGTACCTTGCCCTACCTTACGGCGCCTCGTTACTATTCAGGTTGCTCCGAGTCTACCGCGAGTAAGGCGGATTGTTACGGATTAAGCGTTGCCAATGTTGTCCTCCCTCCGAGCCCCCGACTCCGCCCAAGCGAAACCCCTGATCTGCAGCATTTCGACTGCGATTTCTTATCAGGCAAAGTGATGTCACATGGCGCGTGGGATAGTCTATTGGCATTTGGTTGCTGTTGTTATTGTTATTGTTGCTAAGGCTCTCGGTCGCATTCCATTCCATAGCTCGTCCACCGCTAAGTAGCTTTGTTTTGATTACTTGCCACTCACCTCCCCGCGGCTTCTTTGTGACAAAGCGTCCTATTTTTCGTAGCTTGTCAGATGATAATCCCTTTTTAGCTATTCTGGGGTTGGACCCTGGCGACGGGGCGTTGCTGGAAAGGCGGTGTGACCACTGGCAGAATCCAGTAACTCCAGGGTGAATACGTAGAATCTGCTATGACATCCCGTTGAACAGAAACCCCATATTACTATTGCTCGCAGAGCCACGGGATGGCAGAGTTTCATTTGTTTGTTTCTGCATGAATTAGCCCTGCCTTGCTATTCTTACATTACTCCACAGAAGTTGCCCGCCTGCCAACCTTGATCCCTCCTGCGCGTTGGGGCTGGCGCAAAACCGATCTGGCGAATCAGCGGGCGAGCTTCACTCACGGTTCTGCGACTTTGACCATCAAAAACTCTTTTGACTACAACTACCAAACACCCGCTGCACTGCTATACGGGGCCAACAGCATTTACAGGAATATATTACAGGATCCTTGGATATTGCATCGCCGTTCTATTAGCCACCTATCACCGCACAAAGACCGAAATACGCAGACAGCGCCCTGGATGGCGACCGCGGACGACTTATTACTTGTTTTCATTGTTGATCGGCCAAACTCGATTCCGTTTCCCCCGAAATAAACCACGCCGCTAAAAGTGCAAAGAAGCTGCTTATCTGGTTTGACCTCATCTACAGCTCTGGAAGCATAGATACGGGTTGCCAAAAGCAAACACTCCTGGGGGCAAACCCGCGCAATGAAGTTCGGTCGCAAGTATGTTGGCCACCGTTTCCCCGTTCTATACGAAGATATGTAAATGGAGGGTTAGCTAATCGAATTGCAGCCTACCACGCAACCAGGTGCCAGAATGGTCGTCATCGTATATCAACTACAAGGGACTGAAGAAGCTCATTAAGGCCGCGGCTGGGATCCTGAAAGCTGGCCAGGACGTGGATCTCACCGGTGAGCATCATATCCAGTGGCAATTATTTGCATATATCTAATACTCGAGCTTTAGAATTCTTCTTCTCCCTAGACCGGAACCTTGAGGATGTCGACAGTTTCTACAACAAGAAGTTTGGGGATGCCTCACGGCGGTTGAAGCTACTACAAGAACGATATGGCTCGTCTAAGCAGGGGTTGGAAGACTTGGATCGCAATGAGATTGAGGAAGTCATTGGTGCCCTGCTGGACCTCCGAGGTCAATTGCGGAAGCTACAATGGTTTGGAGAGGTCAACAGGCGTGGCTTCGTGAAGATAACCAAAAAGTTGGATAAAAATGTTCCTGTGTGCGCCCAACGGAAGTATATGACTTCCAAGGTCGACCCGACGCCATTCGCAACGAATGCGGCCCTTTCTCAGACCATGAAAGCCATAAATGATTGGCTAGAAATCCTGGGAGAAAAGAAGGCCAAAGAAGAAGAAGCTGTATTAATCCCTTCTGCGCGATTCATCAAGCGCGTGTCCTCACGATCGACTCTCAACTTGCCTGCTAGCGTCCTCGACAGTGTCGACCAAGCTATCAGACATGATGATGTGGCAACTCTGAAAAAAGCCCTCGCCGAGGCTAATTTAGAGACGAGCGACCCAGGGATGCAGAAATTACTTCTCGATCTTTTACAGAGAGCTATTTCTTGCAAGCTAAAAGAATGCATTGCTTTCCTCTTGAAGGATATCAAGACCTTGGATGAACCGGACGATATCAATGGTCGCAACATTCTCCACCGTTTAGTCATATCCATTGGGCGAACCAAATCAGATAGTCAAGCGGCCCAGGACACCTCGGTTGAATCGGATGATATGCGTTATCTTACCCCTGCATCATCTCAGCCCCTTGGGCCTTCTTCGACCAAGATTACAGAGTCCCAGTTGCTGAGCAGGGATGACGAATCAGTTAAGCTCTTGATTTATCTGCTGGACCATCTAGAAGGTGATCAAAGGGCAGCGCTGAACAGTCGAGACTCATATGGCCGCCTTCCTCTACATTATGCAGCGCAATTCGGCTTTGTCATTGTGTGCCAGCTCGTTATGAAATATATGCAGGATTGGGGTCAATTTGATGTCGAGAATGGCATTGATGCCCCCGAATGGCAAGACAATGAGGGCCTTGCACCGCTGCATCTCAGTGTGATTGGAGGCCATCCACTCACGACTCAGGCTCTATTGATGGGAGAGAATTGGCAAGGGATAAATGATTATGCGGGGGCTATGAGGCGTGATATATCGAAGTCTAGTGCTGTACTTGCCCTTGCCACAAAGTCGAATTTCACCGGAATCGTGAGGCAACTTGTGGATGCCGGTGTCGATATAAACTGGCAAGACGAAACAGGTGAAACTTCTTTGCACGTTGCCGCGCGCTTCGGACACGAAGACTGTGCGAGAATTTTGCTAGAGGGGACACCTGATCAAAAAGCCGACCTGGAGATCACCGAAAACTCTTTCTCTTGGACCCCACTACATGTGGCTTGTGTCGATGGTCACGCGGCTATTGTGGAGCTGCTCATTGCAGCTGGTGCTGAAATCAACAAGCCGGATGCTTCTGGCTGGACAGCTAAGGAGCATGCTGCCTTGAGAGGCCATATTAGTATTGCATGTCGGCTCCTAGAAGCTGCTGTTGATATATCGTCCGACAAGGCCGAAAAGTCCGATGATTCGACAGATAGTACTTATACATCGTCACCCCCCGGGCCATCATCTATAGATGCGCTTCGGTCACAACCCCCCAATGGTGTTTTGAAGGCCACTGAGACCTTCAAAACATTTGGTCATCGATACCTTACCGATGAGAGCATGGTTCTTGTTAGTCTAGGCTCTATGGACATGAGAAAAGATATTCCAGCTGTTAAGCTTGACAGGATTCCTATCGCTGAAGCTCATGCAACTCAACTGGACACGGCCCTGTCTGTTGTTGTTACAGCTAGTGGAGCCCAGGGCGAGCCGACCACCATCGACCTTCCTGTCCAGGAAAATATCTCAACTGCACCTATGGTCTTCACCACCAAGGATGCATCCAAGGTCAAACTATACTTTGATATTGTTCCAACATACGCTGGAAGCCAGGAGCACAAAGTTGGACGTGGTGTTGCCATTTTATCCAGTATGAAGCAGGCAATTGGCTTGAAACGTATGAATCTCCAAGGAGACGTCAGCGTCCCGATAATGAGCACAAACCTTGAGGTTATTGGATGTGTTAATTTCAATTTTCTCATCGTCACTCCATTTTCCCATCCGAATATGGAAGTTACGGCGAAGCAAACATACTGGAAGGAGATGTCCTCGACCATGGTGATAGGACACAGAGGTCTCGGCAAGAACATGACATCGAATAGATCTCTTCAGCTGGGAGAAAATACATTACAGTCATTTATCGCGGCTGCAAATCTTGGGGCGAACTACGTCGAGTTCGATGTCCAGCTTACGAAGGATCATGTGCCTGTTATATACCATGATTTTCTAGTCAGCGAAACGGGGATTGACGCACCGGTCCATACGCTCACGCTTGAACAATTCCTTCACGTCAATGACGCCCAATCTCGGTCATCGCGCCCCCCATCCCCCCCAAAGGAATATCCACAGTTTCGGGGGGTCCGGGGCGCCGATCGTCAGCGGTCACTCTCCCTTAGCCACACACTACCTGGTTCCGAGATGTCGGAGAGAATGAAACATACGCGTGATTTCAAAGCTAAAGGATATAAAGCCAACTCTCGAGGAAACTTCATCCAAGCCCCGTTCACCACACTTGAAGAAATGTTCCTTAAGCTCCCTGAAAATGTCGGTTTCAACATCGAAATGAAGTACCCTATGCTGCACGAGTCGGAGGAACAGGAGATGGATACTTATGCTGTCGAGCTCAACAGCTTCGTGGATACCATCTTAACGAAAGTATATGATCTGGGCAAGAAGCGGAAGATCATTTTCAGCAGCTTCAACCCCGATATATGTCTGCTTCTGAGCTTCAAGCAGCCCAACATCCCGGTACTGTTCCTGACCGATGCTGGTGTTTGCAAGGTTGGCGACATCCGAGCTAGTAGTATCCAGGAGGCTATTCGGTTTGCCAGCCGATGGAATTTACTCGGCATTGTGAGTGCAGCGGAGCCATTCTGTCTCTGTCCTCGATTGGTGAGGGTTGTGAAGGAGGCTGGATTGGTTTGTGTTAGCTATGGGGTCTTGAATAATGATCCCGTCAAGGTGCAGGTTAGTAAACATCGGTTCCTTTGCAAATGCCTACCATCGTACTAACTCGAACCCCAGGAACAAGTAAAGGAGGGCATAGATGCTGTGATTGTCGACAGCGTATTGAAGATCCGCAATGGCCTAACCAAAAACGCCAAGCCGATCGAGATGGTAACGTCGGGTGGAACGGTGCTGAATAGTGTGGAGGTCGTAGAAGCACAAGTTGTTTGAACCAGGGGGTTTTAGAGGAGCATTGAATGCGGGACATGCATGAATACTTTCGCTTTCTAGCGATGAACATGATGGGGATAAAAAAATTCCTTCACATTTGGAACACCAAGCATAGGGCATCCATTGCATTTTGACCAACGGCGTTTGTCTCGGTGTTATACGAGCTATACTCGTTTGTTTGGAACCAATGGCACAACAGAGCCGTTTCTAGCTACCATATGGAGCTAGCTATTAGAATTGAATGCTTATTCAACTGGGCAAATGATATAAATTACATTCGTGGATAATAACATGTTCCTTCCCTGCTCTTTTGTGATACATGAAAAAAGGGTTGACAACCTTGCTGATGATAATCAACTCTCATCTTTAAACGAGATGGATGGGACAGGGGATTGGAGAATTAGAAAGCAGGGGGATTATAGGTGGCAAGTAATATGTTGAATGGTATTTTGTGTGCCTATAATGAATTTAATGCTATTCTAAACCGCCGTGATCAAAAGCAGTTAATAGGCATGGTATTACAAATTAGATAATGTTTTATTTCTAAATTCTAAATTTGATAAACGCCGGCCTCTAAACAAAAAACCAACCTAACACAACATCATCTATCCATAAAGCCCTCTCATACGCCCCAAGACCGCATCTCTCAATCTAAACACCCTCCTGTTTCCACTGCTCGCAAACACTCTTCAAATCCACATTGAACCCCTTAAACCCCGCCTCCGTCTTCCTCCTCAAACCCACTGACCTCGCAAACCAATTATCTCCAATCATGAACGCCAAAAGCCCCGAGAACTGCTCTTCATGAATAAATATTGTGGTCTCGGGACCGGAGACGCCTGGGGAAAACCGGAAGCCGTGGTCACCAGTGAAGAGACCGAGAGGGAGGGCGCCTCGCCAGGAAAAGGCAGAGGGTGAATTTTCCTAAGGGATATTAGTATACGATTAGGGAAGGTGGAAAGATGATATAGAAGAGGGAAACGGGGAGTAAGTAATAGCAATGTTACATACTAAGCAAACAGGCTCCATCGTCGCGCCCTTTAACACGCATCGCATCTTCGTTCCTTCTATCAATGCCTCTCCCTCCACCTTCGGGCCTATGGACTTGATAAATCCATCGGGCGAGTAGTTTAGTAGGTTTTCAAAATCGAGAAACTGAAAATTTATTTGTTAGCATTATGAACATATATAATTAGTAAGTGGAGAGAGAAGAGGGGCTCAGCGTGAGTATGAGGTTAGGTATATACCTTTGCTCGAACAACCGCCGGCGGAGCATCAATTTCGATTCTCGTTAATATGAGTGTCATATCTGCTCTTCTCTTTCCTAATATTTCCTTCCTTATCCTGTTTTTCTTCTCGTCTTTGGTCTAAAATTTGGGTTTGTCCTCTTCCAGTTCATGTGATTTAATGATCTTCGAGCGTAGGCGTAAGTCGTAAAAAGAGCAAATGCGCGTACTTTAGATATGAAAAAATATTCTGTCTTATTCTATTAAGGATGGATTTAAACCCCCCAAAAGCGAAAATACAACTGTCTTTATATATCCCATCCTCCCCCGATAACTCGAAAGCCACGGACTCTCATCGGAGGAACCTCACAGCGAAGCTACGCGGTGGTCGGCCCAAGATCTCTCCGCTTGGCGTTGTGGCGTTTTTTAGGATGAATAAGCACGGTTGAGAGGTGAGTTGAAGGTTAAGCGAGGAACTTCACTTCTTATGCTTACCTAATTCTTGATGTCTCTAAACTCTAAAAAATGTCGTGGTGGTCGAACTTTGATCTGATAGAAGCTGTGAACTGACTAAATATTGGCCTCAAAAGCTTGATAGATAAGTGCATGAGCTAGTAGGTGGAGCAAGGTATCAACCAAAAGGTCGTTCGTATACTTTAGAAGAGATGAAGGGCTTTCTGACCATTTATTGTCAGTAGCAGATGATACTAGAGTGTAGAGCCCCTCTCGGGGTTTCCCTTTGCTCCCATTATTTAGTGCACCCGGGGGTCACTTCTATAGCTGGAAGATCCCTTGCCTCCCTCTGTGTTCTTAGGGAGCAGCTTCATATCTCTGTATTAGAACGTTTTGGAGTTATCCTCTTTCGGATCCCATTAGTCCGCATCCCAACCTTGTAGCTTCGCCTTCGCAACAAAAGCAGGGGTGATTAATGGCCTTCTTGATAAGCTGCTTGTAATCGAGTATCTTTTCTATGCATGCATGGTGCTCCTCCTGTGTATTCTGCCTTTGCGAGTTTAGTATCTGTTTTAGAAGGGTCATAATATCTTCCCAGTCTGTGACATGATTGAGCAGATGGAGTAAAAGGTGCATGCAGTGCCTAATACTATTAACATACCGTACTAAAAGCTGTAGAGTTCTGACGCATCTTGTCTATTTCATTTTGTCCCTATGCATATTGATTTTGGTAGTTTTAGCATGCCTCTTTTTAACGAATACTACGCTTTTGGACATGTGCACTTTATTTGTAATGCAAAGATAATATTTGCTTTTATGTTGATTTTTGGCTCGCTAGGTATGATATTAGCATCAGCTTGACGGCATCTTTAGACCGTCAAGTAGTGCATATAGAGGATACGCCATCTTTGTAACAACCTCCCAATCTCTGACGCTTGAAAATGCAGAATCTATCTAGTTGACCTCCTCAATCTTCGAGGCGGGCTTACTAGATGAGGCCGCCGCATCTTCCTCCTCAAGCGCTGGCATCTCATCGTCATCGTCATCATCTCCCTCATCATCGTCCGCATCCCCTGCTCCGCCCATTCCTGCACCGCCTAGCTTGGAGAAGTCGATGCCGCCAAAGTCACCACCAGCTCCTCCGCCCATCATCTGGCTCATGTCTCCCATGCCTCCCATGCCTGGCATGCCACCCATTCCGCCCATGTTTCCTTGATGAATGTTAGTGTCTAACCACTGATCGTACGGGGGGCTGGCTGCTGGGCTATGAAACTTACCTATATCATCCTCAGGGGCCTCGTCTTGCTCATCCTCATCAACCCACTTGTCGAAATCTGTCTTCAAGAAATGCACCTTCTTGGCATCCTTCAACAGCCTTGGCCAGAACTCCTCCTTGAGCTCCTTCTTTCTCAGGACGATCTCGACATTCTTAGCGGTGTGGTTGGTCTTGCTGTTGTCCGTATCGATCTCATCGTAGAACTCCAGATCGACTTGGTAGTCTTTCTTAAGGGAGTCGGAGTGTCCGCTGAAGGACAGGGATGTCGACGTCAGCTTCAGCTTCAGGTTGGCAGGCTGCACATCGGGGACGGAGATGGTGAGGTAGATGAAGTTCTTAGCTGGCTCGGACGAGCTGGAGCGTTGAGCCCAAAGAACTGCAGAACCGGGGAGAATGATTAGCTTCGATTCGATATGTTTTGTGGAAGTGACACGTCATTCCCGAAGGGCAATGGAAGAGTCTTTGCTTCCTTGCAGGCTTCTATGGCTGGTACAGGGTGATCAAAGCTTACCTTCTGGAGTGGCAGCCATTGTCGGGGAGAGGTGATGTGGGATGTCGTCGTCGTCGAATGAATGAGTGAGCTAGCGGAAGGTCACAGTGCAATAATAGCAGAGCTACTAGTGATGCGGAGGGGGAATTGCCGAGCGAAACTGGGAGAGAATTGCTTCAGCTGGGAGTTGAGTTGCGGTGCGGTGAGGTGAGGTTGGTTGAGTTCCAGTATTTGTTATTTATTTGTGTGAGATGGAGGAAGGGTCGAGCTTTTGGTTGCTGGAGGCGCAAAAGGCGAACGAGGCTGCACGCAGATCTTCGATGGAAAGTCATGGAAAGGAGTGGGAGGGGTGCGAGTAGTGCGAGTAGTGCTTGGCCTTACTGGCCTTAATTGGCGTCCGCTCAGGCAGCCGCTGGAGAGGGACGACAGCGGCGGTTACGGGGTCGCAGTTCGGGAGCTTAGGGGGGGTTACAGCGCTGGAAAACCATCCAGTTACAGTGGCAGCCAGTGTAGACTTCGTGCCTACATACTACAGGCTACAGGCGCACGGTTAACCTTATCACACCTACTCCGTACACCTGCCGACAGCGGGCACGTCACTGCTAGATCAGAGCTCGCCGTATCAACGCCCAACCGTCAACTACGCTCCATCAGTGCCCGTCTGATCGTGGGAGTTATCTCCCCAATTACATTGTCTGCCCCAGAGCAGAGCACAGCCTCTGTATCTGGCCATCTCCCCGCATTGGAGCTTCACCGCCTATCCAAATCATGGAGTCTCTCAAAGCGGTCTTCTTCGGGCCAGACCCTCAGGTCCAAGTCAGTACCAGTCCTAGTACCCCTCTCCAACCTCTTCAGCCTTGCAGATACACTTAGCAATGCATTCTAATACTTATCTCACCTTTAGGTTAGGAAATGCAACCAGCTTATCCGGCAAAACACCCGCAAGCTGGATCGCGACATCGCACAACTCAAGGTCGTCGAGAACAAGGCCAAAACGGCCATCATCCAGGCAAGCCGCCGCGCCCAACGCAACCCCTCCCAGGCCACCCAAGCGGCGAAGGAAACCCGTATCTTCGCCAGAGAACTCATCCGCATCCGCAAGCAATCGCAGAGGCTCATCACTTCCAAGGCACAGCTAAACAGCGTCTCCATGCAGGTTACCGAGGCCTTTGCCGTGCGCAAGATTGAAGGCAGCATACGGTCCAGCGTGGGCATTATGAAGGATGTGAATAGTCTTGTGCGGTTACCCGAGTTAACGGGCACGATGCAGGAACTGAGCCGGGAGCTGATGAAGGCGGGGATTATTGAGGAGATGGTGGGGGATTCGCTGCCCGACCAGATGGAGGACGAAGAGGAAGAGGAGGCGGAATCAGAGGTCGATAAGGTGCTGGGCGAGATTCTACAGGATCGTATGGGCAAGGTGGGCGTGACCCCGTCTGCGCCTACGCCTGTACAGGAGAAGCCCGTGGCGGAGGAAGAGGACGAGGAAGATGCGGAGGCTATGCTGGATCAAATGCGTGGCCGGTTGGAGGCTCTGAAGAGCTGAGATGGGGGTGGTTTTAATGTTTGAGAGCGATGGTTTCATGGGATGGAGTTTGGGTATGGGTATGGGTGGGGATTTTGTCTTACTAGGCTCCTCGACAAAGATTGGAGATGCAATATGAGTAGCCTCATATTGCTAGCTCCTTTATGATTATGTTACGTGGTTCAACCACTAGCCCATGGCATCTTGGCATTTTGGCCGTTTTGAGTTTGTCTATATGACGAGATTGGTTCTTTCATATCTTCCTTTTCCTCTTCTCCACTTACTGATATTTCGAACTCTTATGCCTGTAGTTGCAATTTGCAAAGTGCAGTTATTCAGAGGTATTTTCTGCTTCTACACCTAAATATTCGTCGCGCGGTACTGCAGATGAGATTGTGCTAGAGAGATTGTCGAAGACAATGAATACGAGGTTATCATTAGGGAGTCCAGTGCCAGCTAGTCATCAGCGTGTCAACACAGCTATATTAATACAGCACAGAACACACCCCAACCCACAAAAACATGCTCTTTTTAGTAATGAGTTAACCCCGTTCGTTTTTCCATCTAGTCAAGAATTTTGTATTGATTCGAGTGCTAACGCATAGGTCTCCACGTCTGTTCCTGACCTGGCATCATATACTGCAAGCGAGTATATGTCTGATCCTCGGATTGCGCCTCTGGCTGCTGTAACGACGGGTTGGATCCCATGGTTATATCCTCGACCATACCTGGGACCATTCCTTGCCCAGTGGAGTTCGTCGATCCAAACCACATCGAAGACGGAGGAGAATTCAAGGGGGAATATACGGAAGATGACCTCTGTTCTTGGGGGATAGTTGGCGTTTGATCGATAGGCTGAGTTGTTGAACCTTCTTCCATCTTCCTCGACCCCTCGCCTTGTGAAACAGCGGAGGTTTTCCTACTTGGTCGTTTGCTTCTCTTAGGCTTCTCTCGCGAACGAGCCTTGGCTTGCGTCGTTTTTGCTGTCGCCGTTGTTGGAGATGTCATTGACCTTGCTTGGGTCTCAGGGATGAAGCTAGGATGTGTTGGAACTGGGAAACCATAAGTCCGTGGTGTCCAAGAACCCTTTCACATGTCGGAGACCTACCATCATCAATAAAAAAACCGATGTCTCGAAGTCTTCCGCAAGTGCAGGTATCGAACTCATGTCCACAGCTCTCGAGCGGACGGCCCGGTTTGCGGACTTCAATGAGGATTCTGTCCGTGTGGGTGCATGATGTTGCTCGGTGGCCGCGAATGCATGGTTCACTAGGTTTGGGATGTTAGATTGGGCGGGAAGAAAGGGAGGATATAGAGGTTTGGGTTCGGGTTTGAGTTTGAGTTGTAAGGAGAGGCAGAGGGAGTTACCAGGAGTACTTGTATCCGTTGATAATCGGCATTGTGATTAAAATTCTTGGATGGCGGGCAAGTTTGAAGACTTAAACTCTTCAAATATCTACTTCTGCCTTCGAGTCTCAACCGCAACAAGATGCCCTAGCATCCAATTCAGATTTTAAGTAACTAGACCAAACCGCAAGGCTAGATTCGATTCTCCAAGCCAGAGCCTCCCAAATTATATTATATACTGGAAGATATAAAACATGCGCCAACATCCCTTCAGTAGCGGAAGCAAGCGAACAATTTAGGCCATGATCTCCCGATAACCCATCATTATGTCCCCCTCAAGCTCTTGGCATCTTATCAAAACCTCTTAAGAAGAGCAAGTTTTCCAGGCATCTGAAGCTGTCTTACAAGTTACAGCGTTTACGAATGTATTGGAATCGATCCTCGAAGCCCCTTTGAGCGGATTTGAGCACATTTACCGTGCCACATACTGTACTGTACCAAAAAAACACAACATTTGTGACAGATGGCACGATCCACACGTGGTGATTCTCTTCCAATCGTGCTCGTCCCAAAGTTCAGAAATACAGGGCTGAGTTGAGCTGAAAAGGGGTGAGGTTTATCGGGAACCGCCGCTGGCGGGGTGACTGGCGGCCGTTAAGGAGGGAGGGCATTCCAGACCGGTGCTACCGATTGGTTGATAAGGATATAAACATACATGAATGGACACTAGTTAACTGCAATAGGGAATGCTGCTGTAGGCTTGCATGTTTTTGGAGGTTCGTAGACGGTATTTATGATTATATAGGATGGAAATGTAAAACTGTAGTTAGTGCGCGGTTGCGGCGGGATTATATTTCTAGTGAGAGGGAGCTGCACAAACACTTGGCGGGAGGGAATTCATGGATTCGTACTCGTAATGCATATCTAGATGTATATGCATGGGATTTTCCCGCACTACATGTCGTCTCTCGCCGCAGTGAGACTAACCTGCGTGCTTCCTTCCCAATGACGCTAAATTCAAGGCTTAGTTTAGATGGTCCCAGATTAAGAAGGCCCCTCCCCATTATCCGTTCCATTGATATCGGGCTCAGTGTGCCCCAAAACGCCATTATCGCCGTTGGTGCCTCCTTGGCTACCATAGCCCGCGAGTCGTTCTGTCTCTTTCTTCTCTCGTAGAGCCTCGGTCTCCTGCCGTAGTCTCTCCAGGTTCCACGCATCATCTCCTTCTTCAGCTTCATCGTCTCCGCCTTCATCTTCGCCTTCGTCTTCGTCCCCGCTGGCATTCCAATCGCCCTGCTCGAACATGGCACGACCAGTGGCTTCTTTGGCAAGCCTAGCTTGATCCTCGGCAGCTTTCTTGTCCATTCGCTCTGCTTTCCACTTTGCGAACGACTCCGGCGTAACAGGCGTGAGGTTTCCTGAGAGTTTATGGCGTTCGGATTCAAGGAAGTCCTCTAGGGTCAGGGTTTTCAGCGGCGATTTATCTAGAAGTGCTTTCTCTGCTGCTCGCTGCTCCTTTGTTTTTATAACGAATCTAGGACTACATTAGCAAATATTTCAACTGTAAATATAAGAGTAACTAACCCGGGGGGTAGCTTGTGCTGGTACATGCATTTATCGCCGCCATTTGGGCATGTCCAGAACCAGCCGTATTTGCCGTTTTCCACGGCTTCTACAAAGTACTTGCAGACCTTGTCTGTCGTTGTCCGCTGATTGCCCTTCTTAGAAAGAATGACAGCCTGCAGCTTAGCCTCGTCCCAGTCCTCGGACGTCTCTTCTTTCTTTTTGGCTTCTTCTTCCTCCCTAGTATCCTGGTACATATCCTTCTTCTGGGCTTTCCGTTCGATGTTCAAATCATGTGAAAACTTGCACTTCCTCCCCTTCTCACAGTGGCCCTTTTTGTAGAATTGGCAAAGTACCGTCTTCGGATCGACCCCAAAGGCGACCTTCTGGACTTGAACAGGCTTGAATAATTCTGCATCTTCCCGCTTTGCTTGCTCGGCCGCAGCCTTTTCCCTCTCCCTCTGCGCCTTGTCCGCTGCCTTTTTCTTCTCTTCAGGTGTTCCACCAGCCTTCGCAGACTGCGTCATCTGGGCGATTTGCTTCTGTGTCTGGGCACCCCTTTTGTTCTTCATTCCAAAAGTCCTGTCCTCTACGACCTTCGTAGCGGAAGGCTTCTTCCCCCCGCCTTGCTTTTCGACCTTCTTTGGAGCCATGTTTGCTGATCCACTGGGGATTGATTCGAGGGTTTTGAGGGGGGAGTCTATTATCCGCAGTACTGGATGGATTGTAGCAGCCCAGGAGTACAGAAATGACTGTGGGTGGGCGGTCAGAGATGTTCAAGTGCCTTCTACGATTCTTAAGGCGACGAGGCAAATGCAAGAAGGACGATCTTGAATTTGGTGGGGTTTTCTATCGCCGTTGGCTGATTAAGCGAAGGCGCTAGGGGCTTGGAATGCGCCGGGGCGGCCATGAAGCTCAAGCTGGCCTTATTCTTATTGCGAGCCCAAGTGCAACATCGAAACTCCAGGATTGACAATTGAAATCGAGGAAGTCCAAGTTTCATTCAGGTATGCGATCGTGTCTCCAAATTGCAATTTCTACTAGCCAGCATCCCTCTAACTTGCTGTATAGATCCAAGGAATAGATTACGTGGCTTGGCGACTGGTCCTCGAAAGTAAATAGATACTCGAATCACTCGCAAAGCACCTGCACCTCTGATCAACATGATTTCCGACGATGATCTCTACAGACTCGCCATTGTCCTCGGTTCTGTCGCCATGCTCCTGATCGTTGTTTACCATTTCCTCGAAGTGAACGCCGCTGAAGACCCGGTGGAAGACAAGAAGACTCGAGGCACATCACAGACGGACGCCAAAAGTGGATCGATTGGGAGATGAACAACGAGAAGGAAACAACTGGTTGAGGGTTCAATGGGTCAATGGGTAGCCCGCCCCCGAATGGCTTGCAGCTAGTATTTCTGGCGTTATGGGCTATTTGGCTGGGTGTATAATATTAGCTGCTCTGGATTTCGCTGCGCAGGGAAATGTGGAACTGTCTGCACAAAAGCAAGAGTGGCTCTGCATTGCTTCGCGTGGTGGAGAGATACTTGGTTGATGGTGTTCTGTAATATACCAAATACTTTACGGCGCAACGGAAGTACGGCTTCATGAAACCGTGTTCATATGCTATTCTATACTTGTCGCTGGAAAATAAGGACAGTGAAAACTTCAGACTTACAATATCATCTATTAAGTCATCATATAATCTTCTTCGTATTTCCCATCGGAATTCTTAGGAAGTTCATCCATATATCTCGATACGGTGTTCTAGCTACTAGTAGGTACGAAGTATCTAGGTACTGCGGTCGGCATCGAGAAACTCGACCACGTGACCAGTCTGACTCAATCTGCGCTGACATGGTACCGGTTGACCGTAGTCCATTGTTCTCCGCCCCCTTCCTTTGCTGTTCCCTCGCCATCCTCCATCCTCCATCCCCATCCACCAAAGCCACAACCCCAAACCCATCAAAGCCTTTCGATTCTAAGCACTCTACCTTTTCATCAAGAACTTCAACCTCATCGTATACCTTCTCTCACCAACGCGCGCTCCATCCAGCTTCGATAGCCGCACTTTATTGCCACTTCTCCAAGTCGCGTTTTGCTCAGCACAGCCTCATTCCAGGCAAACAACGCGATACTGCTCAGCCCAACCATCCTGTTCGAAGTCAGCCAACCTTCCATCCAACACTCCTCAGCCACCGATCGAGTTATATTCGGTCGCTGCTCTATCTCGCTCGTCGGATTCTAACGATTCGACCCCTAACCAGCTTTTCACCAAAACTCAAATCTTCAAGATGTCTGGAAAGCTCGATCAATCTCTCGATGAGATCCTCTCGACCCAGCGTCGATCATCTGTTCGCGGAGGCAAGGCTGGACGCCGCAGCACCCGTCGAACAGCTTCGAACCCCGTTGTTGCCACTCCAGTCAACGGCGTCAAGAAGAGCGCAAGAGGCCCCAAGAATGTTGTGAAGGCCATCCCAACGGGTCCATCAGGTGGAAGTGGAGAGAGCAAGATTCTCGTGAGCAACTTGGTAAGAACCACAAAGATTCCGTTGTTAAGACGCCGCCACTAACTTGCGCCTAGCCTAAGGATGTGAACGAGGCCATGATTAAGGTATGTTACCGATGAGGCATCTATTCGCCTTGAGACTTTTGTCGAAATCTTCCATCTACGGCGAATTCATGATCCGTCGACGTGATCGCGAATCTCGAGTTACGAGAATTCCATAAATGTATATGGAGACGCCTCATCAACAATGACTCCTCTTTCCGCTTCTGCTGTTACCACTTCTTGAAGCATTAGCGGATCGAGTCGAGCTTGTGCTAGTCTTGCGCGAAGATTGTTCTTTGGAGGTAGCCTGGCAAGCACCATTCCAGAACATAGCGCAGACAAATGATGTTGGCTTGGCATTTTATGCAACTTTGCAGTGGGGTGGCAACGTGGTCGCGTGAAACACGAACTCCAGCGAGCATAGCAGTGTGGCAAGCAGTACAGCACAGCACAGCATCATGACGAACCGATCCTAAAGGTTCATTAACTTGGGACGTACATTGAACAAGACATACTGGCAAACATCAAGCTTGTCATATATTTTAGTTCCGACCCTGTTATCACATCTGTCCCTCGTCGCTTCTTTGGTGGGGATGAAGAGCGGCACTCGTGGAAACAGGCCTTGGAAATTTGAATTGAGCTCGAGTATCGACCGGCGGCATTCGGCAGAAAATGGATCTTGAACTTATTTCGACGACACCACCTGGGACATCGTTACAATGCGTTCAACTTCTCTCCCATTTGGGATGCTTAAGTGCTGACGGGACTACTAATGGCTACTGCTTGCTCGCTGTTGCTTATGCTATTTGGTGGCCGATGCGAGGAGTTATTTGCGATGATCTTTTCTTTCGTCTCGAAATTCGACGGCGATATTTGCGCATCCATATAACACGACCGATAATCAGATAACTAACCAACCTTTGGACAAATAGGAATACTTTACCAAATCAATTGGACCAATCAAGCGGGTCGACATCTCATATGGACCCGGAGGAACTAGCCGTGGTATTGCTACCATTACTTTCGTTCGCCCAGGCTCCGCAACCAAAGCTACCGAGACCCTCAATGGAGTGCTTGTTGATGGCAAGAGCATGAAGGTATGGCAACTCCCGATTCTCCCCGTTGTTTTTCAGCATACTGATTTGATTTAGATTGATGTTATTCTTGACGCAAAGCATGCAGCAGCACTTCCACCTCCCAAGGGCCTTAGTGAGCGCATTACGCATGTCTCCCGATTTCCCTCTCCATTAGCCAAGTTCTAACCGATCAATAGTCAACCAAAGTCTCAACCGAAATCAGCCGCCGCCACCAAGCCTACTGCTACAACTAAAGGAAAGGCTGCCCGTGGACGCGGAAAGGCTAAGAGTGCACGCCCTACTAAGAAGACCGCCGAGGAGCTTGACTCTGAGATGGTTGACTACTTTGGTGGTGGCGCCGCACCAGCTGAGTCCGGCGGCGCAACCACCGCACCAGCACAGCCGGCCACAAGTGGTGATGCTAACATGGATGATGATATTCTGGTAAGTGAGCTAGGGAAGTTGTCACATGAAAATGCACTGACTCTTGTGTAGTGAGCATGTTTAAAGATGTATTCCTGTTTTTAGAACATGCGAGGTCGATACTTTACACACCCGAGTTTCCTTTTGCGTCAAGATCGAGATTGCTTTTTATTGTATTACTGCTTGCGCAATCCACCAAACTGCGATTGCGAGGATTTCATGAACTAGGAATGGGGGATACATGGCAACTCGACTTAATTAAACACGGCTACTGGCAATCAAGCCGATTTCCTAACCAGATTGTACTTTTGAGGCGAATATCCGCGGGTCTCGTCGAACGGAATGGAACACATTAAACCACCCCTTTATTTGGTCCCCTGTGACTTGCGATTGTCGGTTAATGACCACAGCCGATATATCTTGCGAAAACCAACTTCACTGTGGAGCATGACTCCTTGCTACCCTTCCCTCAGTCTCAACCCCAACGACCGAACCAATAATCATCTACCATTCACAACTCTACGCGTCTTCCAAATCATATTCTCCTCGGTGACCGCTTCGCATCTAGCATGTCTATACTCGCTATTTCCCAATCGCGCTGCGAATCGCTATGTTTATACCATAATTTTCGGGGCTGTAGGGGGCGAATCTTTCTCCTAAACGGTCGAATTGTGACCCATTGGAGGCTCCTTTCAATGGTGGTGGGGAATTATGATTGATGTTCATGACGCTCCATTCGCTATCTAAGCGTTCTTCTCAATATCCTTTTGCAGCTCAGTTTGAGTGACCCGTATGCTACCACTTGCATAATTCTCAATTCTGGGGAGGAACAATCTAGGCCTGATATGAAACGGCTTCTATTTCCACACACTGCATGAGTACCTTTACTATATTTCCCTTTCTGGACAACACAGCAAGCCATCGGAAAGAAGCGGCAGCGCTATAGCACGGGCGGCGTAGACATGCCCCAACAGGTGTACCAAGGTGCTCTAAAAGCTGCCGCATACTGGGCGATGCCGCCGAATATCCTAAGCAGTGCGGGGTCACTTGACAGATGGCACAGCATGGTGTTGTGCATGGGAGCTAATGCTGAACGCACTAAAACACACGATATCTGGGGAAGTCGCCGGCGGGAAATGTAGGAGGCATTTGAGATTGCTTTCATGTGACAGTTATCTGGATGACGAAAGCTCGTCAGCGGAAGAAAAAAATCCAAGAACGGTAGGTGAAGTTCGAGACTTAGTAGCACACTTGCTGCTAAGGGAAATTTTCTATGCGATGTGACATTCTTTTACGGCCTAATTCGCATATTGCAGGCATAGTACCTGAGGATTGTGATGACTTCCGGAGCAGCGGCGAATTTTTTTTTTTTTTTTGTCAAGCTTACTACCTTGATGCTGAATATCGGCGAGGAGCAATCTAAGCCCGGTCTGAGTAATTTCCACCCGGACACCTAGGTATTCCTCATATGTGCGGTTAAAGCCTATATCGTACATTTGCTAGACCTTGAGGTCTACTGTGGCTATCTGCAATCTGCAATTTATCTGCAATCTGCAATTTATCTGCAATCTGCAATTTATCTGCAATCTGCAATTTATCTGCAATCTGCAATTTATCTGCAATCTGCAATCTGCAATCTCCAATCTGCTATGTGCAGGGCGTCTGCGCCAGCCTCAACAGTATTGAATCAATAGCGAGGCACATGGGTGAGTATGTTCTCAGTCACACAAATCACAATATCCCCCTACCACAGGCATACACACCAAAAATGCGCATCTATGTTTATGAACTCCTACAAACACTCAGTACTCAGGCCAAAATCTTAGTTCGCATGAGGCATACTTGGACTAATAAATGGAAATGCTTCCGAATAGACAATAGCTTATGTAATCTGGCTTAATCATATGCTAGATGACTTTTCAAGTTCTGCGCTTTGATTTTGTCAACAACGTGACCTATGAATGCTTTAAATGAACTGAATGTTGGGGCGCTAATCGTCCGTGCAGCTATATTATGAAAGTCATTAAGGCCGGGTTGGGGGCTCAATAGTAATATTGAAAAGCTAGCTCTGTTGAGAGATCAGCGCTTGAGGGTAATGCATGGGTTTTCTGATATTGCACTTTTCCAAAATGATATTTGTGTTGGTGCTACGAAGTATTCCCATGTACACTAGTATGGCAACCCCCTGTGCGACGGAACGTCCCACCATTAATCCCGGAGCCCATAGTATCTCAATAGGATAGGTTCTCCATCTCTTCGATGTATTTGGTCTCTCCCCTTTCCGAATGCCGTAACCTCCACAACCTCATCCCCGTCACCCAATATGCGTTCTTGTCGTTGTTCCGCGCCATCGCATCAAAAGCACGGTGCTCCGGGATGTGAATTTAAACTCAGCGCGGGAACCGATTGGCGCACGCAAGGCCAATTAAGAGGCTGCCAGGCTGCGAGTCGTACGCCATCAGCCCCTTGGCGCCGCCGGGGAAGATTGCTGGATATGGAACTATTCGCGCAGGCACCGACTGGCCGCAGCAAATGTTGCATGAACCAGGGGTAATTTCGACGTCCTTTCACGTGAAGGCCGAGGCTGAACAACAATATCTCGACGATTCCAGGCGCTCTCCCCCATCTTCCTTCCTCTTTCCCCGTGGGGAAGCAAGACGTCCGCAGGCCTATTTCCCCGCATTCCACCGAGAGAACGGTCAGGAGGGCAGGTCCCACGTAATCATCCTGCTCTAGTGCTTGGGCGCGAAGCCGCAGACCCGAGCGACGAGATGTAGGCAGCGGCAACGGTGCGAGAATCTGTCCGTATTTCGTGGGAATAACTTCACTGTCAGCCTCGTCCTCGTAGTTTGAGACACGTCCGTTCATCGCTCATGTTGCAGGGAACAGCGGCTCAGGCATTCGTTGCTCGTAAAGGTCTCATCAAAACCTGATACAGCCCACATCCACCAGCTAAGTGGCTGGCTCGGGAAATTCATCACGATCCGGATTAATTCTTGTTTCCTACTCGCTCCTCCAAGGCTTATGAAGGACAACGGTCGTCCACATCGATGGCACGTCCCCCATTGCAGGCTCAAGGGGCCGGTCCAATCCTTTCGCTGTACACCGCTGTATTGGGTGATTGGCATACCATGGCGCGTGGACGATCGAGTGAGGATTTTGATGCTGGGCAATGGCAACTTACCTTCCGGGCGTAGCCGTCTTCCCAAGATGGGTTTCGTGCACGCCCTAGGTTGTAATAAGGCCGTGATATGCAAGGGACACTTAAATATACGCTTTTTTCTTCCGGGGCTTGTACAGCTTGCAAGTCGGGTCGAACTGAAATAGGGAGTGTTACCCGGCATATTCACCCCAACACCCCGCATTATTCTTCCCCGCAATCATACTCAACTATCAGATTTTTTAGAGGAAGCATCTATAAATTGACCTCCGACCTCATCATATATTTTTATTTCTGTAGACAGCAGTGAATTCCAATAGCTACCATCTCCTTCGTTGGCTCTCCGATCTCTCTCTTCGTCCCCACGACCAGATACCTACTATTAGGACCGGCCCTCCTATAGTCCGGAACGAAGCCTCCAGTTCTCACTTAGTCCATTAGTGTTTGATCACTAAGTCATCCAAGATGCGTTTCAACTCCGTCGCTCTCCTCACCCTTCTCGGGCTTGCAGTGGCCTCTCCTGTCCCAGCACCAGTAGCCGAGCCCCTGGAAAAAAGAGATGCAGCACTGAATGCTTTCCTTACCGTCCTCCTCCAGTTCCTCCCCGCGGTGGATGGCACTATCAGCGCGGTCTCCGGCATCCTAACGAGCTTTGAGCAGCTTGTTGCCGGCCTCACAGGCGAAAAGACTACCTACAATGAGCTCGGCGGCGCCTGCAAGCCATACACGGTCATCTTCGCCCGAGGAACCACTGAGCCAGGGAATGTAGGCATTCTGGTCGGGCCACCATTCTTTAGCGCGCTAAAGAGCCGGGTGGGAAAATCATCAGTAACGATTCAGGGAGTGAATAACTACGGTGCGAGCGTCCAAGGGTATTTGGCTGGTGGCGACCCAAACGGGGGCCCTGAGATGTAAGCATTCCTTATGCATATGTAAGAGCTAGGGGCTAATTTTCTCTTTACAGGGCGAGGCAGATTGAAGCAGCCAGAAAGGCATGCCCCAACACCAAGCTTATTGCAGGCGGCTACTCCCAAGGTGGACAAATCGTCCACAACGCAGCTAAGCTCCTCTCTGCCGACACAGCACAGTGGATCAGCAAGGTTGTTATCTTTGGAGATCCATGTAAGCTCCCTGATCTATTTTTTTTTTACCTCCCTTACACTTTCCCCTTGCCACTTATCAAGTCCTTGAAGACTCGACATCGGAAACAAAGACAAAAGGAGTTAGCTAATTTGGTTTGTAATAGTTAACGGCCAGGCATTTGGCAACATCGCCGCTTCAAAGACAAAGGTTTTCTGCAATCAATTTGATAACATTTGCGTCAACGGCGATTTGATTCTCCCTGCGCATCTCCGGTATTGCGAGAACGCCGATGCCGCGTCAGCCTTTGTTGCTTCATGATTTTTCTTATTGGGGTATTAAGCGGTGTATATAGGGGAAGGGGCGACTTGAAAAACGCATGGAAGGAGATTGTACATAGGCACTGATGGAATGGGGGTTTGGGGGGTTCGGGGGGTTTATGATTGATGAAAATTTAACGTCTTACTACTTGGTTTTTGCAAGTATGCAGCTAGCTTAGGAAAAGTAGCTAAAGTTACGAGTACGGGGTAGCCAACAATTTTGAAAAGGTAGCAAAAATGCAATATGTCTGAACTGTGAAGGGAATCCGCTATTTTGTCTGCCCTTGGGCAATATCCAAACCCTCATCCCAAAGTTGGGAATCTTCTCTTTCCAACAATTATCCTATTCAGATACAACAGGTGTCATTATTTCCATCATTGTGCTATTCATCGAGGTTGCATTAGTCAATTAGGCCATCTATTTTGGCGATGACCATCTACTTTTGCGATCATCCACCTTGGCGGACTCGATCGGATCACCTATTTTGGCGAGGATCATCTACGCGACTTCGTCTCATTCGAAGACTCCGCCATCGAAACCCCCCTGGGCTAGCATAAAAGACCCCCGTATATTCTTCGTATGAGGTTGGCGGTGGAAGTAATCCAAACGCCTCGGAATTATGGCCAGTCTCTTAGTCTCTCGTTGCTCAGTAGTTCTAAGATTTCCTTGGTAAAATTTACTAGCATAAACCCAATTATTTCAAGCAATTCAGAATTATTGCATTTATTAGCACTCCGTACCTAGGAAAATGTAGCTCACTTTACCTGACTCCCTGCAAACTTGGGTAGTTTTGATGCTCCTCTTACACCACGCCCTTCCCCATTGAAGCTCTTCGGTTATCATAAAAGGGGACGACTGCCCGGAAGGGAACTCACTTTTCCTCTCTTAGACCTCACCCTTCTTCCATAGTCTTCTCCCTCTCGAACAACAACCTCCTCAATCCCCAATTATCTCTGTTCTGCCTAGTAGGGAATTGACCCTCCTTTCCCCAGATCACACCCTTTTATTTAGTCCCCTCCTTCTAGAACTACAACCACCTCCATCCTCAACCATCCCGGCTCTACCTAGAAGGGGATTTACTTTCTTTCCTCATACCACATCTATCCTTCCAAATCACACCCTTTTCGAACAATAACTGCCCCATCTTCAACGATCTAGGTCATGCCCCGAAGGGGACTTGACTTTCCTTTCCCCAGACCACATCCTTCTTTTCCAATCTCGTCCTCTCGAACAACAACTCCATCCATCCCCAATAGTCTCTGGTATGGGCAACCATACTGATCTTCAATAGACCTCTGAGCGAATCTTATTTATAGATTACGTCTTTCGTAAGCTCTTTGCTCAATCCTAAACCCTACGTCGCCTCAATAACAGATACTACTCTTCAGTTTTGCTAAATCGGAGATTGATTTAGCCTTCAGTTTCAATATTCCAGAGATCTCTTCTTTACTCTTACACATATACTCTCACCTCTCGTTATCACATCTCAGCTTAACCAACCTTGGTAAGTCAACAACGGAAGCCCTGTGTTCATTTTTCAAATACTTGCTAACTTAGGTTATAGTATATTGCTGGAGAATATAAGGCTTATATCATGGAGGTCAACATCGAGCCCGAGTTATCTGGGCCTAATATTGAACAAGAGGATTCTACAGTCCCAGAGGCATGCCAAGATGGCGTTCTGCAAAGTTGCTCGAAGTCCCAATTGGGCGAGCCGAATATCAAGCAAGAGTCTCCAGCACCTCTAGATTCAGACCAAGTCGGCGCTTCCCAGAGTTGTTCAAAACCCTTGGACGAGTCTGGCATCAAAAGCGAACCTTCGCCGGTTCAAAACTCGGGGCAGCACGGCGGCTCTCATTATCAGAACCCGTCTTGCGCAGAGCCACCTGAATCCGATGAATTCCTTGGCGAGTTAGCTAACCACGAAAACGTTACATCGACGCCGGATATCAGGGCTCAACATGAAGAAGAAACGCTTCAAGAGTTGTCAGCAATGGACACAGAGCACAATGAACCCAGCGAGCAGGAACAAAATCCCCCCAGCCTTCAGAGCGATACTGCAAATGAGCCTCTCCCGACGCCCACCACCGATACCACCAACAATGTCCAAAATCTCAACATTGCCAAGAAAGCCAGAAAGAATGGTGGCCCTCGCCGGAGCAAAGGCAGGACTGTGAAAGAAATGTTTGAAGAGCGGCATAAAGCTTTGCAAGCGCTTAAGGCCCCCGCTTCAAATAGCCAAACAGAGCTCCACCGCCCTACCAAGAGACTCAAATTGTCTCCTACCGAAAATCAGGGGAGCTCCACTGTCAAGACCATGGGCATTATGCAGCAGATTGTAGGCCATAATGTGATTGCCGCGTCCAAGGGACATGGCGATTATGAAAAGGCTGCCAGGTTTAGTGCAACAACGCAAAAAACACAGTTTGATATTTTACTCAAGAACTGTCCAAAATCTTCTGACTTGCGCAAGGCAAGAGGAGAATTGAATGTATTGAGAGAAGCCGTGAAGAAATTTGGCGCTCACAATATCAAGGCTGCCGACGGGAATTGGAAGTTAAAGGGCATGACAACTCGTAAGTGACTTATTAATATGTCTCATTGTCGGATCGTTGACTTTATTAGCTCTATTTGGATATCAGGTCATTGGAGTGGCTTGGATGATTGAGCGAGAGCTGTCAGTTAATGAGCCCAATGGCCCCTTCGGGGGCATCTGTGCTGACGCTATGGTACGTTGCAACATATTTTCAGCAATATTAACTGTCCACTCGAGTTAATGGCATACAGGGGTTGGGAAAGACCGTAGAAGCTATTGCGGTAAGCATAAAATAACTTGAAATTCCAGCTATTAACCAAGCGCAATACTAAGATTTGGCAGACTATGGTGGCTAATCCGCCTGGGGCGGATGTCCCAATTGATCAGAGGAGCACCCTGATTGTGGTCCCAGCCTCCATTGTTAGTTCAAACCTCAACCCCGCATGCTCATGTTTTGACATTCACATAGAAATGGCAGTGGTTTTCTGAGATCGAGAAGCATGCGCACGATACGCTTCCCCGAGTTATGATTTACAAGGCTTCAGAAAAAATTCAAAGGATCAGAATCACCGATTGTAACGTTGTACTCGCGACTTGGAAAGAACTTAGTACAAGTTCCCCTTTCCCTGACAAAAAGACTTACAACGAGCTACGAACGCAACTTCGAAATCCGAAGAGTAAGAGTAAGCCAGAAGATGACGAATCAACTCCAATCGAGGAATGGATTGCAGGTCACCCAGAGAGACGGGGACAATTACACGAGATTCATTGGTACAGGGTAAGCTTACTTTTTGAAGTGTGTGGTTTACATTTCTGACGATGCTGGGATTCAGATAATCTTTGACGAATCTGTTCGTACTCCGAAATGCTTTACATATTCTTGATGATTAACGTTAGAAGCACCACATAAAGAATCATCTATCTCGCCAGAGTTTAGCCGCGTGTTCTCTCAAGGGCAAATATCGATGGGCATTGAGCGGTGTAAGTGACTTGCCCTTCTATCTATTATCCGTAACTTTACTTACAGTACTAGACTCCTATCATGAATCGCTTGGAGGGTGCGTCCCTTTGATCTCTAAAGTGTCTCATATGAAGCTGATTCGATTTAGAATTTTACGCTTATTTTCGATTTTTAAACAATCTATCTTTGGCCCCTAGCTATCGATCGTAGGCTCGTTTTTCAAAAGTTTCTTTCTAAATACTAATGATGTGCTAGATTTAAGCGGAAGTTCTGTGGTCAGAATGAGGTTTGGTTCTTCTTTCTCGAGAATGAAAATATGCTGATGACGGGTACCAGGGCACTGCGAATGACCCATTGGATACTTTGCTGGCCAAATCGATGTTACGGTTAGTTTTTATTTCATACACTTAGAGGGAGGTGGCCACAATAGTGTCTTATTTGGCTGATTTTTACATAAAGGAGGACTACGGCAGATTTATTCATGGGTCGACCAATCGTGGACCTCCCACTACCTACAGAATGCACTGTGGTGATCAACTTTTCTCCGGGGGAGGAGATCCTATACAGAGCTTTCGAGGATCGCCTTCGGCAACTCTTTAATGAGTCCTTCGCGCCTGGGGATGAGCGAAATAAGCTAACCCACTTTTTTGCACAACTCACACGTCTTAGGCAATTTACCGCACATCCTCTTCTTATAGAGAACCAGATGAAGGTCGGCTAATACCCATGGCATGAATTTCGTCAACGTAATACTGACAACCCTATAGGTTGCTTTTGAAATTAATCATCTCGAAGAAGTTCAAAAACAAATTTTACACCTTCCCTCACCAGACTTAACGCTCTATAATAGTAAGTTATATATGGCTGTGCTTCCTTGAAGCTCTCTAATAGGCCATTTAGGGATAAAAGTTTGGATCAAATCAAAGAAACTGGGAGAAGTCAACTTGACAGACTTAGATGCTGAAAATGCATATAATTGTCTCCTATGTAGCAACCCAGCTACTGATCCCGTCAAGATCAGTATCAAAAACTGCAAGCACACTTTCTGCAGAAACTGCATCGAGAATGATGTAGATCTTCAGAGTGGAAGGGGTTTGGATGTAAGTACACCGAACGTCATAAATCATAGTATGACTTCTGCTTACCGCTACTATTAGCAACCTTCTTGTCCCGAGTGCCAAGCCGCTTTTGACCCAGAAACCTCCCTCCAATCATTGGACTCCGAGGAATATGGCTCAAGACTCTCCTCTGCCGCAAGAAAAGGAAAAGATGCCCTAAAATACCACCCCCGGGTTCAAAGATCAGATTGGATTGAACAATATGACAAGGGGAAAGTGCCACTATTTCAAAGCGCTAAGATAGAAGCTGTCGTGGGCCAGATTAGTCGCTGGCTTGACGATGCCCCGACTGACAAAATCATTATTTTCACACAATGGCGAAGATTCGCAACTATCCTTGGCCGAGACCTTGAAGAGAAAAAGATTCCCTTTGTCTATTACACAGTAAGGTTTCACCCTCCATATATAATTCTGCGCTGACTTGACTTGTAACAGGGCGACAAAACAGCTACTAAACGCGATGTGGCAGTGCGCAAGTTCGAATCTGATCCAAGTACTAAGGTCATGATTTCAGGGCTAGGTTGTGGTGGTATAGGGTTGAATCTAGCCTGCGCAAACCGTGTGATCAATGTGTAAGTTTCGGTGACCTTTTACAGGTTATAATGTTAACATGTATCACAGAGATCCATGGTGGAACACATGCATGTAAGTCAGAATATGAATACTATATCTATCTATAGAGGCCAAAAGACTGACTAAAGTTCAAGTGAGCAGCAAGCGTTTGGGCGAGTTTATCGATTGCCGCAATCGAAGAATACCTATTTTGCGAAGATCATTATCAGAAATTCCATAGATTCGCGAATTATCAAATGTAAGTTTGAGTATTCTGGTATAGTATGTTGATTGCACTTACACATTAACAGTGCAGGCCAAGAAAGAACGCATCGTGGACCCCAGAATGAAGCGGAGGCTAACAGTTGAAGAGATGGCTGGATTGTTTGGCCGGGTGACAGTTGGCAAGTACCCTTGGTTATTACTTGGGAAGCCAGTTCCCTAACTACTTTTGAAGATGAAAACGGCAAAACGACGATCGAGCGAGACTACTCTGACGATGAAGAGGATGGCGACGAGGAGAGAGAATCAGACCACGGTTCAGATGGCGATTACGTGGATTAAATGGCTCGTACATTTGCCCCAGAAGCCACAACTCTCAACGATGGACAGCCATCGAACCCTTGGTGTTGTGCCATACACCGGCGGAGATATCTGCTTTGGATTTCGACTTGCATCGAGTAAGCTTTCCATTATCCAAAAAGAAATATTTATAAATCCAAATTCCTAACATTTGTTTCAGACCTAGCCAGCAGCTCAAGCTGAAGGTTGACACTTCTTCCTCAGTCCATATTCGGGTTCCATATGATCAAAGAATATTTCATATCTATATCAAGCATTACATTAGCATCAAAAGCTGCATTTGAGACTTCAACACGTCTCTGGGTATTTGCTTGGAATCGCAGTTACACGCAGAGTTTGGTCGATTCAACATCCGATCATCCATAATTGCACAAAAGTTCAATACATAGTACCTATGCTTAGAAATTAAGGTTATTTACCGATATATGTGATTTGACTTTGATATATAACCTGATAACTCTATTGTCTCGATGTTTCATCATGTTTGAAATATTCTTGCTATGTAATAATTCTATTGTTTCGATGTCTCATCATATTTGAAATATTCTTCAATACCTTAGCAAACGAACACCAAGAGGCATTTGACGGAGTAGGGTCTAGAGTTTGTAGTTCTCTAAATGTAACGAGTGATTCAAGTAGGCGTCCTCTGAAGTATTTACTATTGAAGTGATCACCCGCAGCGAATGCCCTACCAAAATGGCCTTTTCGGCTCCTTTTCAGTTAGGAGCAATTTTATTCACGCAAGAGGTGTAATAATCTTAATTACACCCCTAAATAGCCTAGAGGAACTTATGGTAGTCACGGCTAGATATCTCCACCAAGTGAGCTCGAGAACTATTTACACTCTAGTATAGGGTTTTAGTCTCATGCACGATAACTCTGAAGCGCCCTTCCAATGGCATTCCTAATACGGGTTGGGAGGATGGATATTACCGGATCTATGCTTAGTTGAGAAGATGCGGGGTTCCCCATGCTACTAAGGGCCCGCAATTCTCATCGGGCGGTTTCTTTCACGGTCACTTCCAAGGCCAACAGTCTATATTAAACCAATACCCACATCAGCCAAGTTAGGTCCTTGCTCTAGGGTGGAACTACACTTCTAGATGCTCCAGCCTTCTAACTTGAAGAACCTATCATTTCTTGACAACTGTACGTCTTTATATTGCTAGGGTCTAGAGAAAAGGTTGCTTCTCGATAGACTAAAGAAGTGTTTTTATCTGGCATTGTCTTTCTTTGACCCCGAAATGCGCCACACAAACCTTTCTACCGTTCTTTATTAAGTACGGAAACAAGTGGCCTTTCCTCCTCAACTCGAGCCCTCCGTTTGCCTGATTATAACACAAAAGATCTAGCAGATAAAGCATCAGTTTTATTTGCCAATGATAATGTATCAAGTCTCAACCTCTCAAAAAAAGTATTTGGAAACAATTTCGAGGCAAAGGAAGTCCTAGTTCCCTTAAAGAGGGAATGACACACTAGGCATAGATATAGTTTGCACTAGGCGACTTTTTAATATTTTTCCGTCTTCAGATTTGACAAAACGCTTCACAAGGCTGACTCACTAAGATGTGAACTTGAAGTTGAAATGAAAAAATTGCGGAAAACTATTAGATGGTAATAAATTGCTGAAGTTCCTTCCGATCTGTATTGGCCGCAGAATAAAAGCTACTAAAATAATCTAGGCACACTCTACATACCCAACATATCGGTACGCAACGAACCATTTAGAAGAAAATCCACCAGTTGGTAATTAAATCCCAACCCAATGCCTTCGCCTTTCAGTATCGATATCAACCAAGGGGTTGGTGCTGGAATTCGCGGGACCTGTAGCTGTCGAGGGATTGTAAAGAGCGTCAGATCAAACTCCATCCGGCAGATTGGGCAAGTGGGATACGTGGGGAACTCCTGAAACCACCTGAGCAGACAATTACCTCCGAAGATGTGACCACAGGGAATCATCACAGCAGTTTCCCCACTAGCTACTACAATATTCCCATCATCTTGGTCAACCTCAGCAAGCTTCGAATGGCATATGTTGCAGTTAAGCTCACCACCCGGAGGGTTAGTCGATCTGAAAAGCTTTGGCTTACTAAATCCCCTCTCATATCCATTGATTGACTCGCGTTCGATGAGACGCTGAACGTCAATCAACATAGTGAAGTACCATTTCTGAGGATAAGAATCTAGATCTATGCCTTCTTGGCGGACATGCAATTTGTAATCGTACCGAAGCACCGTTTCGACTTGCTGGTATTGGGAAATAAGATATGGTAAGTGGCCTTGTACGGAAAGCTCGTTGAAAGGGATATAAGGGGATATACCAGATCCTACGTCACCCTGGTACAGGATTTCCTGTCTCTCTATCTGTTGCTGGACCGCGTCTAGGAAATCTTCACGAACGCAGTCCGAGAAGTCCAAAAAAGAATCGTCCTCCGGAAAATCCTTGACGGAGACGACACAATCCTGACAGAGATGCCCAACCCTGATTCCGAGTTGGACGCGGTCATTGCCACGGCATCTTTTGCCAGAAGCGCATCGACGGTTTTCGCGCCTGGTATGGTCGCATCTGTGAGCGATTTGGTAAATACGACACATTTGGTAGGTAGGGTGCCAACTTACTGGAATTGCTCGAAGGGAAGAGGGGCTGCAGAAATAACTGCGAAGCTGTATTTCGTGGAGTCGTGTCGTGGCCGTGGGTGTTACATGAGCTAGGAAGAAATTATCATGGCAAGAAATATATAGGCATACTAGAGTAACTATTCCAGGTATCCGACTCTGTTTCATAGTCAAGGATCATTATTCTCTAAATAAAAGAATTGATTCGAGTGGATTGAGAGAAACAAGCGGACGAAGACAGGAAACTCCGCCTTGAGATCTGTTAAGCCGAGGGCGAGACGCGGTTTGTCTGTTCTGGAGAAAACCTGGCAACAAAATAGTCTGATTATTGTGTTGAGGTTAGAAACTCAGAACAGGGAAAGTACTCGTACAGCTAAAGGAAAGGAGTTATAAATATAGCCTGAGCATTTCATAAATTATCATCTCAGCAACTCGCCTCCCTCAAGTCATTAGTTTGTTACATTCCAAAGATCCAAGCCAACACGAAGATGTGTTTCTTTTACGATGTCAATTTCGAGGCCTGCGGCCACAGCCCGAGACAGGGGCGAGATGTTTTGTTGTGCTGCTTTACACAATACCCATCCGCCGGATGCACGGAAACGAAGCGAGTCACCATCAGCCACTGTTTCCAATGTATGCACCAAGCGGAAATCAAAAACCCGCCCCAGGAATTTATAAATAGCTGTCGTCCATCTGATGAGATAACAGACCATATGCGGATAAGGGCGCTATGGGTCATTTCAATTCCTCCTTCCATTAGAGTGTTACAGTACCTCTATGACCAGATCAGCTTCCTCCAAACCGGTTGGTACTTTTGCCAGCTTGACCGATTCAGTGGCCGGCTATCTGACACCGATATCAAGTTGCTCTGTGACATCGAGTTAGGCCTTACGAACCTCTGGGAGAGATTGGTGAAGGGCGAAAAGTCGACTCATAACGAGCTCTAGCTGGTGAACCAGATACGCCACGCCTGCATTCGGGCCAAAGTGTGTCAGCATGAGTTAGAGGACAGTTTTCAGGAGAGATATCGCGAGAAAGGTACCAGCGCGGGGCTATGGCTATTCAGGGATATCATCTATAAGAAGATCCTCAAACCTGCCTCAGCGGCGGATCTTGCAAAAACCCCCGACTGCCCTATCTGCCTGGATCCTTTCAGACCAGAAAATGACGGCAAGTTCCATAGCAAGGAGAAGGCATATCGGATGCCCTGTGGCCATGTTATTGGAGAAACGTGCCTCAAGCAATCGTTCCAGTCATGGGATGCGAAAACCCGACTCCGCATCTGCACGATTTGCGAGTCGCATTTTGGGTTCGGGGAATTTTATAACTCTTCTAATTACGACGTACCTCCAAGATGGATGAAGATGCTTAGAGAATGCGGGGTCGAGCGGGTTCGAGAAGTGTGTCGAGGGGAAGCAGATGTGATGAAGTTGTTTAGAGAATACAAGCGCGAGGGGGAGAGCCACAAGGGTTGATAAGGACGCCCTAGGACTAAGTGCCTGCCCTAGTGTGGTTAATAGGTTCCATGTGTGGAGAGATTTTCTTTTGTAGGGCAGGCCCCAATAACATCAGTAATAAAAAATAAGGATTAAGACCCCAACAGGAATTCAACATGAGGCGAATGAAAGTGAACTCGCAATATATATGTTACCGAGGAGAAACCAAGGCTTTTGGAGCGAGTGCCGTCTCCTGTACTTATTGAAAGAATTGAAAATAAATGATTAACAAAGGGCCTGTATTGTTGAAACAGCACAACAAAGCAACTCATAAACGACAAACACAGCTATATTGAAATGTCAAGGCAGAACGCACAATACGTTCTTGAGTACTCGAAGTTCGTAGTAGTAGTAGTAGTAGTAGTAGGTAAAATGCCAAGGCCAATTGCCAACTAAAAGTACCTTACAGAGCGAAAGGATGGACATAGGCAATCAATTTGAACAGGGATACGAAGGTTCATGTATCGGATTCCTGGTTGCTTCTCGGGAATTTTCAAATCCTTTGTTCAGTAAAAGAAGGCGACTAACGTTCTGCCATAATGACACCAGCCATCCTTGCTCAATCTTTTGAGCAGCGCTGGACCTGCTACAGCAAAAACAAAGGGCAGTATTACTATTACTCCAGTTTCTCTCCCTGGCTTGGGATTTGTCGTCGGTGTAACGTCCCTCCCTACGTGCCGAGTCACCTACCGTGCCGAGAGAAATAGTGGTTACTTCGACTTTCAACGTCTCAAACGTTGCACGTACCTTGATAATCTCTATATATTTCTATAAGCTATATTCTATGCCTACTTTTATACACTTTGAACCCATTACAAAAAAAAATTACGTTTTATATTGTTGCTCTCGCGCCTGATTTGCAAGAAGTCTTTTTTTATCGTGCAACGAGCCTGTTTCATCACAGCTCTAACATCACGCTTTTATTATTATTTCCGATATTTATATAAAGACCGTATCCAAGCTTTTAAGCCTTGATAAATATACTAGAAGTCGTCACCAGACTTGGTAGCTACTGTGGTACATAATTTATACAGGATCGCCACGCGGAATCAATACTTTAGCTAGAACTACTACCACCGGATTTTGATTAGTGTAAAGTTACCACCCGGGTAATAATTATAATCGTTCGATATTATTTTTACTTATATAATTATTTGCCAAGCTTGCCAAGTGTATATCTATTTAAAACTGTGGCTGAAGCGTTATACAAATGTTTGTTTATACTTTAGGCAGGATTATAGCGATGACCATCTTGATGACACTGATAATGATTCGTGAATAACGAGAGAATAAATCCTTTTCAGTCAGTATACTGTAATACAAAGACCACTCAATGATAACTAGTACAGTCGAAGTGATATATTGCTAAGTTATCTCTGTTCTATTACACCGAGGGTATTAACGACCACCTCCAATGTACAATATACAGCAACAGTTACAGTACAGTATAATATGGATAAGTGGTTGGAGTGTATTAGCGTATGTTCGTTTTTTGTCCTAAAAACATTTCATAGTGAGGTCCATTGATGCCGGTAAAACACCCACATCGCAATCTTTTCGGGCGAGATTTGGACGGGATTATCATGGTACCAAGCATAAATCGAATCATTGCCTCATCTGCTGATGGTATGCCAATCCTCTTCTAGATGTCTAATTCTAAAGAGCGGCCTCTCCCAAAATCTAGAAATGGCCTATTTTAGGACTTGTCCGCATGAATAGCTGGTTGTAAACAAGATGGCTATAATATTCGGTAGGACCATATACGGATCTGAGAATATATGTATAATAATGTTAATTTCTATCAGCTAGGGAGATAATTGTTCTGCCATATCGCAAATTGATCAATTTCATCTGCCATGAGAGCATCTTGGAAGAAATCCTCATACTGGTCCTCAATGCGCCATGAGAGAGGGTCCCATGGCAGTTCTTCCAGCGCCTGGAAGTTCGAGGCCATGTGGTTATTGATATTGAGAGGTATATGCCTATGTTCTTGAGTGGTCAACAACTGCTCGTTTGCTGGAATTTCGAAAGAAGGTTGGTTTTGGGTATCCTGCGTCCGGGACCTATAGCTATTGCGTCGAATGTGAACTTTTCCTAGTAGTGGAATCTTCAACGTCAGCTCTTGCATGTTAGAGCCTTCGTCATCTCCCTGGAGTAGTTCCTTCAGAGAGCGAATTGAATTAATACAATGCTGCGCAAAGTGAGCGACAGCAGTATTCTTCGACTTTTCTTCCATAACCTCGATGACATGTGTAACTACGCTGTCGACCTTGACTTTGTTGATCCGCAAATTTGGCAGATCCGTGCAAGGCGAGCTATGGGATGTGAGAAGGAGAATAACCGTAGCAATGAAAGCCTGCAGATCCAAGCACCGGGATAGAAAAAAACCGGACGGGAGCTCTCGACGAAGAAATCGATAATATTCCGTAACTGATTCGCACGCGTCCCTGCAGGTCAAGCGACTGTAGATATATTCTTCATCTGGGTCTTTTCGCATCGCAAAGGGGCAGATGAATCCGCATATTGATGCAGCAATGCAAGAATTGGACTACATGATCAGGTTTAACGCGCTCCACACTTCGAGCCCACCACGATTTCGGCGTCTGTGATGCAAGCACCTTGAGCTCCCTGTCGAGTTCCAAGGCAGAGGCATAGAGCTCAGCACTCGATCTTTGTGTCATATTTGTATTATCCCGGTATTGAATCTTAGTGGTGATTTCTATCAACCTACTAATATATGCCCGAGGTTGAATAACACCGTCAATAGCCAATGCTTGAGGCTTCGGCCTTTGGTATGGCTAATAGATGGAGGGAGATTTAGCACTACCCCAGAGATACCGTCGGCAGAACATAACGATTGCCATAGCTGAGCTCTCCGGCGCTGTGTCTCATAGTCGTCTGATCCGTTACCCTGGCTAGACTGGACAGCTTGACATGCGTTGGGCAGCCCCATAAGCTCTGCAACCGATATGAAATGGCGTAATCGAAGCCATGCCTTTTGTAAATTGCCTTGACTCATTTGACTATAATTGCGATCAGTTATACTCTGGGTAATGCAAAAGGGAAACTCACAGTCGAACGAAAAGCATAGCCATTCCAAGGCCTTCAACTGTACATATAAGCCTATCACAAGAAATAAGTGTACTCTCTACTATCTCAGACACTCCTCGAGAGAATCTTGAGTATTTCTGACGACCATCGAGCTGGGTGGAAGGACTGTCATGTACTTGAGTTATTTGCTGGGCTGTAATGGCAATAGTTATCAGCCACGTAGCTAGGCTTATGGCATCTGTGTCTGGTTTGCACATCTCGTCGTAGCATTCAAGAATTTCCTGCTGAGATTTGAGCGCAAATGGCTGTGGAAGTAGAGTATGGAGCAAGTCAAGCCACCTGGATGCGGATCTGGCAATGTGCGAAACCTCATACTTTGACGGAATCAATTTCTGCAGCGCGCGTCTCGCTGTATCTAGTAAATGTGCAGAAGCCCTTGCTTTACGGTCATATAGCTGTTCATGTTGGAGGTCGGTATTCACACTGAGCCAGTCATTTTGGAAAAGTGAACGCATATGCGATGGTGGTTCTGTAGCGAGCACATCCGACATACGAGAGTTATCATCCGACTCATAGCTTTCCGGACTTGATACCGGCAGAGCAGGAGTTGGCTCTGACGCCTGAGTAGGGAGATTTCCGAGCTTAATCTCAATATCACGTATGATCTTGCTTAGACTAGCAACTTTTGACTCCAATTTGGATATTCGATATCGTGAGGACAATCTTTGTGAGTGGAGCGGTTGGGAACTGTACGTCTGTGCAATACATTCCGAGCCGCGTTCTTCACATCTTCTGCAAGTCTGTGCATTTTCGGGCTTCCGAATACAACGCACTTTACGACGTCTACCTGCTTCGAATGTCAGAAAGGCGCGGCTAAGGGTTGCGTTGCTTTTTCATCTGTAGTTTCTGTACTTACACTCGGTACAGCTCTTCGTCCCTCCTCGAGCCTTTTTTAGAGTCTGGTCGTTGGGCATGGTCACAGCTATCCGTCGAAGTATCTAAGTCTATCTTGAAACGATTTCGAGCGCCAATAAGAGAGATGATGACAGAGACAGCGATGGCACTTCTGTTGCAATGCAATACAGAAGCACAGTTCACGTACCTTTCTTGGTACGGACGAGTTTGGCTTTCGCTTCCGCGGTCGAATTTAGTTCCGACAGCACCATGGCGTGAATTCCAGGTTGGCGCAAATGTCTGAGGGGGGCTGTCGGACCTAAGCTCGACCGCGGAATCGAAACTCGTCCGCACCGAGTGAGGTACGTGAACGTGAACTACTTTATTCTTCTGTATTGATACTGCATTGCAACAGAAGTGCCATCGCTATTTAAGCCAACGATTCCCCAAAGATGAAATGGCCAAACAAATCTCCTCGCAGTCTTATCCTCCTGAACACACAAACCTTTCCAATTAGCCCTCACCATGCATCAGTCTTATATCCCCCCCGAAGCCCTCGATCGCGTCGCTTGGATGCGCGGCGGCCACCATAAGATCATCGTCGACCCGGCCCGGACCGCTCATGTCGTGGTGGACCTCCAGGTCGGCTTCATGGGCGAGGGGGCGCTGCTGGAGATCCCGACCGCGCGCGGCATCGTCGAGAACGTCAACCGCGTGTCGCGGGCGCTCCGGTCTGCCGCGGGAACGATTGCCTACGTCCAGTACAAGATCGATCCCGACGAGCCGCATCATTGGGGATCGCATTACGACCGCATGACTCCCGAGGCGGCCGAGCGGATTCGGGCGGCGTTCACGGTCGGCGCGGAGCAGCATGCCCTGTGGCCCGGCCTCGACGTCCAGCCGGAGGACCTGATCGTGCCGAAGACGCGCTGGAGCGCCTTCATCCCGGGCACGTGCGATCTTGACGGGCTGCTGAAGGCGCGGGGCATCGACACGCTGATCGTCACGGGCACTGCTGCTGCGAGTCGACGATGCGCGACGCGATGCAGATGGGCTACCACGTCCTGTTCGTGCAGGACGGCAACGCCACGCGCGGCGACGCGGTGCACAACGCCAGCCTGGCCAACATGCTGCTCTTCGGCGATGTGGTCACCGCCGACGAGGCCATCGCGCGGATCGAGGCCGGGCGGCACGAGTGACGGGCACAAGGGAAAAGTACACATATAGTTGTTTATGAAAAGCCATACAACTCAGCCAATAGACAGGCCCGGGAGATCAAATAATAGATATTAAAACCTCTCATCCAGCCCTTGAATATATTGAAGTGGCCAATGGCCGTAGTATGTGACACCCTGGGGAGTTATACGAGCGGGAAGCGACAGTCCTAATGCTAATAGGTGGCAGTTCCTGTTAGCTATTAGCTGATTTCAAAAAAGAAAAAACAATTTGTATGACAAGATCACGGGGAGAAACAGGGTGGTATCCCTAACGCTGAAATTTGGACAGGTTCCCGGTGATGTCAAACTTGGCCATGAGGACTATACCATAAAGCAAGGCGGCTGGGTAGGCGGAACGGTCGTTGGAATTGTCATGGAACGAATAGGATCCAGTGATATCGGAGTCGCAAACGTGGATAAACTAGGTATGTAGCAACCAATTCCTGGATCTAAATGGCTCTGCCTCTAGTCTTTTACATAGTAATGATGTGAGAATGGTCAACGAAGCATTCTGGATCGACAGCTTTGTGACCGGACGACAGAAACTCGCTTGCAATGGTAGAAGAGTCTATAGGGCTGGCAAGAGAGGCACAGACCTGTTTGGTCACCCGAGCGCACTCCCTAGGCCTAGAATATACGAGTATATCGAGCCAGTCCAAGGCATATATGCAACTTCTACGCTGGAGATCAACAGGCATCCGAAAATACGGAAAGGGGTTTGTGTTGCGGCGATCATGCGCGCTCGAGAAGACAAGCTTCCGGTTAGCACTCACACCAGAGTACAAGGGAAGACGCCAACGCCGCGTAACTAAACTCCTGGTGGCCAAGGATCCTCATCTAAGGTTTCGACTCCCAAGAAGACAACACCGTCTAGCAAAGGCCCTGGAACGCCTTCTTTAGCTAGTTCGGCTACACCACTAAACAAGCAGCTTCCTCAAGAAGAAACTACTGGAGAAGTCGCCGGGTTCATGCACTGGTCTGACGTCCAGTCTCTGTACAACAGCGGCCGCTTATTGTGCTTCACCGGCGCAGTCGACGGGTTGATCGAGGATGGATGGAAGGTTGTGTCGGCACCTGAGAAGCGAACAGCTAGAGCGACTGTATGGCGCGTTCTTGGGCAAATTTGGTATAAAACTCTTTTCGCTAGAAATATCAGGCACCTACAGCTATTACCTATATATGTCTTCGATATCGAGTTTCTATACTGTTTCTATATAATCTAAATAGTATAAATATCTTAATTCCGGTTAGATATTCACACGACCTGAATATCTCAATTTCGGTAAGATATTCACAGGTGACTATAAGTTATATCCCAGGCAGAATCAAGGTGTAATGTTCTTCGTCTTCCTCATCTAGCGACACCGTCCCCTGGATCATAGCGGCGTTACGCGTATTTGCTAGTAAGCCCGGTATAGTAAGGTCGATGTAGCAGAAGTATATACTATAACTAGGAACGCTGTACTTCGTATAATACAGGTAGCTGACTAGCCTCTAAGCCTGATCTGGTCGCAAGGTAGTATATAACATATAGTAGGCTGGATCTTGTCGCATTAGCTGCTGGGTTACGGAGAAAAATATGTTTCGTAGCTACCCGATATTCTTTCGGCTGTTAATTTCGCGAAGGTGGTGGTGGTATATTTCGAACTCTTCGTAGATCTCATTTTTAAGCGGGGAGTCGAACCACCACTTGAATAGTCCATGTATGACCGGCCCTTCGGCCTGCCATTGGGGCAGAATACTCTCATCCCTGTGTCGATCACCAATGTGAAGGAGTGGAAGTAGTTGACTGCGAATCAAGGTTTTAGAGTTGTAACTGCCTAAGGAGAGATTAAGAATACACGCGTACCGGAACCCCCTTTATACCCCTATTCCCTCCTATCGTATGCTCACGTAACACCTACAATTCCACCCCACTACAGGAGTAGTTCCATATTTTACTTGTTTGGCCTTCCGCTTTATGAATACCTTCTTCGCCTTTGTAACTATCCTTCCGGCTTTATCTACCTAGATCGGGTTGAATCGTTTGTAAATTCTCTCCTGGGAAGCCTATTCCTCATCAGTGTCCTAAGGGTCGGAATCATCCTATGCAGTAGTTGGTACCTTCTTAGAAGATGTTGGAATCGACAAATCGGGGACGTCGAGGCTCATCTTCATCGGGATTGGAGGGATCGACTTATCGTCGGATGGAGCAGGATCCGGGGTAATACTCCGAGAAGAGGGGCCGGGTAGTTGAATTTCTTCATCGCTATTACGATTTGGTGCGGGCGTATCCTCATTATCATCCGGTCCGGCTTCTATTACCCGGCTCGTTAAAGATTTATCTTCGGCCTTCCTGGCGTTGGGTCCGAGGATTGTCTTACCACACCAGGGACGATGCAGATCCTTAGCTTCCTTAGATGGGGTTGGGGTATCCGGTTCCAGCTGTGACGTGACGCGACACACAGCACAAGAAAACGAGGGCAGATCTGGGCTGCGCGATCATAGATCGACTGCCGAAGGCGCAGCGCGGACAAAATGGATTCGATGAACTCTGGACCTTTTTGGTATCAATTCTCCTGGTGCTGTTGCTGGTGGAGGTTGATTATGGTGATAGTCATTGCTACCAACTGTGGCAAGTGTGTATTGGGAGAAAAGATATGGTATTTCCAAGAAGCTAGCCCTGGTGGGAAGTGCTTCCTGTCCTTGTCTTTGCGGAGTATTCTGAGTTTTTCGGCGAATAGATCATCGATAGCCGGGCAGACTTCCATTGTTATAGCTAGAGTAGCTTAGGATTTTCTGAATATCTCCTCGCCCTCGATAAGCTTTCCCCGAAGGCAGAGAATCTCTTGAGGTATGCTGGGGGACATCTTCAGTTTATATTCCTTCCCTCCTCAGAATATCTGGGCCTGGTGGGAGTGTCTGGAGTTCCGCTATGTTCCTCGGGATTGTCGTTTTTTGCACGACCCTTGAGCGGGGTTTTCCGAGGAAAGACGGTTTTCTTGCTTGGCTGTTTCTATATTTTGCAGAGGCTAGGGCATAGTTGCGAAAACCCCACGCCAGACTCGGGCTAGGCAGGATACAAATCTCCCAACCGCAACATAATTGGTGTTTTGTAGGCAGCCATTCTCTACCTACTGAGGTAGGTAGCGAGTTTAACATTCGAATCGATGGCTCTAGTCAAGGAGCATGTACATTCATAGTGCTATCATTGGTTTTGGCTTCCATACCAACCAACCCAACCCAATTCCCATTTTGATGGCAGCCGCAATCCAAAAGTTCGTAGACAACCCGGCCGCGCTCCTACTAATCCAACCTCCAGCAATACCCCCAATCAGGATACAGACCACCGCCGCAACTCTTCGGTTGCGTTTCACGTTATCTCGGGCCAATATCCTGGGGTCACTGGCGATATCGCAGTAAACGCTTGTTAAGACAGTTGTAGGGACCTCATTGAAACCGAGGATTCGAGAGGTTACAATCTGCCCTCCAGATTGAAAGGCAAGGAACGCTAGAGGTACCAATTCCATAAAATCGAGTGCATCGCTCGGAACAAGACCATGCGGCGAAGGCACAATATCGCACTCGACAAGAGCAGCGGCTATTACGATACACACACTCTGTAGGAAGAACGACGCGGCGAGAGTCCCACGTGTTTTAGGACGTATGAATCGAGACCATGCGAAGAACAGGCAGCCAAGGAGGAAGAAGGCTATGGAGGTTAGGGACCTGAGCCAGCCGTATGGACGAGATATTGGCTGCCCAGACGCCCCCAACGCGAGAAAGATGGTGTTGCCTACGGCACCGGTTAGCTATTGCATTGTGCCAGGGGGTATGTCATTGGGATCGGACCAGTTTGCATGGAAACGAAACAGTTCCAAGCATTGTAAGAGGAAGAGTCACATAGTCCTGATACGAAACAACACGCTATTATGGGAATATCAGCATGCTCTAGTGTAATCTCGGTCGTGAGGTGGGTGCGAGTCCAGATCGATTGGCGGCGCGAAGGATCCCCGGGAGGTTTGGTGCTCGATGCATTGGAATTAGGGGAGGGCTCCGTTGTTGGAAGAGGGCTCGTAGGGGGATCGCCAAGGGGTGTTGATGCGCCAGATAATGATGTTGATGATGATGGAGGCATCTTCAACATATCTAATTCTTTGGCCGATTGGGATTGGGCAGGTAGAAAGAATGCAGAAGCCGAGCTGTTGTAGTGAGTAACAGAAGCAACAATCCTTTTTTTTTTTTTTGAACTGTTATCAAATAAATAATAAGCCAATAATGTCGCGCAATCCACGACCAACTCCGCGTCAGTCGCGGGGCAATATTTGAGTGCACGTGGTGGATATCACGTGCCAGGCTGTACCAGCCACAGCCCGCAAGGCGGCGGCCCGAGTGGCGGTGCGAGCTAGGCCCCGTCGGTCGATGCCAATGGTGGTCAGCCATGCGCAAAGCGAAATCTCAAAAAAATAATCGGAGCTCAGCCTGCTTTTGTTCCCCTCCTCCTGTCCGCCGCCTCTTCTTCCTCTTCTTTTTCCTCTTCCTCGTCCCTCCTCTCTTCACCACCCTTTTTGCCCTCATTCTTCCCTCCAGTCTCGCCACTCGCGGCAGAGCATCCAAACCCAAATACACCCCCAAATCTTCTGTCTGTCTTTGTCTTCGATATCTGCCCGGCCAGATAATCTCCACTCCAAACTCTCCACTCTACCAAAACTCGAATTTCCTGTTCTTGAAGATTACGACCAGTCCCTCGACAGCGAAGAACACTGTTTTGACACTATCCGCAAATCCTCCCACGACAATAGTCAAGCAAGTTTTAGCCTCAAAAACATACAGAGCGAAATTACATTTTTCGAGTCGCCGCAGGCTCATTCTGCCTATTTAACAGAGCCTTTGACGCTCAAGAATGCCCCACCCAGTGTCGCCGCCTCGCCAGCTGCCCACGATGATCTCAAAATCCTCTGATGGCCCTGCGCCGACCCAAGAGGAGGTTTCGGCCCTCCTCGACGCCGTATTCTCCGCCCCATCTTCTGATGTTTCGGTTGGGGCAGCTTATGCGCTTTGCGACACGCTCTTGGGCTCCGTCGGGTTCCGGGGATTGATGCATTATGGTATCTTGGCAGAGATCAAGAAGGCTGCCGCCGATAGAAAGAGCGGCACAAGAAGAGAAAGCGCCCAAAACTTATTAGGCGCGCTATTCGAGCGCCTACCGCCTCAGCAGAAAATCAGCGAGGTGGTCCTCCTACTTCAGGATGGGGGTATGGTTGGATGCGCCCTCGATGCCCTTTCAGATAAGGGTGCTGTCGTTCGTGACGCAGCCCAGTATGGGTTGGATGAGCTATTCAAGAACCTGAGTGCTGAGGCGCTTATCATGGGCCTTCTTCCTGCGCTCGCCACATACCTCGCAAAACGTTCAGGTAAATGGCAAGGCACCGTTGGCGGTTATAAGCTATTACAGCGGACCGCAGATAAGGCTAAGATGGAAATCGGAACGACTAAAGAGGAAGCCAACAACAAGGATATCTTGCGAGAGTCCATGGGTACCAAGCTTGCTGGCTTGATTCCAATTGTTGAGTCTGGGATGCACGACCTGAAGGCCGAGGTTGAGAAGCAAGCTGTCGCAACCATGACCTCATTGACTACATTACTTTCCAATGATGATGTTGCTCCCCGGATCCCTCTGCTCATCAAAACTATGCAGAGCCCCTCTACAGAGACGCTCCAGAAGGCCATTCATGCCCTTTCCCAAACCACTTTCGTCGCTGAAGTCACTTCTCCCGTTCTTGCTCTTCTTACGCCCCTCCTGGAGCGATCTCTCAACACTCCCACAACCGCTCAAGAAGTTCTCAGACAGACTGTCGTTGTCGTTGAGAACTTGACCAAGCTCGTTCACGATCCAATCGAGGCTCGCACGTTCTTGCCAAAGCTGCAACCTGGTGTTAAGGCTGTCATAGACCGAGCATCTTTGCCAGAAGTCAGAGACATGGCTAGAAGAGCGCTCGGCGTGATTATTAAAGCGATGGGCGATGATGACGGGAATATTACAAGTGGTGCAATTGCAAGGACTTCAACTGAAGACGTTGCCAAAGTCCTCGAGGCAGAAATCAAGAATGCCGGGGGTTTGGCTGGTGATTTGGATATCTTCAAACTTGCACGGCCATACATCTGTGGCATGGTTGCTGAAGATGTCAATCACCGTCAAACAGGTCGCATTTCTGCATGCGTAACCCCTTACCTACAACACATCATGAAGGCTCCCGAGGGGGCCGAGTCAGTCGGTAAGGCGGTTCAGCAATTTTATGTTGATGAGGACCACCGAAAGTTTGGCCAACCTGTCAAGGTAGAAGAGGGCGAAGTTGAAATTGTCAACACCGATTTCTCACTTGCCTATGGAGGAATGCTTCTACTCTCCCACACCAATCTCCGCCTTTTGAAGGGACATAGATACGGCCTTTGTGGCCGGAATGGAGCCGGAAAATCCACCCTCATGCGCGCCATCGCCAATGGCAAGTTGGAGGGGTTTCCAAGCCAGGATGTCCTCCGAACTTGCTTTGTGGAGCACAACCAAGGAGAAGATGCTGATATCAGCATTCTAGAGTTTGTTTCAAAGGATCCAGAGATTGGAAATCAGGGCACGGAACGTATCTCCCAGGTCCTATCAGAAGTCGGCTTTACTGGTGGTCCAGGGGGTCGCCAATCCGAGATGGTTGGGTCTCTGTCTGGTGGATGGAAGATGAAGCTGGCTTTAGCTCGTGCTATGTTGATGAAAGCGGATGTTCTCTTACTTGACGAACCTACTAATCATTTGGATGTTGCCAACATCAAGTGGTTGGAAGAGTACCTCAAATCGCACACCGAGATTACAAGCTTGATCGTGTCCCACGACTCAAGTTTCCTCGACAACGTTTGCACCGACATCTACCATTATGAGCCGGGGAAGAAGCTGGCATGCTTCAAGGGAAATCTCGCCGATTTCGTTAAGAAAAGACCTGAAGCAAAGAGTTATTATACGCTCTCTGCCTCTCTGGTCCAGTTCAAGTTCCCACCTCCGGGAATCCTCACTGGTGTTAAGTCACAGACACGTGCAATTCTTCGCATGAACAACTGCTCATATACTTATCCCGGCTCTTCCAAACCGTCGCTGCATAATGTTTCGTGCCAACTGACCCTGTCCTCTCGGACAGCCATTATCGGTGGAAATGGTGCTGGAAAGTCTACCTTAATCAAGCTTCTTACGGGCGAGACAATTCCTACCTCTGGCAGTGTTGAAAAGCATCCCAATCTCCGTATTGGCTATATCAAACAACACGCACTCGAGCACGTGGAAATGCATATGGAGAAAACACCAAATCAATACCTACAGTGGCGTTATGCCAACGGAGATGATAGAGAAGTGTACATGAAGCAGACGCGCATTCTCTCCCCCGAAGACAAGGCACAGATGGAAAAGCCAATCGACCTCGGAGACGGCAAGGGTCCTAGACTAGTTGAAGCCATCATGGGTCGTCAAAAATGGAAGAAGACATTCCAGTACGAGGTCAAGTTCGTCCACATGCTTCCTAAATATAACGCCCAGATCTCCCGTGAGACTCTGCTCGAGCTCGGATTCCACAAATTAGTCCAGGAATTTGATGATCACGAAGCTTCTCGCGAGGGTCTCGGATTCCGAGACCTCTCTCCAAAAGTCATTTCAAAGCACTTCGAAGACTTAGGTCTAGATCCCGAAATCGCCAACCATAACGAAATTTCTGGTCTCTCGGGAGGACAGAAAGTCAAGGTTGTATTGGCAGGTGCTATGTGGAACAATCCCCATCTGCTCGTCCTTGACGAGCCGACCAATTTCTTGGATCGAGACTCGCTTGGCGGTCTTGCTGTTGCTATCCGCGATTATAAAGGTGGTGTGGTCATGATTTCTCACAACGAAGAATTCGTTGGTGCCCTCTGTCCTGAGCAATGGCATGTTGCCGATGGTCGTGTTACCCACAAGGGCCATCTTGCCGTCTCTGCAGATCGATTCGAAGATAGCAGACCCGGGAGTGGAATAAATAGCAGTGTTGCTAGCAGTGTTGTGAGCAGTGCAACTGCAAGCGCTGTGAATAGCGGCGTGGAAGACAATGCAGATATGTCTTTCAGGGCTAGAAAGAAGAAGAAGATGACCAAGAAGGAGTTGAAGGAGCGGGAAGTTAGGAGAAGACTGAGGCATATTGAATGGTTCGTGACCTTCTCATCCAAATCAGCTATTAGAGCATATGACTAACTATGACAACAGGCTCAACTCTCCAAAGGGCACTCCCCATCCGGTAGACACTGATGACGAGTCTTAACTCGCTTTCTAATATTCCGGACGAGATGAGATAGGAATATAATGGTGTGATGAAGTATTGCCTAGATGAATTTGGATCGCTGCATATAGAGCTGCCTAATATTCTGGGCAGTAGTCGCCGCGGATTAAAAAGGGCAATGGGAATGGCGTTTAAGATAGATTGGTCGGGGCATTTTAGCCCTTATAGATGGGTATATGAGTACTTCACGATTGTTAGTAGATCCTACTTGGATTCATAGAGTTTTACAATGTCAATAAGTCACTTTGATAGCCTGAATAATTGATGATCGTATTTTGCGCTTCGATGCCGAGAATGTGATAGCGTCCTGGTTGCTTTGAAGGCTCACCGCGCTTTAAACTAGATAATCTTGGGTGATGCTTATCCCAAGTCATCACTTCCCCGTTTACGTAGTTGCCGGCGGAGAGTTTGGGGATTGGTTCATCGCGTGTATAGCATAGCGCAAAGGGATAGGGGCTGCTATATCTTTTCTTATAGATTTAGCAATAGATACGATTAATCGCACTTTGACCTCGCTGTACTGGTTCTTAAGAGCAATGCTTCGAAACAGGGCGATAATGGCGATTCTGCCGGGTAAGCTAAAATGACCAGAGAAAGAGCCAGGCCCGAGCAACAATGGTCAATCAATCACAATATGCCGTCCTGTTAATAAACGTCCATTAGTCGTCGAAGATTGAGGCAAAGAGAGTAATGGAGTCTGAACGGATGATAATCCTGATTGTTACTTGCACAAGTGGTAAGGCAGAAGAATCTTCTGCTTTCCCAAGATATGTTGCGGCAGAAGCAGAATCTCCGCGGGATTGTGCTGTGAATATTCCCTCTGCTTAGTCGAAATGATTAGGTAGAGTCCGGGTATTGCCTTTGCCGTGAGGAACAATACAATAGGATAAGGGAAATTACGGGCTCTCGCCGGACTTCCCCTACTCTCGACCCATTCCGCATTTAGCTTACATTTCCTTAGCACGTTGCTCTATAACTAGTATATCTTAAACAAACTGCCAAACGGTATCGAGCTAGCACAACATATCTCCAAGCCAAGATCCAAGTCACTTCCTTGTTGCAGACTGGTCCAGGCAATCGTCAGGGGTTCTCACGTGGTAAAATAGTAATAAACTAGAAACTCCTCCGGATGAAAGCAGAATGAAACGCCGTCACCGATAGGGAAGGTGATAGTTGAGGTTTATATAGGTGCATGTTTGGAGATTGTCCGTCGAGCTGAAAGAACAGAGGACTTCCTCCACATGGAATCCCACATTGTTATCCTTTCCATAATATGCCCTATCCCCGGATATTGTTCACGGGTAGCAAATCGACATGTGATAGTATATAGCAGTGTGCTGATGCGGCCCTGCGGGATGAAACTTTAGGAAGTATCCCCATTCGGAACTTTGCATTAGGAAACTCATGAAGGAATAGGGACAGCAACAAAAGCCGCCCAGCCTTCTCCTGCGGAGGCAAGAGTCTATTACGGGTTTGCGAAGGTTTCCCAGGGAAGGCCGTGTTAGTTGCGATTGGGTACGGGGATTTGTTTTGGAGGCGATCTACTATACGCTGTACCTCACCATAAGAAGATAGATGCCCTCAGACCCCTTGACGAAAACGTCAACGTCAACGTGGAGAGCCCCAGCCACGCCAGGTGATCGTCCTAACCGGGACTAAATCTCAGATTCAGAATCGTGCACGCGCTTTGATCTGCAGGTCCCGTTCGCAGATACTCTTCCTTGGTTAGTCTCTTGGATTGCCGCTGGGTGGCGGTTCTGAGCTGGAGAGCACGGATTGCCCAAGGACTCCGTCCGGTACATCGTCCTCCGGGTACTATAAAAGCCCATGTTTCGCTCGGCGGCGACAAAACGTAGAGATTTTCCAAGAGAAAATTTGGAGACTGAAGCTCGCCATTGGGGCTTCTGTGCCCCTTTGAGTCATAAAAAATAATGGCAGGTGGAATCGAGATGTCTTCTTCCGGGCGTGCCAATCATGATCGCTGTCACTTTGCTTCCCAAACATGTCCAGATATGGCTATTTCAGACCCGCGGCCCGTTTTCCTCCCTTCCCCACAGATGAGCAAGGTGACGTTTCTGTGTTTCAGTGTCGGGGACCACCAGGTTACACAGCGTGATTGTCTGTCTCTCTCATAATCATAATTGAGCCAAGCTATTGAATCTGACAGGAACCGGCGACACGGCAGATGGCTGCCACATGGATCAACAGCGGTTTTGACAACCCGGCCATGAGATACGAGTACCCCAATAGATTCCTTCCTCGGAGTACAAAGCTCAAAGCCGGAACCTTAGCGCACCTTCCCGTTATGGATACCGAAATATACAGTATCTTCGACATGTCAAATCCTCCTCCGAGTCTTCCGAGACCACGTGGAATTAAAGCTGTCTCCAGGCTATTATCGCCACGGCGCCATCGATCGACGCCATCGCCTTGTCTCAGGGGTCAAAGCAGGGGCTCGGGGCGCGATGCGACCGATCTCGTGCGCTGTCGGATCCTCCTCTGGAGCTTCTTCTAAATTTTTGACGTCCCGCTGCGCGCGTCGATCAGTTTTTTAGTCAATATCCTGCAGGCAATTATATTGATATCCTGTGCTTGTCTCGAGCCCCCTCGTTGAGATACAAGTGTATATCCCAACTTCGTAGTAGTGGGATGTTGATCTTGGCACAGGAGATTTACGAGTATGCATGAAGGAGTGCGAAGTTTCGCAAAACGCCTATTCTGGCCTTATGAAGGATCAGTATCGTATCGCGCAGGATCATGCACGACAGAGAAGGTTCACGCAAGGTTCACGCAGGGCTACGGCGTAGGGATATTGGTAAGGAATAGTCAATCACCACTGATCCCACCTCTCGACTGTTCAACAATACCTATTTTGATCAAACACCTCAAAACTCGAACAAAGTTGCCAGCAGGGCTGGCGTTAGAGAAGTGAGCGCTCATGTCTCACTTTCTTACCTGCAAATATTATACTACTCCATCATGGCATCTCCCGATAGTCATAAGCGTTCAAGAAGCCCTGCTGAATCGCTTAGTGCTTCCAACTTTTCAAAATCGAGTTCACAATCAAGCTCACAGCATCGACGAGTGAGAAGTCTCGGCTCTAGCAGAGGACCTCATAATTACCCAATGGCGGCCTCCAGAGGAAGAACTCCTGCTCATGTTGGCAACTTGCTAATAGTCCCGGAGACTCCATTGAATCAACTTCAAAATCCAGGCAGCGATAAACCTTCGCCCAGTGTCCTTGCTGCCCCTATTCGGAGCGACTCTGGGTCCAGCTTTGGACATAGTGGCTCGCGCTCGGACATGTCAAAGCCATCCACAACAGATCTCAAGGAGGCCGCCAGGGACACTACTTCTGGAGGTCAGAGTCCAAGAAGGCAAGCCGCAGGCATAGCAGAGCCCGAATCGAGCACAAGCCCGAAGAGTACCACTGGATTGTTCCCGCACTTGCCATCTCGACTCAACCACTTCGAAAAATGGTTCCCTGAATCCCCATCTAAGACACCTGAGGTCCAGGACAAACAGGAATTATGTGTGGAGAAGGCCCTTCCGCCGCCACCTTATCATGTCTTCGACTTCTGGAAGAAAAGGCAGCTCGTTATCCTCATGTCGTTTACGGGGATTTTATCTCCGCTTTCCACAAGCATATACTTCCCGGCAATTACCGCCATTGCAAACGTAAGTTATGAAATAAGCGGTAATAAGTGCTGTTTGGCTAATAGACCTGTAGGAGTTTGACGTCAGCACAGGGATCGTCTTAGTTACCATTACAGTTTATATGGTTGTTCAAGCAATCGCACCTTTCTTCTGGATGCCATTTTGTTCCTCGTATGGTCGCCGACCTATATTTATTATGACGCTGCTTGTGTTTTTAGCGGCTGACATTGGGCTGCTCTTCTGCAAGACGTTCATCGCATTGCTAATACTTCGTGGAGTTCAATCGTTTGGCACGGCGGCCCTCACTGCTATATGTACCTCACTCCGTGTCTTCCCTATAACCACTTCGCTAACTCCAGTGTAGGTGCGGCTGTTATAGGAGATATCTCCACCTCAAAAGAGCGGAGCACTTTTATTGGATTATTCGGTGGAAGTAAGTTTCTTTTGCCCTTACTATTCCTTGTCTCATGCTGACCATGTAGTCCTGATGTTTACCTTTATAAGTCCCTTGATTGGTGGGCTTCTCACTTACTACCTAGGATTTCGGTCAATATTTTTGTTTCTCGGGGCTTTTGGACTTTCGGTACTTGTACTGATAGTATTGACTCTTCCCGAGACTCTGCGAAGTATCGCAGGGAACGGCACAATCCGGCTCAAACGTGTTCAACGACCCTTTATTGATATCATTAGACCACCCGCAGATGCACCCTTTATCTCGGGTAATACTGGATCTGCAGCTCCATTACGTTTGCCAGCGATCAAAATTTTTGTTGAACCGGTACTTTGCCTATCACAGAAGGATGTTGTTGCATCGGCCGTCTTCGGCAGCGTCGTATTTGCCATATGTACCGCAGTTATCGCAACAACAACGTCTCTATTCGAATTACACTACTCCCTCTCATATATTATGATTGGCCTCGCATTTCTCCCCGCCGGAGCTGGTTCCGTTCTTAGCTTCTTCTCCATTGGGCATCTGATTGACCGCGATTTTAGAATAACTGAGGCCAACTACAGGAAGATGCATCGCCTCGAAAAGGACATAGCACTTGACTACAAAACTCTTCCTGATTTTCCTATAGAGCGTGCCAGGCTAAGGAATACTTGGTGGATCACTCTAGCCTTCATCGGCGCGACAGCAGCTTACGGCTTCTCATTCTCAACCTCCCGGAAGCTAATCGTCCTGCCCCTTGTTCTACAGTTCTTCATTGCTTGTAGCGCAACTGCAATCCTCCTACTCAATGGGACTTTAATCGCTGATTTGCACACTGGTACCGTATCTGCCACCCCTGCGGTCAATTGCCTGCGCTTCTTGATGGGGGCTCTGTTCGTCGGAACTGTACATCCGGCAATTGATCGTCTAGGGGTTAGGCTCACTTTCCTGCTGATGGCGCTTGTGATGCTCGCACTCACTCCGATTATGGTGATACAGTGGTTCTTTGGAAGGCCCTGGGGAGCAAGGCGAAATTCCACTTGGCCACGACAGAAACTCGTGCGGTTGCCCGACCTTCGGACTTCAAGTTCAGCGTTGATGGACTCTGTCAAAGGCGTACGCCTTCCAAGTCTCCCAGATGTGGCCAGTGGTATGAAGAGCCCCTTCGGGAAGAGATAAAAAATGTGCCGCGCTACACATTCATCGGCAGCTTCGCCGTTTTCGCGTCGGACGTGACGTCCTTGATACGAAATTCCAGCGCCAAGCCAAACTGTCTCCTGGGCAAGCCATGCCATGAAGACTTTGGATACTACACAGTGGAACAAATGGTGGCAGGGCGGATGCACCGTCGATATGACAAGTGCGTGACTCTTGAGATGACTTGGCATCAGGACTGAATGATATCACAAGACATCCGGCTTATGGAAGGGGTTTCCAAAGCATACTGAATAGATAAGATGAAGATGGGACTCAAATCAAAAGTTGCTAGAGATCGAGGGGATAATATGATTGTACTTGTACCGACGTGCTCGGCGATGACGGGCTACTACAATAATACTATGTAAATATATAAAATGTAGTAAAAATAAGTTTATCGAGATTGAAACTCCCTAGCTACTAGAGTTACCGCATAGCTGCAGTTCGGAGATGCTCTAGGCGACATTTGCATCGAGCCTCTCTTAAGATAAACTCTTTAATTAATGTGCTAGTTGCTGTTTCTTTACCCCTTAACGGGAGATCGCCTTCGGCTATGTTGGCTAAGCGAAAGTCGGAAAGGGGGTCATCCCGTACGATATTACTATGTGCGAAGGGTTTGAGATACAATGAGCAAAATATTGAGAAATAGCTTGACGGCAATAAGCTATTGATCTCCTAAGACTTATATGGCAAAGAAATAGCTTTATTATATGTTAGACTGAATACTATCACATACTTGACCCTATAACAAACAAGGCTTGAGTGTTCTCTACTGGCTCTAATACTACTTGCCTGAGATGCTAATGACCAAGACCAAGACCCTTGACTATGATTTTCCTACTTGTTTTATACCCGTGAGCTATTTACGTGTAGACGGCCCTTCCTGCTCTCCCTATAGGCCCTTATAATTGCAGTTCCACCAAAGATATCCCTCACCTCTCGTATAACGCATCGATACCAACTCTTATTACCTAGTATTCAATATTTGTCGTCGCCCCTCCAGATATCAACTAGTTCCATTTTAGATGTGAGGATTCATACAATGCAAGGTATCCCTTCACGAGTTGAAAAGGCGAAGCGTTCCGCCCTGTACTCGCCATTTCATTGATATCTTCATCATTTGTACCCTTTGAAGGATTCGACATATTACTTCAATAGATGGAGCACAAACTAGGTGATAATATGTAATCACTCAGGTCTTTTAGCGTATTGCCACCTTGGAAGGCGATATGCAACAAAAAAGGTTGTACCCCGCCCGCCGAGATGGCCCCAGACGGCAGGCATGTTTGCACCTCGGCTTGCGATATGCAACAAAACAAGTTCCAAACCTCCCTGGCCAGTCAGTCTCTCAGAAATCCTAATGCATTACCCCTCATAACTGCGATATGCAACAAAAGCTAACTCTAGGCATATCTTGAATCTCTCAAACGGTTGAGCGGTACATCGATTGAGCGGTTGGGCGATTCAGGTCAAAGCGTGAGATAAAATGCGATTTGCAACAAAACAAGCCCCCGGCCTATCTTCAGCCTCTCAAAACGGTTGAGAGATTGAGATAAAAGTGCGACATGCAACAAAACCAATTTCAAACTCTCAAGCTGTTTAGGCCATCGAGGTCAAAGTCCGATGTGCAACAGTAGAAGACCGCCACCACCATCGACAACCCGAGGCACCCACCTGCCGCTTGAGTCGTCGAGCTCGTCTAGCCGCGTAGTTTGCATTCTTCACCTCGTTCAGATCTACAGGTGCGGAGGTTGGCTGGTGCGGCAAGTCACCTTTGAAGAGCTTCGACCTTGACATAATTCCACGGCACCGACTTGTATCGATGAGCGCTCAAGAGGACTCAGAGAAAGCAGCAGCTGTGGCGGCTGTAACTCGGGTTGGATAAACTAAACTCTCCTCTAGTCATGGGAGATACTTCCGAGTCTCACAAGATTGAGATTATGTTTAGTTAATATCATTGATTTCATATGCTATTATAGTATAGGAAACAGCATGTCCTTGCTAGTCAACTATAACAGCGAGTAATTTGAATACGCCTAAGCATCAAGCGCTTCCACTAGCAAAGCCATTGCTACTTGAAACTTTAACCCCCTTAATCCCGTTCGCCAAAATCTCCTCAATTTCCTTTTGGTGCGATGAGAAATTATCCACAAGATCATCCCACATTTTGGGCTCATGCTCATGCCTCTTCTCGCTCTTCCACGCATATTCCGTGATGGTGAACGGCCGGCAGGATTCAAACATAAACGCAATAGCTCCCTGCGAGATCTGCATTTCTGGAGGTGGGCTCGCGGATGCAGCTTTGAACTGCTCGTACGCCACACCGTGGGGCACATTCCCAGATTCGTAAGATACGCTGCCGGGCTGGAACTCGTCTGAGCGCCCGCCGTATTCGCCGTAGATGAGACCCATCAGCTCAGAAGCCACGTTGCGGTGGTAGTAGGGCGGGCGGTAGGTGTGTGATGCTACATCCCAGCGGGGGGAGAAAATGAGGAAGTCGGCAAGAGGGGCAGTAGGATCGCGGGATTTAGCGGTTAATACACAGAAGATGGACGGATCGATATGGTCTACTGATATGGAGCCGACGTTGACGAATTTTGTAAGATCGTACTTGAATGGCACCTATTGAAGTCAGTACTTGGTGTGCTCGATTGGATCATGGGAGGTAAACGTACATAGTTACCATGCCAGGCTACCACATCGAATGGAGAATGGCCTTGCGTGCTCTTAAAAAATTTCCCTCCTAACTTGTAAACAATATCCCAGCGCTCCTTGCGGACTTCATATTTCGCCTTGGGCGTCAAGAAATCACGCTGGTTGGCTAGGCCATTTGCACCCAGAGGCCCTAAATCTGGTAGGTCGAAGTTGGCGCCCCAGACTTCAAGGATATATCCCCGGGATGGCCCATCTGGAAGCTCAACACGGAATCTTTGGCCCTTTTGAATAACACAGATCTCTCCGGGCTGAACAAAGAGTGGGCCAAACTCGGTTTGGATGTCCAACGATCCTTGTTGGGGAACAATAAGGAAATCGCCATCCGAGTTGACGAATGCTTTCTGGCTCATGTTCGTGTTGGCCATATATAGGTGAGTAGCGATCCCTTCCCGGAGGGTTGGCTCCCCCGAGCCAGCGACTGTTTTGAGGCCCGAGATGAAATCGACACCCGCTTCTGTGGGGATATCGAAAGGCAGCCATGCCAGCTGGGTGGGTGAGATGTGGACTCGAGGGTTTATAGGCATGAAATTCGACTCCGTATCTGGGTTATCTGGCAAGTCGGTCTTGATCCCAGGTCAGCCGAGATCGTTTTCCGAAGTGAAAGGTGGTGCTTACGAAGCCCTCATGGGCGACGGCTGGTCTCACACGGTACAGCCATGAATTCTTGTTTGAGGCCCGAGGAGCTACGAAGGCAGAGCCTGTCATCTGCTCCGTGTACAGACCGAAGCGGACGCATCTTGGGTTGTTCTGGCCCTGGGGAATTGTTCCTGGGATGGCTTCCGACTCAAAGCTACAAATGGTCGTTAGCTGGGGACTAAGAGCGGACATTCTAGTCCATACTGATTTCCAAATCCAGCTTGGTACTAGAAAGATGTTAGAGATGCCAATCTATATGAGAGTCACGGTTCGAGGGGCAGTTCTTCATACCTCATAAGGGTCATTCTTCCTCACGGCAAACGAGGGTACCGTTCCATCCTTCTGGGTCTCCGCCCAGTGGAAGATTTTCCGGTACTCGTTGGGGTCAGTCGTCTGCGCCGTCATAGTGATTGGACAATTGATGGTGTTCTAGTAGTATACTCAAAGGCTTCTAGATGTTGGTTTGCACCATGGAGGCCTATATGAGGAGAAATATTGGCCCCACCAACAGTGATGGAATTCACTAGGGAGGTTCATCAGATCCATGGGATGATGTGGGAGCTGGGGCCGTGATTGCCTCAAACCCACCCACCACACAGCCGTTTATGGCAACCGGAGGATGCTAATGCTAGCTAGTGGCCTAGTAGAGTATAGCTACAGCATAGCGCGTACATTGTTGGTTACAGCACAGTTACAGCACGAAGTCCTTCGTACGAAGGAGGCACCTCGCACAGAAGTTCGCAGCACAGAGCACAGTTGTGGCGCGAGAAAGGCTGCTGCAGGGGCCTCGGCACCAAACCCCCCCTTGGGTCCAGCGGGCAACTATTAATAATCCTGCGGGGTCGCAATCCGGGGTCAGCAATGACAGTCGCCGCAAGTGCCACAATCGCGATGACAGAGAGATCACAAAGCATCGCGCTGGCCGCCGCCGCCAATGGGCTTCGCGAAGATCGCATTGGCATTTCGAATGCGGGGAGGGAGAACCGCCGGCATATATATTACTGGAGCAGTAGACTGAAAAATGGCATCCGAGCGTGGCAACAGAGGGAGTTGGAGCTGGTGGGGGCCATTTGAGCTTACGGCGGTACTTGATACCTGCGATTCGGTGAAGTACGGTGTACGATGTACGATGTACGATGTACGATGGAGGTATGTGTATGTGTTGCTGACGAAACGATTACCTGTTTCAGCTCATCGAGCAGTATGGAGTACAAGTACAGCCTTCATAATGCCTCCCACTACCCCTCCTACGTAGCCTCGCCTAATCAACCCCACCAAAAGAGACAAGAATCCCAAAATAACCTCAATTTAATGCTACGTCACGTACTACATTTTTCAAAAAAAAGAAAAAGAGATTAATTAATTAATTTCAACACTCAAAATAGCAAAAGAGTTCGGCCCGGTGTCGAATTGCCTACATCTCTTGTCGCTTTTGTTGTTGTTTCCCTTTTTTCCCCCTGTCGTCCTTGGCGATAACGAAAGTACAATTTGACCCGAGCCACTTGACCAAGTGTCACGCCCCTTGTACTTCGTTAGGAGATATTTGCTTATTTGGCATTATATTGTATTAGGGGGGGTTTGGTCACTAAACAACCTTTTTTGGTTTTTGGATACAACACACGGCCAGTAGGTAAGTAGGTAAGACATATATATCTGGACATCAAGACATTAGTGGGGTTCAGTATGTTCCCGGTAGAAGCTATTATGGTAGTGTTGTAATGTTTTACATTGTTCCTGATATTCTATCGAGATCTACACCCTAAAACTGGCCCTCGGTACTGCCTTCTCCCATACTCTTACTGCTACTGCTTCCGCTCTGGATAGCTCCAAGGATCCCATCAATATACGCCGCTCCGCTCCATTTTTGATGTGTCAAAACATCGACACCCAACTCCTTCTCCCTCCTCTGGACCAAATTAACATAAGCCAACATGCCCTCCTCCTTGAATGCCTTGCTCAATTCGTTCGAGATCGTTGCTGTGCTGTGCAATCCAGCAAGAGAAATCAGTTGCAGGACAAATCCATGTTTAGCTATATCCCAGATGAAGGACTTCAGCGTCTCATTGTTGAATCCATGGCTCATCCAGTTGAACGAGGGAGAGAGGTTATACACCAGTCCCTTCCCGGGATACTTCGCTCGGATCTCGCCAGAGAACTGAGCCGCATTTTGGACATTCGGGTCTCCAGTCTCGACCCAGAGCAGGTCGGCAAACGGTGCATATTCAATAGCTCGCTTTGTCGCGGCTTTCATTCCAGCGCGGTAATGATAAAATCCTTCTCTTGTTCGTGGAATATCGATATTGAACTGGATCGGCTTATCGGTGAATTGCGATCCGAGCTGCTTCCTCTTGTTTATCGACATGTCTCTGTTTTCTGTTGTAGCCTTGATGTATTTATCAATGTCTGATTGTGGAACCCCGTTTTCTGTTAATTGTTTGATGATAGCCTCGTCGCAAGTCATTAGTTTGGTGTTCTTTACCCAATCCGCTTCGAATATGTCGATCTCGGCACCAGTAGCACCAGACAGCTCCATTGCTTGGATGGTCTCGGCCAGAGGTTCAATGCCTTCCTGCGTTACTCCGAGGATGAACTCATGATCTCGGACATCGATGGCACTGCTAAGAAGCTTGCCGCTTTCAGAGTCCGTCCTCGCAATAACGAGGTTCTCCGAGCCCATCACATCCCATTGGAATCTCGCAGCCACGAGGCGGTTGATGTGCTCTCCAACGGGCACCAATACCTTGCCAGCAAGGTGTCCGCACTTCTTTCCCCCGTGCATCTGATCCTCAAAGTGAACAGCAGCAGCACCGTTCTCGGCGAAAAGCTTCGCAAGCTTCAGGACTGCTGAAAGTCCACCATGTCCAGTATCACCATCCGCGATAATCGGCCGCAGATAATCGATGTATGGTGTCTTCGTTCGCTCTGCCGAGCTTAACTTCCTCCGGGCATCCCATTGTTTTCTGTCATGCATCGATTGCGCTTTCGCAAGTCTCTGGACTTGGTTCGGAACGGTATTGTAGGGGTAGTCGCCAAAGTCTGGGGACACTTCGTTTGTGGATGTAAGCACCGACGAGCACGCCCAGCCAGAGATATACAAGACTTCTTGATTTTGGGCCTGTTGTGTCATTTGTACAGGATCAATTGCTCCCACTAAGAGGATATTAGAACTGCCAGACGTAGCGGGGAAAGCATCATACTTGTGTGTATTGGCTCTCCCTTGGCTTCCCTCTCCTTGATCAGATTGAACAGTTTTCTTGCCATCACCGAACTTGGATATGATTGCATCTGACTCCCCCGCTTCGACGCCACATCCGCCGCTGAATAGGGCCTCTTGATTCCCTCATACCTCGGGCTCGCCCACCAACGTTCAACATCTTTCACCTGCTGCTCGTAAAGCGCATCTTCGGCCTCGCCTGCTTTTTGTGATTCGGGGAGTAGCTGGAAGGAGTCGGAGGGCAGAGCAGTCGATATCGGATGCTCAAGTAGCTTCATAGGAGTCTGCCTTCTAGTTGACAGTGTGAAATTGGAATGTTGGATCTTGGGGAGCTGTTGATAGTGTGGCGCTCTAGCCAATCGCTGCGGGGTTGTCACCGCGACTCTGCGCAACATTATGAATTCGACACAACGTTGGATGATAGATGAGGAGGATGGGAGCAACCTGTAGTATATTACCTACAGCCCTCTCGGCTTTGAAATTTCATTGAACTCGGACCGCGATCGCAGTCGCCGTTCTGGCAATCGTCATCATCCGTTATCGGAAATCGAGTCCATCAGGTGTTTACGGTTAGGCTCGGCATAAAAGTGGCGCACAGCACCTCCAGCGATGCGGAGAGTGGTCAATTCGCTCCCCAGATCGTCACTGGTTGCTACCTCGGCTGAACATTCCATAAAGACATATTGTCTAAGGGCTTAATTCTATCTCCGGCTGCCCGCTCTAAAAACCAGCGGTCTGTCTTGAGCGAAGTCTTAAAATATCATAACTTACCATCTATCCTCCTTTTCCATTGCAACAAACAGAATTCTCCCTCACCCTTCATCTTCGAGCCGGCATACTTGGCTGCTGCCCCACCTGTTCCCCACGGTACCCCGCGTTAAAAATAAAGGCAGGGTTAGCTTCCAATATGGCTATGAACGCTAGGTCGACCTCTCGGGCGCTGAGAGCATTGCGCGTACGTGGATGTTTATTTTGAAATAAAATATTGACATTTCAATTCTAATCGAACTATCATAGCCCATTGCTGCTCGCCCAGCTGTCATTCCGGCCTGCCGAAACTATGCTACATCCTCCGAACCAGACCTCAAGACCACCTTTAGGGAGTCAATTCCCGCAAAGCGTGAACTCTTGAAGAAGGTCAAGGCTTTGGGCGATAAAGTTATTGGAGAAGTCAAGGTTGAGAACACAATTGGTGGCATGAGGTGCGGATTGGGTACCTGTCCGTTGCCATAAAGAATTGAGGGGCTAACAAGTAACAGAGGATTGAAGGCTATGGTATGGGAAGGTTCAGTTCTTGATGCCAATGAGGGAATTCGCTTCCATGGGCGCACCATCAAGGACTGCCAAAAGGAGCTTCCCAAGGGCACAACTGGCACAGAAATGCTCCCAGAAGCTATGTTCTGGCTTCTCCTGACAGGCCAAGTCCCTTCTACAAACCAAGTCAGGAAGTTCTCTCGTGAACTTGCAGAGCAATCAGCGCTGCCAGATTATGTGAACAGCATGCTTGATAACTTCCCCAAAGATCTTCACCCAATGACACAGTTCGCAATTGCAGTTTCTGCTCTGTCACACACCTCGAAATTTGCCAAGGCATACGAGAAGGGTATCAACAAGGCGGATTACTGGGAGCCAACCTTCGATGATAGCATTTCTCTCCTTGCTAAGCTTCCAACAATTGCTGCCAAAATCTACCAAAACTCATATCGAGGCGGTGGAGCTCTACCCGCAAAGGTGGACTTAGACCAGGATTGGTCGTACAACTTTGCTGCCATGCTTGGCAAGGGCGGAAAGGCCAACGAGAACTTCCAGGATCTGTTGAGACTATACTTAGCTCTTCACGGTGACCATGAAGGTGGCAATGTTTCAGCACATGCAACCCATTTAGTTGGTAGTGCATTGAGCGATCCGTTCCTGAGTTACAGTGCCGGTCTTCAAGGACTTGCCGGGCCACTTCATGGGTAAGATTGGCCATTAGTTTAACTTCAAATAGACCATGCTAACGTCTCGACAGTCTTGCTGCCCAAGAAGTTCTCCGATGGATCCTACAAATGCAAGAGCATGTTGGAACCAAGTTTACCGACAAGGACGTCTCTGATTATCTCTGGGCAACCCTCAAGTCCGGACGAGTGGTTCCCGGATATGGCCACGCAGTCCTCCGCAAGCCCGATCCTCGCTTCGAAGCGCTGATGGATTACGCCTCCTCCCGCCCTGAGATAGCCAATGATCCAGTCTTCCAGCTTGTCAAGAAGAACTCTGAGGTCGCTCCAGATGTGCTCAAGGAGCATGGCAAGACCAAGAACCCATATCCAAACGTCGATTCAAGCTCTGGCGTTCTCTTCCATCATTATGGATTCCACGAGACCCTGTACTACACCGCGACTTTCGGTGTCAGCAGAGGTTTGGGGCCGTTGGCTCAGTTGATCTGGGATCGCGCATTGGGTCTCCCAATTGAGCGACCGAAGAGCATCAATTTACAGGGATTGCTTGAGCTTGCTGGAAGCTCGTAGAGGACTGTAGAGTCTGGTATTAGTATCAGGAGCATTAGAGGTCTAGTCCTGTACAATTATTATCTACCAAAAGCATACTTTCCTCCTCATTAGGCCTAAAAGCCCAATCAATATACTTTAGATAGGTAAGTTGTGAATCTTTTCACGTCCTCAATGGTGTTCCAGCTTTTGTTAGCCGATATCACCCATTGATCTCCACTGTCCAAGTCTAACTCAACGGCCTTCCATGGAAAAGCTTGCAAAGCTTGCAAAATAGTAGCAATAGGGGATAACAGATATCCCACGCGACTTCTTTGAGCTAAAGAGTTCGTTGATATTTATATACATGTCACACCTTACACTTCCCTAGTCCACTGGGCGCTCCGGCGTACTATAGGCAAGTTATTGATTCCATCTAATACTACGGGCTAAATCGTGCCATCTCAGTACACTCCTCTAGCGGTTCATCATTCTCAACATGGTCCCAAAACTCCTTGCTTTTAGGTTGACTCATCGCATTGCCCCTATGCATTTTCTCCTCATATTCCTCCTTGCTTTTAACAACATAGTGATGCAAAGCAATCCGATCCCTAGTAATGGGGTTCCTGAATGCATCTGTATTAATCACATCCCCATGCTCGCCGACCGTCATAGTACCCTCTATCAAAGTAAACTTATGAGGGTTGTAACTGGCTGCAAAGGATGATGTCCTCACGATTGATTTTATGTGTGTGTTGTCGCCGTGTACTTCGCCGACGGGGTCGGACATGCAGGTTGTGAAGCTCTTGCGGGCAGATTCAGGGCGCGTGAGTATTCCAGCAGAGGTATGAGTCTTCCAGTTAACTCCCAATGCCCCGACCGTCTTATCTGGATCAAAACCCTTCAGAATGCTCACCAACGTCTCATTAGGTGCTGTTATCTCGAGAAATTCGTCGGTGTCGATATACGCAATCCAGGTGTGGTTACTGCCATACCATGAATTGCATTCAGAATAAAATGCAAGTTGCTGCCACGCGGTGCGAGTAGCGGGATCCTGGTAGTGAAATGTGAGGGCCGATTTTGGGATTCCATATTCAAAGCTGGATAGGGCAGGGTTGGAGCCATCATCCATGATATAGAAGCGCCTGATGCCGATATGATGATAATGATGTGTTAACCATTCTGGTAGATCGTGAGATTGGTCCTTCGCCGCGAGGCAGATGGCCACGTACTCTTCGTCGTCGGCGGGGTCATTTGTATCTGGTATCTCATCCTCTGGCCATTCGTTTGCATTCGCCGCGTCATCTATCACACTCGTTGTGGGATATACGGATGGTGGTTTCTTCCTATTCGGGATAGCATCCAACGGAGAATCATACTGATCTCCTAGAACCGGACTTGGTTCCACATACGCATCAGCAGCGATAATATCGTTTTGGGGGTCAAAGAGTTTAGGACTCTCTGGGACGGGTCCACCTGTGGTTGGTGTGGTATGGACGCCTGGGAAGTTTCCGTCCTCCTTTGGCTGTGTATTGATATCGAAGCTGAGAAGAAAGTGTACGACCAACAAGCAAGTACTCCAGATCAGAACGGTGCGCCAGTTAACGCATTTAAAGATAGTAACAGCCGACTGCATCGTACTGGGTGGCTATTTGCGACTCTGCAAAGCCACTGCTAACGAAAGAAAAACATCTCTGCTTCAAATATTCTGAGCCTAGCAATGACACTTGACTTGCGTTATAGAGGGCACAGGTGGGCAGAAGTTTACTGCCCTGTGGCCATGCCTGAGACATGTTTGATTCCCTTGTCTATTTTTACGTGCTGAAATGGTCCTGGTATTTACTTCGCTGGATAAGCCACTCAGGCAAGGGGTCGGAAACACCATAGCTGCGCATTCAAATTTAAATACTGTGTTGCAAAACGATAGTTGATAGGCCATCCCTGGCTGGCTACCGATCTGAGGCTAGACTCCGAGATTGCACATATCTGGCGCCTCTTCCCATCTCGATTCTCGTGGGTGAGATATCGCTCCCTTCTGATTGGGGCACAGCGACGCCCCTCGAAATCCTTCGGATATGGGATTCTAGCCCTTGATGTATTGCTATTTTGGGTTTTGACCATGTCCAACCAAAATGCTCATACCGGGTCCTCCTGCTACTTACAACGGCAATTGTTATTTAAATTCTTGTTTTCACGAGCTTCATTCCACGGTCAATCGATCATCTGACGGACAGCCACTTCCGAGACATTTTATCATCCCTAGGCTACGCAGCTCATGACAAATTGTGACTCTTATCTTATCAGTCAGCTTCAGATTTGGTACCCGATTAGAAGGCAAGTGTGGAATACCGGGTTTTGGTGGAAGCAATGTTCTCGATGGCAATTACCACATCATCCATGCCTTCGCGGACAGCTAAATGGGGTTATATTACGTATGTTTCCCGAGGAGTTCAGGAATGGGTTGAATAGTGCGTATCTGGAGAATCTTCCAATGGGAGGGAATCAACATACCAAATTTGATGGCGGTCAACGGAGCCGATATTAAGGACTCTTTCCCTTGACGGAGGCTCATAGACTCTCAATTTATTCTTCAAAACCTAGCTGCTGCTGCATGGCCTAGCGTGATCCTAACTTATATATATATCCTGGAAAGAGCTCCGTAGCCGCTCTGGAGGGTTGTAAGCCTAAGAGGCCGGGCTGCCACACCGCGCTGTTCACCTTCGGGAGACACCTTTCCTAACCTCCGCGCGTAGAAAAGAAAACCAAATGATCCTTAACAATGTAAAACGGATACGGAGTATGCTCTAGATAAGATCGATAAAAATTTAATCACTCTGGGGTTTAATAACAATTATCTACGGAGCAAAACGCAAAGGAGTTCAGGCCGGTCGATTGCCTACATCTCTTGTCGTTATATCGTTGTTGTTGTTTTCCACTTTTCTTCTCCTTCTCGGCCCAACACAATTTGTCCAGAGCCACCAAGCCTAGTGGCCGCCTTTTATGTTGTAATTGCAAAAAGGCTTATTGGGCTATATAAGGTTCAAAACGGCAAGTTGCTCTACACTTGTTTTGCCCCTTATTCCCCTGGGTTGTGCGATTCCGCGAAATGGTCCTCCCCCTCCTGGATTTCGTAGTTTTGTATCGGGACGGGAGTAGTGAGTAGCGGCTCCTGAGGGCCGCACTCGAGGTCTTCATCCTTCTCCAACAATTCCAGGGCATACGCGTTTCCCTTCTGCGCCATTCTCAACCGCGAGAGATACGTGGCAGACAGGAGAGCGGTATCTCGGCCATATGCGTGGCATGAACTCCTATTCGTGAAAGGATATTCCGTTGGTTGAGCCGCAGTGATTTGAGAATGGTTGCATAGCCATAGAGAGCTTGAACTCTCAAGATGTACGGAGTAGGGTGTCGTATGTTCGGGCAAAACATCTTGCCCCTTTTCCCCTGAGTGCCCTGGCACACTTCCGTAGCATACTGCGTAGCATATAAAGATCCAGTAAATGCAAGCTATAACTAACCCGGGTTTGGCCTCCTACCTTTGTGTGTACAGCACTGTGCCTCTTATAGCGTGGGACGTAATCCTAGTGCCGGGCGCGCTGTAACCCGGTTCTGCTCAGATTATTCCAAAGCCTGAAATTTGAAAGTTCCAATGCTTTCGAAGCCTGCAGCCGGTCGGAGCTGGGAAGCTGGAAATGCGCGAATACGCAACGGGGCCGTATGAAGCCAATATTACTTCTTTTGGCTGGTTGGTGGGAGTTGTGGCTTGATGTCGTGGATGTGTTTTTGTTGTCTCATTCGACAGTTGGGTCACGTGAGGGGCTTTTTGCTCCCACTTTTTCGACCCTTTGTAGTCAAATTAGCGAGCTGACTGGTGTCTACCTATCTAGACCATGACGCCCAGTTCTTAAAATATTTTGCGACCGTACTCATAGAATCTTCACACAGAGACCCAGATAGAAATTCCCAGTGTGTACATCCCTAGGCCCCCCCGTAAGCTGCCTGGTATTATGTACGAGTACTGTAGCAGAACCCTGCATTTTAAATTAGAAAAAATTAATTCTAGACAGCTACTGTATGGCTGCGCCGCCCATTTCCTGGAGGGATGAGCCTCGCCGTACTCTATCGCGTCATCATACCAGGTCCGACCGGTCTCGGGCGGAACATTGGTGGGCAATGGGCATCTAAATAAATTGCTGACTTGAGAGATGTATTGTTTTCCACTAACGCAAACTCCATATTCATCGAATATTATTACTTACCTGCCGCTTGGGAATGGGCCTATTATTGCATTACCAAATCGGGTTAATGCAATACGATATCACTTCGATGAACGTAGTACTGTACGTACTGTCTCAATCCCAAGACGCCACAGACTGCGCGATGCAGCCACCCAACGCGTCTCCCTCTGAAACGAGGGATTCCATTCAAGTATTTCGTGTATCTGTAAGAACCCACTCTCCAAGTTTCCTTTCCGCTATGTCACCGCAGGCAAGCAACATAACATGTATATCTCACTCTCGTCATCTCTTCTCCTTCTATATGTGGCCTGCGAGACGGTGCGAGCAAACTACGCGTACTATGCATTCCACAACTTCCCTCAGATATCAGCGTCGCTTATTGCGCTTCTCTCCGAGTGCCTCAAGCTTTTCATCGCCATCTTTTTCCTCCTCCGGTTGCATGACGGGTTCTCAGCCTCTGGCCTAAAGAAGTGTATACGATCGATCTGGCAAGGAGAAGGTGATTTCAACAGGATACTAAAATATGCGTTGCCCGCGGCGCTATATCTTACCAACAACCTCATATATTATACCGTGTTGCCCAAGACCTCGCCGAGTTTGCTGCAAGTCTGCGTCTTAGCAAAACTGCCCACTACGGGAATTCTCCATCATTATATGATCAAACCTCAGCGCAACGTTTACGCATGGTTCTCGCTGCTTTTTCTTTGCGTTGGTCTGGTGGTCTTCAACATCCCGTCAAGACCGCAAAATGATGCATCAACGGACGCTGGCACAGCTTGGTATCTAGCCCCTGTTGCCGGCTTCGTGATAGCATGTTTATCAGGGCTTGCTAGTATATCAACTGAGACGTCGACAAAAGTTGGAAAATTCTGGGAATCACAAGCATACCTTTATATCTGGGGTATGGTTTTCGCCATCATTGCGTATCCATTGGCACCTTCCGGCGGGAACATGCAAATCAACACAGAAGCGCCAAAGCCGTTCTTGGTTGGAAGTGCTGTGCTTGGACTGGTGGTGATGACCTCTGGGACAGGTCTAGTTGTCGCGGTTGTTCTGCGAGCCCGGGATAATATCCTGAAGTTGGTTGGAACGGCGGCCTCGCTCATCACCATCGCGGCAAGTCAATATGTTTTGCTGCCGGATCTACGTGCTTCGACTTTCACGTCGTGGAAGGTGTGTGGAGGAGGAATTGTGACGATCAGTACGTGGTGCTATAATTATTACAGCCAGCAAGAGTGGCCACAGTCCACAGCGACCCAAGAGCGCGATCTAGAGAGCGAAACATTACTGGCTGAGGGCGAAGAGGAACCAGTAGAGAAAAGCTCTTCGGTGGAGAAATTTGAGGCGGTTGAGGGGTCGACCGAGGTCGCCTTACTCCAGCCTACTGCACAGAAAATTATTTGTTCTTTGATCTCTGTTGCTTATGTGACATATGAAGTGGCATTGAGGACGAACTAAGTAGGCGTTTGGTTTCCAAATCGGAGTTTACGTTTCAATAGAAAGCGAATATTGTTAATTTAACATAAATCCCAAGCTATATGCGATTCCCCACCTCCTACCACTACCAAAAAGGATGGAGATTACATTAAACATAATTTCCATCCGAGGTGATATTACTTGATAGTAGTGGATGGTGTTGACTCTTCTTGTTATAGTTAGGAAATCATTCACCAGTTTGGGGACTTGGAGTTTGGATCGAGGATTTGGGTACAGGTCTATACGAACTATTGGGTCGAGATTGATCCCCAGCTTCCTCTGGTTTTCATCGAGCTCGAAGTCCAACCTCCATCCTGCCCTGGTTCCCAAACCTCAGTTATGGATACGCCTGCGCTCCGGACCAGCATTATATCTTCCAACCACCGATAATAAGACTTATATACTCCGGTCGCGGAATGGTGACACTATTCTTCGTCATCTCAGGCTACGTGCTAAGCTATAGCGCTCTGAAAAAGATTCGAAGCAGACAAGCCGCGCAGCTCCTCGATTCGTTAGCCTCCTCAGTCTTCCGCCGCTGGCTCCGGCTCTTCCTCCCTTTAATCGTCTCTACATTCATTACGGTGATTTTTGTGAGAATGGGATGGGTGGATGATGCACTGGCAACACGTGTTACCCTCCTACCCGGGCCCTTACCCTCGCGCTGGGCACAAATAAAGGACTGGTGGACTAGTTTTATCCTCCTTAGCAACACATTCATGGGCATGGACGAAGAAAGCGTCTACGCCGACCAATATGGCAGCCAGCTTTGGACGATCCCGCGGGAGTTTCGGGGTTCCATCGTAGTATATGTCACTCTTCTCGGACTGGCAAAGACGAGGCAAACATTCCATGTGCTTTCCGTTATAGCGTTTTCTTTATATGCCCTGTACATCGCCCAATGGGACATATATCTTTTCCTTAGCGGCATGGCGCTCGCCGAGATCCAATTCATCTATAACGAGGCGCGCCAAAATAATGCCTCCTCACTCCAAAAATATATTCCTCGAGCCGTGAAACGCCATAGGAAGGGCATCCTCTACATTGTTACAACTTTAGCCACACTCCTCGCCATCCATTTCCTCACAATCCCTGACGAGGGCTTAGACTCGGCCCCAGGATACGGCTGGATGTTAGCCAACACACCTTTACAATACGGGAGCGTAAGCCTTCGGCAGAAATTCTGGCTCTGCTTAGGGGCTCCGCTCCTCTGCCTCGCGATGATATTCTCTCCCCCCACTTCCTCGAACCCCTCGCCCATCCCCCAATGACCATTCAACACCTCCTTCACTCAGTGTCTAGGGAATATCTCATACGCCCTGTATGTGATGCATCTACACATTGTGTGGTCCATTAGCTATAAGCTTCAGCGTTCCGCTGAAGGGAAAGGCCCTAGTGGGCTTTGGATTGCCTTTGCCGAAGCGGTGGTTGTGGATAATATTCTTCTATTTTGGACCGCGGATTTGTTTTGGACGGGTGTAGATATGAGGTCTGTGGCTTTGGCTAAATGGGTTGCTGGGAAGGTTTTTGTGAAATGGGAGCATTGAGTTTTGGATGTAATAGAACATAAAAACAACCAAATCAACTGTACATAATGCTAGATACCCCGAACGCCGACAAGAGGCAGAACACCTATATATGAGATAGCTTGGCGTCATTTATTTTAAAAGGCGGCTGCAAAACTCTTGCACTGCACTCACTAGTCCTCAACTATATATACGAAGTATGGATTGATGAATTTGTGCCTCTTTTAATATTTTATACATGGTGCATTCATTGCGCAGATGAGAAGTTTACTTCTTCATCTCCTCATCATAACTCTTTCCATTCCTTGGATTTATTTTCCTTGGTATTCCGCGGGGCCGACCATCAGTTCTGGTCTGACTAATCGATCAAAGTCCTCCTCGCTCAAAGCTTTCAGTTCCATAGCGGATTCCTTTAGTGTCAAGCCCTTCTTATGTGCGTTCTTGGCTACCTTGCTGGCCATATCATAGCCAATCTTTGGGTTAAGGCAAGTCACCAACATAAGTCTGTGGATTTTCAAGGTCAGTAAAGCAATCTGAGAGAGCTGTTGCAGAGATGAAGCTTACGATTCCTTCAGGATGCTCTTGATCTTTTCCTCATTTGCTTCGAGGCCAACCACTAAGTTCTTCTCAAAGCTCGCCATGCCGTCGGTAAGGATACGGGTGCTGTGTAGTAAATTTCGGATAACCAAGGGTTTGAAAACATTCAGTTCGAATTGTCCATTCATTCCCCCGATGGTGGTGGCAGTGTGGTTGCCAATGACTTGTGCGCAAACCATGGTCAGAGCCTCACATTGTGTTGGGTTGACTTTACCAGGCATAATACTGCTTCCTGGCTCATTTTCAGGCAGGGACAACTCCCCTAGACCGCAGCGTGGTCCAGAGCCGAGATATCTGATATCTTGGGCAATTTTGAAGAGAGATGATGCAAGGGTATTGAGGGAACCGGAAGCTTGGACAATGGCGTCGTGTGCGGCAAGGGCTTCGAACTTGTTTGGTGCGGTCTTGAATTCAGTGCCGGTCATCTTGCTGACTTCGGCGGCAATAGCCTCGGCGAAGCCCTTGTAGGTATTGATTCCAGTTCCAACAGCAGTACCTCCCTGTGCCAATAAACGGAGATCGGGGAGGGAAGATTCGACACGCTTGATGCCAAAGTCCAGCTGGGCAACATATCCAGAGAATTCTTGAGCGAGAGTCAGCGGGGTAGCATCTTGGAGATGTGTCCGTCCAATTTTGATAATATTCTTTGATTCGAAGTCGTCAACTTTAGCCTGGAGAGCGGATCGGAGGGACTTGATGGCGGGTATAAGTTCATTTTCGATTTCGAGGACTGCGGCAATGTGCATGACGGTAGGGAACGTATCGTTTGACGAAGCGCTCATATTGACATGGTCATTGGGGTGGACCGGCTTCTTGCTTCCCATCTTTCCTCCCAGGATTTCAATTGCACGATTCGAGATAACTTCGTTGGCGTTCATGTTCGATTGTGTGCCGGAGCCAGTCTGCCACACCACGAGGGGGAAGTGATCGACGAGCTTGAGGGAGGCAACTTCGGCAGCCGCTTCTTGAATGGCCTTGCCAACCGTAGGGTCTGTCGAAATCGTGAGCGTAAGCACAATTAATTTCACTTGTCTGGGTGAGGCGTACCAAGCCCGAACTGCATGTTGACTGTTGCTGCCGCTCCCTTGAGGATGCCAAATGCTCTCACAATGGGCGCGGGCATGCGATCCTGTGGTTGATTGATCTTGAAGTTCTCTAATGACCGTTCGGTCTGCGCTCCCCAGTACTTGTCTGCCGGCACCTGCACCTCCCCGAAGGCATCGGTTTCTGTCCTTGTCTCTGCCATTGCGTTTGAAGTGGCGTGAAAGCTTCTGCCAAAGCGGGGTAGTGATGTAGTTGTAGTTCTATATAGGGAGGTTGATGCGAATGAAGGAGTTGAGGATGATGTCGATAGCGGTGTTCGTGAATGTCTAGCCGTCAAGCAAATGCTGTAGTTGCGGGGTGTTGAACTAATAGGTCTTCGGGCCTTGAGGGAAACAGCTGATGTTGATGTCCTTGTATTCCCAGCTACCGCTTGTGACAGCGAGCTCCATGCGGAGCTCCCACTCCTTGGTGCCGGCCGGAGCATTGTTTGGATCGGGGAATCGGGATGTGACGGGGGTTGAGGGAGAGGATCTATAAAACACCAAAAGGGTCAATTGATATGGTGAGAAGGGGAGCTGGTACGAGAAGCAATGCGAAATGGCTAAGATGCAGATTTGAGTTCGAGCGATGCGGAAAAGGGGCAAGATGAATAAATAAGAATAGGACGCAAATATTCAAATTATTCGGGGTCAGAAAAAAAGATGGATGGTCGCTCCAGCCACAAGGCGGAAATACCCGGGCTTGCCGGGATATGTCCGGGATAATGGATAAGGCGGGTTCGATAGAGCATAGAGGGCATAGGAATTGGGCCACCGTGTTCCGTTAGCGTCACTACGATTATAAGAGGAAAGTACTTTATATGTATATGTTATTCTTACAATCCGTTTGTTTCTGTTCTTTCTCGTCTTTCGTTGCGATTCATTACCGTCTGCATCTGTGAGCCCCCTGTCCAGCGCTCTCAACAATTTTCCGTATACTATCGCTGTCTCAACAGCGTAGCATTCAACATAAACGTAGCATTGCATCTCATACGACAGGCATAGATAGATATATAACAGTAAGTAATATGGCAATTTAATCTTGGAGGAGTGAGCGGATATTTTATTATGAAGTTGTTGAAACTCAAATTGTCCGCCAAGTACACAACGCCACACGGCACAAACCCAAAAGTCAGTTCCATACAACGGTATCATGTTTAGCTAAAGGGCAGCGGGATGATAATTACAATCAAGAATAAAGTATATAGCATGTCGAGAAATGAACGAGTATGAAAGCAAGATTAGAAGTTAATCTTGGCTTAACTAAATTTATTATTCTGCAACAGCGTAGCGATACACCAAAGATTCCAAAGGTTAGACTCCAACATATTCCGGCACATAACAGGGACCAAAATTGAAGTCCCAGCTAGTTCATGATGGTAATGGGACAGCCAGCTGTGAGCTATGCCCGAAACGTAACTGCTTCGTTTCATGCTCCACCAGGCATCATCGACATCTCTATTTGCCGCAATCACGATGGCCTGATGCATTTCAATGCTTTAACCGGGTTGTGGCTCTTGGACCTTGATTAAAGCAGTGTTTTTCAAGCCCGAGTAGTAATATGCTGCAGAGTAATCAAATAGTACGCCGTGTGAAATTGAACAGAAAAGAAGTGTGATATAACGCTTACACATGAACTAATTATGCTACTGCATAGGCTAGACTAATACCCATAGAGTTAAAATATACATATATGCCTAGTTGGAAAGATTAAAGTATGCGAAACGCTGGTGTTCTACTGAGGATGTGTATCTCCATCCGCAGAGTATCCAGCCACCGCCCTCAAATCCACCATATAAGGCTGGCCACATGCCTGTCTCCATTCTGCCACTCTCGCTGCCACATATAAATCAAAATAAGCGATTTTTATTTCAAGGGAGACAACAGGCTGCCACTTGGCTAAGTGGTTCAGGTCAAATTGTCTTCTGGAGAGGATCGATCGGGACAAAAGCGACAAGACGACAAAAACAACACAACAACCAAAATCGACAAGAGATGTAGGCATTCGACACCGGGCTGAACTCTTTTGCTTCCGGGATGTAGAATAGGAATTTCTTTTTCGGCCTCAATATTTTTGCCTGCTTTTCTTATCTTTATAGGGGATTATATATATATATATTTTTTTTATTTCGCCTGTTGCGGGTGGGTTGTCGCGAGTTAGCGAGAGAGCTCGAGACGCCTACTTACATGTACCCAGGTAGGTACCTATATGCCTGACTCCCCTCTGCTACTGTATTCTGTAAGGGTGTAGTGTCCCTGGGCAGTACAGTACTCGAGACGGTTTAAGATGCGAACCTAATATGCTTTTGCCTATCGTGTCTTTATAGTACGAAGTACAAAGGCATCTTACCTACGGTAGGTACAGTAGGAGATACGCACGGGCGCATTCTCACCTGGCTATCATTTTCCTTGCCCACCAATGCTATGAGAATAGATCGAGCTAAGCCTATTATAGGTGGAGCTTAATCACGTGGCTACACTCCTCCCCACAACACGTGCGTGGTACTTGGTCCTTGTCGCTGTCCGAACCCGGAGAATCCCGGGTAGAACCGGCATCAGGCTGGGCGGCCGACGAACCGTGGCAGAAGTTCACCGCTGCTACGGCTGCCGAGGTCTCTCGTAGGAGAGAGGCGAGCCAGCGAACGTCATCGGAAAATGGGGGATTTTGCCCCAGAGCTCACATGCAAACGCTGATGCAGGATTCCTCACGCTTCCATGTGCTGAAGGGCAGATACGGGAATCCAAAAGTCGCAGAAGACAAGTCTGGGTTGAGATAGAGGTAACGAGCAAGTTGATATACAGAGTGTCTACTGTTTGCATTTCCCATTCCATGAAGTAGTGCTGATAAGAATGTCGTTCTCCTGCTCCAAGTAGTAGTGGCCAGCCACAAGCTGTCTGCTTTCGAACATTCTCCCCTCCACCCGAAACCCCCTACACCAACAATAAACAATGACTCGACCCATTGCCGAATAGCTCCCCGCTAATCGTCTCCCCCTACGTTCTCCTCTCCCCGTCGCCGTCTCCCAAGCCACAGGGTTGAGGTACTATACTACTGCTGCTTATGGGCCGAGACACATAAAACCACCTCGACTCCCTTGCCCCGCACGCTCTCAAGTTCACGTCCTACATACATACGCTTTTTGTATCTTCCCATCCGCTTATTGAGAATATTGACTCTGTACCTCCAGCATTGGACTTTAAATACATTCCAAGCCGAACTGCCAACCATAACAACACACAAGATGGCGACGACCGATTCCATCCTGCAGGGTGTGAGCGTGTCCGGTACAATCACCGAGGCTAACAGGAAGATCCTAACTAAGGATGCTCTTACTTTCCTCGCCCTCCTCCACCGTTCTTTCAATGGCAAGCGGAAGGAGCTTCTCCAACGCCGTGTCATCAGACAGGCCGAACTCGATAGAGGCGTCCTCCCCGATTTCCTCCCCGAGACCAAGAATATCAGAGAGGATGATACATGGAAGGGAGCCCGTCCGGCGCCAGGATTGATCGACCGACGGGTAGAGATCACCGGTCCAACGGACCGAAAGATGATAGTAAATGCCTTGAACTCAGATGTCTGGACATATATGGCCGATCTCGAAGGTAAACAAACGTATATAAGCCATCCTGCTAGCAATTTGCTAACAACTAGCTCCAGATTCAAGCGCCCCAACATGGGATAATATGATCAATGGCCAGGTCAATCTCTACGATGCCGTCCGTAGACAAGTTGATTTCAAGATTGGGCAAAAGGACTACAAGCTCCGGACAGACCGCCCTCTCCCAACCCTGATCGTTCGGCCTCGTGGCTGGCACTTGGATGAGAAGCACATGACAGTCGACGGGGAGCCAATCTCTGGCAGTCTGTTCGATTTCGGTCTCTACTTCTTCCATAACGCCAAGGAGCTCACAAAGCGCGGACATGGACCATACTTCTATCTCCCAAAGCTGGAGTCACATCTTGAGGCTCGTCTATGGAACGATGTATTCAACCTCGCCCAAGATTACCAAGGAATTCCCCGCGGAACCATCAGAGGGACGGTCTTGATCGAGACCATCCTCGCCGCCTTCGAGATGGATGAAATTATTTATGAGCTTCGCGACCACAGCTCCGGCCTGAATTGCGGACGTTGGGATTACATCTTCAGCGTGATCAAGAAGTTCCGCCAGAACTCCAACTTCGTTCTCCCTGACCGGTCTGCTGTCACCATGACCGTGCCGTTCATGGACGCCTATGTCAAGCTCCTGATCCAGACCTGCCACAAACGGCAAGTCCACGCCATGGGCGGCATGGCCGCTCAAATCCCGATCAAGGACGACAAGGCTGCCAACGACAAGGCCATGGAGGGCGTCTACGCCGACAAGCTCCGGGAAGTGAAGGCCGGCCATGACGGAACCTGGGTCGCTCACCCAGCCCTTGCCGCAATCGCCTCGGAAGTATTCAACAAGCACATGCCCACACCCAACCAGATGTTCGTGCGCCGGGAAGATGTCAAGATCGGCCAAAACGATCTCCTGAACATGAACGTCCCAGGGAAGGTCACCGAAGACGGCATCCGCAAGAACTTGAACATCGGTCTCGGATACATGGAGGGCTGGCTCCGCGGCATCGGCTGCGTCCCGATCAACTACCTCATGGAGGATGCCGCTACCGCTGAAGTTAGCCGAAGCCAGCTCTGGCAGTGGGTTAGACACGGTGTTTCCACCGCCGAGGGCAAGCGTGTCGACAAGGCCTACGCATTGAAATTGCTAAGAGAGCAAGCCGACGCCCTTGCCGCGAAGGGCCCCAAGGGAAATAAGTTCCATCAAGCTGCACAGTACTTCTCCAGCCAGGTCACCGGCGAGGATTACGCAGATTTCCTGACCTCGTAAGTCTCATCTACCTACCCCTACCATATCCTTCCCCCCAATAATTGCTACTCGGATACTAACACACCAACTAGCCTTTTATATAACGAGATCACAAGCGTTGGAAGCTCGTCGCCAGCGTCGAAACTATAAATTGGAAAAATCGGTTTTTTGCATGTGATATCCTAAACAAAAAGAAGAAATGAATAAGACTGGGTTTTTTTTGGGGGAGCCTGTATGAAATGGAAAGCATGTGAACATACCGTTTTTATCTACTAGTTTTTTTATCCCTAGCAAAGCGCCCTATAATGCAGCAACGTGAGAATTTCTATCTCTAAACCAATCCGCTGTTTATTATCTATCCACAACCTCGGAAATTGAAGTAGTTTAACACACGGGGCCCATTGACTCATGATATCTGGTGGGGGAGTCATAATTTCATTTAATTCTTTTTTTTAATTTAAGCGTTTTGTTTTCCTGCGGGGGTATTATTAAGCCATTTTCCGAGTTTCCCATCCAATCCATCCCACTATTATCACAAAGCAATAGCCATCACAACGGCACCAGCCACAACCAGACCTCCCAACCCAGCATTCAGCGCCTTAACAGCAGCACTCTTCTTATCTCCAGTTGGCGACGCAGATGGCTCCGTAGACGCGGTCGTGCTGGATCCAGAATCTGAGCCCGAACCAGACAAGGCTGTTCCATTGGCGTGTCCGGAAGTAGTGGCCGCGCCTGTGGTGATGCCGGTTCCGTTGGCGCAGGTTGGGGCCTTCACGGTGCTCGCGAAGGTGATGTCGGCGCAGTTGTAGAGGCCGCCTTTGGGGTCACCGTTCGTGATGACTTGGATGGTGGCGTTGGTGCCTTCGGTGATGTTTAATCCGGCGGGGAGGGAGACGCTCGTGATGCAGAAGTCTCCCAGGCCTGTCTGGCCGAAGGTGGGACGGAGGACGGTGTTGAAGGCTGAGCCGACGTCGTTGCCGAAGCCAATTAGGACTTCAACGTTGGTGGAAATATGGCTGTTAGGATTGGAATGTTAGTTTCTTGTTCTTCTTCTTCCGTTTGCTTGGGGGAAAGCGAGTTTTGCGGAGAATGAAAATGCGACTTACCCCATGTTGAGAGCAATTGATCCGTCTTTCAGTGGCCATTGTGTGCGGGTGGTGGACACTTTATCTTGTCCTCCGCAGGGGAAATTGGTGAGTGTGTCCTCGTTGAATCCTCGAGCTGCTGGGTACACGAGGGTGAAATGTGCAGAGGCGGCGGAGGCGAGTGCCGCCAGGGTGGCAAGTGAAGCCTTCATCTTGCTGAGGTAGATAATTTGTGGTGGGGTGAGGTTGAAGTGGTGGAGGATCAATTGGGTGGAAGATGGAGTCGAGGGATGTTTAAGGGAGCTGGCAATGAAGGTGGATGCGCAGCGATTAGTGGTGGCTTTCAAAAGTAAGGTGAAATGAGATTCAAGTCACGAAAAGGGCGGGTGAAGCTTTATAAAGGTCTTTGGAAGCTCATGGGGGTAGGGGAGCTAGCTGCAGGGGAGGGGAAGAGGGGCGGGTTGCTCAGGTACTGGGGATTATTATTGATTATATTTCTTGAGTTTGGACGCGCCGCAAACCAATCCTAGGTAGGTAGGCTTTTGGAGCTACTAGGCCATGGGTAGCCTAAGTTCAGCCAGCTTAGGAGAGAGACGTAGGAGGCTAGCTACACTAATACTTCGTAGGTACTGTTAGGCATTGTACGTAGGACGCTGTAAAGTCGAGTGTCCACTTTACACAATACGTCCGTACAGCCAGGAGCGCGGGGTCCGATCCCTGCAGGCTGGAAGCCAGGGGTTGGCGGTTGGTGATAGAGAGCACATTATGAGCAGAATATTAAATCGTAGTACGTAGGACGCGCTATGCGGTCATAGACTACCTAACAGTATGCAGAAAGAAAAGCCTCATGACTCTGCCAAGTACTTTGACGCACTCGCAGTCTCACGGTCTCAGAAACATAAGAAGAGGGACCATGCCCAGCTTGAGAGCGTAGTGCTGAGATACTACCTACGCTGCCAAAGTGTCTCCGACGGGCACTTTTGAGCAGGTTCGCTCTCGTTTCAAAGCTGCCTTTGGTCTGCGCCTTTAAAGTTCAGACTTTACTAGAGCAAAGCAGACAGAACCATGCCATATGCTACGCTATGCCACACGAGGGCTTCCAACTTCTAAGCGTCTTCTTTTTGTCCCAGCCTAGCTTCCCGAGATATCCGCCATAACTCGGCCGCCGCCCTTCCCGAGATGTCTTTGTCTGACAGATCTCTGGGAACCCAGAGTCGAGATATCTTTCGATAGCGGCGGGAGGGAGACCAGCTGCGCAAACCCGAGAGGAACCCGAGGAAACCCGCCTTGATGAACAAACAATATCTGCCAACGATTACCACTTTTAGGTATCATCTGAATACTGGATTATTGCCACATCCGCGATCCGGCATCTGGTGATCGTTCTGTCAATAGTGGCAATAGTGGTGAGTGAGTAGTGTTTGTCATGTTAGGGCAAAAAGTACCCAAGAGGTAAGTGAAGCTCGTCGTTGCAGCGGTGGCTGGTGGGGGAAGCTTAAGCGACGCCGCGGGAGAGCATTTGAGCACGTTTTTTTTGTTGCGCTTGTCTACTATAAGTTAGCTGAGGGGGACCCCTGGGCGATCACTTGATAAGAGCGGCCGACGAGGGCATTGTAGATTATCGCGAGAGATGCTTGAACCGTAGCATGCACGGCGTAGCACATGGGACATCTGATCCCATATGGTCCATATGACATGTACGGCTCACATTTCTCGGTACCAAATACGTCAGCTGCTGTTTGTTATGTGTAGAGGTCGTTGCATTGCTTTTGTACCTCGATTACACCATTACACGACACTACGATAACATCTCACATTGGATTCGCATTCGGGTGCTGACATCCCCGACTTGTAATTCGACAGTTCATTTCCATGCGTAACTTGACGTAACGTAAGACGGTGCTGACATGAAGAAATTGAAGCATGTCAAGTGTCTATATTTTGGGGTGGTTCAATCGCTCAATCGAATCTCTAAAGGGACAATCCCCTTATTACCATTCCCATTATGACGCCAATTCCTCCCGTCCAGCAAATGCCCCCCAATGTAGATTCCCTAAACGCCAGCCATCCATTACCCAACCCAAGTATGTGTTCTAATGCTCAGCCTGAACAGCATATCTCCCAATGGCGAGACTCCCAAGGAATGTCCCGCCCAGAATGGATAGGAAATACCCAACATTCATAGTCATAACTGCCAACATGCTACAAGGCAATAATATATTAGTAAAAGCGCAAAAACAACTGAGAGCGTAGAACGAATGAATGGGGGGCGTACAGAAGGTATCCGACACCAGCAATCACAGTGTCCATAACAGCGCGAACAGGATCGGTCGAGATCCTCCACGGACGGGTAACGGCGCCCTTCTTCTTCACCACCACCACATCCTCCTCGACTCCATTCTCCGTCAAAATCATGCGCTTGCTATCGGCATCCGACGATATGCTCTCGGATTTGGGCGCTCTTCCCGCGACGGCGACGTATCGGCGATTGAACTCGGCATCCAACCATGCTGTTTCCTTCCACGCTTTAACAGCCAGCAGGCCGCGGAAAACCACAGATAAGATGATGAGGAAAATGCAGGTTCCTGCGTATTGACCTATGGTTTTGGGAGCCCACGCCTCGGCGAAGAGGGGTGTCGAGGTGCTGGAGAAGAGAGTCATGGACATCTCTGATGCCGCCATGAGAGACGAGGAGCCCATATCGGCGGTTGTTGAGGTGCCGTGGTCGTGGGACATAGTATTATTGTAAGTAGGTAAGTAATCAAGAGCTCGGCTCTACTCTCTCAGATATGAACTGTGGTTTTTCTGAGACTAGTAACGCGAGTTGGAATGTATCTGAGATTGAGGTTGATCTGGGGTGGAATGGAATGCACGGTGTCGAGAATCTTTCACATTCATGAGCAGTGACTCCAGCTCAAGTAATAATAGCGCGCTTCGTCCGCAAAAATGAGGTTTGAGGTTGAGAGAGTATGAGCGAGAAAGAAGACCAAACCACCAGGACCCGCAACAACCGACGTCGAGAAGGCATGGATTCACTTGATTGAGACCCTCCCTCGTAGGCAAATAATAATAAAACCCCGCCGAACAAGGGCCGTAGGGCGCAGGGCGGGTGCTGAGGTGAGGCAAGGGGGCAGCCAAGATCATGGTGGGGGTCTGGCTACCCTTACCTTACTACCTTAGCACGTATTGCCATAATAATGCTAAAGTTTGGCGTCAACGATGCGGCGGAAACCTTCTCAAATCCGCTCAGACCCTTTGCCCGCTTGTAAAGATAAAGGACGAAGCGGCCGCTGCCTTTGCCTTTGCCGAGGTAGAAGTCACGTGTTGGGACCTTGATCCTATCTGATAATAAATACAGTAGCGAGACGAAATTCAAGATAAGAGTACTGGGTAAACTCCTTGTTATCTTTTGGATACTGCCGATTCTGTAGATCATACCAGGGACGAGTATTCTACAATGCACAGCTCTTTTGCCTTTTCGCCTCTGCAGGTCCGGTGACAGGGTGCTGGTGCTGTTAATATAATTTAATATATGTCTGCTTGCTTATCTACTAGAGTACCCGTGTCAAAACCCCGTTAAAGCAGCTCCGAAGCACCGCCAACATCGATAGTTCTCAAGGGCACCCAGGATGCCTGCTACGCCGCCAACCAAAGTTCCAAGTTCCAACTTGACATGACCCAGGGATACGTATTTGACTCTCGGGAGATGCGCTGGTTTGCGCCTCTTTCTCGTTAGCTCCTTCCGGGCTATTACATGGCCGTGCTTGGCTTGGCTATGTGGTATTGTAGATCCCTACGCCTGTCGGTGACATCTCTGCTCATCTATCGTATCTACCTAGCTACAGTACTCAATCTACGCCTTCTTTTCTCTCCTTCCGTCATTCTCAAATCAGCTCTGACTGATACAATACTCTCTCTACCCTTTCCATCTACGAATATCCTCATATTTATCTTGTCTGTCCTCTGCTCGAACAAGATATCTCGGTTCTAAGCTCCTAACCCTGATGTTCTGCTGAGAGGCGCATCACCGGCGCCTCGCGTTCATGAAATCCGGAGTGCCGACTTGGTGATTCCCTCGCTCAAAGCAGCCTATCCTTCACAATGGCGTCGATAGCCCCAAGGCACGACCATAGCGGTATGGGGGGGAGTATGATAATGGCACCTGGAGTGCCCGATCTGTTTTATATGCAGCAGATATTCTGGGCCTTTGTCGGGACTGCGATTGGCGTCGCGACGATAGCGAATATTCTCAACAGGATCCTATGCCACCACCGAATTATATCCTCGAGGAACAAGGGCTCACCTACTCCAGCGAAGCCACGCTCGTTCTTCTTCCAGGCACATGCCACAACCTCAGCCGTGATCCGGGAGTTCAGCTACTATTCTACACCAATATCCTTCCGGAATATTCACATTTATCTTCCTCCTGTGGGCCCCACTCTAGTGATGGTGTTCTACGTCGTGTTGATAACGGTGTGTGTCTTTTACCGGCTCAATACGAAGGATCTCCTCGAGTTTGAAGACATTGGCTACAGATCTGGATTTATCGCCGTGGCACAATTACCGCTCATCGTTCTGCTTTCCGGAAAACGCAATATCATCGGTTTCCTAAGTGGCATGGGATACGAACGCCTAAGCTGGTTTCATCGGTGGACAGCGAGGTGTCTCCTTTTCACGGTTCTTATCCACATGGGGTACTGGCTCACCGTATGGGATAAATATGACTACATCCTGGTGAAGATCAAAGAGGACCCTCTCACGCAGAGGGGAATAGCAGCAGGGTCGGTCTTGGCCTGGCTGGTTATATCATCATTGGCGCCAATTCGAGGACTATCATACGAAATCTTTGTTATCCAGCATGTCATCTCCTGGATCGGTTTCGTGGTTGCCCTCTGGTTCCATATTCCTGACGAGAACAGGGTCTGGGTCTGGCTTCCCCTTGGCATTTGGGCATTTGATCGATTTGTTCGCGCTGTCTGTATGATATATGCGAACTTCTCGATATTCCACAAGAAATCCACTGGCTTCTTGGGCTGCAAGGCCACCTTCGAGCCCCTCGATGAATCACATACCCGGATCACCATTGCCAATCCACCGGTTACATGGAAGGCCGGTCAGCATATGTTCTTGACCTGTCACGTTGTTGCGCCACTCTCATCTCACCCTTTCACCATTGCAAGCATACCAGAGGACGAGAAACTAGAATTCATCGTGCGTGCAAAGAGGGGCGCGACTCGGAGGTTCTTCAAATATGCCGAGAAGGTCTATCCGAGCCTCCCATCCTCGACGAATCCGAAGGGGAGATCAGTTTTAATCGACGGACCTTATTCAACGATTCGACCTCTGAGGCAGTTTGATAGTCTGGTTTTCGTGGCCGGATCTACAGGAGCAGCCTTTACAGTCCCTCTGATGCGAGACGTTGTGCAGCAATGGATAGGAACAACCCCAGAAACCTCTCAGCGCTTGGGGCTTTCTCCACCGGCAGGAGCCGTGACTCGCCATATCCGATTTATCTGGGTGGTGAAGAGGAAATCATCCGTCGGTTGGTTCGGCCAACAACTGGATAAGGTTGTCCATGATGTGGAGACATTGAGAAACGAGGGCGTGGATGTCGCTGTCGAAATCAGCATCTATGTCACATGCGACGATCTGTTAACAAGTGGAAAGTCGTCCATCACGGGCGACAGGCGCGACTCATCTCGAGGCCAAATAGCCCAGAGGTCGGGCAGCGAGAGCCCTTCGGATGAGCAGAAGAAGGATTTCTCTACGAGTACCGAAGAAGTTACATCACAATCATCCGCCTCATCTAGCAAAGGGTGCTGCTGCACCCGCGTCATCACCGACGAGGACGCCATCACCAGCCCATGCAACTGCGCCAGCAGAAGAAAGCAAGAAGCATCCTCCAGCACGACAACCTCCGAGAAACCCAAAACCATCGTGGACCCACGAATCGCCCTACTAGCAGGCCGTCCGCACGTTCGCAACATCATCCGTAAGACTGCCGAGCTAGCCCTCGGAGAGGTGGCAGTTGTAGTTTGCGGACCGCCTGGGTTGGTGCAGTGCACGAGAAATGCGGCGGCGGCTATTAGTGACGATAGGGCTGTGCATAAGGGGACTGGAGCCCAGGGCATTTATGTACATGCTGAGACATTTGGGTATGCGTAGGCTTTTCATTACGCGGGGCGTCTGGAGTTGAGAGAGAGAGAGAGCATGGGTTTTGGCGTTGGGGGATTGTAATGAAAATAATATCACTGTAAAATCATCTACATATACCATGATAGCATGAGAGCATGAGACTGTTGATGTTGATATGCCGTTTTTCTTTTTCGAAGATTTTATATAGAATTGATGTATAGCATCACAGAAATATTAGATTTTCTCCCTTCAGCACTTCTAATAGCTAACCACACTATAAAGTTGGTCTCCCACGATTGTCTAAATTAAAAAGTATATATATCTGTCGCTAAGAGCTGCTTGATTATGAGAGATTATTCTGTGCAATTAGGTAAGTTTTATGCAATGTAGAAGTAAGATTCTTATTAGTTTCAGCACTACCGCTTTATAATGCCTTGAGAGTAATTGTTGATATATTTTAACTTAAGAATTGGTCATGAAGCTGCGGTTATTTTAAAGTTTGAAATTTGATTCCTGTAATCTAAGGAGCGTAAGGCCATATATATATATATATATAGGCTAGTTGGGAATTAGGTCATATAAAAGAAATAAATAAAAGCGCCGTTCCGTTTCCCGTAACCTTAGAATTGGATAATAAGCTAGGAGGCGGCGCAATTCTAAGGTACCAGCCATACTAATTACTAATTAAAACCCATAGTAAGAAAATACCCGATATGAAAAACCACTGTAACGACCGGTTGTTTTGGCCAAGGCCTGTGTTACTACACGCGCCTCAACTATCGAGGGCTGACGGTAAAGAAATAGGCCAAACTCGCAACTTTTTAATGAGGGCAATCTTGCACACGACCTATAGGAAGAGGCTGAGATAGCCGAAAGGATAGGGGGTGTTTGATGATAACTCAAACAACGTAGATAATAGCGTCGTATAACCTAATCATCAAGACTAGCAAAAGTCGATACCATCCATACATCAAACCATTACCCCTCATAGGTTAACCGCCTCCTGAAGCTATAGCGACGGACTGAGAGCTGTATGCGTGACTCGGCCGGAAGTTCCATGGCCTGCTCGACCTCCTGAGGTGATTAGAGTGCTTCCTGGTACTCGTTCTAATAAATTCAAAGCTCTGGGGCCTGGTCCAGATGCCCAAACTATCCGCACCCTTCGCCTGCCACTTCTCCAGGGGCGCCGGCGCGGACTTTCTCCAGGCATCCTCGGAGCCGAAGACGTGAGCGATCTGGTGGTACAAGTCAACATACATCTGCGGCTCCTTGTCCCAGCCGCCGAGTCTTTGGTACGCTCGCTTCAGGAGTTCTAGGTGCTGGACCGCGATCTTGGATGCTTCTGCTAGAGGCAGCTCGCTGCCCTTGTCGGACACGGTGTCGCGAAGCACTTCCTCGTGAACCAACATGGCTTTACGGTAGTTGCCAGCTGCAGTGTGGAAGGATGATAGCAGGATGTGCATCTCGAGCGTTGTGGCGTCGAGGGCGCCCCATACGCGCCGTAGGTTGTAGCAAATGTCTTCACAGAGGGCGATTGCTTGGTCTTGGTGCCCATGGCTGAATTGCGTCTCCACAAGGCGACGGCCGATGCCCACCACGGTAGACGTTGACCAAGTTGGTTGTGAGTCGCGTGATTGCCAGAGCGCAGTGAGGATCCACTATTGGAGTTATTAGCATGTTTTTTGGGCATGGTCAGCTTGGAGAGCACTTACCTCTAGGTCATCCATGTTTTGATAATCGCCGAGTAAGCCGCAGACGTTGTTAAGCAGGTCGATAGGAACATCGCTGATGTTGATCTGACTCGAACGGACCGTCTTCATGATCTGGTTCGTGATACTTTGCGACAGCTCGAGCATCATTGTGCGGATCTTCGTATCTTGGCACTTTACCTTGCCACGGCCGGCAAGAGCAAGTGCCACTTGGAGACCCAAATCAATCTTTTCGAGGCTGTTATACCCGCCTTGGAACTGCTGGAAGCGATCGAGCAAGAAGCTTAGATCGTGTGCCTCCTGGAACCTACCCTTGTCTAGGTATGCACTGACGGCCTCACTGCTGATCTTCAAAATAGAAACGTCGGGCTCCTGTCTATGGATTTCGACGAGGACCAGCTGTAAGAACTCTGCGAGAATGGCATTGTTAATTGTCTTTGGGGCGTTTAAACCGGCGGAGAAGTATCTGAGGAGATCGGTTTCAACTCTAGCAGTGCCCGAGACATCATTGACACTTCTGGTAAACTGCAAGAGACGCGACCCAGAGCTCAGTGTCGCCAGGAAAGGTGCTTTCTGCGCGATTGACCGATTATATTCTTCATAGATGTAGAGCTCACTAATCAAGTCGGCCATAGCAGAAGAGACGGGTTCTTTCCGGCCTGCTAAGGTTACGCCGAATGTGACGATGAAGACCCACGTTGAAGGATCCATCCTTTCGCCTTCTGCGAGCCCAAGATTCTGATTTACATTGGAAACCCCAAAGACAGCCTGGCTGCGGAGTTGTCCCAGAAGTTGTTCGGCATCGGGCTTGAGGCCTGCCTTCAAGTAGATCTCAGCAATCTTAGAGCCCGAGTCGGCCAGTCGCTGAGAACTCTTCTCGTTTCTGAGAATATAAAAAATGGAGGATTCAAGGGTATGAATAGCGTTCAATGACGACTCCTTGCTGCCTTGCCTAGCTTGAGCAATAGAAAGAAGGCTCAGCCACTTCAATGCACCGCGATGGGCATAACCATCCCTGGACTGTTCAGACTGCAATTTCTGCGAGTACACAGTGAGTGCTCGTGGGGAGGTTGAGAGTTTGGAGATCGAGTACAGGTGTGGAATCCTCTTCCGGCCTGCCACGATTGCCGCCATGGTTGGCTCGGATATCTCCCCCTCTGGGAGTTCTCTGGACCTCTGGTCGGCTTCTTCATACAGATTGATAGCCTCTTCACGGTGTTGGTCAGACTCCTCTTTGATCCCGGCGAGTTGCAATGTTGCCTTGAGTGTAATTTCGCTCGAGGTGCCATAGAACCTAACACAAGCCTTGCGGTAATCAACAGCAAGCTGGTGAAGCGTCGCATAGTCCATCTTAGCGTCCTGCTTAAGGATCCGGACATACTTCTGATAAAGATTCTCAGCGAATGCTGGTTGCAGCTCATAGTCCTTTCCATGCTTGATGAATGTATGCCAAATTGATGAGTACACCTTGTGGGCGGACGAGTACTGTCGTAGTTGCTCATAGATGGTACACAGAGCCAGGCAAGCCTTGATTGCATCTCTGTGAATTAGGCCGGATCCTTCAGTCAGGTTGGTATAGATCTCACGGTACGCGAACTCAGCGTCCTTGGTGTCGTTTAACTGCATGGACATATCACCCAAAGTATAAAGCGTGCTAATGGCCAAGGGGTTTGTCTTGCCATGACGTCTCTGGATCTCTTCGGACAAATCTCTATAAATGACTATCGTCTTCTCGAGCATACCGTGTGTATGATAGAAATCAATCAGGGTTGTCGATGAGGAGTCTAGAAGCTCGTCTGGAGAATTAAGGGTGGCAATGACAGCGTAAAAGGCCCTCAGATAAATAGACTCGGCAGCTTCAATTTGGTGAAGCTTGACGTGAGAGAATGACAAACAGTTGATTATCTCAATCGTCTCTGAGTAGTATGTTGATGGCAACGGAGCCTTGATCTCCTTGGTGTTGAATGCTGGCCATAACTTACCCAGAGTGATGGTACCGACTCTGATAACCTCTTTCCAGTTCTCCTGCTGATAATAAATATCAACCAAGGTCACAGCATTCTTCACAGTTGTCGTATTGATTGTCTCGGTGTTTCCTGTTGCGAGTGTGGTCTCGAAGATCTCCACCCGAGTCATAACTTCATAAGAAGTTTCAGTCGTCGTTTCCCGAGTTACTTGGTTGAGTGCATTGGAGACGGAGGTTGCTTCGGCGCTTGATTGCATTCCCATCTTTACATAGTAAGCCCAAAGCCTGGCGTATACCGAGCGTGCCGTATCAACTGCTCCAACGCTCAGTAGTTGATCACCAATAACCTTTAAGCGAGTAATTGTTGTTGTTGACTCGTCCTCTTGCTCGAGATCGATCCAGAGAGTGCGAAGAATATTCTCTGCCTCCCTGGTGCGCTTCTGGTGCTTGAGTAACTCTACATAGCTAATTGCAACATCAATTTTGCTCTCTTGGACCTTTGTGTCCCTGGTGGTGGCTCTAGTTAGGCTTTGCCATAAGGTCACCAAGGTCTCCTCCAATCTGCGAGTGTCCTTTCGCTTTTCGTATAATTCGATCATGGCCCAGGTCAAAGAGATGCGCTTGGGATCCGTCGAGGGCAAGGTGTAGAGAGCCTCATCGTAGTCCTTTTTTGTGATGTTATAGATCTCATCAGTCCTGTTGGACTTTTGAACCGTCGAGGTCAAATTCTGGTAGGAACGGCGAGTCTCTGGTGCATTGCGACCGTAGATCCGAACGTTGAGTTCATAGATCTCTTTATAGTACGCAGTGGCCTTATCAGTCTCGCCAGTCTCACTGTAGATGGTAGCAAGCTGCTCCAAGTAGCCAACGGTTTCGCGTTCATGAACTCCCGTTTCTCGCTGAATTGTAATAATATATTGCAACATCTCAATTCGACAAGTGGTGATCTCCGTATTCTTTGTTGCCGTGATGGAGGAGGCCATCTCAGTGTATGTATGAGCACAAGTCATCGCAACGGTTGTCAGCTTGAGGGTTATCGCTAGCTTCCAGGCATCGTAGTAATACCCGTTAATCTCAGTTGGCTTGAGTGTCACCTGCGATGTGCGGGCAAGGTTGAGAAGAGTCTGGAGAACCGGCTCAGAAGACTCGGCAAGAATTGAGCGGCGAACAGACAGGGTGTGGAGACAGTGATTGAGTGCATCGGTGATTGGGAATTGGAACTGATAGCATGAACCTTCAATCATGGCCAGCAGAGTAGAGTGGGGGAAGCACGTCTTGAAATTGGCCGGAATTTTGTGCTTGGTGGTCGGTTTGTGCATTGGAGAGGCCGCAAAGTGCGACGACCAGTACCGCGCAGAATATTGCAGGAGTTCGTATGAATTGAAGAGCTCGTCAAGTTTGTAATGGCTCAGCGGTTCTAGTGTTGGCTGCATATCGCGTGTTAAGTCTGGAGACGGTCAGTTATAGAAAACAAGGCAAGAGGCAGACACATACTAATCTTGACGTAGGCCATGCTTCGAATTGTCAAGTCGTAGTGAGCCTCCTCGATGCTGAAAGGAAATGGGCCCGTGTTCTTATAATCTGTGACTGCTTTTGCTCGATCGAGAAGGTTTTGCTTGATGGTATTGTGGCGAAACCGTACGAACCCATCTCGAATATCAATGAACGGGCCAAGGGCATTAACAACCTCATCCTCGGTTCTGGTCGAACGAGGCGTATGGGTGCAAGTTGAAGTGTCAAGTTCCATCAATTGGCGAACTTCTTCGACGAGAAGTGGCCTTTCAGCGGCAAGAAGCCATGCCAAGATTGACTTTGTCTCACGATGCTTGAAATCAAGTGTCCCCAAGGTCAGGTCGATGAGCTTGGGCAACGTCTTCGGTAAAGTTCTGGCAGTTTTGAGGGTCGATTCTGGCGTTTTCTCTGCTTTGAGAATTTCAAGAGCCTGTAGTAGCCATCCGAAGGAGCCAGCTGCCCCCTTCACGAGAGTTGAGATGAGGCTTGTACGATCCTCCTTAACCAGCGCCTCAAAATTCGGGGTAGTGGGCAAAGAGTATTCTGCGACGTAGTGCATATCCTGGGAGGTATGTTCTGGTTCAATAGAAAAGAGACCGTAGCTCTTGGAGATGGATGAAGAAAATGGTCGAGAGAAGACAACACATTTCGTCATGCTATGTTTTGAAACGACAGAGTTAAGCTGCTGCAGCAATTTCAAGCTAGCAGTTTCACCACCACTCAGATCATCAATACCATCAACGATGATGGCCTGATTCCGATCACTGCGCAGGCCGCCTTCTAGGGCTTTCCACAATGCACTTTCAACCTGGGAAGTAGAACTGCCTGTAACGGAAAGTTTGTAGGCCAAAGATAGCGACTTATAAAGCGCATTATCCCCTACACTCAATTGCAGCATTTGTAGAAGAAGACCTTTTACAACATTCAGTGATGTGTTCTCGGTCTTCAAATCGGGATCTATTCAGCATTAGTATCTGTTCCTGAATTTCAACCTCTCATTTGACCCACCAATTGTGTACATCATCACCTCTGATGCTCGCCGGCCGTGAAAGGATTGAAGTCGCTCAACGACCCATTCAGATAGGACCGTCTTTCCCGAGGCTGGCTTTCCCGTGACAAGCAGGGTCGCTTTATCGCCTTGGGTAAAGTCTGTTAAATGTCGGGAGAACCATTCACAGGTGTAGTCTGCGCGCGGCCTTCGGATGAATCGAGTCACGGCGAGCCGCCGAGTAACCGTATCATGGGGCATTAAGAAGTCTCGAACGAGATCAACAGAAATGTCTAATATTTATTAGCACCTTCTACACCTGTATACTTCAGGCAGTACAATACTCACCACCGGGCTTCGCTAAGCTCTGCAGGCGTGTCGCCCATATAGTATCAGTAAAGCGATCACCATGAGAGAAGAAAGAGGCAATCGTCTGGCTGAAACGCTCATCGAAGCCACGTGCACTAAAGCGAGTATCTACCGTACCATATTAGTACCGCCGGCTAAGGAGTCTGATTTGGGAATACCAACATAGTTGCTTTTGGGTGTAGTCAATAGTTACGCCCGTTACCAACTTTAGTAGATCAGCAAAGGATGCAGCCGTAATAAGCTGAAGTTTTTCTGAAGAGCGTAAGGGCTCATGATGGCGAAGGAAAAAGCCGAGTGTAAGGCCACAGCTGTAGAAGACTCCAAATGACTTTTCTAGCATGGAAATGTGTTTTGGTCCCAGCTTTGAAAAATAATCAGCGAATGTAGGAGGTAAATAGTTAGATTTAATACCTTAATTAGAGACAATGAGCTGGCCCAAATCATACGTGCCGCTTGATTTGCGTGGTCTGCAAATTGGGACACCATTTCGGAGTAAATCTGAACTTGCGTCGCGAAGAATTCTGCCCATTTCAGGACTTTGTCCCATCGAGAACTGTGATGGGGCATCTGGTGAAGTCGTATCCCTGCAATAACATCAAAGAATGTTTCCACAGATTGGCAGCTGCTGAGGAACTGCTCAGAGGAAGATCCAAGCTCTGTGCGAAACATTGCAGCTGATTGTTGGGTGGCATCTTGGAGTGTTGTAAATTTGTGGGTGCTCATGACTTTGCCCGTGGAGTCTGCTTTTTGATTGATCCGGCCGGTCTCTTCGATCTTGCTGGTCTTAGAGGCTGACCCTAGATAATTCTCTTGAGCTACCGAAGCGCTCATCTTGGATTCTGTTGTTGTCACAAGGCGTGGTTGGTTGATGGGCAATTCTAGTATTGATGTTGATGTACTATGCGGTTGGTGGGTGGATGATGATGATGATGGTGCGTCGGCTTCCTCTTGTGAGTCGGCCGTTGGATCTTGGTCATTAACTAATGTTAGACAGCTAAAGAGGACGAAAGGTAGAGCTTTCAATTACATCTTAGTCCACGAAATCCTAGGATGCCATTCAACGAGCTTTGCATTTAGGAGACTAAAAAGAAATGACGTGGCAAGTATATGAGAAAGCTGTGAAATACAGAAACCTGTAAAAGCTTCTCCTCTCGAGAGGCATTCCTTCTTGCCTTCGGTTTTATGTTACTCCTCGAGTTCTCATGATGTAACCTTTTGTTCAAGCCTGTCAGTGGTAAGCAATCTGCCCGATTCCCCACTGGACGTTAGCAGTCCGGCATTTATGGATTAGGAACATATTCCAATCGGTACTTCTACGCAATAATGTTTACTACACGCTTTCGTACTTTGTTGCGTTGTTTCGGCGTGTCCTGGAGTACCTACCTAGGTATGTAGCGTTTGATGTTCGACGTTTGCGGCGGCTGCCGATCGTGGATACGGTATTTCTGTGACGTCAAATCAGCCCAATTCGCTACGACGCCACAAGGATGCACCTATATTGAAGTACCACCAGCGCGAGAACTTCTGCTACTTTGTATATAAAGTGAGAGAGGAAACTCTACCGTGGGGAAATCTCTACTCCTTTGCGGAGTAGCCTCCCTTAAGGTTCGTGGACGGCCCGTGGCAAGAGGTACTTGTTCACACCGCCCAGTTTTAGCATTCCCACTACCCGCATTCGGCATCTAAAGCTTTCCAGACGAGAAGTGATATTCCTTCATGTTAGCTACATCTCTGTTGGAACGGGCCCCGGATCCCGGATCGTGTGCAACGCCGAAAACGCCATTTACGACTGCATTCCATGCGTCTAGTGCAGAGCCGTCAGGTGCTTTCGATGAGCTCGGATTTCATAATGCCGTATCGGGCATCGAATAAAGTAGTCAACCATGCGTTTCTGCTTTTACTTCTAGCCGTGCCCCGAATTCGAGAATGATCAGAGACATATGATGCAACTAGACCATTGACTGACTTCACGACTCAAAAGCATGAGCGATCCTAGAGGGTCGTGGGTTGGAGATCGTAGGCTTTGAAATGTTGAGTGTATTCAAGGGATAAACTTGAAAGCATATGAATGCAGAGACGATTTAACAGCTCCGTAGTTGTATAACCCACAGCATATGGAATGAGAGCACCGTGACTCTGATCTAAGTGAGATCTTGCTAGTTTCTCTTGCACGCAAATCGGGAACCTGGTCCTGCACCACACGTGGCTTCCTGAGGAATAATATCACGGTAGGCAGCTCTCGCCACAGCACAGCCCGGTGATCAAATCGGGATATAATAATGGTATACCACGACCTAAGTGAAATGCCGGGCGTGGCGTGGATACCGGTAGGTATGTAACGTAGTGTGCCTACTGTAAATCGAGTTGCGCGAACGGTTGAATCCAATGATTCTGATCCTGGCCCATCTTTGGGAGATCTTTTGAGGGTAAGCTTCTCTTTGGACAGATCGATCTTTCTGTTGGGCAGAATATTTACCTGAGTTCGCAAATTCTCAAAACCCAAGATCTTTCTGATTCATAGGTTTCATTTGGGGGGAATATTCTTGAAGAAGAATTAGGTATCACAGGTGGAAATGCTAAACACTACGTAGGTCAAACACTAATCTCATCTCTCGCCGGCTCCGTTTTAGTCTCTGGGCGTGAGCAGCGCCCGCTTTAGCCTGAGCCGAGGATAAGCAAAGCCGGGGTAGAGCCTGAGCATCTGAGCATCTCCGATACGGCCCCATTTTGGTGTCCAACACTTTCGTAGCAGAGTGCTAGGCACCCATTCCGTCCCCTAACAAGGGTTTCCGGCTAGATCCGTGCCTCCTAACTTTATTAAAGCGTAGTATTAATCTGTTATCTACTGCGTACTTATTTAATTTATCTTTACTATAAGAAGGTATACTTCAATATGTACTTTGTACGATAGTACTCTTTAATAACTGTTAATAGATAATTTCATATAATTTGCGGAGTCTAAGACTCTAAAAGAATAGTATAGATCAAATCAGAGCAGTTTCAAGTTACAGGGATGTTGTTCAATTATTTAGTGAAGCTAATTAAGTCTAAAGTAATTTAAAATTATATTAACTTCTACGAACACTGGCTACTCTTATTCGATGTAATAGCGACATTGGAATTGCCAAGTAAAGAGAAACTAGTCTAATATAATCCCCGTTTGCTATTACATTTGATTGACGGTCTTGAGTCTCGACTTTCTGTCAAGTGATTTGAAATGTTAAGTTGGGTCAAGTCTTAAATGTAAGGTCGCATATAGCAGTTAATAATCGCCCAATACCGCACTTTCTGTTTCCCAACTATATCTATATATTCAAACAATCCGCCTCTAAAATAATTTGCACTATATGCGCCGTCTCGGGAGAAATACCCAGTTTGACTGGAGACATTCAGACAACTATAGCACAACATCAACAAACACACCACATCACCGTGTACAGTCCCGCCTCAGTGACCGCTGACTACGCCCGGGATACCGAATTTGGTTCATTACTCGTTGCAGGTTGGTCTACGTCCGGTCCGGCGATTAGGCTGTTTCCCGTTCGTGCATAAAATTATCCGGATAACGAGTTTGCGCAGCGGTTCTATTCATTTATTTATACACGTCGCCAGGAACTTCTACTGTTCGGGTAGATCAGTAACAATGTCCAGGAGTATCTGGGAAGCGCACATTTCTGACAGCCATCACAGAGGCGACGTTTTTTGGGCCCCTGTACGGTCTGACCGTTGCCAGTAGGATCGCGGCACATAATCATCACAATGATTTATTTCAAGTATGCCTGGACTCTGGAAGCCGGACTCGATTGAATTTATAGTCTTACAACTATCCAACTAAGCGGTTCGAACGACTCATTTGTTCTCAGTTAACGACAGTTATCAACCAACGTTATTCTCCCTTGCCCAGTCAACCCATTGCGTTTCAAATACCCTCCCTCCTCCGGCACTATTTAGCTCTCATTTCTTGCAATGCTCCCAATCGTAACTCACACCTTGCTGAACTCCATACTCCCTTGTACCACCGGATTGCGCATCTGTTATGTCTGAATTAACAGTTCCTTTTCCTTCGGATGTTTTTGATGTAATAGTCAGCTCAGTTTTATAGCGGATTGTTCCTCCACCACAACTTGGCAAATTCCATTTTGGATAGGGTTTTGGAGAGTTTTCCGTAAACCAGCTCAAGGTAGAGCTGTTGCGGTTATTTAATGGCCCGTGAATGACAATTTCGTCCACAACCTAAATGCATATTAGCAATTCACGTTAGATCTATAAACAGCCTTGAAATTGATTTCTTCGAGATTAGGTGACTGTAAGGACGGAGGAAAATGAGAAGCCAATAAATTTCGTACCTCGTCAGCATCTTCCGGATAGTACGTGAATTTCCACTCCGCCGTAACTCCTTTATCCAGCTGATAATTTGCCATTATCGAGGTTCCATTCTTATGAGCTCTTAAGCGATAATTCGCTGTCGGCTCTTGATTGTAGGTATTATCATTCTCTGTGTATTTCAGCTCGGTATGGCACCAAGTGTAAGTCTCCGACTCATCAACTCCAGGTCCGATCTTGGCTTTGATACCTGGATAGGCAAAGTACCAGAGGTAGATTTCTGACCCATCCATAGTATTCTGTCCATACGTGGGCCTGGTTGCATAGCTCGCGTTCGAACCGAAGTCTGGACAGCCCGGTCCGTGGAATTTGAGCATCTCCCATTGCCACCTGTAGGGGAGGATGCGTACCGGATCCGCCTCGTGGGTTTGCTCGAGTGGAGTAGTGGCTGGGATAGCAGCCGCCGCGCTAAAAAGGCAAAAGACGGTTGCAAAGAGGCCTTTCATGGTCGCGCTGAATATTGAAGAAGCTATTCGTTAATGGCAAACTGTTCTTGATAATAGCGATTCACGAATAGCCCTTTATATATTCGAGAATTGAGTGAGTCTCGGCCCCCAATGTAACAGTGACCATAATCAGATATTTCACAGCTTTCACTAACATCCAAACTCTGCAATGGCAATATAAGTGATACTACCCCGCAAAGTAAAAGCTTACTGGAAGTTGTAGCTGCAAATTGAGAGAGTTATCGGTTGCTAATCAGCCGACTTGTGAACATAAGCTGCATAGCCGTCGTTTTTAAGATGTGGTTGTGGCACTACGGGAAAATTTGATGAATTGGAAAAGACATGGGTGTATACCTACTGACTGCGCAGCGATGCGCTCTTTACTTCGTAGACTATGCCGAGCATATGTTGCGCCCTAATATATAAGGCGTGTGGCAAGTAATATTATTGGATGATTCGTCTCCGTGCGACTTAATGTCGTCCTTAACATAAAAGGTAGGTCCGATGGTCACTTACTGTGCTTTTATTAACAGGTTATGTCTGAGCTTCAGACAGTATACTTAGATTAGGCTCATAAACCTGCAGCCCGTATTTGGCTGCAGGCAGTCCAGTTACTCTGTCTCGATAGTAGTTTGCAGAAATGACATAGTTGTTTGATACACTGAGATGAGGAATACCCCTGACTAAGGGTTAACCTCACATTCAAAACGCAGTTATAAACGAAAACTTGTAAAGTTGTCATACACGGCTTTTGTTTTTCGCTAGTTCTGTTCCAGTCGCTAGACGTGAGGAGCTGCAGCTTTTACCTGAGCCGATGATCTCACCGTGAGCTTACTGGTAGCTAACCGGTAGCTCAATGGTGCCTAAACAATATAAGCATAGCCTAAGCGGCCCTAAGCCATGGCCTGAGAACCGTAAGTCAGCTAGAGAGTATCCTCTTCTTGCCCCCTCCGAGAATCGGTTATAGTTCCTATGTTGTCCAAATATAACTTTTTCTGATGCCTGTTGTCTGGAAGACAAAAAAGGGTTTCTACGGTATAGGGAGTTAAGACGTCATGGCAAGGCTAAAGAGGATAATCGAGATGGGTGAATGTTGAAGAGAGGGTTCTCCATTGAAATTGATAAGATTTGACGAATTAGCATTCGAGTTTCGTTGCCAGTTTACGGACTCCTTGCGCAGTTCTTCGTTTCATTGTCCTCGATACTCGGCGACAAGGACATATCCTACTCGCGCTGATAAGTTTTCCTAAGTCACGTCGTCATGCAGAACTCCTGTGTGCACGGTATACCTTGAAGCCACTATGATGAAATACTTGCATTATTCAAGCAGGATTATCTTCCCTTCTCGGTGCGTTTTGGCCCAGTCAGTAAGATATATCCAGCCAAGCTCCCGGCGGTATGCATACGGTCCTCACCAGCCAATCATTAATAAGTTAACGATGAGCAACATACCTAGAGAGTTACCATCCATGTCGAAATAGTTCTTCGTCTCCCGCTCTTCGCCCGAGTAAATTTGAATAGGCTTGCCCGATAACGAAATTCCAATAAATTCGTACAAAGTATCCTTGTCGTATTGAGGAGATATTACTTCTCTTTTAAGTCGAGTTACATCTCCACAAAGTTCGCCGACCAACTCTCCTCCCGAGTGTAATATTCCAAGGCCAAAATTCGACTGCCTCTCTGCGAGTCGAAGGAATGCTGTTTGGGCCCTTCCTAGTATGACCCCCGGTTTCATGTCTCTCAGAAATGTGTCTGTATTGGGAGGCAACGGAGGTGGCATTTGTCGATGTCAAACGGCCATCGGAATTGATTGTACCGCTCCCTTGCAGAACTCGTAGTAACGTTGCCAACGGATACTAAATTTCTCCCGTACGGTTGCAAAGCTGCTGGTTTTCAGTGACATAGGGAACGATACATTTGCTATGCATCCTTCGCTACAGGCAATGGCCATGTAAACCCGCCAATCATCGTCCATATTAGTTTCGATATGGATATTGGCGGCTTCCAGCAGATCAGGGGGAGAAGAAGAGCCATCGTTTTTATACCAGGGACTAACGTCCCATACAATCTCGTTGCTTGGTATTGCACTTGATCCAAAAGACCCATGACTGAAGACCACGACCAAGTAGGCGAAATTATCCCCGGATTTTCCAGACGAGATACAGTATTATGACCGATGTTAGGGTACTATCGCAGCGCCCGGTCAACGTCCACTTGAGGAAGACTATAAAGAAATGTGCCTTCATATAACGACTTGGAGATGCCACTGAAAGCATTGTAGGCATCCGATTGATATGTGAGCATCCGGGAAGTGTAATTCCTAAGATGTCGTACAAAGGCATCGAAACGTGAACCATCGTCAGGGGTAATAAGCCCATGGGAGGCGAACTCGTTGCGGACCTTGTCAGCATTGTATTGGTCCTCATGCCAGACCGACTGCCCACATTCGAAGAAGGCTTGCACATTTGTGAAATATACCCGCCTTCTTGCGAGAATGGATTCCTGATAAGTCCATCCACGAGTATGCCATAAAGCGAGAGGGTCGCCTTCAACTTCTCGAATGATGTTTGTAACTCGAAGACCGAAGATTTCTTCATGGTGTTGGACTACATGCCGCCGATAGCTAATGCCGGGGACTCCAAAGTCCATGCTATCACCATAGGCAGCTATTAGTACAATCTGTGCTGATGAGTAAATATCGTTCATTGCGCCAATTTGGTTTTTTTTGTCTTCCCCATCGTCTTGTATGATACAGAGACGATCTGCCTACAGATAACTCTCACCCAATTGCACGCAGACGTTCATGGTGTCCTCTATGGTGCGGGGCATATCCGATGCAGCATCCCGTCAATGGTGGCACGAGTGGCTGTAAGCAGAGATGACCGAGTATCTAAGCCCCATACGTAGCTTAGGGCAACAAAACGAGAGTCCTTAATTTCGACAAGCCGCCGCCGGATAACATCGATGACTCGGAATCCTTTAGGTAGCCTCCTTTTGACTTCTTGCCGACACCCAGTGTGCTTTTCATAACATTCAGCTATCTTGGGTTTCAAGTGTGTCCACGAAACCGTTTCTCCAACACAGGGTAAAGTGGTAGCTTCACCTTGTTAGCAAAGCGGCGAGATAATTAGATGACAAGCCATACCGTCATTTACGTCACTTACGTGAAGATCCCCTATCCAGGTGTATGACGTGGAATCTCCATCCTTATAGCATGCGTAGATCTCTGCCGAGAGGATACTAGATATCCCTTATTCTTTTTCTTGGGATACTCTTGTGTCAAGGACGACAGTGGACTGTGTTCTTTCTGAATACGAAAGGTGTGCTAAGTTGAATGCACTCAAGATCATATGATTTACTATGCGGCAAAGTGGGCATTGTGTTGCCACGATATCTTCCACAATTAGGCTCTTCCGTAGAGCGAACAGGAATCTGCTACGAGTTTTAGCCTCCACACAAGTTACCAAATGCCTAAACCGTAAGTGTTGGCAGGAAGAATACATGGATTCAGCTTGAGAATTTGAGACAGACGCGTCGAACATGGTTTGTGGAGCTCCTCGCGTTCATCCGCTGTCGGTTCGTCGTCATCATAGACCAACGAGGGAGGGCAGTAGGCACAGCTGTCGTCCATCATAAGTAACTCATGACTTTGCCTTGCAAAGGCAGTCCTCGGCCTTCAGGTGGCCTTGACCGCTGAAATGCTAGGACGGTAGATGTATATTTCAATAGTTTCAGGACAAACGATCTTTCAGAACTAGCCTCGCTTACCACTTACGCTATACCCCTTTCGTAACAAAACAACCCAACCTCGCCAAAGCTAGCTTCTAATAAACTAAATAAGAGCTAACGATAAATCTTAGTATATAATAGTTTTAGAAATGTTATTTCTAAAAAGATATATAGTATTATGTAATATATGTCTGAAACTTTGTCCATTTCATCCACTTAACAACTTACCCACCGCTTCTTCCAATGTTTCTTTTAAATTCTAATGCTCTAATGGATTCCGAAGGCTTCATGTGAGCCGCAGGCTAGCACCCATGTGAGCCGAGAAGCTCAGAGAGAAGGTTCTTCGACAAGAAGAGAGGGCGGGCGCTTCGGCCAAACCTTCGTCCTAAAAATTAGTAATCCCTAACCTTTGACTAGCGTCCTTTTTGGTCTAGTCTTGGCGTTGCCACAAATTGTATACAGTCCTCTCCCTACGTTTTCGCCGTTGTTCCTTCCGGTTTCCTCACGTGTTATACTTATCAGCTTCAATATTTCCTTTTTGTATGGTGTGTTTCCTTCCGTTTTCCTCCCGTGTTATGCAAATCGGCTCGAATATTTCTTTTTTGTATAGAGTGTTTCGGCCTCGTGGCAGGTTTGTCTCGACCCATCTATTATTATCTAGTTTACTATTATGTATCTCATATTTTATATTATTGTTCTTTTATTATCAGAGACTCTCTTATTATTATATTGACAATATGCTTTTACTCTGCCTTTTTATATTCTTATTGTAGCTACTGTTTGTATAAAGGTTTTAGTAATGTCCCCCTTTATCTCACCTACTCCTTCTAACCTGCAGGTTGAACCGATTCTAGGTACTAAGGGGCAAGGTAGGGACGAGTTGACTATAAGGATTGAACAGCAGCGCGCGAAAATTCGAGCCCTTGAAATTGCGGCCGAGGAGTGGAATCAGCGCGTAGAGGAGCGTCGCTTGGCGATGATTAGAGAGAGAGGGAGGCTCGGGAGGCTCGGGATCAAGCTCGCGGTGAGGCCGCTGCTAGAGCGAGTGAGCAGATGCAGTTGCTTGCTCGTCAGCAGGATGACCAGCGCCGTAGAGAGAGGGAGGCCCGGGATCGAGCTTGTTTACTGGCACATGAGCGCCATGAAGCTGCTGCTAAAGCAAAGAAGGTTCAAGAGGCTGAGGAACGTAAGCTGGCAAAGCTCAGAAAGACGGATCAGAAGCAGGCCTTACGTGTCCAAAAGGAGCAGGAGCGCCGGTTAGACAAGCAAAGACGAGACAACGAGACTGCGCTAGATTTTTTGCGTAGAAAGGCTGCCGTGGAAGCTAGGAGAGCTTAGGATGCGGAGAACTATAGGTTACGAGAGGAGCAGAGGGTAGCGACACAGAGATCGCGGGAAGAGAAGCAACTACTGCGTGACCAGGAAGACGACCAGCGTCGGTTAGACCGACAGGCCCAGGATGAGGCGGGTATGCAGGCTATTTTGCGTCATGAGGCGAAGAGGGCTCGAGAGGCAGAGGATCGCGAACGGGAAAGCCTGACGGAGAGGGAACAGCTTGATAGGGGGCAGGGGCGCGCTATACAACAAAGATAAGCGAAGTTGGGAGGAGGGAGAGAGCCAGACTAGGCTGCTCACTAACCCTATGCCATCGGCTGTATTAGGCCGCCCGAGGCTTACGAGGGCCGACATTGATGAGAGAAGAGCTACAAGGGCTATACAGGACGAACAGCGTTACGAAGACAGGAGGAAGCGTGATGAGGCCAGCATCCGGGCTATTCAGCGCTTTAGAGCTACGCTTCAGGCTCAGGAGGCCTAGCAGAAATCACCTACAGAAGGACGTATCGTTGCCTTCGATGGTGTCCTCCCTTCTTTCCTAGATGAGGAATACCAGTATATGAAGCAAGCCTCGACCACTTTCCCAGAGAAGATCACCTCCGATATCCAGATGAGGTGTATGAGGGATTACCAGAAGGCGATCTCAAATGCCTCGAGACGTCTACCATGTGGACTCTGTAGGGGCCAGTTCCAGGAGGATGAGATAGTGAGCATCGGTCTCCGAGATGACAGCTTATAGTACTTCCCCCAGAGGACGAAGACGGCCCCTGACTATTGCGCCGTCAAAGGCGATATAGTCAGCTTGTGCACAGCCTGTAGCTCGGCGATTGCTAAAAGGGCTATCCTTCTACTTTCAGCTAGTAACTTTGTCAACTGTCTATTCTGTCAAGACTACCCAGAGGCTCTGAAGAATCTCAATACTGTCGAAGAAGCTTTTATAGCACGGACTCATGTTATTAGTATCTTCTTAAAACTCACTTCTGGCGCTAAAAAGGGTGATTAGTTATAAGGGAAGTCGCGGTCATTCTGTCGCTGTAAAGCAGGATCCGAGTAAGCTTCTGAAGATTTTACCTACTGCAAAGTTGCGAGATCATATAACGATTACTGTCAGCTAAGACCGCAGGACTTTGTCGTCGGAAGAGAACTTTGCACAATTTTACTCTGTCGATAAAGCAAAGGTCGTGAATACTTTGTTATAGTTGTATACTAATAATCCCGTCTACAAGTCAGTAGTCGTCGATTACTCTATTTTGGACTCTTGGCCTAATCACTACATTCCTCTGGAGATCAGAGACGCATTTATCACATTAGGTTCTAAGCTAAGCTCTACAGATATTCCGGTAGAAGACGAACGGGAAAGCTACGTTATATTGTTACAAGATGGCCTTTTTGAGAACGAGCTAGATACAGAGGTAGAGGACGCCGAACCTGGTAATGTTCTCAGCGGGTCCTTCTTCTCTGACCTTCAGGGTCAGTATCTCAACTCCACCCTAGCTACTTTGGCAAGCCTTCAGGCCATCCTCCAAGAGCAAAGTTCTGGCTATTCACAGCCAAAGGAAGATGGTGCTATTGATGCCCAGGATGATGCGGAAGGCGCTCCAAATGATAGCTCTCGCTTGCCGTATATATCTTACAAGATGATACAGCACTTACTCCCAATAAGTGCATTTACAGACTCTAATTATTTTACAGCCGCGTTCTTTACTTTATTTCCGTTTAACATAGGTGGACATTTAGGCGACGTGAGTAAGGACTGTCCAGAGGATATATCTTTTAAGGCCTTTGCAAGATATACTATATTTCACTATTCTTTACTATACGTGTTCTATACCTAGTATTATATTATTCTGATCTTGCAACTTCTCTCAACACATCGCTACTCTCAATTCGTGTACCACCGAGAACAGAATCGCCAATAGGGAGACTCCACCTGAGAGGGCCATTATACGACTCAATCGCATCCGGGAGCAAGCTAACTTTGTACATCTCTGGGCATTTGCCGAAGCGCAAAGTCAGAAGATCTACCTCTTTCCCGCTAAGCACGATGCACTTACTAGGACAAATCTGGACTATCTCGCACTGCTCCGGACGATCTACTCAGTCGGTGAAGAAAGTTACTTGAAAAGCCTAGGCTTCTTTGCTTTTACGAAAAGTATACTTATTATACTCCAACAGAACATAAACATATATGCTAGCTTAGTCAATAGTATAAGGGGCACTGCCGAGGAGGTCATCTTAGATACTAGCGTACAAAGTATATAAACGAAGATTACTTTTGTAAACTCCACTTACTAATTATATTAACAGCTTTATAGATAGAACTTGACAACTAGTTTGTCCCATATACAGTTCCTCTGCTCTGTGTCCTGATTTGACCTGTACATGACTATAATTTATCGTTTTCTAATATTCTTGACAGTCTAGTTCCTGTCTTCCTAGTACAGATAAAGGGTCAGATTCCTAGTATACTAGGTCTGTTCTTTTACCGATATCAGGTTCCGCTGACTCTTAGATTCGCCTTCATTGATTACAAAAGCCAAAGTAGTATGTTCGTCTGCCTCATTCTGGACTTCCTCGTTAGTAAGTAGCGTAGCGCCGATTAGTATAGTAAGTGGACCTCGATTAATATCCAGCTTGGGAGGGTCAAATCTCTGTCAGGGGTCTGGTTGCGAGAATTTATCACGTTTGAAGATGTTTTATTTAACTTTTATCCGGATCTCCAGATTGAATTGTCCCGACTTGAGGCTCTAGAGTAACAGACGATTAATCTGTGGGACAGCTCCTCATATTCTTGATATTACTAGAAGACGACTCTCTTAACTTTGAGTATTACTCTTCGCTTCATTTTACGTGTCATATCTGCTTTATAATCAGTTATTTCTTGATATAAATATGATATATTGCTTTTCTCTACCTTTGCAGCAATTACTACGAGGTTTCTGACATTTAGTACTACAGCAGTCCGACACTATACCGCTACTTACTATTTCATATATTCCTTTTTTAAATCACTACCTCTGTTATATAGCCTCTTATTTCCTATGTCCGTCTTGCTTCCTTGCTGTTCGTAGATCCTTTGTTAAATCCTCTTAGTCTTTCTACTATTCCGCGATAACACATCCTTACTATAACGATAGTTAGTACTCGTAGAACTCTTACCGGAAAGACTACGGATACCTCCCTTATTATAGAGCCCGTTGATGCCGAAGATAATCCGATTAGTATTATAGATCGGTTCTTTGTAAGTTTTCTACTTTTCTAGTTTTTTCTTTATACTAATTTCTTAGGCGCTGCGTAGTTCTATGCCGCCTTACTCGGACAGCATCTACTCTAGGCCTTACTAATCTAGTTCCGTCGATCTAGAACTTCCCCTTTCAGCCCTCACTCCCTCATTATATATGTCTTCGAATAAGAGACTAGCGACTCCCCCTCCAGCTTTGAACTTTGATAGCGTCTTTAACTTTCTACACTTTCGGGGCTAGTAGGTATATATTGGAAATCTTGAAGGTCTAGATCCAAAGCTTTCGTAGGAGGCTTTCAATAGAACTGGAATAAAGTAGCTAGCTCGTAATGAACCTGGCGACTTATACGATAATAAAGAACTTAGACCCCTAGGTATTATCCTCCTAGGCCAGCTCGGTCCTTTTATAACACTCAGGACTGCAAGTAATAATTTCAATAAGGACAAGCCTGAGTTTACTTTATAGTTACAAGTTGAAGAGCGATCTCTGGAGATTCTGAAGGTTATAATTCGTCGACGGGATAGAAACCTCACTGTTACAAATCCCTTACGTATTAAGGAGGCCGAGTTGGATATCACCTTCCCGTCTTTCACACCTAGAGAACCCTTTCCCGCTACTTTCGACGGAACAACTACAAACAACGATCAAGACGGCGACAACATAGATGTCTCTCGTTTTACCGCAGGTGACAAGGTCGCTGTTCAAGCCTGGTTTGGTAACTACGTCTTTACAAACAAGTCTAGGAAGACTGTGTCTGGACCGACGTTCCGTTTATTGAAGCTCTGGAGGTTACAAGCTGGTGTTTCTGGTCTTTCGGGCCTCAATAGTAGCCCCATTACCAAACGGAGACGCATATTGTAGCAGGCTCACGTCCTCCTTAACATGTAATTATATGTAAGCTGTTACTTTCTACAATCTATCTTTTTCACTGTTCACAGTCTACTCTAGGCAGTGCTCAAATGACTGATCATCTGAGCTCCGATGACTACACGTGACTTTGTAGAGAACATTTGTTAAAACAATTAAAAAACGTTTTCTAATTGTGTATATAGCTTTAATAAATATCCCCAATAAATTGGCGCTGCACTAGCCCCAATTGAGACTAGTCAGACTAAGATCTAAATTTGTTTCTTGGTCGATCTTAATCTACTTCTATTATCTCTACTATGGTGGGGTGGGACTGCAGGCGGGCGTCACGTGGCTACGTCACGTGGATGCGGGTGTAAAGGGATAAAGGGGCTCTGGGCGCGCGTGTATTCTTATTCTCTCCCTAGGCAGCTATAACTCCAAAACCTTGATTCGCAGTCAACCACTTTCACTCTTTCACATTGGTGATCGACGCAAGGAGTCGGCTAGAGCCTCTATCCTCATATACACTCTTGTACACGTTACTTTCGATTCCTTTCTTTGCGATATATCTTTTCAGTATTAGCCCTTGGAGCTGGGCTATAATTGCCGCCAGGCCTATGCCAAACAAGGCAAAGCCATTTTCGACCGTTTCTTCGCTAAGGCCGGGAGCTGGTTCTTCTATCACACTTTTGCATCCTTCGAACAAGCAGCCATTTCTGCTGCTACATCTCATTCAAGAACCAGCCAGTTCTGCCATCACACCTTTAACAAGCAGCCTTAGGGTTACAATGATGGGAGCGTAAGCATGTCGATACTGAGCGCAATTGAGTATAAGATCTCTGTGTTCTGCAACCTCCACTTTGCTGATTGGGCCGATGGCAAGTTGAAGCCTGGAATCAGTCTTGATGACTCTGAGAGAGAAGGGTCAAGAGCTTGATAAGGTGGTGTCCAAAGACTGTTCTTGAACTCATCAGCTTTGATCTTCAGGAATTTTTTGAGACTTACCAGAGCCGAGGAGTTTTGTTCTTGATGAGAACGTTTTTGTTATGCCCAAACTTTATCAAAGACGCGAGGAAGGTAAAGTTGTGTTGAACTGTAGTTCCTTGGAAGAGGTGGCGATAAGTGGTTGCTCAGTAATGGTTCCGGAAGACGGAAGGAAGAGTACAATCTTAAATATCAAGACTGATACAAACGAATTAATCACATCTTGAACTTTCCTCTCACATTTTCTCATTCACTAATTTTCATTTCATCCTCTCAACTCCATCCTTCTGAAATTCTGTCTCTGACATAAAATGACCATTTAATACTGGCTCTTTCCTAGCCCCAGAAATTATTGCAGTTTTGTAGATCGAATGCAATCATGCTCTCCTTACTCAAACCCCACTTGCGTTCTCCTTGTACTTTCCAAAACCTTACACATATGTTGCCGGATCTGCAACTGCCTATGAACAATACCGGTACTGGAACCAGCCAAGGGTCGATCAGGAGAGACATTGGCCGCGTAGCAAACCATGGTGCTGCCGTGACAAAGAAACCAAGCGTTCCTCCTTGAAACAATGTGCTGCAAACCGTAATTGCGGTCACAGTCCTAGTTACCAGCTTCTGCTATCATCTCGAAAGATGATACTGCCCGACTCTCCTTGCAACTTCACCAGCGAGCATCAACATCATAGTGTCATCATTTGTGTAACATGATGTTCATCGGCTTTAGGGTTTAAGAGATCGATTTGGTAGGTGATCATTAGAAGATTGTCGTCTGCATGAAATGTCAGTTCTGTCCACGACTTTCCAATTCTTAACCCCTAACGCCGATGTGCAAGCACGTCGTCACCTTTTACACTACAGTATACTCAAGAGCAACCCAATACTACCTTGCGCTTAGGACGAACGTGGTCTGTTGGTCTGTTGATAGCGCCTTGCGGCTCAAGTTTCATGTCACGAAACTGAAGTCTGCAGGGTCCTGTGTATTGAAATATTGCCTTGTGACTTTTCCGTCCTTCCTTGGGTATCCTTGATTATAACTTCTCAGCAGAAATTAGAGACTCCTTATCCAAGCCTTGCATTCTTACAAATTCAAACACCCGAGCACCAGCGCTTCCATAACCAAGATGGTACAATCCAATAACGTTTTAACAAATGACCACCCGATTTCGTTTCCCAGGGCTCAACCTTTGTACCTCCACATATCGTCTCTCACTTCCTCCTCGCTGAGTTTTCCCTTCCCGTCACTGATTCCTGACTCCAACTCAATCTCCCTCGTAACCGTGATACCTTTGCTCTCCTCTCGCAAGCGCACAAAACTGTTGCGTTCTTGGGCGCGATGGGAGCGCTGTGTATTCAGAACGGTGCCGATACGAGTCTCCAGACCACCTTTGGGGAAGAGCTTGGTGAAGACAGGTCGCAGAGTGGGTAGGCAGGCGCAGATTACTCCGACGCTGTGGTTTATTCATGTTAGCGAGGGAATTTAGATATGAGCATGGGAGTATTTACCTAGTCTCAACGGAGCTCCAGACGTAGGTATCGATCAAGCTCCATGTTACATCGTCCATTTTCAGTGTTGCCAGAAAGAATAGTCTAATAATTCCGATGATGCAGATGCTGCAAGTTAAATGTATCAGTATGTGTACTTGACCTTCATTGGCAACGATATTGATGATTGGTGCATGGGAACGGCGGAAGAAAAGCCCAACTCACAATCCTCCAAGCAAGAACATGAAGCTGACCACAATCTTCTTCTGCACTGTCATCTTGAGTGGCCACACCTTCCTGATAGGTATCGCCAAGATCGCAATATCAAGCACAACATGGAAGGCGCTATTGGCGATGAAGAATGTTGTCGTATCAATACACTTCTTGTCCTCCTTATTTATGCTCAGATCCCAAAACGCCCGCACCGGAGAGCAGGAAAAGGTGCCGACGAGTGCCGTTTCGATTCCCCATGCAATGCTCAGCCCACCGATAATATTTGTAGCGAGATTGATGCCGGGAGTCGGGAAAAGTGAGCGGTAGAGAAGCAGGATGGAGATCTTGATGATAGAAATGGCGAAGGCGTAAAGTATGCAGCCCACAAAAAGACTGATCAACAACCGCTCGATGGACGGAATGGGGACATCATTGACGTGCCGACCGACGCCTATACGCGGACCTGATCCAGTTAGTGATCAGGAAGGAATGCTTCGGTTCACTGATATAGGGAAGTTAGGATAGCAAGAAAGAGTTGTACGAACTGTATAGAATCATCCCTGTCAGCGCCGCGGAAAACAACAGCCCAATAACCACCGTTACATCCGATGCATTCCTGTTTTGGCGGATCAAACTCCGGCTATACATCCGCAAGGCGACGGCAAGGACAGCGACAGCGAAGACTGGCACAACATGAGGAACGAGGGTTGGACCATTCTGATAAGTGCAATTGAAAGTGCCGTCGAGACATGGTGATTCTGCCATGACACGTAGTCTTCTCCTCAGCTGATTGTTTTGCAAATAGAGAACCCAACAAATGCGATACAAAAACCTGGGAAAGCTGTTCAGGATAAATAAAAAGAAAGGCTATGCTGTCCTATGATATGGCACAGAAGCTAAAAAGAAAATAAAGAAGGTCCACCAATAGTAAGACATGGTGTCGCGTGCGGCACTGGGAGTAATTTCCGTAGCAGGTTTTAGAGGTCTTAGAACGCCATCTTATGTGTCTTGACCTCTCTCAACAGCCACGATGCGGGGATGGATGAACAAGAGTGAAGACCTGCAGATCAACCTAGTTAAGCTACCTCTCTCGTGTCGTGCCGTGGTACGGAAGCCCTCTGAGATGCGGGGGATAAGCGAATCCCCAGATTTTCATCCTCCCCCCCCCTTTCGAGAGTGTTCACATTCGAGGGAACGAATCGAAAGCCTCAACAATATGTGGGAAGTTATATGAAACTAGGTCTTCTGCTCTATTGGGAAGGTGGTAAAATATCTGCTGGGGTAGCATTTTTCTTTCGGTTTTGGGGCCATCACACGTGACATATATCGCTGGGTCCTCTAACAGCGACCAAGGAATAGACGGGACAGAGAACACATCTTGCAAATGGTCGGACAAGCTGAATCTTAGTCAAGTGCATGCGAAGGACGGCACAGGAGTCTGTTCCATCGACGAACAATAATTTGTTGATCCTTCTAGCCTGTGACGCCAGTTTTATATTTCAAGGGTAGACGATAGAAGCCACGAAGTCCCGAAATGGATCGGCGATGACCTCCGTATGTGCTCTAACCTCACTGAGGCACTCTAATTTTTCTCAAGGATCTACTCTCATTTCCTAGCAATACGTCGAAATAGTGATCAACGCAGTTGACTCCAAGCAGAGAGCTACACACTCGCCCCCCCCCCCCTGTATTTTGCCTAACTGCTTTAGGGAATAATCGGGCATATCGAAGCATTCGACGAATTTCTATGGCCAGCTCTCTCTCACCACTGACATGGGGGTGACGTTCACATATTGAAACTCCCTTTCGTACACTGGTGATCAGGTGCTCGTTTTCTCCGTTATAGCGGGTTCATAACAACTTTCTAACTACGGAAAATTTCGATGAGCAAAGTCAATTTCACATGGCTGAGACACCAAGACATACTCCCTACAGGGGTAAATAAAAGTGAATCAAGTCTGTTGCTAAAATAGCAGGAGACAGCAAAAAAGGTAACTTTCAAGAAAGGTGATTCGTCTGCCACGGTAAAATCCCCAATATGCATGTTATTGTTTTTGGGGATTTGATCCAATTGCCTCCTGTGGAGGGCTTGAAGGTCTTTAAAGCCTCGGTTTGGAAACTCTTCCATCCTATCTTCCTACGACAACCGCAACGGCAGACAGACGAGAAGTTCTTCAGGATCTTAAGCAAGATTCGCTTCGGCATTATCGATAGCGAAATGAAGGACACTTTGGAAGAACGCTGGCGCCGATATAATCCAGAAAATGTCATAATACCACCTACCTGTCTTCTGTTCGCGATGAGGCTGCTGCCCTTAATGTTGACTAGAATCAGAGCAACTGGATTGTATTGAGCTCGTGGGCTTCCTAATTTTATACCTAGTGTCCGTCCAGCCTAAGCTAGCATCGATCCTGGTAGCCCACAGGCAACCACTCTTAGGCAACCACTCTTAGGCAACCACGCCTAGGCAACCACGTACAGGTATATTCCTGCCAACAATTATATTCCCACGCTTGTACCCTCTCTACCCTTCTATGCTTCTCGCAACATCACATTTTCATGTTTTATATCTACGATTTGATCATTATCCGACAAGCTACCTTCGGTAATTACCTCCAAGCTAAGAACGGTTATTGGGCCAGAGCCACTACAGATATTGCCAGATTGTCAGGTGACGATCTCCACCGCGCTGCTGATGAATTTATGAACGGGGAGAAGATCTCCAACCCTCCTATCTACAGTCTTATCACCAATATGAGAATCATATCATCATTTAACCCAGAATTCTTTGGGGAGAAGATGAGGTTCCGGAACCTCATATTCGGGAAGATCGGAATTCCTCTCGTATGGTTTACACTCAATCCCAAAGATATAGGGAATATCCTTGTAGTCAAGCTTGCTGATGAGGAGGTATTACTAGATGACACGGGGGTGAAATCGGTACTACTGTAGATGACACTCAAAAATCCGAGTCTCGTGATACAATACTTCCATGTCGTTGTTACCGCCTTCTTCGACTGCTTCTTTAGGACCCTCTCGAAGGAGCCTGGAATTTTCGGTACTGCCACTTCTAACTTTGGAGTAGTAGAGTCTACAACACGGATGATGTTACACCTACACGGTTTTGCCTAGCTTGCGGGGAACTTTGGCGCTACCAACTTGACTCAGAGGCTAACGTCCGACTCTGCCTTCAAGCACCGAGTACTGACCTACATTCGCTCCATAGTCAAGGAAACGGTTATGTTAGTCTCGGTCAGCAGTTCGCATCAGAGACTCCTGGGACCGCCATCTTTACGATGCCAGATGATATGTCCCTCGCTCAATTCCAGGAGGCTCTTAATACCGACTCGATAAAGTGGCCGCCCGAGCCCAGATGCATACCCACACCAATACCTGTCCCAAATACCAAAGAAAAGGTATGAGAGTTCGCTCAACGATCGTACCGACTGTGCAGTCCGAAGGAATGGCCACGGATATTGAGGACACACAGCAGATCCATAAAGCACAGCATCCAGCGCTCTTTCAGCTGTGCAGGTTCCTCTTCCCGAGGCCACTTGTGCCAGCGTCTGTTTTCAATTCCAATGGCATCGGACTTTCCATTCTACATTCGATATCCAACATCGAACGTGCAACGGCCAACGGCCAAGAAGCAACACACGGCGCACCGCAGTTACGTCTACTTCCAACACACCAATATCATATCACACACAGTCTCCTATCTGCCCACACAAGGTAAACTCGAATGTTCTTTCACATTCAGGTGTTCAAATCATCTATTGAAACTGTTGGATTTCTTGAATTGATTGATTGATTCCCAGTGGCTGGCCCACTGGTTAGACGCTACGTACAGTGCGTACACAAGTCAGATAAACGAGTACGTGCGTTTATACAAAACGAGTGAAGGCAGATCAAGTAGAACCTGACGGAAAACGAGTGAGAAGGAGATCTAGTCGATCAAGTAGAAACAAGTGTCAGTTTACATAAATGCAAGTGTGTCAAGCAAAAGTCAGGGATTTGGGATCCAACAGAAACATCTACAACACTGAAGTATCTTTCCATCCATTCCACATCCAATATCAAGCACAACTCGCACCTCGACTACTCCCACTTCCAACAACACCATCCTTCCTTCCGCCATACATCCAAGAAACAATAAAAGCAACCAACACAACACATCTACTTCTATAACTTTCCAACATACCACCCACAAAACATCCACTTCTCCCACACCCTCTCAACTATCGAAAATGGCCCCAAAAGCCGGCACTCCCCTCGCCTCCATCCCATAAACCACCTTCCCCGTCAGTCCTTTATTACTAACAACCACCACCGCCTCAGCCGCACTCTCTTGCACCAACATCCACGCCAACCCCACAATATCCACCTTCCCTCTCCCACCTTCCCTCGTATCAACGACACACGGCCTCCCCACCTCATCTCTCTCCCTAACAGCCCTATAAACCTCTTCCCCAAAAGTCATCTCCGGACTCGGCGCAACCCACAGGATCCTACAAGTCACTTTGCGGGAATATAATAAGGATAGTCAGGGACCGATACCAGAGCCCGTTGCGACGAGTACGATGCGGTTGAAAAGGAGAGATATGCGCAGGAAGCCGGCGGCCGGTGGGTAGCGGATGTATAAAGAGGAGGAGGGCGATTCGATGAGAAATTTCGTCCAGTTGCCGGCTGAGGAGATGAGGATGGAGAATTCTTTTGGTGGTGAGGTTTCTTGCTCTTCCTTTTCCACGACTTGTCCTATGTCGGTGGAGGACGGAGCTTGAGCTTGAGCTTGTATTGGAGGAGCTGGAGTTGGAACAAGAGCTGTAGTTGGACTTTGGGGTTGGATGGCCATGGAAGAAGAAACTTTGATCCCCAACAGTTGCAAACCCATGCCATTCCATCCACGGCCTCGTACTCACCCTAACCGCCGTCCCGATCCCAGGGCCATTCTTCCATCCCCACCCCTTCGGCAGCGGGAGATACAATCTCACTACATGTGCACTCAGTACCTCTGCTCTCACACGTACTTTCCTGACGTTGCTCCAGGACAGGAGAATCGAAGCTGTCGATACTGTCAAGCACCAAGTCCCCGGACTGGAGAGTAATGATACATGAAGGGGTTGATTAGCAGGACGGATGTAGTTCGTATAAACCACAGTAAAGACCCAGAAAAGGCCCAAGCACGACCAGCCTGAGAAGCGATGGATAGCTTCGAAACTATCATGCCACCTCCTTCTCACGCCCGGCACCGCAGTTATTATCATGGCCCCAAGCAAAACCACAATACTCCACGCAACTCCCAAGACTACCGCATCCGGATTTTGAGTAGTGGACGACAGGATAGTCAAGATGAAAAGCCAGTCCAAACTCGCAAACGCACCACCAGAATGAACACCACCTAGATGATATACCTTCGCAGCCCGTCGCCGGATCGAAAGAGGTGTTGAGCGCGGGATTGCGAGAACGAGGAAATAGAGCGCGTTGATGATGCGTTCTTGCCGAATTAGGATTGTGAGAGATAGGTTGATGGCGCAAGCTGTGAGGGCAGTGGTATCGAGGGGAGGCGGAGATGAGGAGAGGTAGGAGAGGAGAGGGATAAGGATGTTGAGGAGGAGGATGAGTGTGAATATGCGGCGGTAGATGGAAGCGACGTGGTGGCGGATGGAGCGCAGGATTGGGAGGTCGGTTTTGGGTGGGAAGTCGCATGCATCGAGCGGATTGCTGGTGTTAGAAGACGATGTTGAGGAGGTTGATGCAAATGGTGGATGTGGAGGAATGGAGATTTGTATTTCTTGTATCTCCTCCTGCTTTTCAAGCTGTGGAGGTAGTACCACGGGGTCTGGCAAGGAGATCTGGGGCGTGGTGTTGTCTAACGAACCCATCTCGACTGTGTCGTGTGGTTGTGGTGTCATGATGGCCATCGAGTCTGGAATGCAGCAGAAGATATCTAGATAAATCTGAATGGTTTGGTACAGGACAACTGGGCGGACGGGCTCACTTTTATGTTCATCTCTTACTTACACTCATAGCACCATCTTATCATCTTATCATCGATGAGGCGAGTGAGGATTGGAAGTGATTCCCTCGTACACTGGAATAACACATGCTTCATTCTCCATCCTTATCTTGAAATATATCTATATTAAACCCCTTTCGTAATAAAATAATTTAACTTCGCTAAAGCTAGCTTCTAATAAACTAAATAAAAGCTAACGATAAATCTTAGTATATAAACTAAAAACGATTTAGATTCTGGAGAATAATGAGAATATATATAATAATTTTAGAAATAGTATTTCTAAAAGATATATAGTAATTTTAGAAATACTGTGAAGGAGTGAAAGTGCTTGACTACGAATCAAGGTTTTAGAGTTATAACTGCCTGGAGAGAGAATAAGAATATATACGCGCCTAGAGCCCCCTTTATACCCCTAGCTTACGCGACGTACGTGACGCCTGCCTGCAGCTCCACCCGACTACATATATCCCCTCCCAAGTGTAGTCGCCCCCTGATTACAAAGTACAAGACTTAAGAGCTACTACTAGTAAAGGAAATACTAGAGCTTTAGGCAGCTTATATGATAAACCTAGTCTCAATTATACCTTTGTAGTAATAAGCCTAGTCTCGACTATAGTTCTATTTCTCCAGCTATTTCCCTTGCCCGGCAGGTTAAATCCTTTGCGCCATGTAGCCCCTGAACCTGAACTAATTCCCTTGCTGGCAGGTAAAATCACTTGCGCCCTGGTGCCTTTGATGATTTCCCCTGCCCGGCAAGTGAAATCACTTGCGCACCTCTATCCTCCATCCAGTGAACTCTTGCTAGACCCTGCCTTACAACTCTACCTCCGCCGCCCCCGATATAGACCTCCGGTCGTCGCGCAGCCTCCGCTGAAGCCTCCGTTCGTTGCATAGCCTCCGCTCTTCTATTTCTCTCCTTCAAGTTTCTAAGACAAGTTCAACACCTCCGCGCAAGCCGCCCAGTGAGAGATGAGAGGCTTCAAGCATACATAATACAAGTTCCATTCAAGTTTACCATTCCGAACCAGTTAATCTCGGTTCATGCGGATATACATCCGGACTTTCTCAAGCTCTGCCCATCCACCGACGCCTGCAGATCTTCCGAAAGCACCTCATTCATTCATCGTCAGCCGTGGATCAGCTACCACATTAAGATTTTTCGTGTTTGCGTCGACGATTTCCTTCCATCTAGCCCCCTGAACAAGCCGCGCGAGATCCCCATCGTGCCGCTCAGCTACGCGGCACCGCCCGTCGAAATCAATTATCATCCGCATTAGTATAAATGCTCCAGTACGAAAGCCCTAAAGTCTGCATTTTTCAATCGGCTTCAGGGCCATCTAACCCTGTCTGCCGCCGAGCCAGCTCCCATCAACCTCATGACCGAAGCCCCGCGCGCATCGACCACTGTGCCCTTGAAGCTTTCCTTCTCGCCCGAGAACCAGGCTCGCGTCGACGTTGGCCGGTGGAGGCTAATAGTCCAGTCGCGTCTCCGCAGCCGCACCTTTACCACCATATGTAAGCTGCACCAGGCGCCAACGACGATGGCGAGCCATACAGATCCATTCCTGCAGATGATGGAGCAGAAGGGGAGGTGGGAGGTTCGCGAGTGCGAACAGTTGGCCTGGAGGGGGGAGCAGCGGGCAGGGGATGACGGGGCCTCGAAGGCGATATGGACCGCTGAACTAAGGGTGCCCGCGAGCGTGTCCAAGGAGCTGTTACCTACTTTCTTAAATCTGTTGTCAGCAAGACAATACGCACTTGTGATTCGAGTGAGCGTTGCGGACCTACGGATCTGGCGAGCATTGGAGTTGGCCATACCACTGCAGCTCATCTATCACAACCATGGCAAGTCGTTGGGGGAGGAATTCAATTTCGCGTCAAGTGGTCAGGACGACAGTGAATGGTAGGAGACCCCTTTTTCATTCTTTGGGATTCTGCTAGTCACTAACGGAATGAAACGTAGGTTGTTTTCGGAGGGGTGCCTTCCACCACCCTACGAGTTGTGATAAATCGGTCAGCGAGCATTTGGAATACCCATGGAGAAGTTTTGAATAGGCACTGGAGTTGGTAGACGAGCGTACTGGGTAGTGATGTATTCTTAGAGCTCAACAGAATTAATGAGTTCGGTGTAGATGCTATATACTACAGTGATGTCTGCAGACGTGAGAACTGTAACTTACGCACCACTGCACGACTTTAAAACGGATCTCCTGAGCATTGTTCAAATGCCATTTAAAAATACCATCTATTGATGTCCCTTCATCACTACATTCGTTTCATGTTTCATTGGCTTCCTCTTCAACCTCGTTCAGCCAGATCACCCACACATCTAGATAGAACAAGCTGGCTCCAAGAACCCCCTCGTCCAGCTCAGACTACCCATGATAGCTACCAAGGTAGCCAACGCAACCCCGACGCTCATAGCACCATAAAAATAGGCGTGTCGCCTCTTTAAACTTGACAGTTCCAACACCCACTTACTCACCGTCGTTAGACAGCCGGAGAGCCCGTCTTGCACGCTTTGCAAGACCTGGCAGCCGGCCACTCCTCCAATCTGGCCAGCTTCGAGAGGAGCACGCTGTAAATCCCAAGACACTCCCAACACGATGGTTCCAAACATGTTAACGACAAAAGTACCGATGGGAAAAGAGGCCGATATTCCATTCAAATGGACTGACGCATAAAAGCGACTTATACAGCCAACGGGCGAAAACACGATGGCGTAGAGCACCCGACCCCGCCATGTCTCTTGACTCCAAGATGTATCTCCGTCGGCAGCGGGCCCAGATGGCCGATCAGGAGGCCAGGTGATCATGAATACCGTTCCGAGCCATACACCCCATGCAAGAAAGATCACAGCGCGGTCGAGTATCCTGCGCGTAAGAAAGACTGGTAAGGAGAGAGCGATGTGTCCAGTAGCGATCGCGAGGTGAGCTCCAAGCTACAACGCAGAAATGCAGAGACAGAGGGTGACGATGATCACGGCGAGTAGTGCCAAATCGCAAGCTTTATCTAAAGCTAGTTATTAAATTGATCTGATCGCAAGCTTTACTTAGCTACTTAGCTAGAGCTAATTATTACATAATAACTTATGAGGTAGCTAGCTCGCTTACCTCACTCGCTCGATATGTAGTACTTCTATATATCGCATTCCGACTTACGGAGTATATAACCAAGGCAAGCTCCTCCTATACATATTACTCCGGTGGCTGCCGTACTTCTCCCTCGAAGAGGCTATCGTCGTCGTCGGTATCGTTGCCGACCTCCTCCAGAGGAGTCTCCGAGTCAGCGTCGCTTGCCGTGTCCGCCTCATCATCGCTGCTGTCGAAAAGGCTGTCCGGGTCGCTAGTGCTGTCAAAATCGTCGTCGATAGGCGGGCAGTCTTCATCGTGTTGAGGCTGGTCTATAACCTGTACAGAGCGTCGAGGGGGCTAGGTGATAGTAAAGACATCAAGACAGCTGCCAGCCGGATCAAGGAGGGCGAAAGGGCGACCGCGACAGAAAAGAAGGGACGGCCGATGCCACGAGAGCTCTGCGGACAGACGAGGATGTGAGGTGGAGAGAAGTGGAAGATGACGAGAGAAGTGAGTGTATGATGGGTGCAGAGGAGTTGGGATAGAGTGAGCAGAGGACGAGCGCACTCTTTAAAATACATCTTCAGGATCGTGCGGACCCCGAGGGTGCCGTTTTTGGCTTCTTGTGAACCACCAGAAAACGGGGGGGGCCTCAATTTGGAGGTCGAGGAAGCTGGTCGAGGAAAGATAGTACCAAATGGACGAAGTGTCACTGTCGCGTAGCCGGCCAATAGTTGCACGGTGCCTGGCATGAGCGGTGCGTGGTGTAGAAAGAAGAGGGTGCGCGGTTAGCTGAGAACTGGTTAGCAGACCCCTAAAAACAGCACCTCGCTAACCGTCACACTATATATAGAAGTAGTTTTAGAATTACTATTTTTAAAAAATATAGAGTAATTTTAGAAATACTATTTCTAAAAAAGTTATATTATCTCGAGTATAAAGTAATTTTTAGATATATTTTATATCCTTGTTTATTCAGCTAGCTATATTGCCTATGTCTAGCAGGACGTCAAATGAACATTAACAGAGGAAATAATAATAAGTCAAAGAAGCCCACAACTAGTCTAGGCCGCTCCTATCGAGTAATCCAATTTTCGAAGATTCTTTGGACCACTTGCCAATCTCCTTCCTTTATACCTGCTTTCTTGCGATCAACAAAGTCCTCAATCCACCCATCGCCGAAATCCACAACCCAAGCATCGAAATTCATATCGATAACGATATTCCCAGGATGAACATTGCCCCACACAATATCATGGGAATGTAGCTCCTTGACAATAGCCGTGACTTGCCGTCTCCACTTTGCATGATGTTCTGAAGCCATCTTGCACTGGCGACTTTGCAAAGATTCACCGATTGAGGGTATAAAATCAAATAGAAGGCCGATCGCCATCTTAACGTCTTTGGATATCACAATACTGTGAAAGTTGGCCACCGTAATCTTACCCTTCAAACCGGCATCAAGGATACGTGAATGTGTATCGATTTATCTGATAATTTGGCTCTTGTCAAGCGCGGGCTTAAAGAACTTGATTGTGCCATCGCCAAGGCAGGCCTTACGAGGGGTTTCAGACATATAGTCATAGGTGCCGGTAATCGCAGGGACAATTTGGATATCTGATGCCCTTGAGCGACAAACCTTTGGATATTGTGGAAGATCTCGCGACGGGATCATCAGAGCGAAAGGATTGATAGTGTGACGATCTCGAGTAGCCTTGGCGTAAAGGGAAGACCCTGAAACGATAATCTTCAGATGATAGGTTGGTGGATAGTAGAACGCTTCGAAAGTGAGATCCTTGGGTATATGCGATGTGCATTCTCGAAAGTAAGAAAAGCATGGTTCCACAATCCAGCTACACAATGCATCATAGTCGTCGTCAGCTCCACCGTCCATTTGGTCGACTTTGGCAACCAGTTCGGAGTACTCTAGCTCAAAGCAGATTCCGCGAAGATCTTTAAGCGATACAGTAATCTGAAATCGCGACGCTTGACACATGACAGTTATCCATGAACTCTCCGAATCGAATTGACTATCCATAACTTGAAAGCTGGGACTCGTTGAATCCATTGGGGCAAGAGATCTCGCTAGCGATATTGAAGGAAGTGGGCCAAGTGGCGCCTAGCAAATGTAACGGCAAGTGATGCGTGAGAGATGCAAGGAAGAATTTTGGAACTATATGCCACAGATAACTAGCATAGAACTTAGTGAAGGCATATATTGATTCAGATTATATACCTAGGAGGGGCCTTGGTGTGCTTTTGGACGTGTTTGAGCGAGTATTATAACTCGTTTGTAGGCGATCGTACAGTTATTAAAGAGAAATTGACGTGTCAATAAAAAGGTTTCGATTTTAACCGATTCAGCAGTTGCTACCTCAGGCATAAATATGCAGAAAAGAATTGTATACTAACTTTATTCTGTACTTAATCTAATGGAATTTTTTATATTAGTCTAAGATTATCTAATACTACTTTACTAGAAACAAAGTTATTATTTATCGTAGTAACAGAATATGAAAACAGTGGTAGGGATTTATTTTGTGTTTACTAAATACTAATTAAATATTAATTCATTAATTCATTAATGTACATAGCCGTGCTAGCTTGGTATTCCTAAAATTCACAACCTAACCACATGCCGCATTTCCTAGAGACTATTACGCCTGCTTCTCAAGTGCACTAACGATATCTCGGACGCCTGCGAAAGAAAGCTCATCCATTAGCTCATCCCATAGTTTCTTGGCAATACGCTCTCCTTCAGGTGTGTATATCATAGGCGCCATTCTAGTATTCCATTGTCAGTAAAGTAGCCATTGATGTGTAGAACATGCGGGACATACGGTCGTATCCTGCAATCTTCAACGTATTGTCCGTGGACCTCATGTCCGAATTTGACAGCAGCAGCAGTCAAAGGACGGGCGCCAATAGTGATAGGTCGACCCAGGATACGTGTGAAAACGCGCACGATGAAGCCTAGAGCTGTACCATTACCATCGCGCTGCAAGCCAGATCCGTAACAGAAGCCCGGGTTGACTGCGTCGACGGTGACGGCAGATGGAGCGACATGCTTTGCCAGCTGGAACAGGAATAGCTGGCCTAGCAGCTTCGAAGTCGAGTAGCGCTCTTGAAAGTTCCATTTAAGCTCGTTTGTCTTGAAGGCCTTCAGCAGCGGGTCCGATTTTTTCTCTAGGAACTTGGCCCAGGCAGCTGTGTCTGACGAGACAATGGTGATCCGGCCAGGTGCCGTACCCGATTTCTTGGTGTTCATAATGGGGAGTAGCAGGAGGGTCAGGAGAGCAGTGGACAAGTAATTCACCTGGACAACCTCCTCAAAGCCAGTTTTTGGATTGATAGTCAGTTCCAGTTTGTAGACACCAGCGTTCAGCATGGCAATATCGAGGTGCTCTAGGGTGCTAGCACGCTCGGCAAATTTGGCGACAGAGTCATAGCTGGAAAGATCGAGCTTCCAAACCTCAATGGCACTGGCGTCAAGGCTCCGGCCTTTAAGGAGAAGTGTGCGGGCTGTCTCGCCCTTTGATTCATCGCGTACAGCAAGAATTAGCTTGCTTAATCCAAGGTCCAGGAGTTGGCGAGCGCATTCTAGACCAAGGCCAACGTTGGAACCCGTGACTATAGCTGTCTTTCCGCTCAAGTCGACATCGCTACGTGAGACTACTTGAGGAGTGACAAATAATTGGCGGTAAAGGTATTGCCTTATGCTTGCCTCCTTCTCTGGGGAGATATCGAATTCGAAGGATGGGCTCATTATGAAGATGAAGTGGGGGGTGAAGGTGAAGGTGAAACTGAGAATGAGATGATGTGGGTGGGATGGTAGTGGAAGAAGAATATGTATATTTTACTTTGTAGGTAGGAGGAAAAGGCAAGCATCTTAAGTAAATTCTGGAAAGGTAGGATGAGACTCACGAGAGTATGTTAGGGTAATTTCTAAATGGGAAGCGGAATGTTGTTGATGGCATTTGATGGATTATCGGATCATCGGGGTATTAGAATTTAGATTAGCGCAACGAAGTCCGAGTCCGTGGCGGTGCAAAGTTTACTCCGACGGACTTCGAAGTCGGGGCGAGTCCGTATTGCGTAAGCACCCCTGAAATAGGCGAGGCTGAGGATGCCACCCCCTTTAATTGACATTTGCATATAAACGACTATATATTTCTATAGAGTGCTCCTAATAGGCTTCCTAGCTGCATTTATAAGCCCTATGTATTGCTTTACCACCTTGTCAATACACCTAGGTACCTCTAATATTGTGATAATTTTCTATTTATCCTAAAAGGATAGCCTTTAATTCCGTAAGAGCCTTTTGCCTCTACCTTAGCGACTTACTCTTTGCCATAAGATATTCTATACTAGATGAGCGGGCTCCATCACCAATATGAGGGCCACCTAACACGGCGACACTATTACTTTTCTGACCGTTTTCGACGACGAAGTAGATTGCTGCACAGGAGGTGGCGAGGAGAACGGGCGTTGTCAATGCCACCAAGAAGTTCGTGATCTAGGGCTGTTTTGTTAGTAGGAGACTTCTATGAATTAGATAGAGGGCTTTGGGAGAGGCTTGTTGCTGTTACTGTTGTGGCTATTGGTTGGGCCTTGGACCCAGCTGGTAAAGACTTTGATTGATAGTACCTATACTATAATGCAGTATAAACCGTGGAAATTGTGACAAAATGAAACGACGTTGAAGGGTAACATTATTTGACTTACTCATGCAATACACTATAGCAAAAATGCAAACGGCAACAAAAACCACCTATCTCACCACGCCTGAATCTAGATGCACGCTTGCCGATGTATTGGACCATAGGGAGAACCTATCAGCACTATGGTCGCCGTGAGAACAATTCCACCACGGAAGCAGCATTATCTTAACATCAGTGCGTGATATTATGAAATGTGACGACGATGCTATCACAATACTAATCACCGCGTGCTTCGTCTTGACATATTTGTAGATTCTAGCAACCTGATCTCAAGTATGGCCATAATTCAGCGCTTTGTTCATGTTCGCACGCAAGTATCGAATATTAGACGTAGTATTGCATCGCCATTAAAGCTAGCGACTTCCCAGCGGTAATCCAGGGAATAGGATTTAGTAGTGCTACTAGGCATATATGAGAAAGTGCGCGGGAGTCATAAGCACAGTCAGCTAAGTATTCAGAAACAGGATGATTGAAAAGCAATTCATTATGGTTGGAATCACTAGAGCACCAATTATCTCATTAACCAACTAGGCATTTAGCACACTATTTCTCGTGTTTATTTTGCGCAGCTGGAAGTGATATTGGTATTTATTGATTCAGGCCCGGTTTCCAATATGAACGTGAAGCCGGGAGGTCCGAGTCTCCGATAAAAGCAATCAATGTCAATTAACCAACCTCTCCGTAATAAAATCATACCGGGGTTTCAAGACATCGGGATTTGGCACACCGTCGTGTAACCTCGGTCTTCTCATAGCTTGCTCGCTCAGCTCGGCCTTGCTACACAAAACGAATAACAAATTCTAATTAGTTCCGGGGAACTGTTTCCTGCCGAGCAGCAGTACGATAAAGACTTAAAACCCAACATCGGGATATCGCTGGAACATTTTCCTTGGGGTCTAGTCATTTCATTCGAGCGCTACGCTAGGAAATGCTCCAGTGACTAAGAATTCTCGCAGTTTGCTATACTTCTTTCATAGTAGAGAAAGAAAAGTAATTTAGTTGCCTGGATCAAGGTTCCAAATATCAACCGCGAAAATGAAAAAGTGAGGTTAAACCTGTTTCAAAACGAGGCTTTCAAGGCTTTTCAGCCCATCAACCATCCCCACCACCAAGCAAAACCTAAAACGGTGATTATCTGTCTCTGAATGACGAACTACGCCATACCCAGACTGAAAGCAACCAGGCAGTCCGCCTAGCCTATAATTCCCGAAACGTTCACATTAACCTAGTCTTATATAATTTTCTTTTTTCCATGCTTACCCCCTCTTCCCTCCCGCCCCCACTCCTAACAAAAGAGATAATTATCAAATCCTAATCCCGAAGCCCTCATAGTTATTGGATATGTCTCTGCCGCGGTTTTAGCGCCAGGGCCCAGGATCTCGAGTCTCGGGGGCCGGAGCTACCTCCGTGGGCGGTGGAGGGCTTTTCCCGATTTCCGCATGAGGACAAATAGGATGTTTGCGCTCGGCAATGTCGTGGCGCTGAGGATTGTCGGGAGGGAAGTTGCTTTATGTACGTGCCTTAGGTATTCGTGAAAGACACCCGGTATGTCTGCGAATAAGATAGCTGAGTGTGGAACATGAACCACTCACTGCACTCAATGTTTGCTCCATTCGCAGACTCCATTTATTTATAGGCGCGCGATGGATGTGCAGTTTTTATTCCCTCGTCCATCTAAGCCTTGTGATGAGAAACAATGATACGTCGAGCCGCGCTGGAGTACCAAAGAAGCAACTTTCAGCGAGGTCGAGACTGCAGGTTCCATCTCCGGCAAATAGGCGACGCTTGGGGGAAACCCCACGGCGTATTCCTTGTGCAACATATTTCCCACCCCCAAAGCAGTGTTGGATCTGCGTCTATGCCGAGAATTTCGAGCTTGAACTCATAGCTCGTTGGCGCGGAATTTGAAACGGTGGGAGAGGAGCTTAGGTTTCAAACCGAAATAATCTGGTACAGTAGGAAGCGAAACTAAGACCTACATGTGCGGACACCAGCAGGGTACAGCTAGCTGAATCATCGGAGCTTGCATCACTCGCTTTTGTGAGGTTACTTCGTGCCCGCCGCGTCAGCTACAGCCAGCCTCATCGCTTTTCTGTGGCGTAGGGTGCCTTGGAAATGCTTTTCATAACAATATAGTATCGGGACTATACCGTACTGTATAGTGCAGTACTGGTCTACTATTGTTGATATGGGGAAAACAAAGATGAAAAACGCAATTCATAGAGCTTCACAGTAGAATGATCAAAAGTTTCACGTGACAATGGATCTTCAGCTTCCGTAACGTTTCGTTTCGAGACACTCCTTTCGGCCTGAGGCATGACGCATCATTACTAAGTTCAATCATGTGTTCGCTCGTCGTCCTTTTGAGCTGTCACTAAAACAATTTTTTCTTCATCCACTTGTTGCATGTACTGCACCTTTTCGCGTGTAGAGTCGCGCCGTGTAGCATGCATTTGGGTTCGGTGAGTGGCTCGAGGACACACCCGCGCTTAAAAGCGGGGTTCTTTCTTTGACAGCTTGACTCTCACTGCTAAAGTAGCCGCTGCCTAGAGACCGGCATTTAGACCTATCCGTCAGTTCTATTGACAGCTCTATAGATTGACACAACAGTCATCGAAATGCCTACAGAAAACACCGTAAAAGGAATTCTTGACGCGCCATATCAAGACTTTATAGCATCGTATGTTGTACAATGCCTTATAATATGTGTCTTTCTAATTTTGAGACCTCAGTTTCCTCCCGCTCTACTCTGGCCCTTGCGTCAAAGTTCGAGTTGGATCTGCGGGCCATGAATATGAACTCTCGAAGGCTATACTTTGCAAACAATCCTTATATTTTGCAAAAACATTTCAAGGAGGCTTCCGAGAAGGACAAGATCAATCGACGACTCTGACTGAGGTAGAGGGCGTCGTTACTCAACGAAGCTTCGAAATGCTGGTTCAGTGGCTTTATCTTGGTCGAGTCCTCTTTAGCGAGTCATCACCGGCGGAATGTATTACTGCAACCATCGAGTTCGTGAGACTTGCAGATATGTGCGGAGTTTACGGGATGGAAACTCTAATGGCCGAGCATATCAAGGCTATCATCCTAGCCAACCCAGCTCCAGAACACATCGTCCTGGGCCGAGATCCGGACACCAATACTTATTGTCTTCTGGGTCAGCATATTACTTCAGCAGCCCTTCTGCCTGACGGCCATGCAATTCGCAAGGTCCTAGCTATTGCATCAGTCGAAGGATACATACGACGTGACAAGCACAAGTTTTTGAAGGAAATATGCGAATCTCCTGGCTTTGCAGCCGATCTTCTCCTAGTAGTCAAGGAGACCCTGAAGACAGTGAATTTAGGCGAACCCCATATTACTTTCAAAAACCCATGTAGTGGAATGACATTGGCATTTGTCACTAAGAACGTCTGAATGAGCTAGGTAGTCATACATCGTCGGAATATGTTAGTGATAGCGTGTCGTCAAAAAGGAGTCATCTTGATACAGAGTAGAGTGTTCAAGTGTGAAACTGGTTTCGCTTCCTACTGTATGAAACTTAATTCGATGTGTCTTTGTTTCGTTGATACTTCATAGATATATTTGAAGTTTTAAGCAGTTTATGCATACTTCTAAGAATAGCAAATCCTAGATATTAGCGCCCTCCCTCTCCTTCAATTAATTAACGCTTGCTCGAGTACCTTGTAAGCTTCCCAAACACCGTCCCATGATACCCGCTTAAGATATAGAATTCATACTTTTGGGAGTTTCTTAATTGCAGATCATATGGCTTGAAATGTTCCGGGACGCTTGGATTTGGGCGCACGCCGTCGTATCTACGTACAGGTACTGCACGCACAGCACAGGGTTTGGCGGGGCGGGCGGGACGTGTGTCACTGGCCATTGACTGACCACACCGGCGCGGGCGCCTGCGAGATCCGAGTGGCACAGGCTGACCGACCCTGTGCTTATCCATCTCCACGAGCTGGGAGGCCATGTTCAACTCCATTCCCGGGTTCTTTTCGATACTTTCCGTATAGTACCCATTATTTACCAGGGATTTTATAATTGCGGGAAAAGCTGGGCCTATATTTCGCCCCCTCTTTCACGAAGTAGTAATCATAATAAGCAACAAGACTGGAATGGAATGTTCCGCGTACGCTGGCAGCTGAGTACTGGGTGCTACATGCAGAGTACTCTGTAGAATATCCGGAATTGGGGGTTTGAAGCTTTAATCTTGTGTCGATGGTTGCTATTTTCGGAGAGAGATCGACAGGGGTGGTTCTCGGGATGGGAGAGGTGTGCATTGACAATTTGGCAGGTTTGGTTTCCATTCCGACGTGTAATTTTGTCATGGCTGAATCTTATCTGAATCAAGGTTTCGGTGGATGCAGAAACGATTCAGAGCCTAGGGGTTGGGGCGTGATGCAGTGCCTAAGGTACACATGGCTCACACGGGAGGATGAGAAGCCGCCATGTCTATTCCCGTGTTAGCAATTTATCTGTGGTGCAGTGCACTTATCATACTTACGGAGTATACGTACTTGCATAGGTACAGTAGTATGGACATGCATGGGAACATCAACGAGTCCAGCGCAGCCAGCCCATCCAGCCCCCTCCCTCCCCGCAACCTGTATTCTGGTGGCTAAAAAGCCTCGTCGCCAGCAACGATGAGGCTCTGTTCTCCATACCCGCGGATAATCCACATCTGGGCTGGCTGGCCATCTGCGGGGCATCGGGGTATCGGGTCATCACGGCCACAGACAATTAAATGGCACGTTATGAGGTGCGTGCCATCAGGTCGGCGAACGAGCCAAAGGGGCAGCGTGGACCGGCGTCAACTGCCTTCAGCCCATGTCTTCCGGAGGCTTGGACGAGGAGCAGAGCACGAGGTCGCACCCGAACGGTTGGTAAGAAGGCTTGACGGCGCAGATGACAGCAGATACGCAAGAAGTGTGTGCAGTCAGTCAAACGTGCCAATTATCCGGATTGAAACAGAAGGCACACCCTCCGATGCTTCGTATAGGTGCTACTAACATCCACGTGAAGGGCCATACTGTACTCTTCTGCATACGCCGTAACTCTTCCCGTTTGGAGAAGAGAGGACTGATATTCCAGGCTCGCTGCCTCGCTCCGCACTGTCCCTCTCTCTCACTCTCTCTGACTGTGTCTCTCCCTGGGAGCTGAAATAAAATACCAACCCACYCCCCCCCCCCCCCCCCMCSCCATGGGTTTCTCCCGTACTGTTGGGGCGCGATCTCTAGTACGTCGTAGTATTTGTCTCGTCGATGACATGATAAATAAGTGGTAACCTTGTCGCTGCGTGGTTGGCTAGGACAGATCAAAAGAAAGCAGAAACAGTTAATTAGCAAGGTGCAAGGATAGGCGCTGCATGGCTGGGATGAGAGAAACCAAACTAAGCACTGAGGCCAAGGATTTCGTAATATCCTTGGTCATAAGTACCTGTACCATGTACGGAGATACAGCATGCTTGCTCAGAGATAAATGCTAACGATTTGAGTTTTGAGCGTTGCCAGGCTAAGGGGAGTAGGACTTTAGGCCAGAAAGAGGTAGATCACGTACTGGCAATATGGGAAATGCCTCAACGTATGAAGGTCGCCATAACATATCGATGATCACTGCCCCAACAGTTAGTTATCCTGTGCGACGTCCTGTTCCCGGAAAAAGGGGGATAGTAATAATTAGAACAACCTCGGGCTGGCTCGAACCCGCTTGGTGTCGGGTTCGCTGGAGGTCGCGACCCGGATATTCGTGAATCTCGAAAGCTCAGACGGCCGGGACGGGCTTGCATATTTTTCCCTGTCCTTTACCGGTTCGAGGAGTGATCACTGATCCAGAAAAGGGATCATATCATCATGCCTCGTACAAAGTACGCAGCACTACACTACGTACAGAGATCACACCCACCCCTCGCGTCCAGCAGATCGAAATGACAGTGCAAAGCGCAAGTGCATTTCTCTGCTCAAAGCACCTTTTTGCACATTCCCATGCGTAATTAGCAGCCAATCACCCCGTCCCCCCCAGTCTAGAACATACCTAATCGGAATACCACAAGCCAGTCCGCAAACAGTCAAAATAGACGATTGACGCGGCGGGTTGTTAATCCGGGTTTTGTCTCTGTTCTTTCTCCCCCCTCGAAGTATGTGAAATTCAAGTCAATATCCCCCGAATGTCCCGCACGTGTGTGGCCTTATTAGCATTACGAAGTAGTATATTCGCCCGCCGATCTAACACCCCCTCCTCGAAATGTCTCGAGAGACAAAACAGTCATCAACGGCATGGGTTTGATGTTTTATATGAAATTGCGACCCAAAACAAAATTTGGACAAAGCGCTATTGGCAGCACCGGCGACCTCCCCGAACTTTTTTCGCTCTCGATCCCTGGTTCCCGGGATACTGTGCCCACCGCCCAGGCTCAGGCTCTCCAAATCAGCCAGCTGAACACATGGGCAGGGCGGTGGGTGATCTGTGCGGGAAGGGAAGGGTGTTTATTTATGGAACAGGACGAATCACACTTGGAATTACAGAGTAAGTCATGCGCGAGAGATGTGCCAGAGAGGACGGGGAGGCGGGAAGTTGGGGAACAGGGTCGTGCTTTTCATCTCATATTACGAAAGTATTACTATTACTACCTGTACGTATTATAATGATTATCGTCATATCATGATGCGAATTCCAAGCACACACACACCGTCGTGCATGCTACCGAAATTTGTTTCGTGTCGAATTGCTGTAGACAAGATACGACGAAGTTAATACTGTAAGTCATGCACCGCGAACTTGGTACTGGGAAAAGTGAGGACTGAGCAGGACAGGCAGGCAACGTGGCCGTCAAGGCTTCATGTCAGCTCGAGTCTGCTGTCATCCCCACCCGCACACACGATCATGGGTAACATGGCGCGGCGATATCTGGTTTAGTGACCATCCATATATATCCGATATCTGGTACTCGTGCTGGTATCCCCTCGTGCTGCCCACGCATGCATGAGGAAGCCGCTTTGGGTACGATCTCAATAATGATGGGAATATCATCCGACAAATCGGTACGGCTGTACCACCTCCCCTACGCTACTCCTATGGCTTATTATATTATTGCGGTGGTTGCAACTTGCAGCTCACGGGCAGTTCGCCGAACCGCCAGAAAGCTCTCTCCCCTCCCTGGCCAACGTCAAGAAAACGCCAATCACCCCCATATACCTGGACGATCGCTGGTCAATGCGCCTGGCTTGTTTGCGAACTTGCGGGTGTGGTTGCTCGGAGGGAGGGTGGTGGTCCCAATAATAAGCCAGGAAGCTCAAATCCCACGGTCCCAAGAGTCAAGGATAAACAAAAGCTGGCACTTGAGGCCACTTCAGCCCTGCAAGAGCTGGACCATTTGAGCCCGATTTCCTGTCCGAAAAGTAGGCCCCCTCCCCCTAAATTAATCAAAACGTTTTCTGGCTCTATTATGTGACCCGCCACAACGGCAGCGCGCTGTGCGCACCGTGTGTTGTTTGTCGTGCCCAGCCTAAGCTGCTTCTAGAGAAATTGGCTTTCGCTTCTGCAGATAGTGCGAAGCCGCTTTGCTAGAATTAGAGTTGAGAATCATCGTGGGCCTGTGCCGAAGGCTGTCAAAGCCTCAAAAGGTCCTTCTGGAAACCAGCCATTTGAGAGAAGTACCGTACTTTCGTACATGCACATGTACTGTACTGTACATGTACGACGACTGATGTCCGATTACCTGAGCAGGCTAAAGATTCCTCATAAAGCTATTGCCATCTCATTCTTCCCCACTACCTTTCGAGTGCATCCTCCAATTAGCATGTTTCGTGGGACGGGCGAGTTGCTATCATGATTATCATTAAGTAATCTTTCCAAACTTCGAAGTAAGGGTCCCAGAATATGTTCGAGTTTCGAGCCCTCGACCCTCGACCCTCGTCCCATGTGGGAAGCGTAATGTAGTGTGACCTCTCGTCCGCGTGCGTGCGTGTGGTCGCCGTGGTGGTTCTTGTTACTGGATCCGTTAGACCCGCCAGATATCAACCGTTCAGGTTTCTCCCACAAGCGTCTGGCTGCATGGCCGCCCTTGACGGCTTAAGCCAACAAAAAGCCTCTGGGCCCTATTGAACGGAGCATATCTGCAGATACGCTACCTACTGTACTTGCCACTACTTTCGCTCTGGAGTCTGCATGGCTCGCGGGCCTGTCCGTGCAAGTTTGCATGTGCAGGTTGTGGGTTGTGGGCGTGGGCGTGTGGGCTGTGGGCCAGTGTGCCAGTGTGTGCCAGTGTGTGGGCTTTGGGCTTTGTTTTGGGCTTGGGGCTGCATGCGGCAAGCAGATGGTGCCAGGTGCCAATAATCCCAAATGTCCACAGAGCCCGCGGACTCGCAGAGCCCGCAGACGGGGGCCAGGCCCTTCCCTTCCCCTTCCCCTCGCCGTGCTGCACTGCTGGCTTATTACGGAGTGATAGGGAGAGTCAGATCGGGGAGAAGTACTCGGTACTGGGCAGAGGGAATGCTCCCAGAGTAGACTAATACTGCCGAGGTACCTCTACCTTGGGTACTCAGTACCGCACCTCGTACGTCGTACTTTCAGTTGCTGCACAGAGGCACGGAGTGTTCTGTATCCTGTTGGCAATAAATCGTCGGGAACGTCGCCTGGAGTCCCCCTGAAGCGGTATCCCTGCTGTCGTGCGACCTGGACTTGCAGTTCGCGTTCCCCGAGTTGAATTCCAGCATGTCGAATCGGCAATAGTTGGATTGTTGGATTGCTGTTGGTGTTGATGTTGGGCGCCAGACGCGGGGGAAGCGCTGACCGTAGATACCAGTAATCATAATCATAATAATGATAATGATAATAATAATAGATGCACAAGTACCGACAGACAGTACGAGTACTGTAGCACAGGAACAAGAGAGCAGATACAGAGATTAGAAGTACTACGTACGAAATACGCAATACGCAATTCCTGTACGAAGTATCCCAGGCTCGCTTTCTCCCAGTAGTAATCATGGCCACCCGCTAGCTGACTACGCTACATCCCGCCCATGCTGCTGGCGCTGGCACTGGCGCTGGCGCAGGGCCTAGCCCGCATGCGGCCTACGGCGCCGGAATACTCCAGGGCGCCGGCCGCCTTCGCTCAGCCGCCCATCTCGCCCAGCGCCCATCGCGCGTTGCACGCCTGCGCGCTGGGACTCGCTCTGGCCCACGCGCTGGGACGCCTGCAGAAGAGTAGGTAATAATGGAAGACGGCGACAACGTGCTCGATCTCCCCCAACTGCTCGCTCCATACGTGCGTGCCCATGGTTCGAACTGCTGCAGACTGATGGCATCCTGCAGGCGGTTATACTATACCGTATAATACTGCAGGTCCTGGCGCCGTGGGACTCGCCGGCCGCCGCCGAGGAGATCCCCGACTTATTATTATATCGGGCCTAGAATCCAAGCTGACGGGACGGGACACTTGGTCGCTAGTCGTGCTGGTCGTGCTAGTGCTGTCTGCGCTGCTGCTGCTACGCCGGATACGGCGTCCTCGCTTTGTCGGGGCCAGAATCCCTCCCAGCCAGAACCCAGCGGGCCCAGCGAACCCGGTAAGTAATAGTCCAGCAGCCCAGCAGTAAACCCAGCCGTAAACCCAGCCGTAAACCCAGCAGCTCCAGCACGTCCCAGCACGTCCCAGCGGCCCAGAAGCCCAGCTCCTCCTCTCTGCCCAGTGCTCCCCTCCCCCCCAGCTTCCCGCC